CGGAATGACTTCAGCTTGTGTGAATCAATTGGACGCTTCACAAATTAATGGAATTTCACAACCTGAACAACTTGCAAACATTCCTGCTTTATCGTTTGCTGGATTTTCATCTAATCAAATTTCCAAGCTGCTTCCAAAGACGTGCTCTGGTTTTAAATCTGATCAAGTTGTCAAGATGAATAATAATTATCCCAACTATGCATGTCAAGGTTTCAAATCAGAATGTCTTTCAAACATTCCAGCAAAAGCTTTCACTGGCTTCTCAAGTGCCTGCATTTCACTTGTGGACGCCTTACAGATGAGTGGATTATTATCCTCACAATTGGAACAACTTCCTGATGCTGCATATTCTGGTTTCACCTCAAAGCAAATTGCCCAATTTACACCTGCAGCGTGTGCTGGCATTTCCAGTAATCAAGTATCCAAACTTAATAACGGTTATCCAAACTATGCATGTCAAGGTTTCAAATCCGATTGTCTTTCAAACATTCCAGATCGTTCTTACACTGGTTTTACAAGTACTTGTGTTACTTTTTTGGAAGCGTCACAAGTCCATGGAATTTCATCTTTTCAGTTGAAACAGATCACTCCAAATGCTTTCAGCGGTTTCACATCACAACAGGTGTCCAATCTGGATCCACTTTCATGTTCTGGAATTACCAGCTCCCAAGTTTCTTCTTTTAACAACGGTTTTCCAAACCATGCTTGCCAAGGTATCACAGCCACATGTCTTTCAAGTATTTCAGAGGCAAGTTATTCTGGATTTAAATCTGTTTGCCTTTCGAACATACCTCCAGAAAGTATGAAGGGAATTGCTGCTTCTCAGTTGAGAAATATTCCATTTGATCAAATCAAAGGTCTCACCCAGGCTCAAGTTGCAACACTGAACAATTCTACATGTTCTGGATTCACGGCTTCTCAAATCAACAAATTAAGCTCCTCTGCTTGTAGTGGATTCAAATATGGATGCCTGTTTGAGATGACACCTCTCAATATTGTATCTTCTTTGACCTCACAATGTTTTTCAAATATTCCCTCTGCATCTGCTTCTGGATTTAAACCGGAAAGTATTCCTTACTTTACGACAGACACACTTACAGGTCTTCAATTGAATCAGCTTGTGACATGGTTCAATTCATATGGAGAGAAATATTTTGTTTCAGTTGCAACTCAGAAACAATTGTCAGCAGTGAGCAGTGGTGTTATATTGAAATTTAAGGAAAAGATTGAAAACTCTGAGATTCAAAGAAAAAGACAATTGGCTTTGGCTCAGCTCTCTTCTCTCACATGGCTGCAATTAAGTCTTTCCACAGATGATTCTTTGAAGAATGTGTTAAACGCAAATACCATCACAGATATTACTTTTGATCAGACGTTCTATGGTCTTCTCAACAATGTCCACATGTTACCTGAAGATGTATTTTCAACGCTCAAAGTTCAGAGTTTTTCTTTCTTTTTAAGCGATACTGTGAGTGGGATTACAGCTGAACAAATTTCTCATATTGTTCCAAAAGCATTCAACTATCCAAATGGCCTCACATCTAATGTTCCATCCATTAATTCAAGCTCAGTGAAAGGAATTACTGATCAACAGCTCGACATGCTCCTCACAGATGATAATCTTGCTAAATTATTCACATGCACACAATTTAGAGCAATGACTCTTTCTCAATGGAATTACATTAGACACACTAATAGCTATAGACAGTTGGAGAGCAAATGTGGATCTATTTCTCCAGGACCGTCGTCGTATCCACCAAAAGAGAACCCCTCAAGACCAAATCCTGTACAACCATCTCGTTCTCACAGCAGATTGAAGGAATTAAGATCATCAGGAATGAGTGTCATGAAATATAGTAACGCAAGCTATTTTGCTTTGCTACTAATGCCAATCATCATTACAGCTTTGGTACAATAATAAACTGTGATTACGCAGCCATAAGAGCAGTACAAAATTCAAAATAAAAATTGTAATTGCTGAGCCAAAAAAAATCCAATAAACAATCATAGAAGCGAATAACGCTGATGATTTGTTGTTTGAATGATCAGAACATCCATCTGATACAATTTCATGAAGTTCTGTGAAGTGCTTGTCTCGATCGTACTTTTGAACACTACCATATAGCCACCATCACACTTCACTTGAATTCAATTCATGAAATGATCATCATTAGTAGTGCAGTACCGCAACAGCAACACTCATCACTTCCTTCATTCTTTTTCAATTCAACTGCTTATACGAACTCTACTAACATGCCACCTCAACGTCAAGCATCTTCTTCCTCTCCACCCAACCACACACCTGTAATTTCTCTGATCGCTGATGACGAATCAATGATGCGACCACCACCTTCTCAACAATCAAGGGTGAACCAACGATCAATTCCATGGTTTCTGATCACTGTAACAACATTCCGATCATCACATCCACCGGAGCAGTTCACAACAATTCCACTATTTGATGATTATCATTTCCATGTGTATTCATACACACAAAATATTCCTGTTAAATGTTGATCATGATGTGGAAATTTGATGTGATAAATATGAATATGACATGATGATGAATAGAAACATGACCGGATGTTGATGATGCTAATGAAGGCCACAACAACACAGGGAGTTTCAGCTCATTTTTTTTTGATAAAATGTCCATGAAGTAGGTTTGTATCCTGTGAATGCTTAAAAAACATTTTTTCATGACGAGCATTTGCAATATGTCTGATTTGTTGGGCTTCTTGCCCAAGATAACAAAACTAGAAGTATCCTGCAAAACAAAACAATATTTAACAATCAGTTTGGAGGCATAGGATGTCAAGCTTTATGAATTCTTAAAAATTGAAAATCTATTTTTTTACATTATCTTTCTACAGTTTTTGAAAAACACTACAACTCTGGTAAATTTGACACATTTGGATCTTAGAGGAATGCTCTAAGTCAAAGATAAGCAAAACATTACTAGGAGCCGAATCCTCTCTGGAGTCTTGTTGAAATCGACGACTGAGGAGTGTTACAACTGACCTGACATAACATTTCAAAAGTAATGACTATATTTGATATTCGATACTGAATCAAACACGCTGATTCCATTGATGAGAAAACAAACATTCGGCTACGGTGTTTAGCTACCAGTGAGAATGATGAATCAACGAAGGTTACGTTCAGCTGGACCAGTCTCATACACGGAGTTTCACTACTGAAAACGAGAAGGTATTTTCACTTTGACGTTCCAATTTGAACGCATCGAATCAACTGGTTTTAACTTCTCTCATGAACACTTTAACTGTGAAAAAACAAAATGAATCCTCAAGACGAAGAAATGCAAGAAAACAGTTACTGGCCTTCTGCTGTGATAGTTAACCTCTCCTCGTTTCATCCCGTTTCTGCACAACAGTGTGAATGGCTGTGTTCTCAATTACGGCAACGAATACTCAGGAGCTTTTCTCAACAGTTTCACCACGTTCGAACTCTTGAAGGTTTTGGGGCTCCCTGCTATTTGACGCTCTCACAAAAGTACCTCATCGTCTCCCATTCCATGTATACTCTCAAATTCTTTGACCGAGACTCAAAAGAATATTTGGGAGAGGTGGAAATGTTACGAGAGATGCCATACAAATTATTAATTCAGTCTTATGCTCTTGAACCAGAAGACGGCAATGAATGCTTAATCATTTCGAGTGAGGAGAGTCGTGCAGTCTATAAAATGGAGCTGTTTCAAGTGGTGAAAAGATTATGCAAAAAAGAACCGCATGTATCTCAGCAAGAAGCCTCTGATCAATGTCCTGTGGTTGCAGTACCGCATCTATGGATGAGTGGAAGTGGAGATCCAGAAGGATATGGTTCAGACGATCATTTGTTCACTTTTCCACAAGCATGTGACTTGTTACCTTCTCAATATCTAAACATGCCACACTCAGACAAATTTCAGAATTCAATGAAAGGTCATTCCTATATTGTGGTATGTGATGGAGATAATCAGCGAATCAAAATTCTGCATCCCTCTACAGGGCAAGTTGTAAGCATGATTAGAGATGACGAGGCACCACTAAGTACATGGTGTCAAGAATGTGCTGTGACCATAGATGGACGAGTGGCAGTGGCGGACCAAGGCAAAATCACCTTATGGAAATGGAATGAAAATTCTTTGAGATGGATCCGAAACCAAACGATCACCATCTCGAGTGATCAGGTTGACGCATTTACCGTGGACAAATTGGGTGATTGTTTTTATTGCTGCCTGCATGGACTGCCACAGATAGAAGACCTTGGATTCAATTATTATTGCATTGAATTATATTCTACAAATTCTGGCCAGTTTCTTAAAAGGTTTGGAAAAAACTCAAGAAGTGAAATGCCTAAGGTAGATGAACTTAACATGCCAAAATGCTTATTGGTCGATTCGAGGAGAGGAGAATTGTTGCTAGTGGATTTTCACAATTATAGAATTTTAGTCTATCAATAAACATGTATTTTTAGGTACAATAGAGTTGATTCCAAAATTGTTTTGTGATTGGGATAGTTGTCTATTATTTCACTCGGGTTGGCAAGAAGGGTTCGAAACTGCGAGGATCCTCTTGGAGGTCGAGTTTGTGTTGGATTCACTTTCAAACCATATTGTTTGACCTTGAACAGCTTCCATTCTCGTGATGAATACAACAAACACAACTTGGATCTTGCAGTTTACTATGCAGAAACACTTTACAAAATCATTTGTATTTGGTGGAACTATTTGTTTTTTGCAGACTTTACAAAGTCGTAGAATAAATAGGCCACATCTGAAATAATTTCAGACCAGCTTGTCATAGTTCTATTTCTACTTTCATTCTTTGTTTTGTGCTGTTTTTGAATACCAGAGGATCTTTTTGCATCTCTCGCCGGTGTAACTTTTGGTGAAGAAAATAAACGAGAAAGTATCGAGTGTTCACGATTTTCTGGTTCTGTGTTTCCATTTTCAGAGTCATCAGTAGCATCGATGGATCTTCTTTGGTTCTCACTGTTCCTTAGTTCAATACCCATCTGCACCTCTTTATTAAGGGCTGTTTCGCAATGTTTCTTAATATCACTCAATGAGATACGATCAGCTCGTTTCAATAACATTCTTCGAACTACTTCTCTCATTGAAGAAGAACACTTGTGACAACGTTGAAGCATCTCCAAAGGATTACCTTCTGGTTTACACTTTTTTGCAAGCAACAACACCATAGTTACACCCAAGGCATAAATATCAGACTCTTTAGCGACTCCATGAGCACGAGTTTCATCATCAATGAATCCACTTGTACCATTTTCAGCAAATCTTGTTCTCTCTCCCATGGTCTCTTCAGAACGGGTTAAACCAAAATCTGCCAGTACATAACGAAAACAATCTCCTTTTTTCGCGTATAAAATGTTGGTGGGTTTCACATCTCTATATTTCAATTAAAAATATACAGTTGCAACAAATACAACAATAACTTACCTATGGATGAAAGAAGATTCATGTAAATACAACAACGCCTGTGACATTTGATACAAGACTCTCCAGCACTCATATTCATTTAGTACCAACGAACCAATGCTGCCTTGCATAAGATCAGACATGATGTAAAGACGACCATCCACCAATTCCCAGTATTGTATCTTCAAAAGATGAGGGTGATCAAACGTACATGCCTCTCTTTCTATTATTTGATCACGATTATGGCTAGAAATTTCGCAAATTACTTTGACCGCAATACCTTTTTGTTGGATTCCGTAAACAGTTCCAAAGCCACCTTTTCCAAGATTTTTAACCTCATCGTGATTCACATTAAATTTCTCGGCTATCATTCACCTATCCAATTGTAGACCTCAGTGTGCTCATTCATTGGTCATCATACATCATGATTCTCGTGCTAGGTCCAATTCACCTTCAGGTGGGCCAAATTGTAGTAAAGCCATCGTTGATTCTTCTTTTCTTTGGATTCTAATTCATACATCCATTCATCCATTTCAGATGTATTGTATTTGTTTCTCCGACTTCAAACAATTGACATTGCTCAGTTAAGTAAGAGAAGGCAGAATCTTGAGAATGTGTGAGCGTTGATTCAGAAGCGTTCACGACTCCACGACTCTTTGAAACATGTCTTGAATAATAATTCTCAACGAACAAGTCTTGGTATTGAACAAATCTCATTTGATACTTTTCATTACAATGTTTTTCAATTTGGTGTGATATGATGATTGGAATATTCAACGTGTTGGCTACTTGCATCATACTTTCTAAATTCGACTGAATACTTCCAACGACTTGAAATGATTTGAACTCACGGGTTCCTAAATTTCCACAAATACATTCTTGACATGTAACTGCCATTCTGAAACTCAATGGTGTCAATAATTGAGAATTCAAACCGAGTGGACGAGAGTTTGAATGAGTAGACACCCATTTTTGAGTCTTGATTTGTAAAAGCTTTGATCGAAGAGAATCACAAAACGTAAGCGCCTTTTCTTGATGTTTCTTCAGTTCGTTGGCTGCATTAAAGAAAATAAATTGGGAATCAGAATCGAATGCTCCCATTTGAGCACTCATTGAGCGTGTTTGTTGATTAATGGCTTCAAACACATCGCTCAACAAGCTCACTATTTCAGTTCCGCTCATGCCTGACCACCATTCATTCAATCCATCTAAATGAAGCATGACAGCACTCACCATTCTCTTTTCTGAGTAGAGAGAAAATCGATCAAGGTGAGTTTTTTGTGAGGATAGTCTTTTGGATGAGTGAGCCATTGAGGATGAGCTTTTTCTGGATAATTCTTGACTTTCAGCATTAGTGTTTGGTGCAACTTCCCCATTCCCATCATCGCTCTCCAATTGCGCAAGTAAATGAGAAGGAATGAAGGCTCTGTAAAGTTTGATTCTCTTGACCATTTCGGTAAAATGTAATTGCAGTTGAGTTACTTCTGTCAATCGACTCTTTTTCAAATTCAAATGATCCAATTGCATATTTGACACCAGTTCAAAAGATTGAATCAGTTGATGGAATGGATTTACAATTCTAAGAGAGAACACAACTGCGGTGACAGTACTCACCAATCCAATGATACATGCACTCACCACTGCAGCAATGATGGCTAACACCATGTTACTAATGTAATTCCATTGAGGAACGCTCAACACGAACATCCAATCAATTCCGTTTTCATTGCACAATCGATGAACGAGAATGAATTGATCGGTAAGAGTGATTACATGACGATTGTTGCACTGTATATTTCTCAAATTGTTGTTGAACTCGGAATAGACCTGTAGACCAACTCGTTTGATGGCTTCGTTCATGTCTCCAATCATTTTTCTGGCGCTTCCTGAAACTGATTTTTCATTTTGTTGATCGCCTATGTGGAATCACAGTGCAAAGAATGAATTTCCAAAAAACCCAACATACAACACTTACTTGCAATGATATAATTTGTTTCAACCTCAATGATGAAAGTATGTGACCCTGCTATACTTTTAGTCATTTCTACCAAGAACAGTGATAAGAACTTGGTGCTCATGCTGTATCCTATGGCGTGGCTCACTCTCTGACCGTTACCTAAAGGTGCGCTCAGTTCAAAGCTTGACATTAAGGTAAGAAACGTGACGTCTGGGTGAGTGGGATCCGTGAATGAGGGAGCAAAAAGAGTTTTTCCAGGATTGTTATTTGCAGTTTCGCTTGGTGCTTGGTTTGTAAATGCAGAACGCACCAAGTCAGGAGTGGAGTTTCGATTGCAGTAATCATTGTTATAAAAATCTCTGCAAATATAAAAACTCTGATTCTTGCCATAGGTTAGATTTAGAAGCACAAAATTGTTGCCCAATTGAGTCATTCCAAGAGTATTGCCATGATATTCTCCCAAAAAGAGAGCAAAGGTAAGCATGGATTCATACTTCATCAAAGACTTGTAAGCCTTATAAATATGATTTACAAGCGTGTCATCCATTGTTTTGTAGTCATTAAGGAGCTGTCCTTTGAACATTGACATGAAGAAGGCCACTCGCTTCAATGTTTCATCAGTGTAGGTAACCATTCTGGAAAAATCTTTATCACGAATCGAATGGCTCATTTCTGAAACGGTCGTGCTGAAGCAACTAACCCAAATAGCTGACAAAATCAATACACTCATGACAATGAGACCAACGATCAAGGTGATGAGAATATACTTGATGGAGAAACAGCACAAAAATTTTGAGCTCTCTGAATGATGAACACTTTCTGAGTTGTCTCCACTAATGGAAGATGAAATGTCTTGTGATACAATGGTATTCAAAGGATTGATTTTTACAGTCATCTCTTTTGTTTTTTTCTTTTGGGCTTTATGAGTGTATTTCTGACCCCATCAAGAACTACAATGTCTTTATCAAAGATTCTTAAGACTTAATCAGATATTCTGATTACGGCCAAATCAAACTTTGGCCGGCAGAGATAAAACCGGTAACGTGAGAGATTATAGGTTGTGGCACCGAGAGAATCTCGAGGCAATTCGGGCGACAGTTTCAGACCACTTTCAGAATTGTATTTCTTGAGCGATTTTCCTTGTTCTAAAAGGATTCGTTTCGGGCTGTTAAACGTTAAAATGTGGACTACAGTGAAGTCAAATGAATGGTTAATCAACAGCCGTCAGTCCTTTCTCTTCCAATCTATAACACACGATATCAGAAACAATTTCATCTGTTCTAAATAGATAACACAAGTATAAAAATTTGTTTAAGGAGAGAATGAAACACTGTGATGGCTTGAAGGAAATTGTAGAATTCCTTCACGAAGAATGGGCAGGTGACACTGACCTCAATTTTGTTCATTGTTATTAAGAAATATCAAGGAACCCCTTGGATAAGGAGATCAGAAGTGAGTGTGTTGAAACCACCAATATACAATGAAATCTTCAGTAAAAACGTTGATTCATTCGTTACAAGTAATTTCAAAAACTCTATGGCCAAAAATTGAAACGAGCACTATAAATCAGATGTCATGAGATCGTTGGCCTCTCTCAACTCTTTTTTGCACAAAGTAATCATGTGTTTGGTGGGAATATCATTGGTGTGTCTTTGTGCGTATTCTTCAAATCCCATTAATGCTTGCTCAAAATTTGTTGCGAAAAATGCTCTACAAGCCACATTATAGTCTTTCCATTCTTCATTCTTTTGCTTGTTTGCAAGTTCGTACAACCATTCATCATCAGAGACTGTCAATGGGGCACCAATCTCATAAATGTTACTTGATTTGTTGGTATTACCTTCATCCATGAAATTAATAAATCCAATAAATCTTGTGTGATAGAGTGATTGAGCAATTTTGGACATGGTTTCGTCGCATACAATCCTGAGATGCATTTGAGAGGCAAAATTTGTCAAGTTTGAAAGATTCTCATAAATAGATCCTAAAATCTTGAAAGATCTCACGTCTGTTGTGCCTACATTACCACAAAGACAATATTGAACATGAGTGGCAAACCTAAACTCAATATGATTGGCTGCCAATGTTGCAAATTGAGACTTGTCACTCTGCTTCCATTTTGCATTTTGCAACTCTCTTAATTTGTCACTCAAATCCATGCAGGTTTTGATTGCTTTCTCTTCATGTCGTAATTGGTCTCTAGAGGCATTAAACACAATTGTAACACTATCATTTTCAACATGTTCCATTAAACTACTTGTTGATCGAGTTGAAAATTGTATCTTTTCAAATATATCCTTGAGAATTTCAATAATTTCATTTGGAGCTGCATGGTCCAAAATCCATTCCAAGCCTTGAAATTTAACTTGAATCATGGAAATTTTCTTTCTTTCAAGGTAAAGTGAGAATTTTGATGCTAAATCCATCTTGTTACTGTTGTAACGTCTACTTGATTGAAGGGTACTATTGCTAGCCGAAGTGTGGGAGGGAGCTTTTGATTTCACATCTTCCTCTTTTGGAATGTCTTCCTCTTCTTCTAATTGCATGTAATCATCATCACCTCCATTCTGAGCCTCAATTTGAAGCAAGACGTGAGCAGGAATGAAACTCTTGTACATTTCTTGTAGACGTTGAAGTTCAACAATTTTATGCCATAGAGATGCAATGGAACGAGAGAAAATCATTGCAATGATGATTGAGACTGATGTTACAAAAACTGCACTCACGATATATGCAACCATAACCCCAACTGCTCGATCAAAAAGCTTTGATGCATAACTTAATGATAAGTCACTAATGTAAATCTCAACAAGTCTCATGTCATTAATGTGTTGAGTTATGTTTGTATGCCAATCCAGTCCAGAATAAAATGTGAGATTGCTATAGTTTGAAACAATGTAAGCCTCTATTTTTACGACATTTTGACGGGTCTTGGTGTTTAGAACAGTGTTGTTGAAAACATCCCAAATTGAGAAAACGTCTTTCAACTGCAGATAGTGTTGCAGAAGTGATGCTTTTGCTTGAGCTTGAACAAAGAGAAGGAAATTATCAAATGACATCGAGTGAGAGGCTAAGGCTGCATTTCCAATTGCTCGTCGTTGTCCTGTCCAATATTCCAAGTAATCAATGTTGTAACGAAACAATTACGCATGATAGGTGTCATTCAGAAAGTCAGTCACAATATCTTTAACATCACTTACCAGTATATTCTTTCATCGCTGTCAATGCGTTGTAAGCTGATTGAATAGTCATAAATGTTGACTCTGAGCTCAAGCTAGAAACAAGCATGACTGTGTCAATCATTTTGACATTCCAATTCGAGAAGAAATTAAGGGCTTCAATCGTTTGAGCGAACTGTAACTTCAACACTCGATCTCTCAAAGTAGGAAATGTGTTAATGAATACATCTACCAAGTCAAAGCTCTTCAGTACTTGTCCAAATAAGGGAGATGACGTCTTGAGCTCATCAATCAGTTTGTAACGTTGTGTCATGAAAGCATTCAGTGCCTTATCTGTTTCATTTCGTCTGTCCATAAGTAGGTTGTAGTGATCGGTTCCATTCGATCCCAAATACAACGCAGAAGCACCTCTCTCAAGCTGACTACAATGTACCAAGTTGGATAACAATGTAGTCATGGTGGAAATTTTAGTAATGACCACGGATGATTGCAACTCTGTCACCGAGTTATACACCAAAATACATGCAAATGCAATGAGAGAGAGAAAAGCAAAGATGACAATTAAAAACAATTTCAGAGAGAGTGGAAGCTTTTCAAGTCTTTCAAAAATAGGATTCGTTTTGTTCTTTGCTTTTCGTTTCGGTTGCCCTTTGAGAGGTGCTCTCGTTGCTGAGGTAGTATCTGGATGAATTTTGATAGTCTTTGCCATGAGTTTTTTTGTTTGAATTGGAGATTCAGAGATGAAGACACAACCACACTGTCATATTACTAGACAACTACTTGTGAGAGTTCATCACACCAACAAGCTCTCTGTCAATTTCACCTCAGATATCTCCTCGATCAATTTGGAGAAATGTATTAACTTTGGCAGTAGAGATGATTCAAAGGTGAACTGAAAGCTACACTCGTTGAAATACAATGTATCTCCTGATGCAGGAAAGTGAGTCTCTCTCAATGTCGAGAGAGACTATCACTGCAAATCAAGAAGTGAATCCCATCGTAAATGGATACGGTTGTTTTCCATGATACATCCATCACAATCTGATACGCATCACAAGTTGTTCCGATGGCTCATGAATTCTCTAAATAATTATTGAATCAATCTTACTCTACTTTACAGTATCCATTGTTTGGGTGGAATATTATAGAAAATTTGGCTTTGAATTTAAACAAAACTTGAGGCGCAATTGATTGTACTAGCGTTCGTGCCCAAAATACCGAAAAGTTGATAGAGCGCACGTGATTATGACGCTTGATTTTTATTGAATTTTCATTTTAAAAAAAAAATTTTAACAAAAAAATTAACGGATTCTCTTCATTTTCAACTCGCGGAACAGAACAACGTCCTATGGATCCAGCAATCATCATGACAAACACACCCGAGGAAGCACTAACAAGCAACGGTCGTACAGCAACGGTCGAGCCACAACGACCACAATTCACACAAGCAAGTGAAGAAAAAGCATTCAATGAAATTTTGGAGCTCGTTGAGAAGGACCGACCAAAACTGACTCGCTATCAAGAGTATTATGTTTTTGGAGCAGAACCAAATTATCATTGTTTAATACGATATCTTAGGGCTCGTGATTTTGATGTGAAAAAATCATATGACCTTTTGAAGAGTACTCTCGAATGGCTTGAAGACTTTAAGCCATATTTGATAACAGCTTCCAAGATGACAAAGGAAGCAGCTACTGGAAAAATATTTTGTCGTGGATTTGATAAATTTAATCGGCCAGTGGTTTACATGAGTCCTGGAAAAGAGAATACCTATGATGGAGAGGGTAATATTCAACTCTTGGTGTACTCGTTGTTTACCGCTGTAGCAAGAATGCCTCCTGGTGTGTCACAAATGACTTGGATATGCAATTTTGAAGGATATACAATGAAGGTAGGTTGTTGTGCATTGATTTTGTTTGATTATTATAACCGCCGTGATTGTGTTTTTATAATTACCTCATATCGCTCTTCCATATTTCATTCTACTGACCTTTTCCATTTAAATGCATTAATACAATTATTTGACACCATTGGTTACAATTTCACAACTACAAATTATACTTTTTTGAAATTGAAAGAATGCACCATCTCTCAGCGTCTGTAAACAAACAGTTTCAATTCTAAGTAGTCATTTCCCAGAACGATTAGGTGTTGCTCTAATTGTAAATCCTCCCAAGGTGTTTTCATGGTTTTGGAAATTAATTAGTCCATTCATTCCACCCGTGACAAAAGAAAAAATCAAATTTTGCAACTCCTCCAAGAAGGAAGACATGATTGAATTCTTTTCCCCATATTTCACACTAGACATGCTTCCAAAGGATTTTAACGGAAATCTTGATAATACTTTCACTGAGGCAGTGTGGGAAGAGGAAAAGAAAATTGATGATACCAGACTTGAACGAATTGCTCACATTGTCGACGTTTCTGAACTTTACAATAATCCAAAGAAATAATACATCTCCATAATTATTCAGAAATCTTTTGATCTTGCTCATGATATTAATTTATTGACCATTCATTGGTTGCACGCTCCAAATTCAGATTAAAAAAATGTCTTCACACACCACCGTTGATTTATTCTCAGTTCCTCGAGTGGGAGTTTCCACATTCATCATCCGAAAAGTCAACGGAGTGGATTGTGTCTTGGTTGGAAAAAGAAAAGGATCCCATGGTGCAGGATGTTACCAGCTCCCAGGTGGACACTTGGACTATGGAGAATCATGGGAAGAGTGTTGTGCCCGAGAGGTCAAAGAAGGTTGGTCATTGATGTCCATAATTTTTGATCAATATAATCATGTGCATTTCAAATTATGACGACAATATTAATTTATTTCAATTATTAATGAATGATTGAATTCTTTCAAATTTTATTATTCGGATTCGGACAAAATTATTGAAAATTAATGATCCTTTCATGAACACAATCCCTCATAGAAACCAATCTCGATATTTCCGATATTTCCTTCATCACTTGTACCAATGATTTATTCGTGAAAGAACAACGTCATTATGTTACCATCTTTTTACGCTCCTTCACATCCAACAATGAACAACAAGCAGAATTATTAGAACCACACAAATGTGAAGGATGGCAATGGATTCCAATTGAACAATTGAAACATCTCGATAATTTATTCCTTCCACTTGAGAACTTTCTCAAAACAAACTCTCCATCGAAAATTCTTCCTTGAAACACACCAACATTGAAGATTAAAATCAACAATTTTATTGCAAAGAACAAACAAACTTGAGTACTCTTACAATCTCTTCATTCCATTCATGAACGTTGCATTTTCAAAATAGCAACCTCTGCATTTTGTAACTTGAAGTCAACTCAATTTCAAAGGCCTTAACTGTGCGAGGTCAGTACCGACCAATCTTTAAATTCATTGCAAGCGTGCAACATTCTTTTGAAATTCGAAACAAAAAAAATACACAACACTCCTCTTACATTTTTTGTGTAAATATTTACATCATCATCAACAAAATTTTTCATCATCAACAACAACAAGATGGGTAAAGAGAAGGAACATATTAACGTTGTCGTCATTGGTCACGTCGACTCTGGTAAATCCACCACCACTGGACACTTGATCTACAAGTGCGGTGGTATAGATAAGAGAACCATTGAAAAGTTCGAAAAGGAAGCTCAAGAAATGGGTAAGGGTTCCTTCAAGTACGCTTGGGTTTTGGATAAGTTGAAGGCCGAAAGAGAAAGAGGTATTACCATTGATATTGCCTTGTGGAAATTCGAATCCAAGAACTTTGTCTTTACCATTATTGATGCTCCAGGACACAGAGATTTCATCAAGAACATGATTACTGGTACTTCTCAAGCTGACGTTGCCATCTTGGTCATTGACTCTACTACTGGTGGTTTCGAAGCTGGTATCTCCAAGGACGGTCAAACCAGAGAACATGCCTTGTTGGCCAAGACTTTGGGTATTCAACAATTGATTGTCTGTATGAACAAGTTCGATGATAAGACTGTCAATTACAATCAAGCCAGATACGATGAAATCAAGAAGGAAGTTGCTGACTACTTGAAGAAGTTGGGTTACAAGGTTGATGATATTCCATTCGTCCCAATCTCTGGTTGGACTGGTGATAACATGATTGAAAAGTCTGACAAGATGCCATGGTACAAGGGAAAGTGTTTGTTGGACACTTTGGATGACTTGAAGCCACCAGTCAGACCAGTTGATAAGCCACTCAGATTGCCACTCCAAGACGTTTACAAGATTGGTGGTATTGGTACTGTCCCAGTCGGTAGAGTTGAAACTGGAGTCTTGAGACCAGGTATGGTTGTTCACTTTGCTCCAGGTCAAGCTCCAGATTCTGAAGTCAAATCCGTTGAAATGCACCACCAATCTGTCCCAGAAGCTAAGCCAGGTGACAATGTTGGTTTCAACGTTAAGGGTTTGTCCACTACTGATATCAAGAGAGGTTATGTTGCTTCTGATACCAAGAACGATCCTGCAAAGGAAACTGCCTCATTCGAAGCTCAAGTTATCATCATGAACCACCCTGGTGAAATCAGAAACGGATATACTCCAGTTTTGGATTGTCACACTTCTCACATTGCTTGTAAATTCGAAAAGTTGTTGGCTTTGATCGACAAGAGAACCAACGCAACTGTTGAAGAGAACCCAGAAAAGATCAAGAGAGGTGAATCTGCTATGGTCAAGTGTGTCCCAACCAAGCCAATGTGTGTTGAAGCTTACACTGATTATCCACCTTTGGGAAGATTCGCTGTCAGAGACATGAGACAAACTGTTGCTGTCGGTATCATCAAGAAGGTTGAGAAGAAGGAAATTGCTACTAAGAAGTAATTTTTATTTTCAATTTTTATGAATGCTCAGATCGGACAGCACAATGCTGAGCCTTAATTGCTTGTGGTTGCTTTTTATGAGTGTGGAAGGATATTTGTGGGGACGAAGGATGTGTGTGTTGCTGGATGCATTATTTGACTTATTTCTATTACGTGGAAGAGGTGAATTGATGCGATGAAAATTTATTTTGAATCTATTTGTGACACACATAAGAATTTGACTCACAATTTCCACATTTTTGAAGCTACAACAGGTGATTAATTTTACATGAAGGATTATTCTTATTTTGTGTATGTTTTGCAATAAACGTCGAAAGGAGATCTTGTAGTGTAATGGTTTTTCTAATTCATTCATTCGACAGGTTGGCAACAATCCTCTTGATAAGTTGTTGCAGAAGTGGAACTATGTTACACTTTAAAGATTGCAAAACCATTCTCATGCAATCATGTAGTGACAGCTCGTGACTTCATAATGGAACAGAGGGACAATGTTTACCTAATTCTGGATGGTCTTATAAGGAATTCATGATACTATTTTATTGTGTGGATATGAATGGACGAGAGAGAAGAATTGATGAGGAATTAGATCAAGTGGTTTGAGAAGAAAATGTGAGTGATGGCAATCATATGGAGAGGAGAATCTAATATTCTCTTCACAAAATTCAAAAAATTTACAAAATCATGCATTTACCATCCTTCTTCTTAGTATTCTTATTATCATTCTTGAATCTCTCAGGATGCAACACTGCAGTAATAGCCAAATTGAAACATTCCTTCAAACCAACTTGTGTCTTGGCAGAACATTCACAGTAAGCAATACAATTCACTTCTTTTGCCAATTGCTCTCCCATTTCTTTTGTTATTGGATGAAGTCCTTGTTCTTTCAATTTCTTCAGTGTGGCATCATGTTCTCTCATGTCAACTTTCAAACCACACAAAATTACTGGAACAGATGGACAATGTTTACGTAATTCTGGCATCCAACGATCCTTAATATTGGTGAAGGAAGAAGGTTGAACCACTGAGAAGCAAGCAATGAAAATTTCAGTACTGTTTCGTCCAATAATGATGTTTGGTAAAAATTCAAAAGTTTCATAAAATTGTACAAGGTAGCACAATAATGTGATGACTTTAGACATAACGATTGAGAAATAAAAATACATACTCTGGATAGGAGAGAGGTCGCAAACGACTGCGAGGCGAGGCGAGGCAAATATCAGTACCAAGATTGTTATAATTCAATAGGATCATTTTTCATATCAAAATTTTCATGATACAAGTGGTTGGATTAAGTTCATCATCATCATCATCTCAATATATATAACAATAAAATTCATCAAATTGAATGATACATACTCGTAACTGAATGGTGAGAAGTCAATATATAATGGAACGCGTGATAGTCAATATACTTACTCTTCTTGTCCAGCTGTATCCCACAAACCTAATGAGACTGTATGATTTTCGTACATGACATTGGCACAATAGTTATCAAAGACAGTTGGCACATATTCTATATATGGAAAGTTGAAGTATTGTTGTTAGTGGTCGTGATGATTAGGAGTGATTTCAAGAGTGTTAAAACGATGGTATTATTGATGCAAGTATCATCAATGGCAAGGTCCATACATCATCAAAAAACATCAAATGTCAACATTGAATTTACGTCCATCATCATGGTCATCATTGAATCCCATCGATATATTGAAAGATAGAGACGAGCGACCGACCATCATCAGAAAGCACGATTCGTTCCAGTTCGTCGTAACACCAACAACAAATATATTTAAAAATTTAAACTCACACCAAATAATATATTACACATACCTGTTGGGAAAGAATCTGTACTATAACTAATCAACATGGAGGTCTTACCAACGGCTCCATCTCCCACGACGACACATTTAATATTAGTATCCATAGTATTTGATTGTTTTTTTAATAAAAATTCCTAAAAATTGTTGTTGTTGTTGTTGACAAAAATTTTGTGTGTTAACCGAAGGTTGAGCTTGTGGTTGTCGAAGAGACTCTTTGAAGAGAGAGATGAAAGGTTCGAAGTAGAAGGGAAACAACAATCGCGTGGCTGTTGGTTGGATTAAAATTTTTTTGCGTTGATGATTTTGGATAAAACGTAACTGAGAACTCTCTGATTGACATCTGAAGGGTGAACAGCGAACATTGGATTCTGTTTGGTTTTGAGCACTTTGAGGGACAGTCAATAGAAATGCAAATGAGCAATTTAAGGTAAATCAAGTGAAGCTCTTTTAATCGATTTTGAGAGGAGGAGCTAAAAAGTTGTCATGGTTGAAAATGTAAAATGTTTAATTTCAATGAAAAGCTGTGGTTAAGAGCTCTTTAATAATAATTTGATTCCATGTGTTGATTATTGTAATCTCTCACAGCAACCAATTTAAATTGTTAAAAAATTTTTACTTCACATCTCACTTGTATTGACCTTATCTCACCATAATTATCTCATCATCAAATGGCTCTCCATCATCTAAGAGTTTTTATATGTACCATAGCTACACTCCTATTGCTACTGAGCGTGAGCATAATTGCTAGTGCATCATCATCAAGGTTGAACTCGGATCCGATATTGAAAGTTTGTAAATCTGAAATTCCCAATCAAATTACGAGTATGATTGAAAACTTTCCGGCTACTTTTGCAATTCGGGTGGTAATGAATCAAAGCATGGAATTATTTAGCTACAATTCTGATCCGTTTTTTCAGCCAGCTTCCAATAACAAATTATTGACCACTATTGCAGCTCTGAATCAATTAGGAAGCAAATTTAGATTTCAGACCAACTTTTATTATGACTACAAACAAAAGAGTGTGGTGGTACGGCCAATGGGAGACCCCACTCTCACCTTTGAAAAATTACAGTTTGGCTTGAAGAGCGTATTTCTGCAATTGAATTCGGAAAGTGTAGAGCAAGTCATTGTGGATAATAGCTTTTTTAATCCAATTCCATTTACCAATGAGGGAGACGATAATTTTCCTTCAAGTTGGGAATGGGGAAATATGCAATACACATTTAGTGCTCTACCAAGCTCGTGCTCTTTGGAACATAATATTATTAACTTTAATGTGAAAGCTGGTACAAAGGTCGGAGATTATTTGATTGCCACTATTGACGATAAGACTTTTGAATTTGCAACTCCAATGATTCAATTTGATACTACGTACACGAGAACCATGAACTGTAGCGGTGGAAATAGTAATAATAAGCAACAAGAGACTGTGAATGCATTTTACAGGCCTTTGGATAGAAAAGTGATTGTGCGAGGCCAACTTTGTACGTCGAGCATTTCACCACAAAGTTTGACCATCTTGGACCCTGTCGAATTTTTCATGCAAGCTGTGCAATTTATAACGAACAAACCTGTGACTCTGATGTATCTCAGTGATGAACAGCGTTCCAACATGTTTGCATTCACCAAAGACACCATCTATTCGGATAATATTTTACACATCATGAACACAACGCTTCAAGAGAGTGACAATACGTATGCTGAACTCTTTTTGAGACAAATTGGAGCACTCATTAAGCCCAGTGACAACACCTTGATTCCATTTCCATCCATCACACAACGAGGCATTCAAATGGTTAAGAATATTCTTACCAACACACCATACAATCTCTCACCCAATACATTTTTCCAAGACGATGGAAGTGGTCTCTCTCGTCATAATCTCGTTTCTGCGAGAAGTTTAGTGGATGCACTTATTGGTGTCTATTATAAGGGAGCGGGTGGTGTAGGTGGAGAGGTTTACAAGTCGTTACTTCCTCTAGGTGGTGTTTCTGGGACATTGAAAAATCGTTTCAAAAACTTTCCAGGACTTGTTTCTGCAAAAACTGGATCATTGGACGGTGTGAGCTCATTGAGTGGCTACATTCGAAATGAGAGATTTAGAGATCCCATTATTTTCTCAATTATTGTGAATCAATGTCCATTGAGTGCCTCACAAATGCATCAAGTGATTGACTCGATTGTGATACTGTATGCATTTATGAATCCAGATTGTTAGAAATAATGTACATGTTATACATGGTTTTCTATTGAGAATTTTTATGATCGCAAATCACGTAGCATCCATGGAACCATTGGTTTTCATCCATTGAAGCCGACCACTTTGAATTTTCTCACATTCACACTATAGTTTACCACTTTCTCAGATTCACACTCACTTCAGATGTGAATTGAGTTGGGCGTATACAAGTTTAACTTAGGCAAGAAACTAAAGATTTTGATTGTGTTTGAAGAATGGTTTGCATGACTTTTGGAGAAGAAACGTGTGATTGCTGGCGCGAGGAAGATTTGAGCGAAGCTGCCAACCTTTCCTTTAACACTTTGTCTTCGAGACATAAGCAAAATATTGGAAGAACAATTTGTCTTGTCTGACCTATGGACACGGCATGGTCATTGTATTCTTCATTACGGTCATCACCAACCAATAACATGCAGTGACTTTCATGCACAAATCCTTCACAAGTTGTAAAAACGTTAGAGTCATGATCATCCTCAAACATGACACTCTTCTCTGCAATCTCCACGACACATTCGTCATCATTAATTTCACACACAACACCAGTTTGTCCATGCCAAGTTGCATCGACCATATTCAATATAGACAAGTCTTCATCGACATTGACCAATACCACGTCCTCTTTCTTCAACAGAGAATGTGTGGCAGAGTGTGAAATGAATCTCTTTACCGACATGTCTTGTCTTGGATGAGCATGTCGACGAGGAAGGGATTTGCATTCAGAACGTGCTGACATGAATGGATTTACAACACCACTGGTGTTGTGTTCTTTTAAATTTATGGCAACGTCTTTGTCTCGTCTTGATGGATTCATGATGGACGACTCGTAGTTATGTTGTTTGTTGTTACGTCGTTCGAGTGCCATCTGCGGAGGATGATTCTTTTCCATCATGTAAGGCAATGGAATTTGACATTCCATAATATTGGTATTTCGATAAGCTTGTTCTTTGTGTAAGGATCTATAATTGTTGAAATTTGTACATGAAGTTGGTTTCTTCAATGGCATCTTGTCAATTGTATTCGTTGTTCCTTGTTGTTTCAAGAATGAAGATTTGGACGATGTCATGAGATTGTATGTTCTCGTTGTATTTGTCGTAGTAGTGGTGGATCGAGAAGAACCTTGACCAGTAGTGGTTGTAGTAGCAGCGTTCGAGGTTGTAACAGGAGACATTCTTGACACTCGTTTAATGAACATTTTTGTTGTTCGTGTTGATGGATTGATGCTTTAAGATTTTACACCGTCAAACTCTCACTTGAATACGTTGGTACTCTGTTGTTTTTTTTCAATGATGATTCATTGATGGATCATTCAGTGAATATTCAAACATTCATGTGAAGGACATTTTTATGCATCCCTCGAAACGAATTTGCAATGTATGGGCTTTAGTTTTATCCAAATCAAAAGCATGGATGAAATAGTGTCCCAACTTTGGAGTCCTTTCGAGGAGAATGAGCATTTGCGATGCCGTTTTCAAAAATGGTAATATTTGAAGTGAAGTCATTTATGGAATTTTGAATGACAAACTTCAACGAAAAATAAGGAAAAACGAAATGGTGGACAATGAGAAGTCATTAAGCACAATTGGAAAAAGAACTTTCATGAGATGTACTATTCCTAAAAGTCGTAAAATCCAAAAAGTTCGTGTCGTTGTTGACAAGAAAATACTGGCATGGTTCAAAACATACATTTTCACATTCATAAACCTGTCTAGATTCTATCTATTAAGCAAATCACTCGACACCCCGAACAACCACTTTGTAAACTCCATTCCCGAGTCAACTCCGTTCCGACACAAAAAAAAATGAAACATCCTTCTTTACTGCTCTGTCTTTCATTCATTTTCATTCTATGCCCTTCACTCATTCAAGCTTCAATCTCGTCCCCTTCCGTAGTAACTGTCTACAGTCGGGAACACTTTGTTTTCGGAGTGGATGATTTACAGAGAGGAATTGCCGTTGCCAAACTCTCGGATCAAGTTCAAAGCAATGGTTGGACCCAACTCGATATTCGTACCAATTCTGCTCATTCCGATGAAATACAGACCTTTGCTGCTGGTATGGCAGAAGGCTTGATCTCTCATTATCAAACTTGGCAGTTGTACCAAAATCAAGTCTATGATTGGAATTTTACGGAACTGGCAACTCAATCTTCAAAACCAACTTGGTGTAGAAATGACAATTCATCATTGTTATGTAATTACGCATATCCAGAACGAATTGTTGAGTTTTTGAAACGAAATTTGGAATGGATGAGAGAAAATGCTCGCCGAAAGAAATTTGAGTTTAAATTTTGGTATCATGTGGATTTGTTATTGGCACAATTTGATGGCTTGGTTCATGGCTTTATGCGTATGCAAGAGTTGGATGGAAGAATTACTGAAAATAAGAGAATGGATTGGTTTGATTTGTACGTGTTGCAATCGGCTGGAGATATGTATACCTTGGTCGATGCATTTGGCAGCTCACAAGTTCATTCGAGAGCTCGAGCAGAAGCGTTTAATATGGGAATTCCTTTAGAAGTTTTTCAATCAAGTGCTTTCAATAGAAAATATAAGGAAGACGCTCCATTTACTGAGTGTAGTGCTCTCATTAAGGTCACTTCTACCTCTCCACAAAAGCAATGCGATGATTTATTTGTTGGACATACCACATGGAGAAGATTTAACATTATTAACAAATTTTTCAAGAGTGTCACCATGTCACTCAAGTTTGCAGCAGCAAAAACTGTGACCTTGAGCTCGAGTGCAAGTTTTTTCTCAAGTAAGGAAGACTATTATGCCATGGATTCGGGAATTGTTGCCTTGGAAACTTCTCTGAGTACTTACAATTCAACCTTATTCAAATTGATCAAACCAGAGTCATTGTTGTGTTGGGTGAGAAGTGTGGTAGCTTCTCGATTGGCATACACCGCAAAGGAATGGGTAGACTTGTTTTCCTTGCACAGTAGTGGTACCTAGTAAGTAGTATTATTATAGGGTCTTGAATTTGTTAGATAATTTATGTCCTGTGTCCCTCTTTTCAATTTCTGATGCCTCAATTTTGAATTATTGAATTTACAATGATATCATTCTACCAAGTAACAACCAATGGATGGCTTTGGACATGAAAAAGTTTACTCCTGGAAATTGTCAATTGCAACCAGATACTTTATGGATCATTGAGGAAATTCCAGGAGGTGCCAATGAAAAAGCCGACGTGAGCTCTGTTGTCAACTCACAAGGAGGGTATTGGCCTTCTTACAACATTCCATATTTTCCAAGTATTTATAATGTTTTAGGTTATAACGAAGGTTAGTAGCAAGAGTCATAGTTCACTGATTTAAAATCGAGTTGCATGATAAATGGTTAGCAAAGAAAAAGTTTGGCAATGACATGGATTATCATTTGTGTCCTCGTGCCAAGATCTTTGCAAGAGAACAAGGAAAGATAACAAGTGACTGGAAATCGTTTGGAGCCATGCTACAGTTCAATGAATGGCAAACCGATCCTTTCAGTGAAGGAGATCCTGGAAAATCCATTGCTGCTCGTTACGATTTGAGAACACCACAGAGCGGATTGAAACCATCTGCATTTGGGGGTGCTGATTCCAAGCTTACAAGTTTTTCAAATGTGATTAACCATCCAAAACCTGTCACGTTTGGTATTGCTGGCCCAACACACCAAAATCAACCTGCATTTACATGGAAAGATCCAAGATGGAGCTCAATTCCTCACTTGGGCCAACCAGAGACCTATAATTTTGGTTGGGTTAAATTGAGTTCAAAAGATGATTTTGCTCGAAAATAAAAGTGCCCATCTTCGAAGATGATTATTCATCCAGGTCCAGTCCAGCGAATCGAAACATGACTGAAAAGACATCGCTTGCATCAATATTGTCAAAATTTTGATCAGGATTTTCCAATTTCATCTTCTCTAAATGATACTCTGCAAGAGCTTGCTTTCTCAAAATTTCTGTCTCAATCAAGCCACCTACATCTTGCCTTCGTTTAGCATTCTCACTCAACTTGGTAACAAACTCAATCTTGGCATTTTTAACATTGCTTAATAGCTCTAAAGAAAGTGGCCCAGAGTTTTTGATGCGTTGCTCTTCGACCAAACCTTCAAATAAGAGTTCCAACATCTCCATGCCTGTTAAGAGTTGAGACAGACTTTCTTTGTTTGTTCGAAATTTTTCCAAAATCTTTTTCACATCCAAAGGAGTATTCTCGGAAGAAATGGATGTGTTATATACTGGATATTCCTCTTTTTCTTGCTCTAACGATGCAACATTGGAGTGTGCATCTTGTAAAAGCAGCGAGGGTTGTATCATTTCACTGTGTGAAATGTCGCTAGTCAATGAGAGAAAATTCGAAGCAACCATTTCACTATTTGTTTGTTGTTGCAAATAAGTCAAAGCTTCAATGGCTTTGATTAATTGTGAGTTCTCTTGTTGGATCAGTCTATATTTGTTTGAAAGTAATTTCAATGCACGCAAATCATCATTCATGTTGTCACATGAGGAAAGTTGTGAAAAATACTCAACTCTCAGTGAACATGCCATAATCACAGCCTTTGTGGCACAACAAGGTAAAAAGTTAAACAATTCATGTTTCGTCAGTTCAATCACTTCTCTGGAAACTCTCAAAATGGCTTTCACATTTTTCTTTTCACAATTCGTTAAAATTTCCAAATGAACTTGCTTTGCAACCAGAGAAGAGAATAAAAATATTAACGAGTTCTTTTTACGAGCTGCCGTCATGATCAGATCTGTCATTGCAACAAATATCTCATGAATGGTCATTAATTGATGATACGTCTCATTTGAAAGACATCGACATGTTGTTGCATTCAATTTATATCTTTTCAGCTTGAACATGGATGCCATCTCAAATTCATCAAAGATAAATGTTTCTGGATTCAATTCCTCAATAAAATACAACTCATGAAATTTTGTTTGAGATTCTAAGAGGAAAGCAGAAAGATATTGACTGTTAATATTTGGTAATGTCATTGTGCTTCTATGACCATTCGTGGGCGAGAATGAATTGCAACAGAGACGATAACATTCTTTGATATATGGTTCCAATTTGGCCCTCACAGTCATGTACATGGCTCGAGATTTCGTTTTCTCTCCATTTCCTAACATGTAATCAGCCATAAAATTCATGGCAACCAATACACTAATTGAATCCACTTCATCATAATATTTTCCAATGATTCGTTTCCCATTCATAAATAATTGATCTGATACCTCTCGAAGAATTCCCATTTGTTGCAAACACACTGCTTGCATTGTTTGTAAAACAGCAACCTCTTTTTCCAACTCACAGGACACTTGATATGGTTGTGTTTGAAACCAAAATTGTTCATTGAGCTGGAAATCCAATGCTTTCTCTAATTTGTTTCGGTCGTATACAGGATATCCCAATGCAATAATATTGTAATAAATATCCAATGCTTGAGCTACAGAAAATCTATAATTCATTTGATGCTGTACAAAAACTTCATTTGGAGAAACGATTGCTGTGTTTGTTGTTGCTGAACAATTTGATGCATTGTTTCCATGGTGGTGTTGGTGATTTTCATAATTATTTGTGGTTGTAGGGTTCAACAATTGATTTAAATAATCAATATTAGTATTTCCTTGATTGTTGGAAGTTGAGCGTGATGGTTTATAGGGATGATAGCCTTTTTTTGCTGTTGAATTTCCTTGTTTTGATGAAGTGATCTTTTGAGAGTATTCATCATTAATAAAAACAATTTCATCAATAGCAGATGCAGATTGATTGGAATTTGGAGCCTTTCTTCTTCCCGATGATGATGGCTCATAAATACATTTATATCCTCTCTTGATACAATATTGACATGATGGTAATGTTTTTGAACATTTCCGATGTAACTGTCTGCAAGACATGCAACTATGAGGACTCAATATTGATTGTGTTGCAACGGTTGGGTGTGATTCCAATGTGGACATTTTTTTCTGATAAAGTCCTTCGAGTGAGTCAAACACAATTCTCACACTATTCGTCAACACTTAGTTCCTCGAATCGAAACACCATGGAAATATCGGTCGCGTCCATATTGTCAAAATTTTGATAAGGTTTTTCCAATTTCATCTTCTCGAAATAATATTCTGCTGTTGCTTGTTTTCTCAACATTTCAGTCTCGATCAAGCCACAAACATCATTCCTTTGTTTGGCATTCTCAATCAACTTTGTAATAAAATCAAGTTTGGTATTTCTTGCTTCATTCAATAGCTCTAAAGAAAGTGGCCCAGAGTTTTTGATGCGTTGCTCTTCGACCAAGCCTTCAAATAAGAGTTCCAACATTTCCACACCAATTAAGTATTGTGAAAGTGTATCTTTGTTTGCTCGAAAATTATTCAAAACTTTTTCCATATCTAATGCAGTGTTCTCGGGAGAAATGGTTGTATTATAAATTGGAACTTCATCTTCAAATGATTCAGTATAGGAATTACCATGTGAAAATATTGAGTGAGAATGTTGGTGTATCATTTCAATGTGTGAAACATCATTGTTCAATGAGAGAAAACTCGAGGCAACCATTTCGCTATGGGTGGCTTGTTGTGGCAAATAAGTCAAAGCTTCAATGGCTTTGATTAATTGTGAGTTCTCTTGTTGGATCAGTCTATATTTGTTTGAAAGTAATTTCAATGCACGCAAATCATCATTCATGTTGTCACATGAGGAAAGTTGTGAAAAATACTCAACTCTCAGTGAACATGCCATAATCACAGCCTTTGTGGCACAACAAGGTAAAAAGTTAAACAATTCATGTTTCGTCAGTTCAATCACTTCTCTGGAAACTCTCAAAATGGCTTTCACATTTTTCTTTTCACAATTCGTTAAAATTTCCAAATGAACTTGCTTTGCAATCATTGAAGCAAACAAAAACATCAAAGAGTGTTTTTTACGAGCTACTGTCATGATCAGATCTGCCATTGAAACAAATATCTCATGAATGGTCATTAATTGATGGTACATCTCATTTGAAAGACATCGACATGATGTCTCGTTGAGCTTGGATCGTTTTAAACGGAACATAGATGCCATCTCAAATTCATCAAAAATAAATGTCTCTGGATGCAACTCCTCAATGAAATAAAATTCATGAAATTTTGTTTGAGAGTCTAGGAGGAATGCAGAAAAGTATTGAACGGTAATATTTGGTAATTTCGTTGGAGATCCATGTTCATGAATGTTCGCTGAAGCCAATGTATCAGCAAAAAGACGATAACATTCTTTGATATATGGTTCCAACTTGGCCCTCACAGTCATGTACATGGCTCGAGATTTCGTTTTCTCTCCATTTCCTAACATGTAATCAGCCATAAAATTCATGGCAACCAATACACTTATTGAATCCACTTCATCAAAATATTTTCCAATGATTCGTTTCCCATTCATAAATAATTGATCTGAAACTTCTCGAAGAATTCCCATTTGTTGCAAACACACTGCTTGCATTGTTTGTAAAACAGCAACCTCTTTTTCCAACTCACAGGACACTTGATATGGTTGTGTTTGAAACCACAATTGCTCATTGAGCTGGAAATCCAATGCTTTCTCTAATTTGCTTCGATCATACACTGGATATCCCAATGCAGTAATATGGTAATAAACGTCCAACGCCTGGGTTGCTGAAAATCTATAATTCATTTGATGTTGTAATAGCATTTCATTAGAAGAGATGACTGCTGTTATTGATTCTGTACAACTCGTTCCATCGTGGTTAGTTGCTGGTGTCTTATTTACATGATTATTGGAATTTCTTTGTTTGTTAGAAGTTAAGTGCGGTTGTTGATAGGGGTGATAGCCTCGATGATGAATTACAGTTGAATTTCCTTGTTTTGATGAAATGATCTTTTGAGAATATTCATCATTAATAAAAACAATTTCATCAATAGCAGATGCAGATTGATTGGAATTTGGAGCCTTTCTTCTTCCCGATGATGATGGCTCATAAATACATTTATATCCTCTCTTGATACAATATTGACATGATGGTAATGTTTTTGAACATTTCCGATGTAATTGTCTGCAAGACAAACAACTATGAGGACTCAACGTTGATTGTGTTGCAACGGAAGAAGACGCAACACCAGAGTGTGTTTCAACTCGAGACATTTTTTGTGATAATATATCAATATCATGATTCTCATAAATTCAGTAATAATTCACAACAATTTAGGGTCATAAAATGCCATTTTGTGCGCCTCCAGAATTTGGAGGTGGAATTTCTCGGTTTTTAAAAATAGTTTTCTCTCTGCCTTTTGGTCTCGGCAACTGAGCAAAGTTGACCGTCGATTTTAATGCAACAAAACACCAACAAACTCGCTTCTTTTTATTTTCATATTGGACGGTCAAAATAGAAGATCATAATCAACAATACCGTCTGAAATACTTTCAGCCATCTCTTCATCTCCGTCATCAAAATTAAACATCTCTTCATCTTCAATTTGGTCTTCGCCATCACTCTGTTCTTCGTTGTCACTTTGCTCTTCTTGAAACAGTTGTTCCTGGTCAAAGTTTAATTCCAAGTTCAGGTCCAATTGTGAAATCTCCAATTCTGTACGAGTAGACTCCAAATTAGTTGTTGTTTCTTCATTACTGTCAACGAGTACACGGTCATTGATAATCATATCTTTGAAACTCATCCATTTCTCTTTTTTTTTACCTGATCGTTCTTCTATTCTTTCAAACGTTGTATCTTCATCAGACCTAAAAGAGAGATATAAAACTCGCAATTTCTTAACAATCAATTGGAAAATACGATACAATTGATTCCATTCACGTGGTTCTGTTTGCTTTGGAATATGTCTTTCATATCTAAAAACTCTATCAAATTCATCGATCGACATTTCTGGCTCTTCATAGTCGATTTTCTCCATCTCTGAGTATACACTATCAATATCTTCAAAAAAGAATTTTTTTTTTCCTTTAGCTGTTGCTCTTTCGGTAATGAAGTGGTCGTGTTGATGAGAACCTTCAACTGCCTCATTGGAAATTGGTACCAACGAACCTATTTCATCAAAAAACTCTTTCACATGGTGAACAATAATATGCATATAATAAGGAAGCTGTCCAACGCTAGATCTAAATTGAGTAAGTTTAACATGCCATTGTGTCAGTTGCAAATAAAATTCACGTTGATCTTGTTCCGTTTTCTTTGCTCGCTCTTCATTCGTCATTTTAAGCCACTGACGAATGGTAATCCAAAGATCCCAAATTTGCATCAATTCAGATGAAATAATGTCTTCAAATATATTCTTGTATTGATGAGAAATAGCCTCAACCATCCCTCCGGTCAACATGAATTTATAATCCTGGTAATCTAATACCGGTTCTTCTTCAGTATCAGAAGTTTGTTTGGCCTGGGAACGAAATGTAAAAGTTGGTGAAAAACATGGCAATTTTTTAACTCTTTCAAGTATTAGAGTTTCATGTTCTCCTGAACCCAAGGACCATTTTACCAAATGCTCCGTAATACGTTCATCAGCATGAAGAATGCAAATATAAATCTTGGATGAATCAATACCAAACTTATGGTTTAAAAATCGAGGTTTTGATGTCCCGTTTAAACTGTTACTCGTTAAGCAACAGCATCTCAAACAAAACATATCGTTTTCTAATAAATCGCTGACAAATGAAAGAGATTTTAAATCGCTAACCCATATTATAGTCACCTTTAGATTAAAATTTTCTTTGCTTAATGAAGAGTCAGCTTTTTTTTTAACGATATCAATTCCCTCTTTTGAAATTTTTTCCACTTCTTCTTTAAAGTCCTCACAGTACTTCAAAATATCTTCTTCATCACCAATATACATCGCTATAGGGAATACATTTCTTCGTTCTTGAGTTCCAAATGTAGTTAAATTTAAAATAGAAAGAGTAACAACTACTGTTTGAAGTCCATCAAATTTTCTTCCATCCATACTCATTTTGACTACAAGAGAATCCGGTAATTCTTCATGGACGGGACATTGTCGTTGTTTTCTCAAATAAACGTTGTGCAAGTGACTTTTTACAGCTGCAATAATAACAGCTTCTATTTTCATAACAAATCCTCTTAATTTATGATCTATCCCAAAATATTCCACCAACGCATTTGTTACCTGACCTTCTATTGCCTTAAGATCAGCTTGAAGTATATCTTTTAACCCTAAAGAAAAGATATGTTCTTTCCAAGCTTTGTTTGAACAACAAAGCTCATCTTTAACTTTCAATTGTTTCGTCAATGAGATTGGTCGTAATGTCATTTGTTTGAACTGTCTATATACATTCTTTTTTCCTTCTGGTATATTTGATGAACTGATGGCTTGTGATAGAGCTATTATTGCTTCTGGGTTTTTTTTGAAATGATGATACAACAAATGAGAAAACTTGATATGGCATAAATTAGAAATTTCACTAAACAGATCAAAAAACTTTGTGTGTTGTCGAGACGCAGCATCAAAACTGTTTGAATTATTTCGTAACGAATTGTGTTGAATGAAAACATCCCGTGTTTCAGAAGCTGCAACTAGATTAACTTTGGAAATGTTAGCTTTCGCAATATCTTCCTTTTCTTTGTCATATTTTTGTATCAAAGTTTTTAAATAGAGATCGATTTCTTGTTCTCTGGCTTTTTTGTTTTGTTTCTTTTTTTTAGTTGTTTCTGAAATTTCATGGTCAGTGGATCGTGATCGTTTTGTCAATACTTTCGGTTTTTTAGAAGATCGTTGTGAGAGAGAGTCTATTTTGTTTTGTTTATCTATTTCTTGTTGTGGTTTCTTGGTGCCAGACGATTTGTGTTGTTGTCTAGTAGTAGTGTCTTGTGAACCATGGAGAACAGAGTTTTGCGAAGGTTGTTGTGTTGTTTGGGATAAAGGTTGTTGGGTTGTTTGGGAATTGTGATGTATTTGTTGTAACTGTTGTTGTGTGAGGTAATTAAAGAAAAGAGGTCGATATCTATCTTCTTTTAGAATTATTTCAACAACAATTTCCATACAGACGTATATCAAATTCTTTGGTCCTTTTATAGTGTCGTCATTTTTAGAGTACTTGGAAACTGTATCGTATTTGATTCTGAGATCTTGGAATCGGTAATATATTTTGTTGTTGGCAGTAATTGTTTCAACGGTTTTGCCTAAAATTAAAGTAAATAAACCATCGGAAGGTCTAACGTATGTGTAGGTTGTACTTGTGTTCATTTTTTAATAACGGAACAATTTTTGAACAAGGATCATATCTTTGTGTTGGATTGTTACTCTTTTGGCATGTATTGCCAATTCATTACTATTCTGCATAATCCTAACAAGAAAATCTTCTGCTGCTTCTTGTAAAGCATTCAAAGCGTTGAGTTGGAATCTTAAATCCTGCTTATAATCCGATGCTATTTGACGAATCAGTCGTCTGAAATTTGTTTTTGGGATAAGATATTCCGTATTTTTTTGAAATTTTCTTATTTCTCGAAGTGCTACTGTACCAGGTTTGTATCTATGTGGCTTTTTAATTCCTCCAGTTGTTGGTTTGCGTGTTGGTGGTTTTTTTTGCTTCCGAGGCTGTTTGATGGCTTGACGTGGTTGTTTTGATGATGTTTCTAGTGATGGTTGTTTTGCTGATGTTTCTGGTGCGGACTGTTGGGTCATTTTTTGTGCGTCCAAACTGAAGTTAGACAAATCTTTAGGTAGACTGATGATACAGCAAAAAAATTCGACGCTCAATAATGGCCCTATATGATCTGAAATTAATTTATTACTTTCATCCTGATGATCCATCAGATGATGATACCTTTTTCGAAAGTTTATATATTCCTAACAGCGAGCTATCCGATATTTTGTTTTCAAATCCTCGATCATTTGTCCATTATCTAAAAAAAAGACAATCGGAAATGATGATTGAACATATAAATTTTACTATCACATTAACACCTTCTCAAATATTGCATCTCCAACCAATTTTTGGTTGGTCAAAGAAAACTAGACACATGACTGCACATAATTTGTATTTATTACTTCTAAATGAAGATGTTTTCAAGCATAGTAGATTCAAAAAACTATTTGCAAATGTTGATGTTACTAAAGTTCAATGTGGTTTATTCAAATATATAATTCCATTACAATTTGAAGGAGAAAGCGATGAATAAATTAAACCAAATCCCATGTACCATTCATTTCGTTATATCTTTCAATTGTCCAATCAAAATCAACAGTAACCATCCATGATTCAGTATTGCAATAGAAGACGAGTTTTGTGAAAAACATTCGATATAGATATTCAAAATCCTTTCTCACATATTGATTAATATTATGATCGAAAATCCAAACTGGATGCTGAACAAGAAATCCTCTTAAAGCATAACTTTTTCCACAATTCAATCCAGGCATATCTTCAAAATTATCGAAGGCAAAACCAATGCATTCAATTCTACGAGTGTGATTTTCAAAATGCAAAACTTGATGCTTGGTGACGTATCTTGCTGAAGAATTACCGAAATATCTAACGAAATACTCAGGATCCAGACAACCGATTTTGATTCCACGTTGATATCTCTTGCTGTAAAAGGGGTCGAGAGCATGACGAAGATAGAATGAGGCTGAATGAGCAAACATTGCCAAACAAGCAGCCATTCTAATACGCTCTCTTCCAACTGGATTTGCTTGAGGCATGATACGATAAACATCTCTGTATGAAGAAGAATTACTGCCATCATAAGCGAACCATTGTGGTGCACGAACATTGATTGTTGGTTTCTTTCTTCTTGCTGTTTTGTTGTTCTTGTTGTTACGGTTGTTTGAGGTTTTAGCCATGATGATGAGATGATAATACGATGATGAAAATTACTATTACTACTATTGAAGTCGTTCAAGAATGAAACGGCGAGAGTTACTAATGATAGTTGTGATGAAAGTGATCACGAAGAAGCAAATACTACTATTACTACCCTACTGATGAGAGGATGTGAAGTTGAGAATTTTCTTTTAAAATGGGCCGGTGGCCCGCAAGCATAAGCAATTTATGCATTTTTTTGATGCGCACAAAATTTTTTCAATAATCTGCGAGAGTGTTTTGGCAATTTGTGAAAGTGGCCATTTTTAAATTGTTGTGCCAGTTGAAACTGTCAGTTGTTTCATGCAATCGTGCTCATGGTTTTCACATCAAATAATAAATACAAAGGAAGTTTATAACCCCATGTTCAATCACAAAAAAATGAACCGATTTCTTCCTTTATCACGCCCGACTCAATCCGCTTCACACAAGAATGAGAAGGAAGCGTTTTGTCAAAAGTGTTTCACTAGTGGGCATTGGACCTATCAGTGCACTGAGAAAAATTCATCAACTCAATATATTAAAAGGCCATCCTATACGCAACGATTGGAAATGATGAGAAAAGGAATTCCTTTTCATGATGATGACAACTTTTTGGATTCGGAATTAAAACCTAAAGTCATTGAAGACGAGGATGCCATATGGACCAATAGTGATAGTGATAGTTATTTAAATCCAAATGGATCAGGCGGTGATTCATCTTCTAGTAGCAGCAGCAGCACGAGTAGTTATAGCAGCGGAAGTGATGCAGCCAAAAAGAAGAAGAAGAAGAGGAAAATTACAAAAAAGAGAAAGAGAAGAGCATCGACAAGTAGCAGCAGCAGTGGTAGCTCATCGGAGTCATCTTCTGAAGAGGAGGAGCCATCAAAAGAACACAAAGTAGAAAATGAAGCCTTACTTGAATACAGAAAGAGATTAAAACAAGAATTAGAACGACAATTGCAACAACATAAGGAAGAAGAGGAATCTGCATCGAAACAATCAACAGCTCAATCTTCTGAAACTAGCAAGCTGAATAAGAATGAAGAATCATCATCAACATCTGGAAGACGTCTCGGATCGTCAACATCCGATTCCTCAAGATTGCAAGGTACCACTGTATGTGCATCTACACTAGGCGCATCCACTGCGAAACGAGGAATTGAGATGGCAGCTGAACGAATGGCTCAAGAACAACGATTTTCTTCACAAAATCGACGTTTTGGAAATAATGACAGAAGGTCCTACGATAAACAGGGATCTACAGATCGATCTGTGAATGAGGATCGTGCAGAATCATCTCAAAGATCAGCTCCACCTCCAAGAACCTATCAGTCCAACAGATACGGAAGAGTCAAAGATGATACCAAATAGTACAGTAGTGAAACGTGACAACAGGAAGACATTTGTTAAAGGTCTCATAAGAAAGATATAATACCTCCTCAACTCGTCTCACAATCAATTTTGGATTTCAGTGTGTGGAAATTGTCAGACCAGCAAAAACAACCAAATCTAGACATTTCAAGTTTGTAAATTTTCCACATTTGGATATTAGTTTTTTTGGGCTAAATTACAAAGTCTCTGGTCTGATCTCGAGGTGGTATTTTCAGTGCACTAAAACAAAAACAATCATAATAACCTTTCAATAATTTCATTACGGAAAATACAACAACTCACACCAAATAGACCAACTCGAACACCTTGTCAATCTCGCTCAACATGTCCATTCTTCTCAAAACACTTTCAAAACCTCGTACAAATTCCTTCTCAAAACTCGTACTCCCTTCTTTACAACAAGTAGTTATTCAAAAGGAGAATACTAGACACTTTTCACAAAACCTGTCTACATTTTATGCTCTCGATTCTGACAATTACAGCGATGTGAATGCGTCTCTCGGAGGAGGAGGTTATTTTGGGGCACAACGTCAACAAGGATACGATGGAAGAGAGCATACCTTTGAAGAACAGTATGCAGCCAAGAAGGATTTTGAACTTTTATTGAAAATGGCTTCTGACTTTAACAAAAAACATCCCTCATTGAGATATAAGGATATTTTCGAAAAAATGAAGGTGAGTAGTGACGTTTAAGGACAATTCTAAATGGATTCTCACTGAAAAGAATTATTATTGTGAACATTGAATGTTGTTGATTATTAACAATAATAAGGAAAAACATGAGGCAGGAGAAGTAGCCGATCTGACACACATCATTCATGACTTGACAACGATGAAACCTGATGCGAATGATGACACTTTGGGAGATACTCATGTCGCCAATGTAGATGTTCAAGCAAAAGGTGTTTCTCAATTCACTGACAAACCATTGGGAGGAGTGTTCGCAGGAAAGTCACCCAAAGTACCCGAAGAGAAAAATCCCAAGGGTGTAACTGTTCCAGCGAAGGAAGAACGTAAGGCCAGTGATGAGAATTACCCTTACGTGGCCGACTTGACTTATGAACTTTAGGAAACATTTCAAAATGATCATAACAACGTAAAATTATAATGTAAATAATTGTTGCATTGGTACAATAAATTAATGACTGAACATGAATTAATCCGGTTTTCTGGTGGTTGCAGACTCTCTTATGAACACAAATTTCTCCACACAAAGATGTTTACGCTTATTTTCTGTGAAGTTGTCACAGATCAAAACTTCTCTTCACAACACCTAATGAATACTATTTTGTAAATACAACGGATTCACCTCTCCTTGCATGATGAGAGACAATAGCGTTTCTTCCGTAGTGTAGGTGTGTTTTTTACGAAGTGTTTCCATGTCACTCTCTGGAGTAATGTATAAAAATTCATAAATCGTATGATTACTGATATAACCATTAACACAATGAGGACATGTATCTGCCTTATTCTTGGAAGGTTCTGGAGGCATGCAAACCACTGGAACTTCTTTTCTTCGATTGACCTTCTCAGTTGTGACCACCCGATACATGGTCAATAATTTCAGTGCTCGATTGTCGGTTTTTCCGTAAATGACCATTCGCTGCTTACAGTGAGGACAAAGTATGGGTACACGTTTGACTCCTAAAATGCATTTAAAAGCTCGAAATTGCGTTTTTAAATCAATATTCATGGATCTCAATCTTTCCAACAAGTCAATCGGTGATGAAGCGTGTCCTGTACTAATTACTTGAACACCACTGAGAGCAATGGAGGTGGCTGTTTCGAAATCTACTTTGTGTCTCAACTCACCAAAATAAATTATATCTGGATCATGTTTGAGTAGGTTGTTGGCTGTCTCGGCCAAGGATCGTTGCTTTCCCTGAATTTCTTGAAACATGTCAATTTGACATACATTAAACAATCCATGAGTCTGTAAATTCACTTCAACAGGATATTCTAAAGAATAAATAGCAAGTGCTTTTTCTGCAGACATTTGACAAAGAATTCCTCTCACAATTGTGGATTTTCCTGTTGAGATGGTTTAAGATCCAATTCAATATTAGCAGAATAGATTATTGGTCCAATAATAGAAGTATGATATATCAATATTTTCCAAAATAACAATTATTCGTGCACAGCACACATACCTGATCCAGTGGGGCCCACAATGCATACATGTCCTCCTTGACCTTTTTTACTTCCAAATACCTTGCTAATATCTGGAGGATCTCCTTTTGGTTGTTCCACTAACTCACTTCTGGGTACGAGTGGTTTTGTACTTGTGTAAACTCTTTCATTTTCTCTCGAAAATAGGGTTGCTTTGACGTCTGTGTCTGGAAAGCCAATTTTCCACTTATTTTGCTTCCGATTCAAATCTTCTGCATTGGAATGACTCATCATTTGATAGGACGATTGAAAGGATTTTGAAAAGCTCTCCGATGATTGTCTATTTTGAGTATTTTTCATGGCATGAAAGAGAGCCTTCACTGGCAAAATTATGTTTTCATCTGATTCATCGTGGAGCGTTTGAGATGGATTAAGATTTTGAAAAGATGATGAACGATGACCCTTCAAATCGGAACTACCATGATCATTATTGGTAAAATCACTAGAATGACCGTTTGGTTTCAATTCATGACTAACTTGTTGATTCGGGCGTAAATTTGATGATGAAAATTGTTTGTTGCTATTTTGATGATGATCATCGGATCGAGTCTTGACGCTCGTTAAAGAATCTTGAACTTTAAACACATTCGGTATTAAATGTCTCAATATTGTTGAAACTCTGGATCGTTTCATATCTTCATTCCAACTCCCTCGCGTTTCTGTTGTATCCGTTTCTTTTTGGCTTTCATGACTCCCAGCCAATCGTTTCATCATTTTTTCATTTTAAATAATAAATTTAAATAATTTTCATTCTCAACAACACCTATTCTCTTCCATTTCCATTTCACCGTCCACCCAATAACGATTCATTAAGATGTTGTTCAAAACAAACGAAAAACTTTCACAACATCCAAAAAAAACAAGAGTTCAACATTTTATTGAATCAAAAAAAATTCAAAAAAAATGGGTCGAAACAAACAAACCAAGAGTGATAAAAAGTACAAGAAGAATAAAAAGTTGGTGAAGGCCAAGATCAAAACTCAACGTATGACACAAGAGAAGAAAGTACGAGAGGTGATTAGGAATGAAAAATTGAAAAATGAGGATCTTTCCGATTCCGAAAAGGAGGAAGAACAATTGGAACAACATTACTTGAAGGCTGTGAACAAGAAGAAGCCTTCTTCCACCTCCGTATCAAAACAATCATCGGAAAACAAAACTTCTAGTAGTGGGTACGTACAACTATCGTAGAAATTATTTGTTGTTAATTCCATCATCATCAATATCATTAAATACTTGACATTATGTTCCAACAACTTTTTGACCCTTATAGAACCATCTCAAAAGAAGAAATTGCAGACTTTTTTGAAAAGTTAAAGGCTGAAGGAGGTAAAACCACAAAAGAAGAGGAAGAAGAAATCCAACAATTAATTTCCGGAGTGGATGAAGATGATGAGGAGGAAGTCTATGATGGTGGAGAACGAGAAGAGGGCGACTCGGAGGATCACGATGAAAATATTCCTGCTGACCAAGAAGACGATGAACAAGATGAAGCCTATTTCCAAAGAATTGCCGATGAAATTGAAGAGGAGAATGAAAAACAAGTAAAAGAATTTGGTTCCCGAATCAAAGTTACAAAGGCTCTCATTGCACGATGGGTGAAGAAGATTAAGTCTAGCAATGCAGTGCAACCATTGTTCCATTTGGTGTTATGCTTCCGATCGGGATTGAAGAAGGAAGCGTCATCAGATGAAAAGAAAAAGAAGAAAGATGAACCTGAAATTCCATATGTGGTTCCTGATGCAGCCACATTCGCAAGAGTAGCCATGGCTTGTGTCAAATGTTTGGGAGATTTGGCCACAATATTAACCAAATATGAACAAGGATCGTAAGTAGTTAAATGACATTTTTCGTTTGACAAATTTTATCAATTCACCATTGACCATGTATTATGGCATTCCTGCTACATGCACAATAGAAACAAGATGCCTGCAAAATACTCTGGTTGGAAACAAGTGAAATTAGCTCTCTCAACATTTATTAATGCATTTTACACATTAATGGAAAGTAGTGTGGACGAAAAACTCTTGATTTATATTTTGCATTATTTCACAAGACTTGTCCCATTTTATGGGCTATTTGAGGCACATCCAAAGAAGATTTTACGAATCATGCTCAATTTATTAGGTCACACTAATGAGGACGTGAGAGTGAGAGCCTTCTTAATTATCAACTCAATGGCTGTCATTTATCCATATCCATTCCTTGAATTGTGTATTAAGGGAGTTTATTATACACTCTTGAGAAATTCAAAAGGATACAACCCATCGACATTCCAACAAATTGAATTTTTAAAGAATTGTCTCGTCGAGTTGGCCTCTATCAACTTTAACAGTACCTTCCAACATGCTTTTATTTATATTCGAGAACTTTCCATCACAGTGAGAAGAGCCATGGATACAACGGTACAAAATGGTTATGCCTTGTGCTACAATTGGAAATTCTTCCATTGCTTGGATGCATGGGCAAAAGTTGTTTGTGCCTACTGTAAACAAGAAAAGATTGGCGAATTGCTGTATCCAATCACTCAAATTGCCATGGCTGGTCTTGGTTTGAGCAATTCGGCCAAGCATTATCCATTCAAGATCAAACTATTGACCATGCTGAACGCCTTGTCTCGAGAGTGTGACCGAACCTTTATTCCAATTTCACAATTTATTTTTGAAATTCTCCAATTGAAACAAGCCACAGAGACGCCCAAACAAAATCAAAAACCACAACCTTTGTATTTTGAGTTCAAACTGAAAGCAATGCCTGAGGAACTCAAATCTAGGGAATTCCACCAAAGAATCATTGATGATTGTTGCTTTTTGCTTTTGGATCATTTGGCTACACATAGCAAATCTGTTGCCTTCCCAGAGCTTTCGTACCCAATTACCAGTTTTTTGAAAAAGTATGTCAAGAATCATAGTGAGACTCTGCATTTTGGTATTGCCAAGCAAATTACCAATCTTGTAAAGCACGTCAACGACAATATTATTTTTGTGAATGAAGCCAAATCTAAAATATCCTTCACGCCTCTCGAATTTGACAAGGCAAATCAATTTTTGCAAGACACAGAGACACCTCTCGAAAAATACTATGCTACTGAGAAGAAGAGACAAGACCGAGAATTATTAGAGAGAGTTGCAGCTAAATTGGATGAGAAGGTCCTCTTCGAAGATGGAGAGGATGAAGAAGAGTCAGCCCTCAGAGAAATTGAGGAGACCAAATTAAAGAGAAAGAGAGCCTCCACCACCGCCGCAGACGAAGATGAAACCACACAATCTGACGAAAAAGAAACCAAGAAGAAGAAAAAGTCGACCACTTCCAAGACCACATCGAAACAGGACACACTCAAAGAATTGGATTTGGAGAATTTTTAATGTGAGTAGGTCAATAATAAATTTATATATTTTCATACACAACTAATTTCTCAAAAGTGTTAATCCTTGAGCAATTCAAGAACATCGTCAACAAATTCCTTCTCTGGATTGTCTCGACATTTCTTGGCAAGTTTTAGAGCATCGGTGAAGGCTTTCACGACGTTTGTACCGTCTGCTGCTGAAACATAATACAACGGAAGTTCTCTTTTACTTGCAAAATTGAAGGTGGTTTTTGTCACATCCATATTTACTAAGGGATGATTGAAATGAATGCCACATATCAATTATTCATTATTCGAAACGTTAACCAGCAAAACTTACAATCAATCTTGTTGCATACCACAATGGCTGGAATTCCCTTTCTGTAGGTTTGCAATTCGTTGTACCACTTTTCCAAATTTTTGTATGTGATTTGTCGATCATCAAACACTAGAATGCAGGCGTGAGCTTGATGATAATAAGAGGGATGAACATTATTGAACCTCTCTTGACCAGCAGTGTCCTATTGTATATGTTTAAAAAAGTAACGGGTGGGTTGTAGTTTCATGTTGAGCAGAATAACCTACCCAAAATTCAATATCACAGTCCTCACCATCAATTTTTGATTTATAAGTAAATATATTCAAAGCAAATGTTGATTGTTGTTGTTCTCGGTATCCATCAATTAAAAATCGTTCAACCAGCTAGCATTAGAATTTATCGTTATAAAATTCCGAAGCAGATCGTTCCATATATTTGATAGTAGGAATGAACATACTTTTGACTTTCCGACTGCAGAATCACCCAACAAAATGACTTTAATGACTTTGGAAGAAGACATTTTTTTGTGTTTTTCGTTGTTGTATTGGATTTGGAGGGAAACCAAAAATAAAAGAGGCTCTTACATCCACATCAAAATAAACGCCACTAGCACCTGGAACAACCGGTTGAGGGTTTGCAGATAGCAAAACATGAGGAGGTGGAATTGAACCACCGACCTTGGGGTTTGGAGTCCCACGCTCTCCCACAACTGAGCTACCCTCATCAAGAGAGAAATTTATTGCCTTGTCTCAGCGATGCATGTTACCTTGTATTGAAAACAAAATGATGAAGAGATGGATTTGAACCATCGACCTCGCGTTTGAACAACACACACTCTTCCACGCTGAGCTATCTCCATCAAAAAAATGTCTCCAACTAATTCTTTTACCCTCATTTCAGCGTGCTCATAGGTCTCCTATGGTTATAACATTTTTCGGATCTTTCACACACCACTCACAACTCATGTTTTCGTAATTGTAGTTTTTGGATTGTTTCAGAGTTGCTGAAAGTCGAGTCGAAGTTGAAATAAATTCTCTCAAGGGACATTGAATCGAGTGAGAATAATTGGACATGCCACAACATTGGCAAATAGCATGGTCCAACAAGAAGGGATTCATTGTTTTGCATGAGTGACTATGTGGTGTCCAAGTACTTGAGTGGCGACCACTCGAGTTCTAACAACATTTCACTTTTCACAACGGGAACCACAAGAATGGAGGGTGGTGTCGTCTGGGTCAACGAAAATCGTCAAAAAATGTGTCCACGTTTACGCCTTGTCCAATATTTGTGTTTTTTAAATCTTCTCGTTGTGTGTGTATTCCTTGCACCAGTGGTCACATGTGCCTACAGTATCACCACTATAGTAGGAACAGGAGCTCAGGGTTCAGGAGGCGATTCTGGAAACGCTTTATCTGCTCAACTGTATTGGCCAAAGGGAGTATATGAATACAATAATGAAATTTATATTGCAGATACTTATAACCACAAAATTAGAAAGGTTTCACAGACAGGTATCATTACAACCATTGCAGGAACAGGTAATCAAGGATATTCAGGAGATTTGGGACTTGCCATAAATGCTCAACTTTCACTTCCAACCTATGTGTATGTGGATTCCACAGGCGTATATGTTGCTGATGCTGGAAATAATTGTATTCGACGAATTCAGAATGACAGAATTGAAACCGTCTTTTCCACTGGTCTTCAAAATCCTTTGTTCGTTAGTTTCAATTCGAATCGCGACATGTACATTGTTGACGCGGATAACAATGTCTTGAAAAAAGTTTCCAACGGTGTTGTGTCCAACATGGTAGGTTCAGGAACGAGAGGTTTCGGTGGGGATGGCAGCTCTGCAACCTCTGCCTTGTTAGACCGACCAGCAGGTGCCTATATGTCCTCATCCTCGAATGAAATTTATATTAGTGACACTTACAATAATAGAATTAGAAAAGTTTCATCTTCAGGTTTCATTTCCACTCTTGCAGGATCCACTCAAGGATTCAGTGGAGATGGAAACTTGGCAAGAGATGCTCGATTGGATCATCCTTCGAGATTGCTGGTCAACTCGAAAGGCGTGTTGTTTTTTGCAGACACCAATAACCATGTCATTCGAAAAATATCCGGTGATATCATTACAACCGTTGCAGGAATTGGTGGATCCAATGGATTTAATGGTGACTCGGCCAATGCTCGAAATGCTCAATTATTTTACCCTCATGACATTATGTCAAGATGGAAGTTTTTACATTGCGGATTCTTTAAATAATAGAATTAGAATGTTACGTCCCCTCTGTAATGGAGTGGTTTCGAATGATCCATCTGTGTGCTCTGGTCGTGGCCAATGTCTCGATGAGGACACCTGTACCTGCACACAACCTTCCTTGTACGGTGGTCCATATTGTGAACTTCCCAAATGCAACAACAAGCTCTCGAACGAGACTGGAGTCTGTAATGCCAGAGGAACTTGCTCATCACCCAATACGTGTACTTGTACTGAACCTGCCAAATTTGGAGGAAACGACTGTGAATTTCCCAAGTGTTTTGGAATTCTTCAAACGATGGCATCTACGGTGTGTAGTGGTCATGGTTCTTGCGACTCTCCAGACGTGTGTCGATGTAATGCCAAATGGACAGGTCCAGCATGTGACATGCCTATCTGTTTTGGAATGAATCAAAATGAAACGAGTAGGGTTTGTAGTGGTCGTGGAACTTGTAACGGTCCTGACCTTTGTGTCTGCAATTCAGGATTTACAGGTCAATCGTGTGAAAAGTCAATTCCTGTTCTCTTGGTCAACAAGATGTTCATTTCTCAAGGACAAACCATTACAATCACTACCAACGAGTTGCAAGCGTCTGATCCTGTCGCCAATGACTCTCAACTTCAGTTCATTGTTAGTAACATGCTTTACGGCAGATTTGAATTGAGTTCTGTGAGTGTCAATGTTTTTTCACAACAACAGGTGAAGGATGGTCAAGTGAAATTTGTGCACACTGGAACAAACAATCAACCACCTACTTTCCAAATAACAGTTTCCAACGGTGTAGTTCAAACTTCTCAACAATCTCCTTCCATTACTTTCAATGTTGGTCCATATGTGAATGACAAGATGCTCGATCAGACCGTGCAAGTTGATCAAGAATTCAAAATTCCAGTATCGAAAAATATGTTCATTGATCCAGATGGAGAAACTTTGACCTCTTATGCATCGTTGGAAACTGGACAACCACTTCCAAGTTGGATTAAATTTGATGAAAAGACATACTTTCTCAGTGGAAAGAGTTCAGAACCAAGTACGAACAAATTCAAATTCTACGTAGTGGATAGGGGAAATTTGAAAGCAGAATGTGTGTTTTCATTTAAGGTTGTGGCAAATTCAGGAAGTTCAGGAAATTCTGGAAACTCTGGAAATTCAGGTCTTGGAGTTGCTGATATTGTTGGAATTGCTGTCGGTATTTCTACACCAATTCTTACGATTATTGGACTTCTTGTTGGGGGAGGAGGTATTTGGCAATGTGTTAAACATTTTAAGAAACCAAAGTCTACTTTATCACCTGCAACGACTGAAATTTCACTTGAAGATACCTCAGCCACGGTGGCTCCAAAACCCGAAGTATGAAATCATCGTTTAAAATAAATAAGAAATAGAGCCATTGTTACTGGGAAAAAGGATATGAATCCATTCCAATGAATGTTGATGCTATAAAACGATGAAGAGAAGGATTTGAACCATCGACCTCGCACAGAATCGTGCACGCTCTCCCTTGCTGAGCTATCTTCACCAAAAAGGTTGCGCCTTATTCTGTCAACGTTACAAACTCATCTGCATTTCTATAAATGAAACAGGAATGCTCATTTCTTGTTGGAGAGGAGGTGAAAAACAAATTTGTTTTTTTATTGGAAAAGAAAATGAAGTGACAAGCTGTCAAGGCATTTTGTTTCATCACTCCAGAGCACTCATTGACATTGAATTTCAAGCATTTTCACAAATATTATTGTTTATCACGATCTTAATTATTTATAATTTCTGTTCCAATTAATCCATAATTTGTGAATATGGCATTCTTCTTTTTTCGCGTCACTCTCTTCACTGCAAATACACAATCAGTATCGGTAGGTGCCAATTTGAGAGCTTGTGAAAAACTCTGCAATGCATCATCGTACAATTCACTCATTTCAAATAACACTCCCAAATTATAATATCCATATGGAGAGCTAGGTTCCAATTCGATGGCTTTTGCAAAACATTCGCCAGCTTCTTGAACATGATCGGCATACATGTGACACAATCCAAGAGTGTTGTAGTAATTTTCTGTTGAATAATTTGCAAGAATATTTGGAAATTCTTGTACCAATTCATGATATCGTTGGAAATATCGAATCGCTTCATTGAAGAGAGTTTCTGATTTTTCTGAATCTTCACTTTCACTTGAATACTTGATAATGGCAAGTAAATAATAGGATTCTGCAAGATATTGATACAATCTTAATCGATCACTGGATGACTCTACTAGCGTGGATGCTCTCTCTATGATACATTTCAATTTAATTTTACAGTTAGCGGTCGATCCACATCGCAAATGCAATTTCGCCAATTCAAACAAGGCCCTGAAATTTTGTCGATTCAATGTACATGCCAAATCCAAACTTGACTTGGCTCTTTCTAAAACTCCCAATTTTAAGTGACACATTCCAACTCGTTCATAGGCACAATCAAAGGAAGGTTCCTTAATTTGTGATGATTTGTAATATTGAATTGCATTTTGGTAGTCACATTTCCTTTCATAGTAAAGTCCAATCGCATAATGAGTGAGTGCATGATTCGTGTCCAAGCTCGATAAATACGATTGTAAATTCACATCTTGCAAATTGGTTTGATCTCCAAGAATGGTGCATAAAAACATGGCACTTTTCAATTCACCTCGATCAGCCATATCATTCGAATTGGATTCCTTTTCGAGCGCTTGCAATGACTTTTCGAAATATTGATTCGCTCGTTCATACTGTTCGTCACACACCAACGTATGACCATAATCACGTAAAAATGTTGACTTTTCAGACAATGACGAATCCAATACAAGAGCTTCATCAAAACATTTCAAAGCATCTCGAAAAAGTAAACCTTCTCGCAATGCACACGCCAAATACACATAAATTTGAGCCATTTTCGACTCACTTGAAAAGAATCGATTCAAAAAGTCTCGACACACACGTTCCAAATCTCCAAATTTTCGAGTCGATTTCAACTTTTCACATTCATTCAGTGTCGAATCGAAATCTTTTTCAGTGGCTTGAGTGGTAACTGTTCGTCCATTCGATCGGGCACGCATGGCACTTGGAATGACTTCTGAGAGAGAAGAATTGATCAAATTTGGAGACCCGACAGTAGGTGAAATGGAAGTAATTGTTGTAGGAGAGGTGTGGATCTGATTTTGACTGCTGACACTTGTTGGACTGTCCACAGAAATGATGATGGGAGATTTTGATTTGTTTTCAATAATACGTTTGATAATGTTACTGTGCGTATTGTTGCTTTCACTGCTGCTATTATTGTTGCCAGTTATTTCAATATTGTTGTCAATAACAGTTGAAGTGAAGAGTGAGAGGTCTTTTGTTTTTTGTTGTTGTTGTTCGTAAAGGTTCTCATTCTCTTCGTTCATCTGTTGTTGGTCGGTAATACTTGTGCTGTTGTTGATGTTGGAAGCAAAATTATTTTGAGTGTGACACAAAGGATTCGTGCTACGGTCATTGTTCTGTGGGGTGTCAGTTGTCATTGAAGAGGTTTCATGACTATTGGAGGAAGCCACAGTCGAGTGGGAATGAGCTGAGGTGGCCTTTCTAACCATCACTACTTTCTTCCGAACAATGGTTTGAGGAGGTCTTGTCGATGGAAAATCATTGGGAAGATTGGGTGTGCTTGAAGAATCGGAAGACATTTTTGACAACTGGCAGGAGATGTGTTTTGATAGGATGAGGTGCTAATAATTGCAATCTCGAGATGAGAGAATGGGTATGTTTGCGTGGAAATAGTGAGGCAGCCGAGAGATTTTTGTTTTTTGTTTCTCTTCCTTTCCCAAGAGATCGCAAGCTAATGAACTTGCGACAAATGACAGGAGCAGCGTTGAGGTTAAGGAAGGTCTAGAATTAATTGAACGATGATTGGTTCGAATCCTCCCGATGTTGGAATGGTGAAATTGATTTTGAATAGATCAAGACAATTATGGGTTTCTTGTTTATCATCATGTTTCATACAACAAAAAGAGAGAGCAGTAAATTCATTCATGATTTACAGAAAGAATACAAAAAAGAATGGAGCAATTATTAGCCTATTTAGAATCATCCTCCTCCTCCTCTCAATTTAAGGAAAAGAATGAAATGAATGTTCATTCTACAACAACAACTGAAAGGAATGTTCATTATGAGAATAACGATAATGATGAATGGTCATTGGTGAATGATTCTTCTCCTCAATCAGAGAAAGAAGGTCCCACCACACTCTCCGACCAACATCTCGTTTCGTATTTACATGAATTAAACAGCGTGCACAAGAAAAATAGAGCTCAAGATGAAAAGCCTTTATCGGAATGGAACGAATTGGACGTGATGATCTTTCTCGCCGTGCATGAGGTTCCGCAAACAGTGATTGAACAGTTTAAAGAATACAATGGAAAGAAAATCATGATGAAATTAATGGACAGTTCTGTAGATATGACGATGGAAACGGTAGAACATCATCATGATGATGAAACCAACGAAAATTTGAAATTAATTTTGGAATTAATTCGGAAACATGTTCAAAACATTCTTTAATCATCGTTTAACATCTTCCTAACAAGTTGATTTATTCCTTTAATTCCTGACAAGCTTTCACGATTTTCTTGATAGATTCCTCTCTCAGATCAGGATATTTACGAAATAGATTTCGTTGATGCGATTGAAAAATTGTTTTTGGCGATTCATTCTTTCGTTTTACTTCAATTTTCACAAAGATGGGATACTCATCAAGGCACACGGATTTAATAGATGCATCGGGAAACACTTGTTGGATGGCACTGATTGCTGTGGATTCTTCTTGAGTACCTCCATCACAATTCTCACAAAAAGTCACTGTGAATTCCATGGAATTGTGGTCTGATTGCATTTTGTTTGATGTTGCTGCTTCAACAAGGTTGAATTCAATGAAACCACCACCCACTCTTTGTGACCTCCAAATTGTAGGGATTACAAACATAGTTCGAACGACCCCATAACGGCATTATATTAAAAAAGCCGACAACAACACATGTTTTTGGTTCCATCTCAATCACAGACGAGAGCTCTCAATGAATTAATTTTCAGCTCCATCACACTAACAATCATGTACGATCATTATCGAGTTTTTCAATTTTCTTCTTCCTCAATCAAATGAAAACCTCAAAGAGGTGAACAACAACAGATTAAAAAATATTTCCATACGACCTGTGCGATTCGTCATTCATCTTGTTAGATTATCATTTCAAAATTGGAGATCACCATCATTGCGATCTAATGATACTGTGAGAGCAAGCTTGAAAACTACTTTCCGATACATTGCAAATATATTTCGTTTCTGATAAATTATACATTAACAGTCAATACATTGATTCCCGATGATGAAGAGTAAATTAATTGGTCTTTATTTGACGAATCATGGGAAAAACTTTCAAGAGTACAATCATAATTTGAGATATTTGCTCGATCATTTGAACGGTGCGTCCAATAACCTTACTTTGGTATCAGAACCATCATCATTGAGACCATTGAGTTCTGTACAATTGAAACTGCATATATTAAGCTATTCAATTTTAGAAATTTCACCCCGGACATGCCCGTCCCTCTATTGCATGAGCGGATCGGAAAAGAAGGCCAAATTGGATGAATGTTCTCTTGCTGAAATTGAAAAATGCATTGTTAGACTTATTTACGGAAAGTTTGATTGTGAGAACAAGTTGAAAATTCGACAAATATTTCATCATTTTCGTATTTATTTAGAAACATCCAAACATGTTACTATCAAGTTTGACTCTTTGTTTGACGTCCATCTAGTGAGAATATTGTGGAGTAAGGCCAAGTCTATTCATTGCCAAAACGGAGGTTCTTCTGAGAATTTTTACTTTTCAATTCCTCAGAGAAATTACCAAGAAGTACTGAGCTGCACTGATAGTAATCACCATTCGAACAATGTTTCCGTAAATAATATCGATCATGACAAGGACGAGCAAGAAACAGAGTTCGATAGAAAACACAAGAAACGAAAAATGCTATCCCAGCAGCAATCCAACGACGATCGCCACTCCTTAACGACTCTCCAACTTCTCAAAAATTGGTCCACTCAGTTGAAAACCTATTGCACACAATTGGAGGAATTGAAAGTGAAGCTAGATTATGATTTACTTAAATACATGATATGGAATCATGACAAATGTATTTGTCCGTTGCTGAGAAATTGTGAAGCCATTATTCTTCCTGAACACTACGAGTCCATGACAACTAATGCATGCACACAAGAACTCGTCCATTCTGCAACAAGTTCCTCATCCTCATCTCTTGGCCCTAATTGTCACTATAATTTTGTGACAAAATTGGAATGGATCGTGTCCCGTGAATCAACTCATCATTTCTGGGAAACGCTGAACATCATGGCGACAAATTTTCTACCACATTTTCCAAATCTAGAGTCTCTAACAATCAAGGGATTTCATGTAAATAGTTCCTCGACCTATACTACCTCTCCCTTAGGCCCGTTAATAGAATATTATTCGAAACATTCATGCACATGTCTAAAAAGCTTGAGTATGGACATTTGTTTTTCATTTAACTCGAAAACATGCGACGTGTTTTGGAAAGGCTTATGGAACGACATTTCGCAACTATCTTCCTTGGAGAAGTTAGAAATGAATGTTGGTGTACTCTCATGCGACAGTAGTGATATTTTACTTGTTGTAGAAGAGGCCTTTTCATTGCATGATGAGACAAATTATATTGCTCTCAATGGAATCAACAAGGATGAAAAAACTCACCACACACCATCACCACAGGTGAAAATACCCAATTTAAAAAGCATCTCAATGAGCATCAAAAAAGATGGACAAATAATTATTGACCAATCCATGCTATTAACGTTGCTCAAATACAGAGTTAAAGACTTACAAGAAATTGACATTGATTTTCGAGTGAACAATGAAACTCAATTCTCTCAATGTTTTGAATATTGGAATTGCTTTGATACATCATTGGCTTGGTACAATATCAGAAAGCTTAAATTTTCGAATGTGAAACTGGATTCAGAAAAGTGTGACGTGCTGGGTCGGTGTCATACACTGAGGTGGCTCATTTTGAGTCACATCGAATTTGATTCACATGATAACGACGACGAAAAGCGCTATGTTATTGAATGTCTTGCACAATCACGATCCATTACTCATTTAGAGCTTCCATATTGCAATCTTAAAGATTATCATTTGGAACCAATATTTTTGAATATGAATCAGCTTGAATTACTGAATTTGAAACATAACAATGTTGGACCTTTATTATTGCTAGCTCATTTAACCAAAGTAGAAATTGGCAACCCCACTTCAACTGTACGGAATAATTTGATACATTTGTATGCTTTGAATTTAGAAGGAAATTCAATGATTACTGAAGAACATATCAACAAACTTCTGGAACACAACGAAACATTGACTTATTTAACTCCTCAAAGCAAGGATTCGTTACCTTTACCTACTTTTACATGGCAGTAAATTTTCAAAGTTACTGAACTCACTAAATTTAATGAATGACTTCTTCTTCATCATTGCTTGTAGTTGCGTGTGAAGGAGATGCATTTGTCTCATCACTAGGAATGAGAGGTTCATACCAGTCCTTTGTGAATCCTGCTTTCAATCTCAACTCATGATTGAACGGTGGACGCAACACTCCTGTGGCTGTATGGTTTCGCACCAAATGATGAAATCGTTGTCGAATTAAATTCTCGTCCACTTCCTCCTCTTGTGTGCTATCTTGTTGTTGCATTTCTTCTCTGTTCTTTCTTCGTTCCTCTCGAATGGCATGGGCACAACAAAACTTGAACCATTTCACTCCTTTCTGCACATGACTCACTTCTTCTTCCAATATTACATTCAACAAGTCAGCACTTTCAAAATCTTTGGCTTCTCTCAATCTTCGAATATTGTTTGGGGTCATGTCCAAGCCACGTGCCTCATGAACTGTGTGTAAAATACATAAACGTAACATGACATCATTTTCAGTGGCAGTAGCGGCTGCCCATAATCCTCCATGTGCTGGGAACTGACCATAAAAACTTGCTAATTCTGTCAATCGTTTGCTTAACATTTTGAAATGTCGACATTCATCCAATGCAACATAAAACCAATCAATGAGAAATTCGTCAGGTAAATAATCGAGAATTGCGAATCGACATAAAATGTCCCAACTCAAATCAATAGCGTAAGATTCCATATGACAAATGGAACTACATTAGATCAAGTGTATAATTTAAAAGAGATTTAAAATGATTATTTGAGAGGCGTGATCAAATAGTTCAATTTTCAAGATCCCATTCATTTAAAATTATCATTATATTCCATATTGTGTCATATCAACGTGTCGTTCACAATCAACAAATTGATGTAAAAGAAATTAATATTAATAAATTGTTCATTAATTTGATAAATCATTTCCTGTTCAACACAAATTCTCCAACTTACTGAATCAAAGCTGCTCTATTTTCCACAGTTCCTGCTCCTCTTTTATGTAATTGTTTCGGATGAACAATGGTGATATTATCGGGACGAGCCGGAACACTCGGAGGTCTCACTTTTACCATTTCATTGGGATCCAAAGGCCTCACACGTATTTTTCCATCTTCATAAAGTTGTTGAGCGAGAAATGAGAGATTAACTTTTTCATCTGTATCTTTGGTATTCAAAACTTGAATTCCGAAGGAATATAAATCATGAAAAGTTGAGGGCGTTGATGAAGCCTCCATGGATAACATTTTTTTTTAATGTAATTATTAAATTACAAATATAGAACATTAACGCAACCAGAGTTTGACTCCAATCGAGTTTCGCTCCAAAATTCATTGATGAAAAACATGTTGGAATGACATGTCAAATACTCGCCCTTTCTATCCATCTTCCAAAAGCATGCGTTCCATCATCCTGCCCATCGTTTTGAAAGTTTACAAAAAAAATGTCTTCATTGCCCGCAGCAAACAACGTGAATCAAGACGAGCAAGAAATTGAAATTATTCAACATCATCCCATTCATCATCATGAATCATCGGAACATCCTTTGAACCAGGAAGAAGAGGATGATGAATCTCATCGTTCTTATGGCAACTCGGGAGTGATGATGGGAAATAGATTGAATAACCGATCTTCGGAATTTGAAAAGAAACCCTTGTTGATGAATTCTGATTCTTCCCAACCTTCGGATCAGACTATAACATCACCTTTGGCTGGGATCGGGAACAAGGTTACACAATTGTCTGTAGATTCTCAAAATTTCTTTGATAAATTGGAAGATAAGAGAGTGAGCATGTCTCCACTCGATTCGCTCTATGATTCAAAATTTGGATTTATTGTTTTGAAAGGTGCAAAATATTGCATGAGAATATTTGGACTTTTCATGGTGATGGTTGCTGTGGTTCTCTTATCTTTAAATTTTTATTTTTACTTTGCAGTGACATTGCCCATGATGAACACACAAATGTGGACCTACACATTTCATTTACTCCTTGGATTGTATATAGCACTTTCAATTTCATTTAACTATGTTCAATGCGTTCGAGTGAGTCCAGGTGTGACTCCAAAAGAATGGGTTGATTCTCTCGATAATGTGGAGACCTTTAGAAATGATACAAAATCTGTGCCAGGAAAAAATTGGAGCAAGTGGTGTGGACGGTGTCAACAACCAAAACCCATTCGAGCTCATCATTGCCACATTTGTGATGTTTGTGTGTTGAGAATGGATCATCATTGTCCATGGTTAAATAATTGTAAGTGTTTTTGCATGATGTGGCGTTGTGTGTGAATAGTTGATAATGATAATCGTTCGTGATGCATCACGCATGTCATATGAACTACAAATTTCACTTGTCGTTGCAACAACAACAAAAACATTCAGGTGTTGGACTTCAAAATCACAAATACTTTGTTGGATTTATTGGATTTTTAGCTCTTGCTGCATTGTACAATTTTGTCATGATTTCACTTGGAGTGTTTGGTTTCTATACACCAGATCCCATCCTGTATGCAACATGGAGTGGATGGCTGACATTTGTGATGGTTCTCTCAGGTTCTCTTGGACTCACCATGACTACTTTCACAGGATGGCACGTGTATCTTGTGTTGACCAATCAAACCACGATTGAATTCCAATTTAACAAAATGAAGGCCGTGAGAAGTAAGTCTGGAGGTTCTGACAATCCATACAATATTGGAATGAAGAGTAACATACAGCAAGTGTATGGTTTGGCCACTCCTGAAGATTCTGTATTGGGGTGGGCAAAATTGTTAATGTTGCCCAACCTTCAAAAGTCGCCTGTGGATGGCATCAATTATCCCACCAACCAGCCAAAAGGAGGCGAAAACGTGTAGTGACTCTCCGATCGTGTGTGTAGCAAAAGTGCATGTCATATATAAATGTGTCAAACAACACTTTCAATTTCTCCTCCTCAATCGGAGCCAGCGCCTCAATCGTGCCGATTTGTGCCTTTGAGGGCCGATGACAGGGCCAATTTGCCTTCATACTAGGGTTAGGCGACGAAAACACTATCAGCAGAAAAAAGAAACAACAACTTGAAAGCCAACGTTCTTGCACAACAATATCGTGCTAATCATGAAAACTGATGTAGGCTTTATTCAAGTTAGTAACATTTACAATTGAATGAAATACACCCTACTAGCGTAGTGTTTATTTGGCCCCGTACACTATTCGGTATTTGACATCAAGAGGGCTCTCTTAGATTTGCTTGTTCTTTGCTCTGTTCAGTTCGTTTTGGAACAAGGTCTTGAAATCGGAAGCTTGAGGACCGAATGGATAGCAGAATCTGAAGAGTGGGTTCACTGAGGCTTGAGAGTCAGCTCCATTCTTAACCATGAGGAAAGGATGAGGGTTGGATCTCGACAAGGTAGTTTGTGAATCAAAGAAAGTGTACCAGAACAATGAGAAGAGAGAGAAGAAAATACCAGCAGCAACTGGGATGGCAATAATGATACCACCCAAAAAGTTGGTATACCACAAAGGTTGGCCACCACGGAACTCCAAAGGTTTCATGGAGAGCTTGAAGCCTGGTGTAGAGTAAATTCCAGAAACTTGATCAAAGAAGCCTGGTGTCTTGTTTTGAATGTGGAGGAATCTGACTCCAGCGTTAGCCGAAGGAACAAACACAGTGTTTGGATTTCTCTTGATCAATTTCACGAGTTGTTTTGAGGCTGTTAGGAGAGGTGAGCACAACAAAACACATTTCAGAGTTGGAATACCCAATATGATGGAATTAAGTTTCGTTGTATGATTGAACACGACGAAAAGTAAATCAAGGAATAAGTATTGGCATCCATGCCCAAAAATACACAATGAAAGACCTACCTGGTACAATGCTCTTGTTCATTTTTTTTACTTGTTGTTTCTTCTGTTACGTCCAAAAAAGTACATTTTAATACGGTTGAGCGCTTTTACAAATTTTCGCCATTTTTGGTGCGCACTGTTTGAAACTGACTCAAAACAATGAAATTATTTGAAATTGGCAATTAGGTTGCTCACCAGAGAGACTTCTTTAATTCACCTGAATTGGTCACAGCATCTCGATCGAAACCACCATGAATTAGAAACCAGACTTCGAAATTAGTGTTTGTTCTTTTATTTCGCAGGCTCAATATTTGTTGTAAAATACTGGAAGTAGTAGATACGTATTCGTTGAACGGTAGAGAGGTGGTTGGGTGGAGTGGAAATTAAACTCCCCTCGGGTGCTCAAAGGTGAGATAGGTCAGGTTTTAACTTTTTTACTGGAGAGCAAAAAAACACCAAGCCAAATCGCGCCATTTCTTGTTGTTAACAATTTTTTTGAATTCATAAAAAATATTGTCATCATGTCCTCTCGCAAATCCCTTTCATCAGCCAACACTTCTGTTTTAAATTCTTCTAAATTGAATATCGGCTCATCATCCAGCAAAAACAGCAACAGACCAAAGGTCTTCTTTGAAATAACCATCGGAGGAAAACCTGCTGGTCGTATTGTGATGGAGTTATTCAATGATATCGTACCAAAGACTTGTGAAAATTTCCGTTGCCTTTGTACAGGAGAGCTAGGAATGTCAAAGAATTTTCCAAATAAGAAATTCCACTTTAAGGGAGTCTCATTCCATCGAATTATTCCTAATTTTATGATTCAAGGAGGTGATATCATCAATGGAAACGGAACAGGAAGCGATTCCATGTATGGAAGACAATTTGCTGACGAAAATTTTAAAGTTAAACATAATAAGGTATGTTTTGAGAGGTTATTTCACATATTGTTGCTGATTGTCATGTACTTGTCATTAATTGCTTGGTGAATGACATCATTTCGATTTCATTGAATTTTTCACACAACATTTTTCAAACATTTTTCATTCAATACTGGACGATGACAGACTGGTTTATTGTCTATGGCAAATTCTGGAAAAAATACAAATGGAAGTCAATTCTTTATTACTACAGCAAAAACAAACTGGTTAGGTAAGTGCATGGGAGTGTGCATGAGCAAAATTAAGATTATTTTTATTTGTGATATCTTTATCGTTTTTAAATTTGCACGTCATCACTTTTAAATTTGCCAATTCAACAACTGTAATATTGCACCCATTGTCATGAAAATATTCATTGTAATACACAACAATCCCAATTCAACATTGGACAAATGACATGACCTCACACCCCATTATGCAGACGGCAAGCATGTCGTCTTTGGACAAGTGATTGAAGGCATGTCTGTAGTGAGAGCTATTGAGCGTCAAGGTACCACTGAAGGCACTCCTAGAAGTCGAGTAATTATTGCAGACTGTGGAGAGATTGTGAAGGAAGATACAGAGGAGGCTGCTGCTGAAGTCTCTCTATTGGAAACTTCAACTCTTCAAAAAGCTGCATCAAGAAAATCATTGGCTTCTTCATCGACCAACTCCACTGAAACATCTCCAAAGAAGAATGTCGACACCACTCGTGCTCTCATGTTTTCTGGTCTCTCTGAAAAGGTCACTGAGAAAGAAGTGACGGAATTGTTGAACGGATACAAGCTTGCAGAATCGTCACCAGTTTGGATTTTAGGAAGAGGTTCAGGATTAGCTTTGGTTGAATTTTTGTCTTCGGAAGAAGCACAAAAAGTTGAACAAGATATTCTCAATGCTACCCTAAAATTGCCTTGTGAAGTACATCATATTGAGAATGCTAAAAAGAAGCAAGGCATGAAACGAGTAAAACAAGAAGCTGCTAACAGTGACGACGATGAAGAAAGCAATGAATATGAGTCCAAACAAAAGAAGGTGAAAAAAGAACCAGAAGAAGAGGATAAGGATTTACAAAAAGCCAAGAAAATTGTTAGCTTGTGGAAACAAAGTAAAAAGCAGTAATAAATGTGACAATCTGCTCCTCAAGATCGTTCAAGTTCGAACCGCAGGCACTGCGAGACAATATTCTGCCTTAAATGAACTGCTCAATTTATGAAACCTCAAACTCAAATCTTCAACATCAAAAAAATGGCGAGACAGAAACAGAACCTTTCATCCACACGAAATCGTTTCCGAACAAAGGAGAACTCTCATTTTGCCATGATTGATACTTTTGAAACACAATTTGATTTTGATCATTATGAATATGCACATTATGTGGTCAACCGAAGTAAAGTCTATTGCTTGGTGCCGATCGGAGTGATTTTTCAACAGTTAAGCCCTAACTTCCTTTCCAAAGAATTTCCTAAATACATCTTGAATTGTGATCTTACTCAGACGCCACCTCCAAACTATAGGCCTTCTCACCTATTGATTGTGCTTAAACAAAAAGAGATAGCTCTGAATGATTGGGATAATTATACATGCTCTCGCTTTGGCCTTCTTCGACTGGGAAAGGCTGGTTTTGAGTGCAATCCTGAAAGAATCTTTCTCTTTAAGGATACCTGGTTTGGAGGATATTACGATGATGTAACTTGTTATATCACCCAGTGGAATAAGCAGAAAGCTGAGCTTTTTTTGGCCAGCCCACGTTATCCGAAAAGAGCTTGCATACATATCCATCCATCTTCAATTTATCAGAGTTCCATAACTATTGATGGGCAAAATAATTATTCATTTTTATATGTAATGGCTGAGCGCCATTTACCTCAAGTAGTGGATGAAACGAATGGCGACACCGTCTTTTATCTGAAATTTCCAGAGAACGACGTCCATTCCCAGAGATTTGAACTTTGTCAGATGACATTTTGCTCGAGCAAGTATGATATGCCAAATGTAAAAATTATTTGTGAATTAGAAGGATTCTCTAGTGATGGATATTACGAGTGTCTGGAGATGGTGGGAACTAACAAAACCAAAGTAGCTTTTTTACTGAGTCATAATTCGAGTAAATTTAAGTGGTCTGGTAATCCACTAGAGTTGACATCTGGATTATATGAGTTGAAAGAAAATGAGGAAGTCAAGCTAAAGAAGTTGAATTTTACCAATTTTAATACGTATTTCACACAAAATATGAAGATTTTAAACACATGTAAATTAGTGAATGGAAAGTATTTAGTAATGGGAAGAATGAGCAATGGCGTCGAGTCTACTGCCCAAGAAAACCAAAAAGAACTATCGTCACACGCAATCAGTAATGACAGCAATGTTCAAAACTCCACTTTTGATCGTTTATTTGCTGAAGAAATGATCTGGATTGTTCTTGATTTAAATCTGAAGACAGTGAAGAGAGTTTTCCCAAGAGAGGATCCAATTGCATCCTCTTCATCCACAAATCATCATGAAAAGAGATCAAAAAAACAAAAGAAAACAAGCAATCAACCACAATTTTTATTTATTCAAGATGGAGATTTGAATGGAGGTTTTGCAAATCCATTTCCTCGCAATTCCTCAACAAATCAACTCAGTGATACCCTTAATTACATTTCAGAGGACAAGAGATTCAAGAAATACGATTTACAAATTCCAAAATCAACAGCTTGGGGTAAATACATGACCATGTGGTCGATGAGACCTTTTCCAAGTAATCCAGATCTTTTTCAGATCATGGTACACATTACATACCACAGCAGTGCGTACTATTCTAGTGAGAATTATGGCCGTTTGTTTCAGTTTTATTTCAGAATGAGAGAGGAGTGCAGTCCTTGTTTTCTTGAAAATCCAGTGCAGTTTTGTGACGTTCAATTTATGAACCGTCAATGTCACCATGCAAATAGTTTGTAAGGAAGAATAATCTTTTAGCACGTGTGACTGAGGAGTGACTTATTTGGTGAAATGATCGCTGTTTCAAAACATGATTTGTGTAACATGATTACAATGGAGTTTTGACACCATAACCCTTTATTATTCCTTCTTTGTTTTTACAAAATGTGATTTTCAATATCACGAGATGAAATCATTCGGTATTGTCCATGAATCGTTGAACACGTGTCTCAGTAACTGGAAATTCTCAAAGCTTCCGACTTCTCACATTTCCTGAAAGTGCTTTAAGGCTTGAGTTGTGTCCATCCAACAACAAACATCTAAAAAATGGGGAGAAGGAAACAAAAGAGCTTGACAGCATCACGGAATCGTTTCCGAACCAAGGAAAACTCTCATTTTGCCATGATTGAGTCCATAGATACACATTTTGATGAAATGGAATGTTATTTTGCATGTAGGGAGGCAAGTGGATCCAAATTTTATGAACTTAGTGTAATTGGAGTGATCTTTGTAAATTCTAAAGGTCCCATTCACAAACTCGGACGATTAACAGGTACAGTACAAACTCCAAAATACATCCTGAGCTGTGATTTGTCTCGGAAAGCACCTCCAAATAATAGACCTTCTCATCTATTGATTGTCCTCATGCAGAAAAGCAAAGGAGAATGGGATCAATACTCCTCTTCACGTTTTGGCCTTTTAAAATTGGGAACACTTGGTTTTGAATTTAATTATCCCAATCCTGAAAGAATCTTTCTCTTTGCAGAACCAGAATTTGGAGGATACGCCAACGATGAGAATTATTACATTACTCAATGGGATGAACAGAAAGCAGAAATATTTAGAGCGAGCAAAGACTCTGCAGCAAGCGTCGTTTTTCAGATTAATCAAAACTCCATTAACCACAGTTCACTGCGCCTTGAATCATTTTGTTACACTCCTGTTTACGGAATAACGGAGCGTCATGTGGCTCAAGTAGTGGAAAAAACGCATGCATATTATTTGATATTTCAACAGGAAATTCATTCAATGATTATTGAGGTTTGTCGAATGACATTTGGCTCACCAATGGAATATGATTTACCAACGGTTAAGGTCGTTCATACAGTTGAAGGAGCTCGAGATGGATATTACGAATGTTTTGAGATGGAAGGAATGGACAGTACAAAAGAAGTGTATGTATTGAGTTATGGTGTCGGCCGATCTAAATCGAGTGAAAATTGTAATGTGTTGACATCGGGAATATTCAAACTCAACGAAGAAAATGAAGTATCAGAGTTTTCGAAAATAGATGTTGCAAATTTTGAGGAGGTATTTCAACATAACATGAAAATTTTGAGCACGTGTAAACTAGTGAATGGAAAGTATTTAATAATGGGAAGAATGATTAAGGATGATTTAGATGAGTCAGACAACAATGTACCAACGTTTGATCGTTTATTTGCTAAAGAAATAATTTGGATTGTTCTTGATTTAAATCTGAAGACAGTGAAGAGAGTTTTCCCAAGAGAGGATCCTATTGCATCTTCTTCTTCATCCACAAATCATGAAAAGAGATCAAAAAAACAAAAGAAAACAAGCAATCAACCACAATTTTTATTTATTCAAGATGGAGATTTGAATGGAGGTTTTGCAAATCCATTTCCTCGCAATTCGTCAAAAAATCAACTCAGTGATAACCTTAATTACATTTCAGAGGACAAGAGATTCAAGAAATACGATTTACAAATTCCAAAACCGACTATACTTGATTCAAACTTGACACTGTGCTCGATAAGACCTTTTCCAAGCAATCCAGATCTATTTCAAATCATGCTCAATTTTAAACGCAGACAGGCTGTGTATTATTCGAACGAGTGTCATGGTCAATTGTTTAGATTTTATTTCAGAATGAGAGAGGAATGTAGTCCTTGTTTTATTGAAAAGCCATTGCAATTTTATGACATTCAATTTAAGAGTCACGTTTGAAAAAACACATAGGAACACGGAGATTAAGAATTTTTTCAGTTGATAGATTTTAATTCAGAGTGAAAGGGATGTAGTCTTTGGTTAATTGAAAGATCTTCACAGTTTTGTGACTTTCACACTGCCAAAGCTCTATGAAAATTGGAGAATCCAATCTAACGAAAAAATAGTAAAAAAATTGTTTCTAAAAAACTACATGATTTGTTGATAACTTCTAGTTTTCCATTTACAAATAAACACAATACCAGCAACAATTGCACTCACTGCCACGCCCACTACCCACACAAACACCAAAATTGAGGTGATAAAAGCAGAGTCCACAATCATAGACGTTCCAGGATAACAATGTTGCAATTTGTTTAAATTTGCATTACAATGCAAAGAAACTCCAACTGGAATATCATCCACCGTTATAGTTGAAAATTGTTCAGAATCTTCTATGGACCATTCATCATTCTTTGTGAAGAAGGACACCGTCGATGAGAGAACTTTCAAAGTACGATCCACATAATCTTTCAACATTAAGTTCCACTCATTCCATCTTGTTCTCACCATAGATTCTGAAGACGAATTTTGAGAAGGTTTCACCACTTCAATTCCACACAAAACTTGTGGTGTAATATCATATGGAAATACATTCACATATTGATTATTTTCATTGGGATCTGTATACGTTGCATTTTCTTGTTGACATGCAGAAACGAGTGCTACACAAAAATCTTGACAAATAATTGGCGTAACCGTTGAAATTTCCGAGTTTGAATCTGGATCGATTTGAATGGAAGAATTAGCAAATAAATAGGAAGAAGGAGAGCAGGCAATACATTTCAATTTTCTTAATTGTTCAAAACATTTTGGAAATTGTGTCTTTCAAAAATTTACAGAAATAAATGTTCCGAAATTAGTATAATTTGAAATAATTGTAAATGACCTACTTGATTAATTCTTGCTTCCAAATATACTTGAATGAGCTTATCATTCTTATTGGAACAACAACTTAATCCATTATAACAAAAACAATCCATGCACTATATCAAATATTTTTTTCATCATCACCAACATAAATTCAATATATAGTTTCAAAATCATGATTCCGAGAAAGAGAACAATAATTTTCATCAACAACCATATAAATAGTCATCGGAACTGATCGTTCAGACCTATTTCAACCTACCTCCACAGGTTGATTATTGGAATTTGTAAATGGACAATAATCCGTTTCATTGGCTGCTCCAGGAATGTATTGCTGTACCCGATGAATCATGATTGGCGTTTCATGTTCTTTTAAAGCAAGACTGATCCTTCCAAAGCATCCGAAAAATAAAAAAAGAGAAGAGAGGAGAATGATGATCCGATAGGATATGTAAGTTGTTGTGTTCTTTGGATGGCTACAGAGTCCAACAACTCCGCCACGATGATGATGATGGAATAATGACGAGAGAAAGGATCGAGTCGTTTTATGAGATAAAGATCTTTTCATTTTTTTAAAGAAATGTGAAATCTTTCTTTTCTCAATCGGGATCGGTCTTCATCTGAGGAATAAAGAGACTCGGCATTCAATGTACGTCACTTGTTTAATATATTCTGCCAACTGGAGACATTAAAATATTTGAAATTTCAGTATGGATTAAGGTTGTGTTTTGCGCATGGTGAAATAATCAATGACTTCTCCTCGATCGTTGAATTGTTGGAAATTCACAGTGAAGGTCGTTAGTGAGTCACGCTTAATTTTTAAAAGTCCAAATCCTTCATCATTGTTATATCTCATGTAATTCCACTTGATGTTGGTGTTGAAATCGTGAGTGGGATCCATTCCTCCCAAACTACCTCCACTTCCATCAACAATGTAAATAGTGTCCTGTGGATTAATATAATTATGTGGATCTTTGAGTTGATCTTGTTCAATGGTTCCATTATAAATGGGATGTTGTCTCTCTGTTCAGAAAAAATTGTGTAAGGAGAAAAATGTCAAATGAATCGATATTTCAATTGTTTAAATGTTTCATAAATATTTCAATTGTTTAAATGTTTCATAAATATTTCAGTTAACAATGTTTTAACAATGAATAAGATCATGAAAAAAGGTATTGAATCAAAAGTAGCACTTACCATACGCATGTACATGTCCACAAATGGCCATATCTACTCGATACTTTTTATAATCATTCTCAAATAATTCCTGTAATATCTTCGAGTCACCGACGACATTGCCGTTGGCATCAGAAAATCCTTTTTCAGTTGAATAAATTGGTCGATGACCAACAGTCATGAGGAAGGGTGTTTGAGTTCTGTTAGCATTCATGATGGCATTCTTGACATAGGAGACATGATCTCCTTGGAAAACTGGTTGAAATGGAGCATTGGGATAATTGGTCTCTGTATCAATCGCTACAATTCTCACTGGTCCAAAATCGAAATGATACCACATATTGTGCCCATATTTGGTATCATTTCTGAGTGGCATCCAAAATTTGTGATTGTAAGCAGTAAAGTTGTATTCGAACGAGTGTCTATTTGTTGTGGTTGGAATTTTGGATTCATTAAATTTCATATTAAATGTGTCACACATTAAAATTGAATTGTTAACATCGAAAAGAACGAAAAGATTGGAAAATTCTTGTTAAAACTATCATTCCTAAACACTTACTTGTCAGGTCCTAATCTTGGTCCATACTCATGGTTACCTACAGTAGTCATGTAAGGCACATAGGGCTGAACTCCTTCCCAATGCTCAAAAAATTTATCCCACACATACTGATACATGAATCCGGGATATGAATCAGCATAGCTGATATCTCCTACATGGTAGATGAAGAAATTTCCATTTCCAGTGTTATCTTTAACAATTTTTGAAATTCTCTCAATATTGGATTCACAAAAGAAAATTCCCATATCCCCAAAGATGACAATGGTGACCTCAGAAATGTCTTTGCTTCTTGTTGTAAAGTAATGAGTCGAATCCGATTGAACAGTAAACACAGGTTTTCCATTCACAACATTTCCAAATCCAACCCGATAATAATATGTCGTGTCAAAAGTTAAATTATTCAACAAAATGGCATGATCAAATCCAGTGACACTCGACTCTCCATACGAGGTCGTGACTGCTCCAACTCCATACCACTGCGGATTGGATTGTAATTCTTGCTCGCTTTTTCCAATAATTGCCAATGGCTTTCCAACCTTGTTTTCATCATATCCGAACGTATGAAATTGAATGATCATTTCATTAGGATTTTGAGTTAATGCCAAATGAATGTACCTCACCGAGAAATCACTACTTGAGGCTTGCACTCGGTGTTGCTTTACTTTTTCAAGCTGTCTCAGTAATAACGGATGGCGCAAGTCTTTCTCCAATTTCTTCCATGAAGGCTCAGAATGATGATTAGATCCGAGGAGTGAGGAAGGCATGTTTGTATGCTCTCTTATGTGGATTGGTATGGTTTGTTGTTCCGTTTGTTTAGATTCATGATGATGATGATGAACAAGTTCAATTTTTGAGTAATGTGCTTGCGCAACGAGAGAGCAAAATGATGAACACAACACGGATACAGCAAGAATTGTTGCCAACATGCGGATCCAAACCCCTCTGATGGAACCACTCTGCTTGTTCATTCGTGGTATGTGAGCTTGATAATTGTGAATTGATTTTTTGTTGGTCCGTACTCTTCCACAACAACAAGAAAAGCAAAATTTTGTGGTGTAACAGAGAAAACCAAGAGGAATGAATTGTGAGGTACCCAAGTCGCGTTATGAGTCGTTTCAAACTCGCACACAACGTGTGATAAGGTACACCCTTGTAGTGGAGTTACTTTCTCAAGTCGATAACCCTGAAAAACGGGCTTTTAGGCCGACGTTTCATGAGCAGAAGTGATTGAAAATTGGAGTAGTGGCTCTCAACTCGAATCAAGGACAAGCTCGCTCGAAGCAGGAAATGATCAATTTTATTGTGGGTTGGGGGAATATTTTTTCTTTTGGCTCGAACAATTTCAGTTGATAGCATAATTATATTCCATGATTAAGGCGTTCCAATTAATGGGAAAAGAGGATCACACAATTTGATACAAAAGATGGCTTTTTATCACAGGCTTGAATCTTTGATTTCTTTTCGAATTCTTACTTCTTCTCTCCATTTGGAAAAAACTACCAGCACCAATCCCACCACAATGGCCACAGCTCCAGGTAAATTCCAAAGTGAAACTCGTTCTCCTGAAATGAATACAGTCATGAATGTAGTAACCATGGGTGACAAGGTATTATAAATTCCAATCACAGTTGGAGAGGTCAACCCAGCTGCTTTGGATTTTATAATCAAACTCAAAGCTCCATGAATGACAATGGCATACGCTAATCCAATATATGATTGAGCATTCAATTTGTAGAATCGAAAGGAAGGTATATAAAAACATGCAGCAATTAATGGAATGTACAATCCACCAAGATAGGTCCATAAACTTAACGTGACTGTGGGAATTCGTGTGGTCAATTTCTTCAACAACACAATATATAGAGCAAGAGTTAAAGTATTCAGCAGAACTAAGGCCATTCCTATCGTGAATGAAAAGGTTTGAATCCATTCCCTTAACGAATTCGAAGAGGTAGTAGTACCATTAGACTCTGGTTTGTCACCGCCTTGTTCCGAGTTCGTAGCAGTCAAAGTAGAAACTCCAACCATGGCAATAGCTCCCAAGCATGACATGAAAACTCCCAAAATTTTCACCACTCCTCTCGACTCACGTCTCAAGACAATCGAAATGAAACACACCTCAACAGCCACTAACGGTTGTAAAATTCCTGCCATGGTTGCATTGGTAAGATCCAATCCAACAATAAACAAGACGATATTCAATAAATTCATAGATCCACACAGTACCAATCGTTTAAATACTTTCCACGGAGGTGTTTTCATCTTCCATAAACGAAGGATTGGATTTTGAATTCGAGACAAGACACGTCGTGATCGAAATGAAAAGGTTCGATCCACCACCAGAGAAAGAGGTAAAAGAATCAACGTGATGGCAACTGATCTTACCAATGAGAAGATGGCAGGTTGCATGGCTCGAATAGGTTGAGGAGCGAGTACACAAAAACCTCCAAATGTAAGCAATGAGGTCATCATTAATAGATGAGCATAACTTTGGGAATGAAGAAAGTTTTGAAAGGAATGTTTGAATTTTTGGAACCATCGGGAACAAGAAGGAGAGGATTCATGTGAAAGAGAATCATTGGAAGGATGTGAAAAGTCAAGAGAAGTTGTTGGATGACTGGATGAAAGATCTTCTTCTTCGGAGGAGGAGGACGAGATCAAGAGTTGAGTCGTTTGTTGTGAAAGTGAATCAACCATATTCTCTAATAATTCATAATCTCGAGTATGTTCATATGTGGGAATTCCTCTTGAATTGGGTTGATAATATTCTGTCAACTCGTACTCTTCACAAGAATAATCTGGTTTTTGTTGTGGACAACCGTTCAGTTCTTTCCCGTGATATGGATCCATTCTCGTTGTTGTTGTGGTAGATTCACTCGATGTGAATGTCTTTTTTCAACTGGTCCTTTCGGTCAAGACTACATTGATGTGTGGTTGTTGGCAACACCCAAGACCAAACTGCCAACAGAAAGATTTCCTAACGTGTGTTTCATGGCGAGTTGAGCATTTTCTCAAATAAGAAAGGTGTGAAAGATTTTCAATTTTCGAGATTTGAAAAAGAATGAATTGCTTGCTTTGGTTTTGAACCAACACTGGAGATGAAACTGTGAGATTGCGGACAGTTTTGATGCTCGTGATGAATGTTTGGAATTTTTTGAGCATGTTGGTGTGGACTTGAAAAATTGACAAACAGCCGAAGTGTAAACAAACGTTTTCATTGCATACCTTTTGAAAGAGCTCACGCGTAGTAAGGGTCATGTCACATCACAATTAAGGGTTTGGTAATAAAGGAATCTTTGAGATTACCGAATCTTTCGTAACGTCATCCAAAAAACATTTCAAGAAAACAACAATAGCCATCTTCAAGTGTAAAATATCTTCACTCCTGGAAGCATGTCTCGAACCCATTCGCTGTGAATGCTCGTATATTCACTTCACAACCCATTAACGACCGTTTTGATTTTCACTCATTGATACAACACAGAGAATACAATGTTCACAAGCCCTTCACTTTTTTCCTCTCTCAATGTTGATCATCAATGAAACCACTCATGTCTCCCATACATCTTTCGACACTTGTCATTGACCTCTCAATGCATCATCCTTCGCTTCTTGAATTGTCACTCATCACTAAAGAGTCTCACAATGGAAAAAAAGGCACTAAAAAAATTAATTTTAAAAAAATAAACGCTAAAAAAAATGAGCAAAGTCGTTTCATCCTCTCAGCGTCGGTTTTTTCATTCGCATTCGCATCATCAGCAACAACCGCAACCCTCCTTGAATCATTTACAACAGAGTGCGGCAGTGGCCATGATCGGTCTTCAACAATTACAACAAGTGGCTGTTGCTTCTCAGATGAATTCAACCGCCACAACTGCAGTACTTGCTAATCGTCAAAAGGCTTCCCATACATCATCTAAAAATAAAGTACAGATGGAAGAAAAACCAAAGACCAGCAAAACAAAAGAAACAGAGAAGAAATATAATTCTCAGTTGGATAAGGATATTCGGGAGGGAGATTTGATATTTGTAAAATTAGGCAAGTTTTTTTGTATAATGATCATTTTTAGTAATATATCATCCTATTGTATTCTCATTAAATTATAACTTCGGATCTCATAATTAATGTCATGACGATGGACTACCATCATTTTATGATAAATACAACAATTTAGATGGCTGCCCCTATTGGCCAGCAAAGGTTATTTCTCCTCACGCCCCACACATTCCAAAAGCAATACGGGAGGAAATTCTTGAACAAATGGATGAAGAAGATACTAATACAACACTTATTGAATTTTTTGGTGACGACAAATCCAAGTAGTAAGTACAAATATTTTATTGATGAACTGTGCAGTGAGCATAGAAATCCTTCCCTCTACCATTCATGCCTCCATACAATATTTTACAATTACAATTTCAAAATTAATACTCACGGACAATCAACCATTTTTTCAACAAATTCACCTCTCACCAACACTATTCTAGTTACTGTATGGACAAGGTTGTAGAAATTTATACAAAGAATTCTGATGTGATTACAGATAAAATGACAAGAAAAAACAAGAAATTAGCTGAGGCTATGAGACAAGCCTTGTTGTATGCTCAATCAGAAGAACTACTCGACAATAATTCTTTGCAAAATCGAAGACAAAGTTTTTCAGGAAATAATTTAACAATTTCAACTACAAATGACAAAAAGCGAAAAGTGAATCCAGTATCTTCTTCCAATGACAACAAAAAAAAGAAAGTTATTTCTGATGACGAGGATGATGTGACAATATTAATTTCTGACAATGATTCTGATACAATGAGCGACGATAATGAGCACCAAAAGCCTAACAATGATGAAGAAGAAGAGTATTCATTTTCTGATGAAGAAGAGAGAGAAAAAAAGAAAAGCAAACGGAAATCATCGAAACGAAACAAATTCGAGGCCAGTGATAAGAATGCATGCCATTCGTGTGGAAAGAATTACAAAATAACCGTGACATGTTCCAACGATCAATGTGGAAAAACATTTTGCAAAAAGTGCTGTGGAAATCCTAAACTCGACAAGAAATTTTTTGAGGATTGGCTTTGTAGTGATTGCAAAGTTTGTGGTATTTGTGAGAGTGCAACATGTAATTCATCTCCAAATGTTACAGAAACTTCACAAATTGCGAACCGTCTACGTATTTGTTCGAAATGTGACTCTTCTTTTCATATTAATTGTTTGGACAATGAAGGGGCGTTTGTGCTCTACAAGGACATCTTTACTTGCCCCGATTGTACAGAAAAGAAAAGTGAATGGCTTCGAAGACGAGGAGAACACGATTCCACCTTTGAAAATTATTTATTTACTGCCTCTAAAGGAATTTTAGAAAAAGTCACCCTTGATTTTGTTTTGAACAGTCATGACGACGATCACGATGCAGAAGACTCTGATACTGCATCCACCACCAGTGACGAAGATCAATCCGACACAGAAGACAAGCCCATCAAGGGCAATCAGAGAACATCATCCTCCGTCCCATCTCCACCTACCATCCATCATCACGCAATTCCTAACACTGTCGTGACAACCAGTTGCAATTGCTCTTCATTCGTGGATAACAGTTCCACAGATTCGGGCAATACCTCACCGACAACCACTAAGAAATCCCCAAAATCTGGACGAGCCACAAAGAAAAAGTTATGCTCACATGAGCAGTACACTCATACTGCGGCCGTTGCAGAGTCTCCAAAAGCATCCTCCATTCATTCACATCCTCATACTCACTCTGCGGACATGCCTCATTCCCCACCTCTTCACAAACAAGTATTTGACCAACCAATGACTTTATTGGAAACATCACATCCTCTCACTCCATACATGAAAACAGAATTTGGCAGTAGTGATCGACCACATAATAGTAGTACAAACACTGCCGTTGTTTCACCCTCCTCTGCACTGAACTGCTCTGGAAAGAGTAGAAAAGCGACCAAAGTCAAACCGAGAGGAGGAGGAGGAGATGTCTCCAACTCTTCGGAGAGTAGTGGAAATTTGCATGCTCCATCCAGTGTTTCATCTCCTCTCAAAGAAGATGTTACATCCATCCCAAGTCCAACCTCAATGAGTCCAACCACTACAAGTCCCTCATCGAGTAGCAATGGTGACACACCTTCGCAAGAGCTCATTACCTTATTCATTAAATGTTTTGTGGATGGTTATCAGACAGACTATACCAAGAGAGTGCGTGTATCGAGTCACATTGATATTTCTCAACTGAAATCCATCACCAAGTCCATAGTTCTCAAAATGAAGAAATCGACCAAGTTGGATAATCACAAAATTTATTTGAAGAACATTGACAGACATGGGCATGAAGTTCTTCTTGATTTAGATGAAGATTTCTTTTTGCATGACCGACTCCAAAACAGCGATGTTCTTGTGCTCAAGATGTAGATACCTTTGTAGTCATCTATTCGATCCCACTGTGAATTCAGTGAGAAAAACAATAGATGTTGCACGGAAAATAAAAGAATAGAAGATTGGTAGTACTGTCAAAAACTTTGAGTTTGATAATTGTTGTGCTTGAAAACCAAACTGTTTGCCTGTTTTCCAAGTGTTGTTTGATGATAACGAAAATTCCCTTTTTATTGTTGGTGTTAATTGTGCTTATCGACGGATGAAATTGGAGTACAATAAATCCACTCGGAATTTCACAAGTATGTTATTCAAATAATAATAATAAATTGTTGTTTTGTACTGATAATATTAATTACAATATTAGAATCCTATGAAATCTGCACAATTTGAGAGGAAGGAGGTAGTGAAAGAATGAACGGAAGAATGTGTGTACTAATAAATTGATAAAGTGATTGAAGAGATTGGAGTGTTTGGTGTGTTGTTGTTGCTACTGCTGTTGTTGTAATCAACTCATAAAAATTCAAAATATAATTGCTGATGACCCAATTAATGATGAATATTAAACATTAGCGAACAAAAAAAGCTGATGATGAAACTAATATTGTTTCTCTCTCAATTCTTTCAACTCTTCAGAAGGAGTCAATTCTTGTGGCTTCCTTGTGAGCAATTTTCCTGGTTGATTAAAATCTTGTTCAATAATATGTGCCTTGTATGGATTTCTCTTAATCTTCTTTTGTAACATGTACACTCCGTACAACAATGCTTCAGCTGTTGGTGGGCATCCTGGCACATAGACATCCACAGGAATGATTTGGTCAGCGCCTCTCACCACGTGATAACTAAAGTGATAATAACCGCCTCCGTTTGCACATGATCCCATACTAATCGAATATCTTGGTTCAGCCATTTGATCCCAAACCTTTCTCAAAGCAGGAGCCATCTTGTTAGTCAACGTTCCAGCAATAATCATGGCATCGGATTGTCTAGGAGTAGGACGGAAGAAAATACCATAACGTTCCAAATCGTATCGGGCAGCAGCAACGTGCATCATTTCTACAGCACAACAAGCCAAACCAAAGGTTACAGGCCACATGGAACCTGTTCTGGCCCAAGCAAATAAATCATGAAGAGGAGCTCGTAAGTATTCAACAACGCTCATGATGATGACGAGAATATTTTTTTAATTAAAATGAAATGTTGGGATGATTGGTCTAAAACATAAATTTAAAAATTTCCGACCTTCATTTTTGACCGGTTTTCCATTTGCTGCAGAATGACTTTGGTTGTCGATATCTTGAGACAGCAGCAACAACACAAAAGCCTACTACACCCATTGTTAGTCCTGAACGCAACCTTTGTGTTCCACATGGTGATGTTGCTTCAACGTTTGAAATGCAATGTTTGAGCCGTAAGTAAACTTAAGCTTTTTCTTTCACAAATTCTCACTAGAGCAAGATCAAATACGACAACAAGAAGGAGTGATTACTTCACGTAAAGAAACCATGGAGTGTGATGCTGATATCAAATCTTTTACTGTTTGCTAAGCTGATTTATTTCACTTTTTAAGATTTTGAAATTTGTTGTTGATGTTGTTCTTATGGTGTTGTAATGAGACGTCTGATATTCGAAAGCTAATATTAAATATTTTGATCTATTATTGTCCCAAAAAAGCTTAAAATAACTCCAAAATTCTAAAGTTAAAAATTAGTGCGCAATAAATATTTTCAAAAATGACAGTTGTAAAGCAAACAACCAAACAACAACACTAAACTTTGTTTAAGCGCTGGTTATATATTGTCAAACAACGAACCTAGGTTTTCCACCACAAAAATCCAGACAAGAAACAAAGAGGAAGAGAGGAAATTGAAAAATTAGTGAAATGGTCGGATTGCTCGAAAAGTGTCGGAAATTTTTAAATTTATGTTCCAAAACGTTAGACCTCGTTGAAGGAGAGTTTTATTCTCTCAAAATTTCGGAATGAATTTCGTTTGAATTGAATTCACCCATCCAGTAAACAACAAATGAACAAACCCTCACATTGGCCTATCAATCTTGAGCTTGATGCAAAATGGAGTTTTATGGATTTCATTTTCAGAATGGAATAAAACAAAATACAAAAGAAAATGCCTCGATTGGAATTTCCCAACGGAACGATGAAATTTAAATTTGATAAATCATGTCCGTTCTATGCTTCGGATCGAAAGATCTTTAAATCACAAGCAAGTGATCAATTTACAGAGCTGTTTGAACGTTTCAATAATATTGTTATTCTTAAAATTTCGGGAGTGGAAACAACCGAATTACAAACATTAAGAAGAGCCTTGTCCAATCAAGATTCTGAGCTATATTCAGAGTTATATGTTGGGAAGCACTCTCTTTCTCGAGTCTCTATTGATGGATTGATACGGAATTTAAAAACGAAAATTCAGAATTCTATCAGCTCTGTAACCAAACAGTCATCACAGAGTCGTGATCAAGAACTTGTGAAGGCTCTTACACAATTTAAAGAATTATTGGTTGGAGAAATTGCACTATTATTTACAAATTGTGAGAATTATTATACTTTGTGTAATGAGATATCAAAACATGTGTCTTTAAAAAAAGCCAAAGTTGGATCTATCATAAAGGAAAATGTATTTTTCGAAGGAGAGACAGGAGCGCTACCATATATGACCTATATTTTTCTCAATAATAACATTACTACCAGAATTAGAAGAGGACAAGTTGTATTATTGGAAAGGCAGCAAATTCTCACAGCTGGAGAGGTGTGCACTGCTGAAAAAGTCAGACTGTTGGATTTGTTAAAATGGAAAGTCATTCAAGAACGATGTGAACCTTTGTATTTATTTAGTAAGATGGATGCATGTATTTTATCTAATGAAGTATTAGAGCGTGATTATTTTGAGAATTGTGTGGAGGCTGCCAATCAAATGACAGCTCTGTCAATGGAATGTTCACTCGTGAATGAGCTCACCATCATTGCTGATATTAAGAAGGGAATATTGGATTTGGTAGCACTGGACACAGAAACACAATGTGAAATGCGTTACAAGATACGCAAAGTGATGCCACCACCCGTTATTGATAACCATTGTTATCCTTCAGATTCCTCCAGCGAATCCTCTGAATTTAACGACCTGTTCGATTTATTTTTTTAAATGTTAGATGGCGCTTCATAGCTCTTTGAAAAGAACTACTGTAACCTTTCCAATCTTAAAGATTTGAAACTTGATGGATAAATTCAAAGGTTTGACATCACAATGAACAATGTTTTTCTCTAGTATTCATTATCATGAAATATCTTCATAATTTTGAAAATGCTTAAAATAACTTGCCGTTTATTGCTGAGTAGAATGTATACATCTCCTCAATGCCTTACACACTCACATCCTTCTTGATACTGAGGTAATTTGAGATTCATCAATGTACGAGCATCTCCGTATTTGTAATATTCCGTTTGATGAAAGAGAGCATGGTCAGTTTACAATTTTAAATTGAAAGTCACAATAACAGAGCCAAATTTGCGCTACACTGAAGGAAAGTATTAATTCTCAACGAGTATGACTATTTGAAACGCTTTATCTTGGAATTTCTTTTATTTCATTATCATCAATTCCTTTTCCAAGATACCAGTTGCTCACACTTTCTTAATTTCTTCTAAAGAATCCACCAGTAGCATAGGCAATAGCATTCAAATTACGACTTGTCATTTCACGATAAGCCTCTGCATTGCTCACTGAAAAGTGTTCACTTCCAATTGTGAAGGCAATGGCATTCACTGGAGCACGAGCCATCTCTGCATATTCACGAATTGAGTCAGCCAACTTTTCAGCATCCTTGAATTCTCCACGATTTCCTGGGCCACAGCTCAACAAATATACTGTATTATTTCCCATTTGTTGTGAAAGAGCTGGAGTAAAGAGCTTGAGAGCATTCTTCAATGATTCTTCCAAATTGATCGAGCTCGATGAAGTACCACTTGAAGGGAATGGGCTTTTAGCTACAAGTTCAATATTTTGAGGAGTTGCAGGAACGAATTGATCAAACTTGGTGAAAATCTTTTCATGGTAGGACACTACATTGAATAAAGTGGTAGCTGGCAATTGCTTTAACAATTGAATCAAGTGGTATTTGGCAAAATCATAACGAGAGACTGATGAGGAATAGGTGAGTTTGGAATACATCATTGAGTCGCTTCTTTCCAGAACAAACAAGACTCTTGAACCGGAAGCAAGGCTGTTATACGCACCCATAGCACAATCATGAAGTTTAACTTCATTCAATAACAAGGAAGCCTTCTCCTTCACGATAGGATCATTGAAAAGAGCCATCAAGACATATTCACGATTCGTTGGTAAATCCACAATATTGGATACCAACAATTCCAACAATTTGAAACGTTCCCAATCACGATCAGAAACACTTTGAATCAATCCGATGGCTTCATTCGATTTCATATCCATCAAACGTTTCAATAAGCTTTCGGTAACGTGCTTACGAACCACACGAGGTTGAGTAGCAGCAACTGCTTGCAATATTTTTAAGGCTTGTTTCAAAGAGAAGGGAAAGGAAGGTGTTAGAATGAATTTTCCAAATTCAGACAACAATTGTTGAGGATTGGTGGTTACAGTTGCAATAAATTCATCAATGGATTTTTCAGAACGGAATGGAGTGGCTGCAACAGCACATGGAAATTCAGAGGAAGAAGTAGCCATGGATGTCATGTCTGCAGCAGGAATGAAAGAGTTATCCACTTCTTCGTGAACTTGTTCAGAGTTCCATTCACCTTCTTGAATGATTTCTTTGAGAAGTTGTTTCAAGACATGCATGTCGTGTTGATATCTGCGGGGTTTAGCAGCAGAAACCGATGAAGTGGTCATGCATGCGAACAACGCAACCAACAACACAGTGGCAATGAATACTTTGAGTGTTGTCATGTGTGAAAAGTGGTTTGTTTTTTTGACAGATAAATTGATGGGAGTTGTTGTTGTCTCTTGTTAAACGAATATTCACGTAGGCCCTAAAACAGACGTTCCTGGTGTTCCATTGTAACATCCAAGTGGTTGTCATTCAATTTGCATGTGGAATAAACTTGAGGTGTTACAGACCACTGCAGTAGGGGAGAACACTCGAGGAACAAGCGTTTAAAATAGGCGCTTAAATTCGGTGCACGATTGAAAATGGCATTTGGTTCTTGAATTCTCCGGAGAAACAGGGCACTACAATTTGAAAATCTATGGTGGTGTGTTTATTTCACACAAGCATGCCTTGAGGACAAATAAATAGTATTTGCTGTCACCTAAACGAATAATAAGGAGGTTAAACAAAATCTAGAGTGAAATGTAATAATGCTTTCCATGACTATTATGAATCTTGGAACAGGTAGAATTGGTGGTCACACACCATTCATACCACACTTTTCTTGTTACATCATGATCACAATTTCTCCACATTTGAACTCCAATGTCTTCTCCCTTTTTGACAATGACTGGAGTTTCAATTGGGAAGAAAATTGGGAACCAGCTAAACATTCCTGAAGAAAAAGTCTCAGGTAAAATACTCATCCATACATCCTTATATAATTGACATTCGAAATAGCCAATGAGACCATGTACCACTGCATTCTGTTGAGATTTGAATCGGAGGGAAACGTATCGATCATTGTTCACAAGTGGAATGTGCAAGTTGTAAGTTTCATTTGTGTCATCCAATGCATTCTCCTTTTCTTTGAGAGCTTCTGTGACTTGAGGATTGGGATGGATAAAGGTGAAACATCGTTGAGGTTTGTCTAGAACAACGCCTCTGTGAACAAGACAAACATAACCAGTCTCAAAGGCAGGTGCTTCAAAAACGGTTGATTTTTGTAAATTTTTCACTTCACTCCAAACCTTGTAACTGCAAAGTGGGCTCAAGTATGAAGTGTAACGTGCAGGTATGGAAATCCCTTCGCCATTCTCTTTCAAGAGACGTTGAGCTCCATCTAAACATTCTGGACTCAATTCATTGTCGCCAAATGAACCTAATAATTCAGAGACCAGTAAGTCTGCCTTCTCTGGAGGATTCCACACACGCATATCTTTTTGAATAATTTCAACAATTGGAATTTCCAAATTTTCACCTGCGTGCGCTTGTGTAAATGTTCGCCAAATGGTCTTTTTGTAGTAGAGGAGATGACTTAGGGCATTAGGATTTTTCTCCACGGCGTACACCAAAACAGGAACTTTAGTGGTTCGAGCTGCTCTCAAAACGGCCTTAACAATTGGACCACGACCAGCTCCCAAGACCATGGCAATGACACGTATGGTTTTGATGTCTTCTTCGCTAGATGCTTTCTTTTTCTTTGCTTCGTATAGATCGAGGAGAGCCTTCTCTGCAGACTTTTCATAGAGCATGTATTTGATGGGATCTCTCTCGAACACTTCATAGGTTTGACTATCCAAATTATCAATTAAAGGTTGTAAAGGCCTCTGTAAAAAATCTCTAAATGACTTGCTGAACACTTCCACATTAGTTAACATGCAGCTTGTCTCGAAGAGTGACGCAATGGTTCTCTTATAGAGAGTCATGTTTGGACTTGGCTCATTTTCAAAGCCTGCTGCGCTCAAAACAAATTGAATGTCGTATTTAAATGTTTTTGCAAGGAATTGAGCGACTTCATCATGGAGAAATGGAGTGGCATTGTTTACAGGCCTTGAAAAGAGATCCAAATTCAATATTATTGTTCTTACATTTTCTGCAATCCAAACAGAAAGGGATGTCACTGTAGAATTTTCAGCTCCAAATGTTTGCTTTTCAAATGCATTCCACAGTGTGTCCTGTGGTGCATATTGCTCGGGTGTGACACCTGTATTTGTTTTCTTCTTCTTCTTGTCACTTTCTCCATGTTGTTGACTTGATTGTTTGAGCGATAAGATTAACTCTTCCACGTCCTTATTTTTTAAATCCAAAACTGGAATCAGTAAAGTATGACTATTGCACATGGTTCTCACTAAATTCCACAAGTAATAATTATTAGCACTAAATCGTATCCATATGGCGGTATTTCCCATGGTCGGAAGTATGAGATTAATAAATTGAGCTAGTGCCATTGCCATTTCCTTATTTTGAGGTTCTGGGAAGAGAACGGCAGGAATGCATAAATGTGTAGCCCATTGCAATTCCTGTTGAAGAATGAGCTTGGCAGCTTGAGCTTGAATATGAATTTGTGAGAGAGTACCTGCAGTGGATGGAATGGCAAAGGGTGCAAGCTGTTGTTTGTTCTGCTTGCTTGAGGAGGTCTTTTTTGATGAAGTATTATCAAGAGGTGTTGATGATGGTGGGATCGTACCAGAAGCACTGTATTCATCTAATCCAGGGACATCATAGGGCTTATCGGAGCACAGTAGCTTTTTGTTAGTGGGTGAATAAATTCCAAAGGCTGCCTGGAAAGCTGCTTCGTCGACCTTTCCGACCATGCAATGAGACCAATCAGTCGTACGAAATAGATATTGTCGTGATGAAACGTTGTGTTTTTGACAAATTTGCCTCAAATCCAAGAGATGACTCGTACTACTATTGGGTAGATTGGATGATTGAAGAGTTGCTGTGTTGTTGTTGTTGGGCGTATTGGATGTTCTGCTAGCCTTGTTTTGTAAATTTTGCTGCTGTTGATGATGTACGGAAATGTCCATCAAGAGAAAATCCAATCCGAATTCATTCACGACCGAAATTCCTTCTTCCACACTATCCACATGCAATTTACTGATATTATTGTTTTTTGCCATCATCATGTTATTTGGATTCATTAATTTCAAGGATGATGTTGAATGAAATTCCAATCCCATGAATGGTGGTGTGGCTGTTTCATTACTAAAAGTGTTGGTAATGGTATCCACAATGGGATCGCTCAAATCATCCATGTTGTTGTTGGTGGTGAATATTATTATATGGTTTCAAAAATCGGAAGAATATCTTGAAAAACGAGGAGAAATGCTGAGGATGAACACGAGTGCAAAATTGATAGACGATCTTGGTAAATTTTTTCTTCAGTCAACTTTTTTATTGAGTGAACATGAATAAGCGTCGCTCTGGTTGTCATTGGGTGACTTTGGTATGATCGACCGTTCAAGATTTTGGATTTTGTGAATGTTGTTCTGTTTTATCCTTGAAGATCGTCTCAGGAATGTTTCAGTATCATTAGAAGTGGCTTCATCCTCATATGATGAATCCTCTTGGAAGAACATGAATCATCCAAGTCAAACTCTTCCTCATCGGAAATGATCATGTCAAAAGTATCCATGAAAAAGTAGACAAAGTATAGATCCTGTCTTTGGATAGCCGATGTTCCAAGTCAATTCTTCCATCACAAGCTTTCCTGGCTTGGAAGTTTCTTTGAGCTGGTTCAACCAACTAGCAACGAGCGTATCAGCTTTCTCACTTGCAATTTTTGGTTTGGAATTAGCTGAAGACCCTTAAAGATTTCCTTTCCGTTTTATTATCCATCAAACATCATTTCAACCAATGTACAAACATTCAGGATGCTGTTAAACGCAATGGTTATACATTGAAAAATGCAGATGATACAGAAATAGAGGATAGGTTCTTCACTTTTGCGTCCTTATGCATGTGAAATGGAAATGATAAACATGTTGTGTGGGCTGCTTCTAAAAATGATGCTAACTTATTTGATTAACAACTTGCATCTGAAGCATTGAGAACATTAGATAAGGAAATAATAGAGGCAGCCAACACTTCGCAAAACACATCTGAACAATTAAGGCAGGATAAGGATGTTATTACGATAGCAGTATTACTCGTTCTAATTATTTTTATCCAGGGAATTTTTAATGATAGAGAATTCATGATGGAACTAAGTGAAAGCTTTGTTTTCGCAAGGTCTCAAGTTATTCATGGAGACATGATCACTCTGTAATTGAACCTTTCAGTTGTCAACCAAAAGATTAGTTCAAAAAAATGACTTGTTGTGGAGACGATCAAACAACAGCTGCAACCTTCGGTCTCGTTCTATTATCATTCATTCTTCCTCCATTGGCTGTCTACATCAGCTTCTACGTTTCTCCAAATAGCGACATGGATTGGGATGATTCTGCCTACATGGGAAGACACATTTGGTTCTGTATCACTCTCGGAGCAACCATTTGTGGATATTTACCTGGAGTGTGCATTGCATTGTTTTTTGTTATGACTAATGGACCTTGTTGTGATAAAAAGGAGTAGCAAACTCGGAAACATGCAAAGAAATAAAGTTGTCCAAGTGGCACATCAGAGAGTTTTGTCATCCATGTCAAAATTGTTGGGGATGGAAAAATGCTGGATTGGATGTGAGTCAAGAAGGGTATTGTCACCGTGTTGTTTGTGAAAAGTTTGGAATGGAGCACACAAGAATTTGACAGAGAGATTATTTTCCCACTTCCCAAAAATACCATATCGTCAACCAATCGAATGGGATTTCATTGCAGTTTTAATTTTGACTTGTAGATATTTAATAAAAGACTTTAAGATTTGTGAAAATGACAATTCACTATTTGTGCCTTTTAATAATCAATTTCATAAATATTGATACAATGTTACAGAATTCTGGCATGTCAAAAAGAAGAATTACAGCATATTTCGGCATATAAAACCACTCCATACGTAAGGTCATGATAGCAAACATTATCGACCAAAAGAAAAATTAACGGGGAGCAGTGGGAATCGAACCCACGGCCTCCTGCACCCAAAGCAGGAATCATACCACTAGACCATGCTCCCTTGTGATATTTAAGAATTTCATTTAGCAAAGTAGTAAAACGACTTCCGTCCCTTGGTGGTCAGTAAGCCCGCTACAGCAATTGAGCTAAATTATCTAGATTCTACTTTTACTTGCTTGTAGTTATTACAAGAAATCAACTATTCTGAAAGTGCCATTACAGACATAGCTCACAGGTCCAACCATGTTGACAAGTGTCTCAGACAGACCTTGTTGTTTCTTTCGATCATATTTGAAATATAAATCTCCTCCATTGAGCTTCACTTGCACCGTGCACATGAGAGGTGGAGATTCTGTGTCATTATCGCTCTGTTCAGCAGTGTCGTGTCGTCGTCCATAGAATTTCCTTAAATAGACAAGTTGTGAAACAGCAAATGCTCCAGTACCACAAGCATTAGTTTCACCACTTCCTCTTTCCCACTACATATTTGTTAGGCATCATCATAATTTGAAAGTAGGGTCAGATTTTGTTTCACATTAGAATCATTGTTTTACGGTTGTTTTTAACAAACTTACTGTTCTCTGTCTCACTCTCAATACGCAATTGGATTCCAGCATGGATAAAATACTAGTCGATTCTATTTCAGCTGTTTCATAATTATTCAATTCTGACGAGGGAGAGATTAGTTCAATAAACTCGACATTGGTTCTCTGAGGAAATATTTCTCGATCATTTTCAATGACAGGTCCAACAAGGGTTAATGGAAATTGATCGACATCCTTCTTCCATACATGATGCTCATCAACATTATCATTGTGTGAATTCCTTTCTAAATTTAAAATTTCATTCACAAAGCAAATAGCATGAGGATTTGGAACTAAGAGGCAATACAATGGAATTTTCAATACCGGAATATTTTCTTGTTCATACGTATATGAATAGAGAACCTTTCGAATGAGTCCTTCTTCTTGCTTGACGAGAGAAACTTCCATGAATGGGTTTTCAAAATCTGAGGCCATGTCAAAATTTGATGCTTTGGTCTGTAATGGTCCCATTTCAATTTCAACCCAAAATGAATTGGTGTGTGAATTCGTGAATGGACTTTGTAACTTCTTGTTTCGTTCTTCTTCCACTCCAGCATAACAAATACAATCATAGACTTTTCTTCCTCGATTACTTTGAACGCGAATACAATATCCATATTGATACGATGGTGAAACAGAGGAAGAATCTTCTGAGCTTGTGTTCAAATGATTCGTTTGTGAAATTGGAATTTTTTCAATTTTTTTCATTTCAATCAAACGATCACACGCATACTGAGCGACACATCTCAAACCATTTCCACACATTTCGCCGCTAGATCCATCCGAGTTGTACATTTCCATTTGACAATGAATAGTGCCGTGTTGAGAGAAATTGGAATCTTTTTCTAACAATTCCAAATTTGGTTTCGTTATGAAAATCACACCATCGGAACCAATTCCAAAATTTCGATGACATAATTTCTGAATGATATTCTCAAGTGTGTGAGTTTCATTACGAGCATTTAAATTTTCAATATATTTCCGAAAATCATTTTCAATTGGATTGGAATGACCATTTCCGAAACAACAATCCATGTACAAATAATCATTTCCAAGTCCATGCATTTTGCAAAATGAAAACAAATCATTGTTGAGAAGTGATGATGAATATTGTTGAGCCATTTTTTTTTGTAGACCTTGACACAAGTGTTTGGCAGTTGCTTGTGAGGTCTCTAATCTTTGAAATAGTTTCATATTGAAATTCATTGAAATAATTATTATAATAAATAATATTTAATTTTATTATAATACAAGAATTTACTTTTTAGAATTTTCATAAATAAAATCAAGAACTCCCTTGGCAGTCATTGGGCCGTCATGAGTAATTGGGTTCTTGAGATTGCCATCTTTGAATAAATAAATAGTTGGGAATCCTTCTAAATTCAATCGATTGGATAAAGATTCATACTTGTCACCATCTACTTTGGCAATTTTGACATCTGTTCTTTTAGATTCGGAAACAACCTTTCCGAGTTTGCCCAAAGACTTGGAGAAGGCTTGACAATGTCCACACCACTACACATTTAGTTTATCACAAATTTTCCAAACGAAAAAAACAATGATAAAAATTAATAATGATTACAATAAATAATAATAACAAGGATCATGAATGAAATTAACAACAAGATAATAACAAATCAAACACTACATACTGGTGCATAAAATTCTACAAGGACATACTTGTTACTCTTGATGAATGTATCAAAATTTTGATCGGTTAACTCCGCGACTCCAGGCATCACGTCCTCAGGTTTTCCTCCGAGAATTGATTGTGCAAAGAGAAGGGAGCATACTAAAAAGCAAAAAACAATCAGAGTTGTTGTTGTTGATTTCATTCCGAGAGAGTTTAAACTAGAGTGTTATTGTATTTTTTTGATTACTGCCACTGGAGAACACGTTTTTGGTCTGCCACTTGTCAGTTAAAACATTACAAAAAACACACAATAGGAAATTGAACAGAAATAATTCATGTCAACTATTTGACTGTTTTTAGTTTGTTTGAAAGTCCAATATTAATCTCTTAATCTGTGCCCTTAAAAGTGATCATATTCTTCCCACTTGGAGTACCGTTCGAAATACTGTCCCGATGACGGCTGACTGCAATTAATGAGAGAATAAACATCAAAAAAGAATGCAAGATCAAGTGCTGGAAGAAATCGGTGATTCACACAGCAACACAAATCCGCTACAGAGGCCACCCAAGACGGAAAACCACATGATCTTAGAGCAGTTCCAATAGATTTGTTAACCTTATAGCAGCAACATGAAGTCATGCACCAACAACAACAAATACCGTAACAGTTACATAGACTTAAATAAGGCACAGCACAACATTTTTCAACACAGCACTTGTCCAAGGTGCCAATTCCTGCAGTAACATGAAATAATCGCTTATCACTTGGTCGAGTGTGAGTCATATTGGAGACGCTCATGTGTGGATACATGGGAAGAGTGAATATATTGTGTTTCATTTTGGCAGTGGTTCGATCAAATTCTAGAGTTTGAAATGTAAATGTCAATACTTGATCATTCTCTGTACATGTTCGCTCGATTTGTATTGCATCATCTTTGCCAATTCCAAATTGCGTGAAATACTTCTCTCGCCACTCTTCAGATATTAAAAGTTCGGAATGATAAATGTGTTGAAGGGCTAGACGAACAAATGGTATTCTCTCTTTGTCGTTCATGGTATCGAAAGAGATTAAATTAAAATATTCAATCATGGCAAGCGGGCCAATTGCTTTTTTTTCATAATTACTGTTCTTGATAGGTGGTAAAGCAATTTTCTTATTCATAACCTGTCTTCGATATCTGCAAATAATATTGTGGTGAAGAGTGAAATATTTGTAGATTTTTGGAATGTCGTCAACTTGTTTCAGGAGTCCATTAAGGTAATTCATTTCCGAGTGGCCATAGACTGATTTCAAAGGAATTTCATACTTTTCCATAATCGGTATTAATCGAAAATAAAAGAAGACATATAGACAAATTTTTGGTATGTTGCTGAGCTTGGCCTCTACAGAAGAGTCATCTTCCCAAAGGTTTAGCTTTCGAAAGCTAAATTTTTGGCCCCAATCTTCAATTACATGTCCAAGTCGTAGGTCAATAATGTATGGATCCATTATTTTGTAAAACGTATAGTAATAGGTCCTGTTTGTCAAGCGAATAATGGACTCTCTTGGAATTCCTCTCGTAGATTCACGTTCTCCAGTGATATTGATGTGCAGAATAAACTTTTTAAATACCCTGAATGGATTCACAGCCATCTTCTTGGTGTTAATAAATGCAGGATGTTGATTGCGCCATAGTTTCAACCTGTCATTGATGGTGACATGCTGTCTCATCAGTTGTTGTCTCTCCTCTTCCGTTGTTGCATAATACTGCATGTTGATCGGCTCCTTATTCAATTCTTCTCCATTGAGCTGTGAGACGTTTTCATCCTTTGAGTCGTGCTGTGTGGATTCATAAATATTATCCAAGGACACCATAAGAGCTTCCGACTGTTCCCAATCAATAACAACCTCAACTTCATACTCTCCAATTTTTTTGCAATTATGCACTCCAAACAATTCCATGAATTGTTCAAGCAAGATCGAGGGATTCTCTAGCTCTTCTTCGTCGTTATCGATCATACTTTGAGTATCATCCACAGTTCCAAAAGCAACATGCATGTAAACTCTTGGTAAATATAAATTTTCCATCTTCTCATGGATTCTTTTGTATGAATACATCATTGTGATGGTATTTTCTTCATGGGTGGTCATGACTTTACTGTCCAACGTATCCCAACCACCCGACAATATTAGAAATAAATTTCTGCACGAATATTTGAGAGATTCAATTTCGCTTGCTCCTGTACAATAGCTCAACACCAATTCCAACGTATCGGGATCCAAATCATAGAGTTTAGGCCGAGTGAGAGATTGTTCTTGATCGGTACCTAGCATTTTTTTATGAACTCGACAAGAGCACCAATACACTCGATCGATCCTTGGTTGTATTCATGAAGATCATCGCTTGAAAGCGTTGAGTACATGAGCTCGCAATAGTACTCTTTTTCTTGAACGCTCTCGAAATCTGGTTGCATTTGTGGTGTCAAAATGTTTCAAACGTTTTTTCAACTCAATTAAAAATTGGTTTTTGTCATTCTTCCCACAATTCTACGGTGACTATTTCGACAGAATCATCCTCTTCGAATTTACATCTCACATTGGCATTATCAATTCGAAAACCATACAACTTGTCATCTCGTCTTTTGCGCATGTAGACTGGTCTTGGATCGCTTTGCAGAACTTGAATAATGGCTTTTTTCATAGAATCTACATTATCATAAAAACGTAGCTTTGGTAACAGCTGTTCGAGTTCTGTTACTGCCTGTTGAGAAAATGAAATTTTGGACTCATCAATTTTTTGCACAAATGTGTCCTCTTGGATCCATTCTGGAACTGTAGTTTCAGTGTTGGGCAAGCTGTCATACCTTGAAATGTATGGCTTAATATCAATGACTGGTGTGCCATCGATAAGATCAGCTCCAGATAAGTACACTAATTTTCCTTCAATTTTGTCAATTTTTGCAACGCTCATTCCAATGCCATTGGGTCTGTGCGGAGATCGAGTGGCATATATTCCTACCTTGCCATTGCCGTTCATTCTTGGAGGTCTAATTTTCACACGGTCGTTGCTTTCCAAAGAGTTTTCATGAAATACAAATATAAGCCAACAGTGACTGAATTTTTCCAAACCATCGAGAGCCATGTCTCCTTGAGGTATAGTAACTTCAAGAATTCCCTTACTTGCATCTACTAAACCAAATTGTCTCGGACATCCATTCTTTGTAGGAAATACGGAGTGAAAGACGCCAATGGATTTCATGTTGAAAGAATAAGTTTTGGTGTGGCTATCATAATTAGAAATGACCTCATTGTGGAGGCTTGACTCAGGATTGGAGCTGATACTGTTGCTGCCAGTTGTCACATTGTCTGTACTGCTCACTGGTTCCTTAATTTTAGAAGAAATTGTTTTTCTATTTAACTTTCCAGCATAATGAGAGGGTATATATCCCACATAAACTCTGGTCAATTCTTCTTCTTCGCTTGAAAGGGTAGGATTGGCATTAGATGATTCGCTTTCTGTAGAAATAACGTCAGATATTTGACGTTTCACTCCCTTCTTTTTCTGCTGTTGTGAGAGCCACAAAGAAGAAGCCACTACCACCAGACGCCATTCTCCCTTTTCCAATTCTTCAATTGAGAATATTTTCGTTCCCTTATCTAAAATCAGCAACACGTTATCTTTGCTCTCATCGTTATTCACGTGCTCGAGAATAGGTTTGTTTGTATGTTCATGCTTTTGCTGAAGAAATGGAGGTTCTATAGAACTATTTTCTGAATTGGTTGGAATACTTCTATACAGCACACAAGAAGGCTTTTGGATGACATGACTGGGTTCAAGTTCTTTTTCAATGTCTTTTTCAAACTCCGATACATTTTCAATAGTTTGAAATTCGTATTTATTTTCTGTATGCTGATTCGTCATTTCTATTTTGCTCATAGTAGTATTGTTGTTATATTCGTAAATAATTTTGAATAAATTCAAATTTGGAAAATATTGAACAATTTTCATGCCTGATGTCGTGCTACCCGAGAGACTGCCTGACGATGATGATGAACTCCCAGTCATCCCCATGGATGGCAAGGATGCCGTTGTTAACATCTTATTGGAAGAGTAGGTTCGGAGCAACCGAAAAAACAGCCTTGATGATGACGACATTTTTTTGCCAAAAGTGAACAAGTTTTTTCCTGACCTGCAGAGATTGGAAATTGCATTCTTGATAGTAAATCAATACCTGAGTTATTTGAGCTTAATTCAATATCTTGTACATGATCGCTATACTATTTACTTGTGTTGTTCAAATACGAATTCAGATACTTGTGTCTCTTTTTCTCGTATTCCTCTTCGTCGAAATATTCAGAGGTCATGGATTTTCTTTCGTGCGCCAGTTGGTGATTCTTGGAGAGAAGTGCAATCAATTTCAAGTAATTCTTCAATTTGGGTGTCTTGTTCACACTCGTGGTTTCTTGTGTCAGCTGATCCATGGTAATATTGGGATTTTCTCGAATTTTGTGTTCAATCAATAATTCCTTCTTACGTGCCTTCTTTTTTAACATGTCAATAAAAACATTAATAATGGGATCTGAATGATGGGCATCCAATTTTAACAATCCTGCATATGAGTTAAATCCTGGATTGTGAGGTTGATCCATCCGAACATAGTTCAATAAGGCAAATATTACTGTCTTCAAAGTGCTGATAATACCTGCAACGATGAAACCAAATACATAGTTGACAGTAATGAAAAGAACATCGAACACGCTGAAGAGTGCGTTATGAATGAGCCAAGTACCCTTTTTACGAAGGAATACTAATTTCAAAATAATGGCCAACACTACAGTTGTGATTTTTGTTCCCAAAAATGTAAAGATGTTCAAAATGAGAGGTAAATTCTCAACCACGAAGAAGCTCTTAAAGAAGGCCTCAATCATTGGACCTATGGCTTGTCCCAACACTGAGAGCATGAAAATAATAAGCCCAATAATGATCAAGACAATATAAATGATGGCAAAATAAACTACAGTGGCAAGGGCAAAGTGAGCCGATTGAAGACCTGGATAATTGGAAGCATTAATGATCGAGTACGACGAAAGGTTGAAAGGTAGCTTGCCTTTTCTGTAACTTTGAATCTAATTTTCAAAATTGTTTGTTCATGCTCGCTCTCCAAGAAAAATCCTCACAAAATATGTGAAATTACTTACATGACGTTTGTAATTGCGTAAAATTAAAATAATAATCACCACAATTACAATAAAGGTCAATATTTCAGCAATAAAAAAATTAACCTCAATCAAATCTACCACTCGCATCAGAGCACTTGAGACACCTGTTTGACAGGTATCAAATTTTTCAAAGTCAATAATTTGTGGAAAGCAAAACAATAACACGCTAATAATGAAGAGAATATTAAATGCAGAATAGCCAACATGGAGAGACAAGGCAGCAAAGGTTGTCAAAATTAAAATCACAATTAGTACGGAAGAGGAGAGTCCAATAATTAATCGTGATGGGAAAAAGAAAGAAGAAAAACCTCCTTTCATGCTTTGTAGCTTCTTTTTGATCCCTATTGTTATGATTCGTTGTGCAATTCATGGATGAGTGTGAATTGATGGTTAAAGGATGGAGAGGCAATGATTGTCTATTATAATTGTTCTTTTTAAATAACTTCAACTTACTAATCCTCAAAGCGCTCAAAGAGTAACGAATTTTCATCCAATACACGACAAAGAATTTCACAATTAATTTCTTGTCGCTTTCTCTCCAATATGCTTCAATTTTCTCATTAATTTCATTTTCAATATCATCAACTTCTAAACTTGTGGAGAGGGATGAATGAGTAGCTGTCAACGACGACGAATAAGAACCACTCTCGGAAAAGAAGTGTTTTCTGTTTCTCTGTCTCTTGGTATTTGAAAATAAGTTTCTCACATATCCATAAAATCGCTTCAAACGAAGTTCATAAAAAGAGAAATATTGCAAATGTTTTCTGCCTGTGGCATGATGAACTATGGCTGCTATAAAAGGTACAGCCAATAAAAAGATCAATAGAAATGCTAAAATCCATTCTACGACTAAATATGCCTCTACGAAATTAAATTGAGATGTTTGAATATTGTGCTTCATAGTTCGAGCTGATTCATTAAGAAATTGAAAAAATTGACTCTGTGAAGCTAGGATGGCACTGGCATTCATTAATCGAAATTGAGTCTCACCAGGACTAAGGAATGGATAGGGTTTGACATTTGGCACAATATCAAATAGATTTGTCTTGTAGCATGAAATACTCCATGCATTGAGAGAAACATCTATGGCAACTGCAATGGCAATGAATATGAGAGCAGGTAATCGTTTCTTGAAATTCAGAGAAGTCACCGAATTTAAAAACGAAACAGACCAAAACATGCCAGACAATGCTAAAACTGTATAAACAGCTCTATGGTTCATTACATGTCAACAACCATGTCAAGTGGTGAAAATTTTCGTCATTGTACGAAATCGAGTTCAATAAAATTTTTTTACGAGCATTCCAGAACAGAAAGCAACCATTTTCATCATGTGAGTACAACATGTCACAATCATACCACGAATAAATGCATCACACTTACTTGAACGTACTAAATCCACCAAAGAGCATTTCTCTAAAATCACATTTCAGTATGATTGCATCCATTCTTTCGTCACTGAAAATCAAAAACACTTTTGTCAAATATATTGCTTCAAAATATAATCTCGCAAATAAGGCCCACACTACAAATCTAAAAAACACATTTTCATTTGATAAATCCACCATTCCAATTCGAGGATCACAAGAAATGGCATTTCTCGATTTCACACATTTCGGAAAACAGACACAACACATGTTAAATTTTTCTTTTCGTTTTTTACGTTGCCGAATATAGTCTTTAACTCGATAATCAAGAATTTCATCATCGTCTATGAATTGTCGATCTTGTCCGATCTGCTTTTGATGAAAAGTAATATCATGATGATCCATTTCTTGATATTGTTGATAGGATGACGATGGTTCATAATTATGATCCATGTGGGCAGAAGTATTTTCTGTTGTTGCTAATGCTGCTGCTGCTGTATAATAGAAAGGTTGATGTTTGAACTGACTATTTCCCCGAGTGGTATTTTGTGTTTCTGTAGTGGTGGTATCCGGAAGCATTTGTTGTTGCTGAGGAAGATCAGCCACCAATTTCATCTCTTCTTCTTCCTCAACATGTTGCAACCATGGAGTCAGCTCTGACTCTTTTGGCATCCCGATCGTGTGTTTCAGAGCTCTGGAGGGAACAACGTGCTCAGTTGTGTTTTTTTTTCAAAGTTTTTTTTCGCTTCGAATTTAAATGAATTTGCATTGTACTGGAAAATCAAATCGAAATATTTCATGTAACCTGGAATCTGAAATCGAGTCTCGAGTACGATCTGCAGTGTTGTTGTTGCATGCTGAGAGGTTTGAAAATCCTAGTAGTAGTGATGTCAGTAAGTTACGATAATTGTCCCTCAAACACATGATGATATATTTACGGTAAACCCTTTTGTTCGGAGTAACCTTTGATTTCGCGAGTTCACTGATCCCTCATCAACCAAGGGCGTTCTCATTCCCAACCATGAATGCACATGGCTTCTGCCGTTGACTCCTTTCATCATCAAAAAGAATACGAAACACGAACCAAATGTTCCTCTTTACAAGTAAATCGACATCACCACAAGAACAACCACCACTTCCATGCCACAAGATTTTACTTCTCGGAACTTTGGAGAGTGGAAAAAGTAGGTTCAGTTCTTATGATGTTCTGTTCATTCTATATAATATTCGAAAATTTAATTTCCGATGTATTCCAAAATTTGATCCCTCCTCTCATGCAACTGAACAGGTACCATCTTTAAGCAGATTCCTCTCATCTTTGGAGATGGTTTTTCCATGGAAGCGAGGAGGAATGTGAAACCATGGATATTGAGCAGTGTCATTGACAATATGAGAATTCTCATTCAAGGAATGAATGCTCTCAATCTTTTCTTTTCCAACGAAGAGAATCGACAACGTGAGAACAAGATTTTAGAGTTGAACTATTATGAATGTTGGACAATATATGAGGTTTGGAATGACCAATTAGTTCAAGATATTTTCGAATTGTTGAAAGAACCTGCCATTGTTCAAGTTCTTTCAAAAAGAAATGAATTTCACATTCATGATTCTGCAACTTACTTTTTTGAACATTTACATCGAATTTCAAAGAAGGATTATGTTCCATCTGATGAAGATATAATTCGTGTTAGAATCAAGTCAACTGGTTTAGCCGATCAGAATTTTACTATCAATACTCAATCGTTGTGCTTGATGGATGTGGGAGGAGCAAGAAATGAAAGAAAAAAGTGGCATCATTCTATCAAAGTGTGTGAACACATCATTTATTGTTGTTCATTGAGTGAATTCGATCAACTGTGTTATGAAGACGATAGTACAAATCGGATGAAAGAAAGTTTATCTGCATTTGAACATGTCCTTACCAACTTGTTAACACCCACTCAACCACATCAGGTGTATTTAATGTTTACAAAATTGGACATTTTTGAACACAAGATTAAGAATGGATCTCGTTTAGCTGATACTTTTGAGAAATACAAAGGTCCAGAAAAAGATCCAATGGCAGCTTTAGATTTCATCACTGAAATGTATTTAGCAAAAGATGTTCTCAAGAGAGTGAAAGAAGTTTTTTATGTGAACGCTTTGGATTCCAACAACGTCAAACAAACCATTCAACAAATTGCAAAGCATGTTTGACAGTAAATACTGATCAACTTCTGACACTTCTAGGTAACTCTCTGCTTCTGTCGATTAAATTAACTCTCGTAGTGCCTTATTTTCAGAAAGCGGTCACGTTTGATTATCAACCATCTAAAGCATTGTTGAAAACATTGCACGTTTTTCAAATTGAAAAAACAATTTAGATCACCCCAACCATGCAAATCTACATCAAACACCTCTCAGGAAGGACCATCTCCATAGAATGTGATATGAACGATACTATTGGAAGGATCAAAGAAAAAACAAGTTGAAAACATTCCTCCAGCTCAACAACAATTGATATTTGGATCGAAATTTCTTGCTGATGATCAACGGACCCTTTCCGACTACAATATTGTCAAAGTGAATTCCAAAATTGGACTCCTGATGGCCATGAAAATGATTTGAATAATGTTCAAGACTATTCACAAGTTTATGGAACTTTTGAACAACCTCATCAATGATTGTGTGAATATTCATATGATCATCAGATGAACCATACTTGTGTGAAAATGAAGAATATTTAATGATCATGTTTTTTAAATATACGAGAGAAATGAACAATGCAACATGTTTCTCAAGAAATAGCTCACTGTTCTTATTAATTTACAAAACCATACATTTACCACTTCCAGAGCTTTGTTTCTTTCCACCCTTCTTTTCTTCTTGTGGTGGTTCCAAAACAACAGCAATACACTTGTTGAAAATATCACGCAATCCATCTTGAGTTCTTGCAGAACATTCTCCAAAATCAGCAGCACCAACATCTTGTTTCATGGATTCTCCTTCCTTAAAGGTAATTGGTTTTTGATCCTTCTCTTCGAGAATTTTGATGAATTCTGGATCGTCACGGAGATCTTTCTTTGTACCAACGAGAACGATGGGTGTGTCTGGACAGTGATGTCTAACTTCTGGAACCCATTTGCTTTTAATGTTTTCCAATGAACTTGGATTGACAATGGAATAACTGTTGAATGTTCAAAATGAAGAATTTGGATTTGATTCGATTCGGTTCGATTCGGTTCGATTAGGTTCGGTTCGGGTTGGATTCGAAATAAATGTCAACAAATTTGTTGTTGTTGTTATTGTTGAATAATGACGATGGACAATTTTAAATACTAATACTACTTACCAAGCCAAGAATACGTTAGTATCAGGATAGGAAAGAGGTCTCAAACGGTCATAACTGTTTTCCAATGATGATTATTAGACCATCACATGCCACTTGTCAATAAAAGATTCACATGTCAACAAACACTTACTCTTCTTGACCAGCTGTATCCCACAAACCCAATGAGACGTTAATTTCCTTATATTTGACGTTGGCATTGTAGTTATCGAAAACAGTTGGAACGTAATCCTCTGGGAATGTCTATTGTTGTCAAGATGATCAGAATGAATTCAAAAAGTAGAATTTGAAAGTTTGTTGTTGTTGTTGCAAAGGATATTTGAGAGTTGTTATTATTATTGTTGATAGTGATAGGAGGGATATCGGGGAAAGACACGAGGATTCGAATCGTTTGGAAGATGATGATGTGAAGGAAAGAGTAGTAAGAACACAAAGTGTCAAAAGTCATCATGCGCAACAAGAAGAATACCACAGGTTGAATTCATCATTATCGTCATCAATGATAAACTAATTTCCACATTTTAAACACTTACATTTGATGCAAATGAAATCAACAAACAAGTCTTTCCCACAGCACCGTCACCAACGACTACACATTTAATTGATTCATCCATGATTGTTGTTGTTTTTGTTTATCTAGTGTTGTAAAGGAAAAAGGAAGAAGGAACACAAGAGATATTGAGTTGGAGTGCCCTTGCGAAGTGTGAGCGTTACTTACTCTGTGATGTGTTTGTATTTTTTTGATGGCTGACAGGACGACCATTTTGTTTGTATGTGACAGGTTCGATGAGGTTGTCTTTGGGTTACAAAGGAACACAGTACTTGGTAGAGTTCCTTTTTCAAGACAAAATCATTACCCAGAATTTTTCAATTCGACCGATTATTATTATTAAGGATCTTTTTCAATAATTATTGTTAAACTTATGTACAATAAATTTACAAAGAATTCTCCTCTTACTGCCATTCCAGAACAAAACTAAATGAAAAGTTTTGTTTCAATAATTTGGGGAACTTTTTGGAAATTTCTTGAATGTGTTTCATTCCAATTTGGCACTGTGTCATGTCCAATTCTGTTAAATTTTGAATGAAGGGGGAGAACTGTGAACTCAAGAGTGCTTGAGCTCCTTCATTGCCGAGTGCATTGCTAGAAATGTTGAGAGAAGTGAGTTTGGGAAAGTGATGCAAATTGGTGCAGAGGATTTCCATGCCTTGAGGATCAAGGTTTGTGTTGGATAGGTTGAGTTGTTGTAAATTCTGGAACTGTTCACTTGTGGCAAGTTGAGAAATTCCTTCAAATCCAATAAGGGTGTTTTCTGCAAGATTCAAACATGTTAAATTTTGTAAAAAGAGAGTTTTGGAAAGGATCTCCATTCCTACGGAATTGATAAAATTGAAACTTAAATCTAAATCGGTTAAAGTTGACATGTTCTGAGAGTTTGACAGATGGGTCACTGCTTCATTCAATACCACTGTTGATCCCAGTTTGAGAGTGGTGAGCTTCTTTAAAAAGTCAGAGCAACAAATTAATTTCACACCTTCATCTCCAATACTACATTTTGTGAGATTTAAATATGTCAAGTGTTGAAAATTGGGTGATGCTGTCAAATGGTTCAATGCTCGAAGTCCAATGTTGGTAAAGGAAAGGTCTAAAAATGTTAAATGATGCATCACCTTGCTCATTGCTAAATGCTTCATTCCTTCCTCTTCAATGGATGTATTACCATTGATAATTAATGTTTGTAATTGGCCAAATTGCGATGCAATGAATTGCAAGGTAACTGGACCAATTTTGTTTTGACTCAAATCCAATTCTGTCGCTTGATCGAACCATCCTCTTGGAACATTCTCAAACACTTCTTCCATTCCCTCATCTTCCAATTCATTGTTCCTTAAACATAATTTTCTTAATTTTGACCTCTGACATGCATTTCTTTTCTCCACATGACTCGACCACAACAACAATAACTCTTTCCATCCCTCATTATACAGTCCATTCGAGTTCAAATTCAATTCTGTTAAATATTCAAAAAACTCTGCACATTCACCAATAAGTTTCACTCCGTCCATCCCAATAGAATTTCCCTCCAAATTCAATGCTACTAAATTCTTCATGAATGGACTTGTAGAAAGTAACAAAGCCCCTTCACTTCCACAAAAAGTACCACTAAAATTGACATTTGTCAATTGTTCAAGATTGGGACATGTTAAGACGGAATGCAAATTCTTTTCATCCATGAAAGAAAATGATTTAGATTGCGAACTGAAATCTAACATTAATGGAATTTGCAAGGCTTGTTGGAACCATTGACGAGAAATTTTCATACACACTCGCAATATAAATTCCGAATCCAAAAATTGCATAATATGAAAAACAATATCATCAATGAATTCAATGGGTTCTCCTTCTTCTCGGAAAGTCCGATCCAAGGATGGATCTATTTCCTCTGATTCATCACCATGATCATTGGATTCATTAAGAGCGAGAAAGCGAAACATTTTTTTTAGATTTTTACTGAAACTTGCTTCGGATCGTGAGGATGAAATCATTATTGGATCGCATGTGTTTGTGGGTCTTCTGGCTCTAGTCCTAGGATAGAGAGTCACATGAAAAAGTCGAACGTTGCATTTTTTTCAAACGGTCAGTTGTACTTTCGAATTGGAATGTTGTTGAGAATAGCGTCGTTTTGAGATCGTGCTTCAGGAAGAAAATTAATGGTTTCATATTCTAGTGTACTTCAATTACTCTGTCGTTCCTCTCAACAAAGTCGTTGCAATAAAACACAAAAAAATGAGAAATTCATCATGACAACAAAACCACATTGAAATGATTGAACATTTTTCGATAGCAATGGATTGAGCTTGGCGGAGTGATGCTTGGAGGCTTTCAATGAAAACATAATTTCGGTTTGACAAATTCCGAAAATGTTATGATAAAATGCTCATGAAATAGGCTCTACATTTTAGTTCGGAATCTCTCGGAATCGGAACATGAATTTGATTCCGTAAATAGGAACTAACTAATTTTAGGATAAATAGATAAGCAATGACCATTGGCACTGAACAACAACAACAACATTTCAAAAGAAAAATCCAAACATCTCTAACTGTGGTTTTCTACCAAGCTACAACAACTCTCAAAAAATTGCATTTCCTTAACAACTCTAACAACCCCAATAATAATCATACAAACACTCCATCATGTCCTCTGTTTTCGACGGTGCCATTGGTATTGATTTGGGTACTACCTACAGCTGTGTCGGTGTTTATATGGGAGACAATGTTGAAATCATTCCCAACGATCAAGGTAATCGAACCACTCCATCCTATGTTGCGTTCACAGATCAGGAACGTTTAATTGGAGATGCTGCCAAGAATCAAGTTGCCATGAATCCTCATAATACAGTCTTTGATGCCAAACGTTTGATTGGACGAAAATTTATGGATCCCAGTGTACAGGCAGATATGAAACATTGGCCTTTCAAGGTCATTACAAAGGGAGATGATAAGCCATACATTCAAGTCGAATATAAGGGAGAGGTTCATACTTTTACACCAGAACAAATCTCGAGTATGGTTCTCACTAAAATGAAGGAAATTTCAGAAGCTTATTTAGGTAAAAAGGTGAAAAAAGCAGTAGTGACAGTTCCTGCCTATTTCAACGATTCACAAAGACAAGCAACCAAAGATGCTGGTACCATTGCTGGTTTGGATGTTTTACGTATTATCAATGAACCTACAGCTGCTGCCATTGCTTACGGACTCAATAAGAAGGGCGAACGAAATGTTCTCATTTTCGATTTGGGAGGTGGTACATTCGATGTCTCCATTCTGAACATTGAAGAAGGAGTTTTCGAAGTCAAGGCCACAGCAGGTGACACTCACTTGGGTGGAGAAGACTTTGATAACCGAATGGTCGAATTCTGCTGTCAAGAATTTAAGAGAAAACACAGAAAAGAATTGCATGAAAATCCACGAGCTTTGAGAAGATTGAGAACTGCCTGTGAAAGAGCCAAGAGAAATTTATCAAGTGCTGCCAATGCCACCATTTCTGTCGATTCCATTATGGATGGCATTGATTTGGACATTCCAATGACTCGAGCCAAATTCGAACAATTGAATATGGATCTCTTTAAACACTGTTTCGAACCAGTCAAGAAGGTTTTACAAGATTCTGGTTTGGACAAGTCACAAATTGATGACGTTGTCTTGGTCGGTGGTTCCACTCGTATTCCAAAGGTCCAAGAAATGCTCAAAGATTTCTTCAATGGAAAGGAATTGTGTAAATCGATTAATCCAGATGAAGCCGTTGCTTATGGAGCAGCCGTTCAAGCTGGTGTCTTGACTGGAAAGGAAACTCGAGTCTTGTTAATTGATGTCACACCATTGAGTTTGGGAATTGAAACTGCTGGTGGAGTCATGACCAAGTTAATTGAAAGAAATACCACCATTCCATGTAAGAAGTCAGAGACCTTCACCACGTATGCCGATAATCAAACTGCAGTCACTATTCAAGTCTATGAAGGTGAAAGAACCATGACCAAAGACAATCACTTGTTGGGTCGATTCAACTTGGAAGGAATTCCTCCAGCTCCCAGAGGTGTGCCAAAGATTGAAGTCACCTTTGAAATTGATGCAAACGGTATTATGAAAGTCGCTGCCAAAGACGAATCTTCTGGAAAGACTGAGAATATTACCATTACTAATGATAAGGGAAGATTGAGTAAGGAAGAAATTGAAGACATGCTCAAGAAGGCCAAAGAAATGGAAAAGGAAGATCAAGTCATGAAGGAAAAGATTGAAGCCAAGAATCAACTCGAGTCGTATGCTTATCATCTTAAATCGAGCATTGAAGATCCTAATGTGAGTGGAAAATTATCTTCGACAGATAAAGACACAATCATGAGGCGTGCGACGAGGCCACAAGTTGGATTGACAATAATCCTAATGCCACGAAGGATGAGTTTGAGAGAAGAAGAAAGGATTTGGAACATACTTGTGCTCCTATCATGACCAAATTGTATCAAGCAGGAGCTGGTCAACCAGCAAGTGAACCACATTTCAAACCTTCATCCCAAGCATCAGCAGGAACATCGCAACAAACCTCTCAACCCAAGTTCGAGGATGTAGATATTGATTAAATGTAAATAAATTAACGATGCCTATTTTGCAACGTTTGTTGTTATAAGCAAAAGGGACTTTAACAACATACAGTAAAGCAAAGGGACTTCATCAACAAGGACACAGGCTCAATCTTGCTATACATTTTAGCTTTCCCATTCACAGAACGAATGAAATTTCATACTTTACAAAATAATTAAATCGTTTTATTAATTCTTTCTTGGTTCAACTTTCATTGACAAGTTCCACAATTCCTTGTCGTCACAATTAAGGTTATGGAAAATATCTTCCTTGAGAATGTATTCCAAGTATGGAATAAGTTTGTATGGATAGTGAAGCGTTGTCTTCAAATCTTGAACAGTTCGGATCGTCTTGTAATAGGTACGTCTCTTCTTAAAGTTGATCAATTTCTTGTCAGGATTAGAGACGTGGTCAAGCAAATCTTGATTACCATCCTTTGTGAAAGTCACATCTGTTAAAAACACGCCTGTAAATGGAATACAAGGTGATCGATCAATACTCAATGACTCTAATCTCTTTCTCATTTGAGAAAAGTTATTGGTGAAGAGGTTATTACATTCTTCAATGAGTTGCAAATCATCCTTGCTGATACCTTCTTTGCAGCACGCAATCTCGAAATTGGAGCAGAATTGAGACCAGATGAGATGGCCATGATGGATGTAAAGTTATTCATTTGCAACAATTCTCTCATAATATCTAAGAATTTCTTATAAACTTTCTTTCTATTGTCAGGATTGACCTCAGCAAGAATACGTCCTCTCACCCAGTATGAAATGTTATTCGTACGATCAGTAATGGCACAAAGTGTTGGAGCAAGTTCATACTTGTATTCCTTATCAGCCCATGCATTGTCGAAGAACTCTTTGGGTTCAATCTTCATGAATAGTTTGGCATCAATTAAAGTTAACTGTCTTGCAATTTCTACAGCGGGCCATTGAATTAAATCGAATGATCGGTCGAATGGATTCTTGTAGTTCTTTCTCTGTGACTTTTTGATTCTCCATTCTTTGATGTCAACAATTGGAGTTTCAAGTTCTTCGAACAAAACCCCTTTTGGAAGTTGAGGTAAACAATCTTGAACACCTTTTTGTTTGATTGTTTCTTGTTTAAAGTTCAACAAGTTCTTGATGGCATACCGACGAATCTTCTTTTTGGTGTTGCTCTTAAGTTCTCGATCATTGGCAATTAGGAATCGAGTTAATTCAGCAATAACAAGATTGTCAAATTCATGGAAACTGTCACGAATCCAGTCACAAAGGAATTGTTCCACACGGATACGAATAATGTTTTGATTAGGATTTGGTGTTTGATAGAGAATGGACAAAATCTTCAAAAGTTGGTGAGGGGTGGTGAAAGATCCATATGTGATTTGGAAGATGTGCTTGAATTTACCGTGTTCCTCAGTATCACCAGTAGCAATATTAATCTCAAGCATTCTTTCGACAAGCTTGTTAAACGTTGCTGCACGAATAGTACCATCTTCGTCCAAAATGACATCTCCTTCTTCTTCTGAAGGTTGAAGATTTTCAGATGCATGCTTTTCTTGGAGCATCTTTTCATAAGGTCTCAACAAGAGTTCCAAAGAAGCTCGTACCACATCGTGAACTTGATCTGAAAATTTTGGATTGAAACTCCAGTGAATAATCACAGAACCTAGTAACCAACGCCATTTTTGTTCGACATGCTTTTTCTGCACAGGTGGAACTCGTTCCTTCTTTGGAATGGAATCGTCATACAATTCTTTGACAATTAATTGATCATTCAAGTCTCGTACAAGTGGTAAGATACATTGTCTGAAAACAAGATGACATAGCTGAGAATCAGATTTCAAAGTAAGTTGCAACACCAAGTTCATAATCAAGTGAGACACTCGTCTGAACAAGAGAGCAACAGTATGTGGTTGTCCTTTGACATTTTTAGCTTCGAATAGGTCGGCAATTTGTTGTTGACGTTGGAGAAGAATGTCAGTAATTTGGATATTCTCTAACATTTGAATATTTTCATCTTGAGTGCGGAGTTCTTGCACAATCTCGTCGAATAATGCACGATTAGTGAGAAGTGAAGAAACTAAATAGCTGACAATGCATCCAACTTCGCAACGAAGAATTGCATCATCACCCATTTTACCAGAGAAATCCAAGTTGTTGAAGCCCACAGTTACTTGTTCCAAGAAGGTGATAAGGTTGAGCATGACATAGAACGGTCTTGTCTTCCACCAGCGCAACAGCTTGTCTTTGGAAAGACCTCTCAAAATCCATAAAATGCACGATGAAACGACTACATAAATTTCATCATTTCTAAATCTAGTCAAATTTTCATCGTTTTCGAGGAATCTATCGACAAATTCGAGATATAATTCTGCCACAACAGCTCTCCTCGAATCTTCTTGGTATCTACTGTCATAGTCAAGTTTACAAAAATGGTCTAAAATAATCTTGGACATTTTGATGAGGAGCTTGTCATTACCACTTTTCACTACATCAAAGAACAAGTCAACCAAAAGAGATGAAAGAGTGACCATTTTGTGATCTATAACAGGAGTTGCATTGAGTTCCTCCATTAAATGATCCGTCTGGTTTGCTGAATCAGATTGAGCCTTGTAATACAAACGCAAAAGATGAAGGTTGAGTGGTATGTAGTAGTCGTAGTCAGTCAAAATTGCAACAAATTCAACTTTGAGTCTCAACTTTCTTTCATCGATACCATCCAAACTAGAGAAATAACGTTCTATTAAATGTTCAACATAGTGAAGCTTGTTAGGTATGAATGGAATTATATCTCTCAAGAAGAGAGCCAAGTTTCTGTTTCCTCCAATACCAATGTTTTGTCTTCCGTGACCGCTGGCCAGTAAGAGCTTGTAAATACGAACGACCATGTTGTCAACAAGTTGACGTAATCGATTCAAAATATGTCTATCCGAAATTGGATAATCGACTTCATGCTCATCGTGTGAAGAATTTCTCTTCTTCTTTGGTTGCTGATCTTGTTGTTTTTGTTTTTCATGGAAAAATATGGTCATTGACTTGATAATGGCATCAAAAATAAACCATGAGAAACGAATTGGATCATGCTCAGATAATTGATTTCTCTTTTGTTCAATTTGCTGCTTGACATCTTCTGTGTCTTTCTTTTGGCGAGATTTCTTAACAAGGTTGGTCAAATCAAGAAGATAATCGGAACCCTTTGCTGGAGCCATCTTATCAGACTCAGGAACTTCGAGATATTCTGCCATGAGTCGTAATAGAACGCTAAATAATGGATATTTAGCTCCACGAGGTTCTGTTAAAATGTACTTGATATAGCTTGTGAAAAATACATTGAGTCTGGAGTGAGATTCAGTTTCGTTATTAGACTCGCTCAAATAATGGTAGCAACCACGTAAGCAAACCAATATTTGTTCAAATGATGCAATCTCCACTTTTTCAATCACATACGTGGCAGCGCTGGATTGAAGCATGGTGGAAACACGTCCTAAAAGACCAAACAATAAATTGAGAACTACAGGCAAATGTGGCATGAATATCTTAAAATCAATCTTGTTGAATTGTGGGAAAACGTAGTCACACAAGAAGGTGAGTACTTGAGGTTTTTGATAATCAGGAACGTTATTCAAATCGTACATGGTGGAGAAGAATAAATTGAGAATATCATCCGCTGGATCAACTGATGATACAAGCTGAGCTCTTAATCTCAATTTACCAATTCTTAGGTTTTTGAGTTTCTCCTCAGAATCCTTCATATAGTTTGCAGGAAGCTCCTTATAGATTGCAATTTCGTCAGGGAATACGTGTTTGCGAAATTGAGCAAACAATGAATAACTGTCATTTTCAAACTTCTTTGGTTCATTGAGTTCCATGAAAGCATAGCCAATGACGGCTCTGTGTGAAGTTCCAAAATCTTCCTTTCTAATGTCGTTAGCTCCACTCACATAGGAAAGCTTTTTAGATTTCTTATTGTCAACATCTAAGTGATAAAATACAAGTAGTACGTGTTGATCTCTCTTTGGTTCACAAGGAACATCAATCTTAAATTCATCATAAAAATGTGGTTGTTTTTCTTCAGCATACGAGACACAAGTGAAATCAAATTTGGCTCCCTGTCTGCTAAATCTAGTCATAATTCTTGGCTCTGCATTCACAGCACCAGTAGTTTCATTGACAACCTCATTATCTGACTCGCGATATAAAATTTCACAGAAAATATTCTTAGCACCAGTCGATTTCTCAAATTGAGCTACAATTGGATAGAAAAATAAGTGATTAAGAATTTCCAAATTTGGGTATTTGGTGAGTTGAACAGGCAACTCTTGAATCCGAATGTAATCAGAATCAGGAAGCGATTCGTCATCTCTCTCAGGTTCACTCTTTGATGGGCTATTTGGCATAAGTTCTCCTCTTCCAATTTCATTCAACAAACGCTCTTTAAGAAGCGAATTTGAAGGAGAGAGAGGTGAAGGCGTTGAGTTGGATAGAGAAGAAGATCCAAAGCCAAGAGCATTGTGAGCATTGGAAATTGATGTTCGTCATCTAATTGATTATCTGTGCTTTGAGGGCTAGAAATATATGATTGGTTCGATCCTGATCCAACAATTTGGTGCACATTATTTAGAATGCTGTGCTCATTTGAACGATGTTTGTGGTAGTATCTCTTGGAACTGTTTGAGAGAGGTCTATAAATTTCAGCTCTAAATAGAAATCCGCCATCCACTTGTGTCATGTTCTTTAACTTCTTTTCTTTTTGAATGGTTTTAATGACTGATATCACATCGAAATTATTCTTGTAATCGTATCCTTCAATGGAGTACATGGGTTTCACTTCGAATTTGGTTGACATTAAATGAATTACGTTTCCTCGCTTGCTAAATAAAGGCATGTAACCAAACATTATTGCTTGTCTGAAATGAGCGACCTGTTGTTTCAGCTCAACATATTGCTTTTCCAAATCATTAATTTCACTTTGTTTTGAATCTTTCTTGTACAACTTCAGTGCATCCTTAATGCCAGAAGTTGGAAGTCGATAAACTTGAATAACGAGGTAAATTTGGTCATTGGGATACGTGACGCTGAACAGGCACTTCTGTTCTACAGTGATAGTTGGAGTTGGACTCTCACCTCCTCTTGGAGTAAGTACTTTTTCTTGAGCTGTAGGTGAAGAAATTGGAGTGATGGTTTGAAGATAGTCTTGTACCCAAGGAGAAAGAGTTTCTAATTGTTCAGGGGCCACAAAGTGGAAATGAAAATCCTCACTAACTTTTGCTCCTCTCTCTAGATCATACAGAGCAATTGAGTAATAATTAATTTCATTGGTGGGACGTTCAAATTTAGGTGATGAATAAAATGATATCACCATTTGTGTTCTCTTTTTCATTGGATATGTCAAATTAGCTTGATTCTGAGGTTGACGGAAGCACATTGATGTTTCCAATGGTCGATATTTGAAATTAGGCTTCAAACAGCTCATAAGTCTTGCAGTAGATGAAGGCAAAACTTCGTTATCAGTAATTTGGAGTGCTCCAGTTTCTGGGTTGAAAATGGATGGCGGCTCTTCGCTTGTTGGAGATCCCAAAGGAAGAGATCTCTTCTTAATGAGTGGAGGTTTTTCAAAGGTAGAATCTGCAGAAATGAAATCAAATTGCTTCACACGTCTCTTGGCACTGGAGTGTTTTGCAAATTCAACCAAGCTCAACTTTTTCAAATATTGTTCTTCTGGATCGACCTCTTCTTGTACCTGATTGGAATCAAATGTTGTTGGTTGATTTGTAGAGGGTGTACCTGTTGAGGGAGTTTGATTTTGATTATTTGTGTCAGTGTTGGTTGTACCACCTTGATTTTCTTGATCTCCTATGACAGCCATCTCGAGGAAATCGTATCCATCCAATAGCATTTTACCATCACCAAGTTTTGGTACTGCTCCTCTGTGTGAATCGAGTTGTCCTGAAGATGGAACGCTTGAATGAGTCTTGTTTAATTTCAAAGCAAAGAGACTTCCTTTCCTCTTTCCGTCAAGACCTTCTTCATTCTTGATGTTTCGCAATGAGCCCTTCAGTGGAGACAATGAATGTTGAGCCTCTGAAAGATCTTCATGCGAAGAGTCAACATTTCCAACAGTAGTTTCATCATGCAAAAGAGCTTGTGAATGAGTTGTATTGCTGACTTGAATTTGATCCTTTCCTAGTTGGGTATTGGTTGCCATTGAATCCAAATGATAGAGAGCTTTAAAGAAAGAATCAACAATACTCTTTCCGGGACCAGTATTTTGATTTTGCGATGAAGTGTTGTTATGTTGTGACAATGTCAAACTCAATAAATTATTGGAAGATAAATTTGAGACACTCTCTTGATGATGAGTGCCACCAGAATGATGATCTGAAAGTGATTTAAATTGTACTGCTCTGTACACAAATGGATCCTCTCTCTCAAGTACAGTGAAAGGCTCAAAGCTCATACGATGACATTCTTGCAAGTGTGGATACTTGGAGTGATCCAATTCAGGAATATTGATAGCAGGATGTGTGGCAGGAGGAAGAGGATGGAAAACAGGTTTAGGCTCGGCGTGAACATTTAAACGTTCCTCAACTTTCATCCACAATGGTAAATGTTGATCATCCACTTGAAGAAGAAGATCGTTTTGATCGTATGCAGAGAAGGAAACGTGAGACTTTTCATGGTTCATGATGCTGTTGTTATTGCTGTTGTATGATGAATATGAGGAGGATGGTTCACCATGAAGAAGAGGCATGGAATTTTGATGATCATGGTATCCTGATGTTGCCGAAAAGACTTCATGATGAGAGGATGAATCATCATCGGTATGAGTCGTTGCGGTAGAGGCTCTCAAAGATGATTCTTCTGATCTCTCAGATTCATCGGTAGGTCCACTACTCATACCAGTATTTGAAGTGCTGAGAGCAGCAACGGTTGTATCATGATCAGAATGATGATTCGTAGTATTTGTGTGTTGGTTGGATGACGATTCATGAGTGGAAGGCGAAACTGATGATGATGATGAAACCACAACGACCGATCCAAACACAACATCCTCACTGGTATTACTTGCTGCTGTTGTAGGTGTCGTGTTGGAATTGGTACCGTCCTCATTCCGTGCGGAGGAGGGTAGTTGCAACAAGGTCGTCGTATTCAAGGATAACGGCACAACGACGACCGATGCAGATTCATTATTTTGATTCAAATTTGTAGGATGAATATAGTTTTCATCATGGTGCTCTTCTTCTTCAGCATCATGATGATGATGGGTCAAAGAAGGAACGGATCCAGGTGGTGTTACCGGTGTATTCAAATCTATGGTTGTAAATAAAGAATGATACTTGTCTCCGACTCGTCTATGAAGTAGATCATCATCATTCTCTGCGAGAGAACCAATCACTGCCACATTTTCATCATCAGCAGAAACTGTCTCATAGACATAGGCAGAAGTGGAATCATCGCTTTCTATTCTGGGTAAATGTACAATCACTGGGGTTGTTGTAGACATGGATGGTCTTTGTGTATTGTTGTTGTTTTGAATGTTGTTGTTGTTATTATCATGATGGTCATCAGAAATAATATTGGAAGAAGAGAATGAAATGGATGATTCAGTATCTGTTGTTGTTGTTTCTAAAACTGGTGTAGTTGTTGTTGGAGCGACAGAAGTCGAATCATTCGTCATAGTGTTGTTGTTGCTAGCAGTACCACTTGAGCTCGAAGACTCTGTCATCAACAATTCTTCTTGTTTTGTTGATGAATGGTTGTTGTTGTGTTCTTCGACTACATCATCATTGAGAGATGCTGACATTTTTTTTAAAGGAATGGACTTTACAAATTTGGTTTAGTTTGAGTGCTGACAGGACTGGGTAACGTAATGTGATTGAATTGTTGTGGCAAGTTTGATGTATTGATGGGTTGGAGGTCTCTTGGTTGTTGATCTTGAATTTCTGGTGATTCTGATCCGTGCATCAAAAACATTGAGAAAACAAAGTTTTCAAAAGCAAAAATATCGACCGTGTTGATGACGAGAAGAGGAAAGAAGAGATACCAAATCGGAGGCTGGAAGATGTGCGTTTAAGCAATTTTTTGAAAAGCTGTATGGTCTTGACAAGTGGCACGACAAGACTATCTTTGGAAATTATCATACAAGTGTTTAGATACCACATCAAGAGAGTAATTGATATCTGTTCTGGTTTTCATGGAATACAAAGATGACAATCTCTGCCGCATGTCATCTAACACTTGAAGTGTTCTTGTCTTTTGTATAGAGACTTTACAACCATGCAATCCATGACCATCAACAATGAAATTGTCATTACTCCTCTCTCATTCTAAATCGGTCTCACCAACAAAAAATGTTTGATTTCAACAGGTCGAAACCCTGCAACAACACGAGTCTCGCATCAATCGTCTCATTCCGACAACGAAAAGAAACATGATCACTGACCTCTCCACACACTTGTTGATCATCACTTTATGTGTCTTGTTGTTGGGATGGAATCCATACGGAAATAATTTCATCTTGTTGGCAAATGGAAAATCTTCATCTTCTTGTGTGAATATTCTCTCAAAACCATTCATTCCTGATTTAACACCTACTCTGAGAAATCCATTGCGAGGATTTGCAAGCTATGAAGATACCTATGAGACGTTTACATTTCCACAATCATTGGAATATCGATACTTTCCATTGAATGTCTTGATGAATTCCATGAATAATTTTACATTTTCAAATACACAAAATAACAATCGAGACAATTTGGAAAAATATTTAAATGATGTGAAAAAGAGAAAAAGACAAGCCATTTTGAGAGTTTATTTGGATTATCCAAATTGTTGTCCAGATGGAACTTATAACACTGGAGTACCTTCGTTTTTATTTCAAGGTCAGAATGCTGTCACGTTGACACCTTATACCGAATATGGAGGTGGTCAATCTCCGGATTATTCCAATGAAAGATTAGTGTCAGCTCTCGAAGCATTTATTCAAAAATTAGGTCAACACTATGATGGAGATACCAGAATTGCCTACATTCAAGTTGGTTTATTAGGATATTGGGGAGAATGGCATACCTATCCAAATACCAACCAGATGGCTCCTCTTTCTACACGATGGAGAGTTCTTACTGCTTTTTACAATGCCTTTAATGTGACCAAGATATTGGTTTCACAAGATTCCATGCAATATTTTTGTCCTCCATTAGGCAATGGTTCTACGAATAATTTGTGTGACGTTTCGGTAACTTCCCTCCATATCCAACAGTTGCATTTCCATCGATTGGATTTCATGACGATGCATTTACTGATGCAACCTATAGCGGCACCACTCCACAAGATTACTACTTTTACAATCGATTACAATCGAGAATTCCAGACTTGAACAAATTTTTGACACAAAACTCGACAAATGCCAAAGTGGGTGCAGTCATTGGAGGAGAATTATATCCTAGTAATCAAGCAAAAATTTTCAAATCGGGTTGGACAGGTCAAAACTTCAAGATTGTGTTCAGAGAACGAATTGTACATGGCTTTTGAATGATTATGTTTTTTCAACGCTCAAGAAAACCAGTGTCGATGAGTATCAACGTGCTTTGAATGCATCTGTATTGCTGGGTTATGCATTTACCGTGAATGATATTTCATTGTGTAATGCAACATCGACCTCGATGAATTTGAAATTGAATTTACAAAATATTGGAAGTGCTCCATTCCCTTATCCAAATATTACATTGTTGGTTTCACTGAGAAATGGAACTTTGACAAGTGACACCATCCTTTCTACTCAAAGTGTTAATATCATTGGTGTAACACCGAGTACTGGAGTTCAAACATTTTCATTGAATTTCCAATGGTCATCCTCGTATGGAGTCAAATATTCACCTCAAGTATTATTGAGGCTTCAGAGTAAGCATGTTCCTTCAGAAATTCCCATTGCCTTTGCTGTGAAGGGAGCTCCTACTGATGGCTCTCCATTCGTTGCATTGGAAGATCGAGTACAAGTGTCCAACCAAGATACACAACCTGAGGTTTCCAAAAGTTCTACTCAACCTAACACCTCTCCAAAGGTATCTACAAAGACCTCACCAAAAACATCGCGAGGAGTCAACAATGGACAGGCATCTCTTGCAGTGAGTGATAGGAAGCAACAAGGACCATTAGCGACCTTTGTGTGTGTCGTCATGTTGCTGTTGTTGTTCTTCTGATAAAATTGGATAATAATAATATCTTTCAACTGGTTTTCCAATAATTCAACCTGGCAATCAACAGTTCAAAATCTGGTTACACAATGCATCTCATGGTTACAAGCCTCAAATTTGCACTCACTGCTGCATGTGCAGAATCATCCATTTGGGTTGTCGTGCTGTGAGATCTGTCCAAGTTGATTGAATTCCAAAACGAACTGAATCGAACTCTTCAGATTTAAAAAATGCTCAAACCCAGATGCATTGAATCTTTTGCCCGTAAGATTTTCAAACTCCAGTTGGGTCCTTGTCTCAATCGAACGACAACTACATCCTCCCAACAATTTTTCTTCTTAGGAAATGTTTCATTCCGCAATCATGAACCACATCACCGAGAATTCCACAAATGCATAGTCTCTTATCAAACGGAAGAGAAGTCTCCTGAACTCGAAACGGATGATCTTAGAACACAACTCGTTGAAGCCTTGGACCAACAAAGTCACGCTCTCGCAACAACCATTTCTTCTAAATTGATTCAAAGATTAACTACAATGAGTTCTGAACGCTCTCTCTCAGCACAAGACAAGGAAATTCTCGTGTTTGCATATCTAGCTCGCGGTTGGATTCAAAATTCCATCGAAGATTTAAGTAAATCCATTGAACTCAATCCTCTCTTGTTTAATGGTTATTACTTTAGAGCACGTATCTATCTCACCCTGAATCAAATGGATAAGGCCTTTCAAGACATTGAAACATGCCTTTCACTGAATCCAGATTGTACTGAGGCCTATTTAACACGAGCCTTCATTTATGAACAAGGTCAAGATTATGAAAAGGCAATTGAGGATTATGAGAGAGCCATACACATACATCCACCAGCACGACAAGATCCACAGATATTGGACCGATTAGCTGGTTTGTATTGGAGAGTGGCGCGTGCATCATTGGATGTAAATATGGACCAGTGGCATACCAATCTTGAAAAGAGTAATCAACTCTGTATGGAGACCATTGAAATATTGACGAATCGTATTGAAAATCATTCTGATACCAACACAGTGGGATCATTGGGTCATGGTAGTCATTTAGGCGTTGTTGCTCTTGAGGTACTGTCACTGATAACAACACGAGTCATGACGCTCCATTACACTCTGCCGAGAAATGTCATCGAATTCGACTATGCTCGAATATTGCAAGTAATTATGTAGGCATGAATCAATATCAACAAGCACTCCAGTATTATACAACAGCCATCAAATTCATTCGCGAGATGGAACAAGAGAATGATCTTTCAACAACAAAGCTGTTTGCAACCTATCAAGCATATATGAATCGAGGATTTTTATTGATGCAGTATTTCAAGAAATATGATTTGGCATTGAAAGACTTCAAGAAAGCATTTGATATTGCGGACTCGTCGAGGGCTGATGACAAGACACCTCAATGGGAAACTCAAAAATACCAAATCTATGTTGCCAACAGTGAGTTGGCCATGGTACACTTGAACATGAATGAAATTGATAAGGCATGTGAGTACATGCTTAGAGCAGAGATTGCACTTCTTGAAATTTGTAAAAGTAGAGCTACTACTACTACCACTGATAGTCCAGTTAATGATACAAATGAATCCAACACAGAAAACAAAAACTCGCAACAGGTCGAGAAGGTTGAAACTCCATTTCCGTTTAACTTGTTCCTATGTGGAAAAAGTCTTGAACAATTTGCATTGCATATTAGGCAAACATATCCTCATTCAGAAATCACACATCCCGTTGGAAATGCATTATATTGCTGATATAATATGTATTCTTGAGGGAGACTATGAAAACGCTCTCAAGCTGTTAAACATATATATTGACGAGCTAAATTTGCAAGAACATTTGGAAATCATTTATGCCAATCGAGCAGATGCAAAAATTAAATTGGGAAAATATCATGAAGCCATTCAAGATTGTAATTCATCTTTGGAATTGGATCCAAACTTTTATGCTGCTTTTTTTAACAGAGGAGAAGCTTATTTTCGCTTACATGAATTGGATAAGGCAAAACGTGATTTTGATCTAGCCCTTGAGAAGGCACCTTTTTTAAAGCAAGAGTTGTTAAATCTCTGGCCCACTTTTGATGAATACCAATTGAGTAATACACAAAACGATTGAGTATGTGATCATTTTGATATTTCAATAATAGCTCATTGTCAATGCGCCATGTTTTGGTTGTTTACAAAAAAATGCGCAAATTTAAAAGATTGCTTCATCGTGTGGCCACCATTCATCACGAAAAGTCATTAAAAGTTCAATTACCGGATGATATTGTATTTTACGTTTTGCAATATTTAGAATCTGAATTTATTTTGAGAGTGTGTTTATTTATTTCGAAACAATTTCTGCAACAATCATTGGAAATTCAAAAATCATTGAATTTTTCTGATCGGGATAGTTTTAATGAACCATCCTTAATTTCCTTTGTGAATTGTAAATATATTCAAAATTTAACTATCTTGAATCTCTCTTCAAATAAGTTAAGAGTAGAGGGTGCGAGATTAATTTCTCAATGCAACGCTCTTAATCGTTTAACCATGTTGGATGTGAGTAACAATGGAATTGAATTTGAAGGAGCAAACCACTTGTCGCACAGTGAACATCTTTCCAATTTAACCGAGTTGAACCTTGCCATGAATATGATTGGAGTGCTTGGGTTGAGAGCTATTGTGAACTCTCCAACCATGAAACGTTTACGAGTTTTGAACATTAATTGCAATTACATTTTTGGAGCGGGATTGAAAAGCGTTGGTTCCAGTGAGAACATGAACAATTTAACTGACCTCAACATGAGTACCAACATTATTGGAAATAAGGGACTACTCGCTCTGAAATCTGAATGCCCATACTTGTGTCATTTGACACGATTCAATTTGACTAATTGTGAAATTGGAAATGAAGGAGCGAAATGTCTTGCACAAAGTATCAAGGACGGAGTCTTGACAAATTTAAAAAAGCTCTTTGTTGGATTTAATTTCATTGAGAAGGAGGGAGCTCAAGCTCTCCAATCATGTACTCATCTATCGGTATTGGATTTTTCTGGAAATAATATTGAAGCTTAACCGTGTCAAGGTCGTACAGATACGAACATGGAACTACTACAACAAAAAAATGTCCCATGAAGAGATTTCGGATCTTCCCATGGAGATGATTGTTCACATTCTACAATTTCTAACCGCACGAACCATCATAGGATCATGTATTCGAGCTTCCAAACAATGGGAAAAGGCCATCGAACATTTAACACTCTCTTTGGATTTGATCGGTTTAGGCCCCAAGCAAGAATTCCGAGCATTGTCACTTGCCACAAGCTCGCATCTTCAACATGTAACCACACTCAATTTATTTAACACAAAAATTGGTATCCGAGGATTTGTAGCAATTGCACAGAGTACATACATGACCCGTTTAACTCGCTTAAATTTAGGATTGTGTGATGGCAGAGATGAAGGATGTTCAGCCATTGCCGCGAGCCGAAATTTGGAACATTTAACAGAATTGAATCTCATGTTCAACAATATGAAAGAACAAGCATGTAGAGCCCTCGCACAAAATTCCTGTCTCACTCGGTTACGAAGTCTCAATTTGAGTGACAATGCAATTTTAGAAGGAGGATGTTTAGCTCTATGTCAAAGTCCATACTTGAAATTGGAGGAACTTGTGCTACGATCAAATAATATAGGAGATCGTGCATGTCAATTCATAGCAGCCGATTCAAGTGTCAGTATGAAAAATTTGACACTTCTTAATTTGTACAAAAATGGAATAACTAGAACTGGTGCAAAAGCGCTTGCAACAAGTTCAAACTTGAGCCACGTAACGGAAATTGATTTGGGCGAAAATCCGTTGGATCTCATGGGAGTGACCTATATTGTTGAAAGTCAATCATTTCATGCTTTGAAATCCCTCAAACTTGAACAAGCCAATGTTGGAGATATGAATTGTAAAATATTGGCAAAATGCAAAAATTTGGAACATTTAACAGAGCTCAATCTGCAAAGTAACAAATACATTGGAAATTTTGGATGTAAATATTTGGCAGAGAGTCAAGTGTTGACCAAGTTGAAAATTCTGAATCTGGCAGGAAATTCGATAGGAAATGAAGGATGTAAATTGTTAGCTTGTGCCAGTTGTTCAAGCAATTTGCGAGAGTTGGACGTGACAAGAAATGATGAAATTGATGAGGAAGGACGTGCTGCTTTGCAGACAGGTTTTTCAAATTGTAAATTGTACATGTAAAAATGTTGGCCAACGAAAAAGTAAACAACGAGTCAATCCCATCAAGAAGAGACAACATCTCGAGAACAATAACAAAGTTGACACTAAAACAAACAAAATTCTTGGGGAAGAGGGGGAATCGAACCCCCGGCCACAGCTTTGGAGGCTGCGATGTTACCATTACACCACCTTCCCGGTTACATAATTTGTTATTACCTGTATCCTTTCTCAATTACACAATAAGATGGCTTTGCCAACCATACATCAAATAGACGCACTTTTATGTTTGTTTTAATGAATTTCATTGTTTATTGTTCAAACATCTCTATACATTCTATTGAACAATATTCTCAGCATGGTAAGTGGGTTGCACAGGTGTGAATGTAACCTCCTTGTATTCTTGAACAGGTTGTTGCTCCATTCCCGATGCGTAGGTGGTCGTTACGACTGTGCTTGTAGTGGTTGGAACCGATACTTGAGCTCCACTCATCATCATTTGTTGCATTTGCTGCATTCTAATTTCCTCAGTAAACACATAATATCGAGTCGAAGTGATCGATGACAGGCCAGCCATGAGACATTGAAAGACCGACAATGGTACAGCAAAACCAGGATGGAACAACACCAAAATATTAACCACCCATCCCAATGATCCATTCATGCTGCTGTTATTGTAATAAAACAATGGACCAGTAAATGCAAATTCTAAATTTTCCATTGAGTACATTCATGGACATTTTGAATTCAACAAAAAGTCATTCGTTAACAACCACTCAAATTATTTCAAATAAACCTACCTGTCACCCACATAAAGACATACAAAAAGGAAATGAAATTCAAACCCCATACACATCCCATATAGTTAAATCTCACCAATCTTGACTTGTGTTCTGGATGAATATGACTCCATAAACCAATCATTCCAGTCAATGAAAGAACAAACATGAACAAGGCAACAAAGAGAAGCATCAAATCAGCCACGGCATAGCCATACAATCCCTTCACGAACCAAACGAGAAGAATGATGAAATGATACACGAAAAGAAAGATGGACCATATCATTAAAGAACCGTCATGACGGAATGTCCAATTGCCCATCCTGTCGTTTGTTGTGGTTGTTTCATCGATGCTTGATGTTGTTCAGTGGTTGGTTGTTGTTGTTGCATATTTTTTTTGACGTGATGGCACAAGTTGGATTTTGTGACACGTTTTTAAAATTATCCGCGACGTCACACAAAATTTCTCGTTACGATCACGCTGAACAGAGAGCAGCAAAAACATTTTAACGAGTTGAAAAGTCAACTCATTCTGCAAGTGAAGCACTTATTTGAGGGCATGCCATATTTCGTTTTTTGACAAATTCTCGTAGAGTTTGCCTTATTTGTAATGAGAATTTAGAAATAATCTCAACGAATTTGCTACACAATCTCATAGACCCTTCTCAAATTCTCTTGAAATATTTAAAAATCATACCCACATGAATCAAGCATGAATGCATTGTACATGAATTTAATGTTTCTCTCTTACTTGTTATGAGTCCAATGAATATCACTCATAGAGTTGTTTTTAAGAGCACTCTTTAATCCAGGAATTTGTTGAGCGAATGCACTCCTCATTTGAATCATTCGATTCCACAACTTGTTGAACATCTCTTCCTCTTGAAATTCAAAATCGATTGAACTTGTTTCATATTGCGCCACATTTTCATCAAACAATTGAATACATTTGGATTCACTTTTCAATAACAAACTCACTAAAAAGATATTCTTCTTTTCATTAAAATTCACAAAATGAAAACTCTTCACGAGATGATACGTTTCATAATGTTTGGAGAATTCTTGGTTGACCAATTCAAAAACTTGAGAACTGTTCTTCAGAGGAAAAGATTCCAAAGGTGGTCCAGATGGACTCATGGTAGGATCCTCATGGATTGAAATGTTAGGTTCAAAGAATAACAAGTATCCAGTTCGAGTGAGTGCCATTACTCCATTCTCAACGTGTTGTTTGTGAAACAACTCTTCACATGAATTCACATTTGAAACTCGCCTTATTTGGAATGTGAAATTCACTCCCAAGTAAACTTTTTCAATGCAACACATGGGTCCGATTTCTACATCTTGTAACTTGTCAAACAAGCTGAAATAAAGAGTGTCCATTATAGCGCACTGTTGAAACCGTTGTAACACTTGTTCTAATTTTGAGATTATATTCGATGGAAATTCATGTTGTGCCTCTTTCATCAATTGTTTCAACATCAAGACATATCTTGGAATTCTTGATACAAAGCAAACCACTGAACATAACATGGGTTTGACTGAAAAATTCCATTCATAATCGTCATTGTCTTGAAATTGTTGTGTCAATACTTGAAAATCATTCAATTTCGTTTGCACATGTTGAAAAATTCTTGCCAAGGCATGTACAGAAAACAACAATAAAAAAAAGCATTCCAGTAATGGTCATTCAATTGTTGAGCTTGCATGATGGTCAAAATTTGATCACCAAGTTGTACATTCGAATATTCAGAATTATTGTTTTGGAAATATCATTTTCACACAATTCTTTCATGTCACGAGTCGAGTGTTGAAATTTTTCAAGATGATGCAATAAACTTGAAAAGTGATGAATTTCATGGGGAGACAAGTGTTGTTGATGTTGTTGAAGATTGACACTTGTTTCATCTTTTTTTTGGAGTGTACAATGTTAAAATTCGATGCAAGAATTTAATACTTTGATGAACAAGATTGATAAAGTATTTTTCAGTGACTAGGATCTCAAGGAGGAGAGGACGATGTTGTTGTTTGGTTGTTGAGACATTTTTTGGAATGCAATCTGGTTGTGAGTGTGAACTTTGAACACTGGCGTTTGTTACTGAAGTAATTGTATCAAGTCCGCTAATTTTCGATCATTTTGGTTCGAACCAAGGTCATAGAGATATGAAACACAAGATAAAGAGAGTCTCTCTTGTATACAATGAACCTGATGTTATTGTTACTGAACCTCATCTCTGTCAAATTTCAAAAACATCATCAAATAAAAATATTCATCATCAGCTGACAATAATAACAACAGAACAAAACACCACTCAACAACAAAATGGCCAACAATTTTCAAGGCATGGAAGATGATGTCCTTTTCGAAGCACAACGCATCAAAGGCCAACAATTAAAACGTGAAGCCGATTCCATCCTCACACGATCCATCTATTTTGGAAACAAATCCAAAGATGCTGTCAATAAATACAAAGAAGCAGCCGAACACTTCATGACAGGTCTCGACAATAAGAGTGCCATTGATTGTTACACTGCTGCTCTGAATGTATGGATAAAAAACCAAAAGATTTTAAATCATTGGAAAGAGCCGACATGTATGTGGAAATGAGTGAATGTATGAAAGAGATGGGAATTAAAACTGTCGAGGATTTTGAAAAATATATAACGTTTGTGGATAATGCAGCATTCTTGTATGCAGAAGCTGGAAAGTTCTATAAATCGGGAGAGCTCGAGAAGGAACTTGCGGAATATATTGAAGTCGAAGGATTGAATTTTGAAAATGAAAAGGATAAAGATGGTCATTATATGAAGGCTATTGAACATTATAAACATGCTGGAGAGACATTTGAATTGGAGAATGCTAAAACGAGTACCAATCAGTGTTATGTGAAAGCGGCAGAATTGAGTGGACTTATTGAGAATTATGAAGATGCGATCAAATATTTTGAAATTGTTGCTGCGAGATGTTCGAAAGAAAAACTGACTGCTTTTAATGCGAGAGAACATTTGATGAAGGTGAGTGGAAATTTAATGGTTGAAATGTTGAAATTTTTACAAATTATCATTTTCTGACGATATTGATTTCATGTTGAAATTTGATAACCAAATATTTTGCATGATTTTGTATGACATAATCATGACTTTTGCAGGCTCTATTATGTCACATCTTGTTACAAATGAAAAATGCAGAGAAGGACGACTTGACGGGAGCATTCTATTCTTCTGTAGATGATTTACGTAATGCCTACGACCGATATTGTGAAATGGATATTTACTTGAGTGGAAGTTTGGAAGGAGATGTTGTTTTAAAGCTATTTGATGCCATTCAGAGACGAAATCCAAAAGAAATGGCAACCGTGTTGCGCAAGTTTGATAGCCTCAAAGTTTTGGATAGTTGGAAAACGACCATTCTCTTGAAAATCAAGGACAATATTTCCACGTTAGATTTGACTTAATGTGTATTATACGATGAGGATAAACATTGCTACCCATACCGATTGTAAAGAAATGTGCAAGCAACACTTTTTTGAGAGGTATAATTGATTTATTGTCTTCAGCACCTTCGCCGTCCTCACCTTCACCCTCATGGGATTCAGTACCGACTTCCTCATAGTCCTTTTCCAAGGCAGCCAAGTCTTCTCTGGCCTCAGAGAATTCTCCTTCTTCCATACCTTCACCGACATACCAGTGGACGAATGCTCTCTTAGCATACATCAAGTCGAACTTGTGGTCAATTCTGGAGAAGACTTCAGCAATGGCAGTAGAGTTGGAAATCATGCAGACAGCACGTTGAACCTTAGCCAAGTCACCACCAGGAACAACAGTTGGTGGTTGGTAGTTGATACCACACTTGAAACCAGTTGGTGACCAGTCAACGAATTGAATGGTTCTCTTAGTCTTAATAGTGGCAACAGCAGCGTTAACGTCCTTTGGAACAACGTCACCTCTGTACATCAAGCAGCAAGCCATGTATTTACCGTGTCTTGGGTCACACTTGGCCATCATGCTTGCAGGTTCAAAGGCAGAGTTGGTAATTTCAGCAACGCTCAATTGTTCATGGTAAGCCTTCTCAGCAGAAATGACTGGAGCATAAGAGCACAACATGAAGTGAATTCTTGGGTATGGGACCAAGTTAGTTTGGAATTCAGTAACGTCAACGTTCAAAGCACCATCAAATCTCAATGAAGCAGTCAATGAGGAAATGACTTGAGCAATCAATCTGTTCAAGTTGGTGTAGGTTGGTCTTTGAATGTCCAAAGATCTTCTACAAATGTCATAGATGGCTTCATTGTCCAACATGACAGCAACATCAGTGTGTTCCAACAAGGCGTGAGTGGACAAGACAGAGTTGTATGGCTCAACAACGGCAGTTGCAACTTGTGGAGATGGATAGACAGTGAAACCCAACTTGGACTTCTTACCATAGTCAACAGACAATCTTTCCAACAACAAGGCACCCAAACCAGAACCAGTACCACCACCGACAGAGGAGAAGACCAAGAAGCCTTGCAAACCAGTACAGTTGTCGGCCAACTTTCTAATTCTGTCCAAGCACAAGTCAACAATTTCCTTACCAATGGTGTAGTGACCTCTGGCATAATTGTTGGCAGCATCTTCCTTACCAGTAATCAATTGTTCTGGGTGGAAGAGTTGTCTGTAAGTTCCGGTACGGACTTCATCAACAACGGTTGGTTCCAAATCGAGGAAGACAGCTCTTGGGACGTGCTTGCCGGCACCAGTCTCAGAGAAGAAGGTATTGAAAGCATCGTCTTCAACACCAATAGTCTTATCGGATGGCATCAAACCATCAGGTTGAATACCGTGCTCCAAACAATAGAGTTCCCAACAAGCGTTACCGACTTGAACACCAGCTTGACCAATGTGGATTGAGATGACTTCTCTCATTTTGAGTTGTAGTAAGAGTTGTAGATATTACAGGGATGTGAGTTTTGCACTGTTCTTTATAATGAAGAAAGAGCGTGTTTTTTTTTGAGTGTTGGTTGGAAGAGAGCAGAAAGGCGCGTGTTTTAAATGTGCGGTTGCATTGTATTCGTTGTAGTAGAGTTGTAAAAAGAGGCGGTTGAAATTACGATGCAGTTCCAAGTTCTTTTACAAAATTTGAAATCTTTCAGAATGAACACCGAATTAAAAAATGCCAATTCGTTATTGCATGGTGGGCCTATTACGAAGAGACGAAATGTCAAGTTCAACAACATCTTGTGAGATTAAACTAGATCAACAACAATCCATAAAAACTGGCCAGTCTTCAGAGACAGCATCACTCATGTATGCACCTGAGCACACTCTTGTACATTGATTGGTGAATATTTTTTAACTGCCAAAACCAACTCGACAACCAATCCATACACCACACAAACTGCATTGAGAACAATGTGTATTAAAATTGGAGAGAAAATTCAATGGAACAATCATAAGAAATCGTTGACTGATGAATCAAGAACCAATTTAAGATTTAATTGTCAAGTCATTGATCATTTCATATTTATCGCATGTACGGACAATGATTTTCCCATTCGGATTTCGTTTGGCGTATTTGATAAATTAAAAACTGCATTGTTAGATCAAGATCTGACAGAAGACTTGGCATTTGAAACAAAAAACATATCGAAAATGATTCAAGATGAAGTACTTTACAGCAATCACATTGAAAATGACAAAAGTTATCAAATTAGAAAAAAACTAATGGAAATACAAGATCTAATGCCTCCTCCCATCATCCAACACCCATCAACAACCATGACAGAGGCTTCAATGGACGAGCTTCGAGCAAGTACTGCTTTATTTCGTGTGAGAAGTACAATTTCTCGAAAAGAAAAAATTATTGGATTTATTCAAAAAGTGTTTAGTTGTATGAGGTCATGTTGTTGTGGTGGTGAGCTTCTTTAATCTTTCAGAAAATTCATTCCATGGCCAAGCCAGCTTTGGGGTAAGTTGTAGTTGACTCTGTGCATTAAAAAGTGAAAATTCGAGGAAAACAAGAAAAAACCAAGAAATCAAGCAAAAACAAGGGAAATTAATGCAAAATCGATGTGCGAATTTGATCAAATCATATGTTTTTTCGTGTTTGTTTCATTTTTGTCCTTTCGTTAGGCTGGCAGTTGGAATGAATAAATTTCGTAACTTTTATGGAATCTTGAAACAATCAAGAAAAAATGTCACAAGGTTTTTATTCCATCAATTCAACAACAAACGATTCGGTTGAACAACGACGCAAGGATGTTATTGCTGCCATTGAGAACGGATCAGCTCGCACTTGTCCATTCTGTTTGAATGATATTCCTATCAGTAAATTATTGGGTCACAATAAGGTATGCATGTTCTTGTATGAACAAGAAACAGATTCGGACATGCTTGTTATATTAAACATTACGAGTCCATTATTGAAAAAGAATCAAAAAAGAAAATTGGACTCAATATCTCCAGACTCTCTCCAAAATTCTCAATCATCAAATTCATCTCAACCATTGAATGCAAATAGTTCATCAAGTACTAACGCCTCTCAATCCAACTCTCAACCTGAGTTAATATTTGAAAGGGAGAAATATTATGAACATCCATCATATGTGAAGGAAAGACAGAGCAAGCAAGGTTTGTGTTGTGTGCCAGCTACAGATTGTCATATTGATAAGCGTAATCAAGATTGTATTGGCTGAAAATGAATTCAATTTTTGCAAGCTTTCACACTTCTCGTCAGCAAAAATCAGGAAAGAATTTTTCACTAATCAAAAAGTCGCTATTAAGGATGCCGAAAGGAAAGAACAAGCTTGTGTTGAAAAAAAGTATGATTGTCTTCACTGCCAAGTTCAATGTTCAGATCTAATTGGAATTAAGTCACGAGATTCCACAAAAATGCTTAACTTTTGCTGCGTTACATGCTTGTTCCAATATGGTGATATTATGAAGACAGATAAATGGAATAAGTGGGTCAAAGAGAACGGTAAGAAACCCAAAAAATCTATCAAAACTATCAATTCGATCTCAGTTAATGATGTTCTTAATGTGGATCAAGCAATATCCCACAGAGTACTTTTTAGCATTCATCTTTGAAATAGATCGGTCTACTGTTCACAGAAATTTGCAAAAGGTGATTGATGTGTTTTTCACTCATTACAATCAAGAATTGTCATTCAAAAACTATCAATTTAGGGCTGAGCGTGGTGTGAAATATAATGGAAAATTAATTACTATTATTTTAGATGGAACAGAGCAACAAGTATTTACACCAAGCAACAAGATAAAAGAGCAAAGTTTGTACTCAGGTAAAAAGTGTAAGCACACTTTTACGTTGTTGATTGGTGTGTCTCCTGATGGCTATATTTTGTTTGTAAGCTTGTCTTACAATGGATCAAATAATGATTTAAATCTTATCGAATTTCCAGAAAATCATATTTGGAAATATATTAATACTGATGAATATATTATGGCAGACAAGGGTTTCAAAGGAATGCCTCGTGGAGTCCTACCATTCATCGGAAATGAATCCCCTTTCACAGAGAAAGAGAAACAGTTCAATCGAGGCTTAGCAGCAATCAGAATAGTAGTAGAGAATGCAATTGCTCACATCAAGAAATGGAAGATTTGTTCCACTCCATTCCGATGCAAAACCTATGACATCAATGAATTTGTAATGCCTATTAGAAATCGCTTATAAATCGTCGAATTTCTTTGTTGTTGTTGTATTTTTTATGATGTGATTGCTTTTGATGATTTTGGACCGAGCAAACAAAGGCAAACAGAGAAAAAGTCAAAACTCGAAGAATTTGAAAAAATCAAAGCTTTTGGCATTTGGGCCAACACACATTCCAGAATTGAACGAAAAAAAATGTCTTCAGAGGCTGGTGTCTCATTCATTGAAGCCAAACAACTTGCGGATCTCATCAAAACGAAACCCCAAAGTCTCATGATCATTGATGTTCGGGATGCTGATTTTGAAGGTGGTAACATCAAGTCAGCTCAAAATATTCCATACTTTGATGAACAAAGAGCTACGGAACTTGCTCTCCGAGTGTATCAACACAATTCTCAGCAGCCACAATTGAATCTTCAAACCCGAGCCAAACAACTGTTGAATGAATTACATGCTGGGAATGGTGGAGTTACAAAATATAACACTGTAGGAGCTGACGATGATAGAGTGTATCAAGTCATTTTCAATTGTTATTATTGCAGAATGCGAGGTCCTACTGCAGCTAAATTATTTCAAACTGTTTTGCAGGAGGTGTACAACAATCAAGCAAACAATAATACCACACCAGTATTAATGCCAGACGTTAAATTTGTAAAAGGAGGTTGGAGTGCTTGGAAAAAGTTGTACAAAAATGATCCAGCATTGTGTGATAATGCCAAACAGTTGGACAAGTTCATTAAGGCAGTTAGAAAATAATGATATTGCACACGAAGGTGTGATTTTTCACAAATTGGTCACATCTAGAACTCGATCTACTAGCTGGGAGGTTTCAATTTATTCAGGAAATTCACAGAAATAGTGCCATCCCTTCCAAAAGAGCAAGCCACCAACCAACTATGGAAAAGCTTCGTTTAGTCAACCAAGACTTTTTTTTCGTGGTATGAATGTAGCATGTACAATTTGTCATCAACTTAACCTTAATAAATTGATGCACAAAGTTACTCTACCGACTATTTGGGTTATTGCTTCCGTTCGTGGATGGTCTTAGATTGAATGGTTCGAATTTGTAGGGAGCTGTACGTTGTGGAATGGTATGGGCGGCTTGATTAGAAGATTGTTGTTGATTTGGGACATTGTTGAGGGTCAAAACAGTGTTACTACGTTGTTGCAATTGATAGTTTTGGTCCTGCACAAGTCGTTCCAAGTTCATTCGATACGCACTTTGGTGCGTTTGAGACACTGTAGTAGGCGGAACCATTGTTGCTGAGCTTCCCATTGTTTGTAGGTTAGGATTTACACTGTTATTACGTGATTGAGTCAAGGGTGGACCAACCACTGTTTTCTCACTGTCATCACTTTTGACACTAATAGGTGAAGAGCTGGAATTTCTATGTTGTTGAATATTATGAATTGGTGGCTGATTTGAGCTATTCATGTTTCCAGTGGTATTTGTGTGTTGTTGAGACCACATGTAAGGATATGGAGGACAAACAATCGTTGTTGAAATATTGTTAGAAATTTGTGTTTGATGTGAAATCATTGGTTGTGAAGTAGTAGTGTTGTTTGTAATCCCGGTGCTATTATTATTCACAGAACGATTATTCATCACATTCATATACTGAGATTGCGTACGTAATGTTGCAAGTATTTGTTGCTGTAATTGAAACTGTTGCAATTGTGTTAGGGAATTCACATTTGGTTGTTGATTGTTTGTTTGTGGTTGTAAGAGTCGAACAATATCTTGTTGAGGTGGCCGATGTGACAACTGAGTGGTAACTGTTTGAGGCTTATTTTGTGTGGAAAGTTGTTGTTGTTGTTGAACTGTTGGTGGAGGTCGAAACGTCGCTATTGGTCCACTACTTGTAAATACAGGATTGGGAACTAATCCCATAAGTCTTACAATTTGTTGTGGCTGTGACGAAGACCCTCGTAAATTCAAAGCAGTTCTGGAGGTTGAAGTAGTAGTCTGTGGTTGGCGAGTAATCATTGAGGGTTGAACGGTGTGAAATTGTAAACGTCGCTGTTGTGCTGTTCTGTTACGTTGCGTGGTAATGGCACTTGGAGTTACTGAACTTGTCATGATAGGAGAAGCATTTGTGGAGGCGAGTGGTCCGGGACGTGCTGATGGCGGAGGTGGCGGAGGTTCAATTCGTGGAACATTTGTTCTATGGATGGTACTACTCGTATTATTATTATTATTACTGGTGACACTATTGGTTGCAGTGTTAAGAAGAGAGGATGCCCGTGTGGTGCTTTGTAATCTACAAAAAGCCAAAGCATGTCGATTGATGCTCAACATGTCCGAATAGTCAGTTGTCGTTGTTGTTGTTGTTGCAACATTGGTATTCACGTGATTGCTTGCCATTGTTGAATGAGTGCTCTCACTGCTTGCTTCCAGTTGAATAGGCAGTATGCTTGAAAGTCCACTTTCAGGGGATGAATCTAAACCAGAGGTAGATGCACGAGCATGCGAGGATATTTCTGATAAAGTTGTTGTTGTCGTTGCTGAAGAAATTGGTGATGTCGTCGACGTATTCGATAGAGTGTGAATGGAATTTGTGACAGAGCTAGATGTGACAAGTGGATGAACATTTTCAGACACCAATAAGCTACTTGGTGTTACTTGTAATGGTCGTGATTGTTGTGGTGGCTGTTGTGAGGGAGTTGCCTGTGTTGTTGTTGACTGTCCAATTTGTAACATGCCCATGGCTGGTTCCATCACAAACTTCAATTGCTGTTTGGTCTTCTTTTTTCTTGGTTGTAATGGTTTGTCAGCCATTTTTGTGACATCGATCTTTTTGGCAAGTGCTGCTTTGGAATCTGTTTTTTTCTTCTTCTTCTTTTTCTTTTTCATGCCTTGCAATTGAGCTGATTCTTCGGCAAGTTCTTCTTCATCCACTTGAAAATCTTCATCAGTGTTGTCGTTTTCATTGGAACTTTCAGATGCTTCAACATATTTGGAGTTACTTGATGATTTTTGAGGTGCATGTTCTTGATGCCAAGTTTTTCGATTTCTCAGTGTTTTTGTTTCTATTAATCCAAGCCATTCTTGAATGGTTTCTTTTTGAATGTCCGACATGGAATAATAGTGTGGATTAAAGTTGGGAGCATTGAGATTGAGAAGGAATGTATGTAGTTGATGTTTGTTGTGAGATTGTACTTTGGTAGTTACTTCGTTTTCGAGATATTCTCCCAAATCTTTTCCTTTTGAAGAGCTTTCGTTGGTTTTCAAGTTTGGTTTTCCAAGCATTTCTAGAACCAATTTAGATAACTTTTCAAAATAGTTAGCAAACTCGTGAGCTTCAAATGGTTTGGGATCGAACAATCTCCTTTCCAAAGTTGGAATGTCACAATAGTCTGGGAATGCCTTCTCCCAAAAGTGTTCGTCGTTGAGGGAGACATCGGTTGCAACCTCTTCGATAGGCACAAAATAAGCGCTCGTAATGACTTCGTTATCGTTCTTTTTCGAGCTAGCTTGCTCATTGGAGGTACTAGCTTCTCCTTCGACAGTGTCACGACTCGAGGAAGCAACTTGCTTACTTTCCTCGTCGATTATCATTTTGTCCTCTTTTTTTAACAATACGTCACATTGTGTTAAAGCATTCATTTTGCTTACTAATGCTCCTTCATTTTCCTCTTGAATATTAACTTTGTTGGATTCTTGCAAAATTTTTTCAATATCCGCATTTGCTAACTCAGAGTCCTTGTTCGTATTATCTCTTTCACTCTTGTTTAAGAACATGTGATAGACTCCATATCTTATCATTCGTTCCAACTCTTCTGAGGAGAGAGATTCAATCTGATCACACATGTTATCAGCAAGCACCACTTTTTCCTTGCCTAATAAATGTTGTTACTATTTCCAAAAATTGATTTGATTGAATTAAGAAACAAACCTAGTTTTTTGCTAGCTCTCAAAATGATATATTTCTCATAACTATCTTTGGTAATGAGTCTATACACAAAAACCTTCTTTTGCTGTCCAATACGGTGACACCTGGCTGCAGCTTGTGAGTCATTAAATGGGTTGAAATCGCTGTCATATATTATGACATGGTTAGCTGCGGTCAAGTTTACGCCCTGGCCTACTTTTGTGGACATGAGAAAAACTCTGCACTCCGAGTCATTTTGAAACTTTTTGATATTCTCTTCTCTTTCTTCAGAGCTCGTTCCTCCATCTATTCTTACATATTCAATTTGTTCCATTGTTAAATAATCTTCTAATATATCCAACATATCAAGGAACTGTGACAGGATTAGCACTTTTTCATTGGCATCTCTAAATTTTTTTAGTAACTTGTGTACCAATACCATTTTTGAAGAGCTATAAACGAGTATCGCTTTGTCATCCTTATTCTCTTCTTCTCTCAAATAATTTTCCATGCCAGATATTAAACATGGATGATTGCAGCATTTTCGTAATGACATGATCATGTTTGATAAATCCTGTGTTGAAGAGAATTTTCGTCGTAAAAAGCTTGCCTTTTTTTCAACGATAGCTCTATAAATTGCTTTTTGAAATGATGTCAATTCCACCTCTACAATTATTTCCTCTTTTGGAGGAAGCTCGTCCACTAGAACTTGCGCTTTTGTTCTTCTCAAAATATATGGGGCAATGGCTGTTTTCAATTCATTGATATAATTCTCAGTTTCCAAGTCTCCAAATCTTTCTGTAAAATCGTCAAATGATGGAAATTTAGAAGGAGCTATAAGACGCAATAAGCTCCATAACTCTTCAGTATTGTTTTGCATGGGTGTTCCTGTGAGCAATATAATACGGTCAGTCTTGAGGGTTTCCGCTTCAGCTCTCCATTTCGTTGCTCTTGACTTGAGTCGATGAGCCTCATCAAAAATTACACACGACCATTTCTTCTGTTTGATTTTTCTCTCTTTAAACAGTTCATATGTTGTGATCACTAGCAGTGGCTTTCGTTTGGCTGCACATTCTTTAAAAATTGAGTTTAAAGAGTCCAATGATTCGTCTTTGGATCCACCCATTTTGGTTCCCCATGCCGTGTGTATCACAAAATGTGGAATCCAAGTATTTGCTTCTCGCACCCAATTTCCCAAAGTGATGAGAGGTACTACCACAAGAAATGGGCCACACAGGTTTAGTTTCTTGTGAAAAATATTTAAAGCTGAAAGTGAAATGATGGTTTTTCCTAGACCCTATATAGTGTGATAGTATAACACATGAATCAAAGGTCAAAAATTGGAAATGATAGTGTTAAAATCAAACATACCATTTCATGACCCAAACATGAATTACGTTTCTCACAAAAATTCTTATACAAGAAATTGACTCCTTCGATTTGATAATCTTTCAATAAAAGAGTAGAATTATTCCCAAAAATATCTGAGCTCTTAACTATTGGTGAGTAAACACATGGTTCTGGTTTGTTAACTTCCTTTTTCTTTGCATTGTTAAGCTTTTTTCGTTTGGAGCTTCGTGTAATACGTACTTCTTCTTCTGAAGATGACGAAGACCACGAGACCGCTGTACTTGTAGATGAATACGAATAAGAAGCTTCTTCTTCTCTTTGTCTGTAGTGTCCATATCTTTTTCATTCAATTCTACAGTAGTAATCTTTTTTGAAGAGATACTTTGATTTTCAACCTTAATCCATATTTTCTGTTCAGAGTCACTATCAGCATCAAAATTCACACTCTCCTCGTCAGAAGAGCAAGAAATGACAACCAAGACCTCAGGGCTTGAACAAGAATGACCACTCTCTTCATCGGTCTCGTCATCACCAGAAGAATGTGGTAATACCATTTTTCTTCCCAAGAAATAAGGATGTGAAAGCGTGTCCTCATACGAAAATTTCTCAATTTCTTGTCGAATTTCAAAATCTCCAAATGGGGCTAATATCGATCGAGTTCGTTTCCTGAATTCGTTCAGTTTTACAATTTCTTCATGTTGAACGTGTAATAACTGTTTTCTTATTGTTCCGCCGCTTTCCATGTATAAATTTCGTTGTTCAATTTTTGAATAATAATGAAGATTATTCATTTCCGAATATTTGTGGTCAAAAATGTTTCCGCATGGAGTTGTTATGAGAGGAGTATCATCATGCTTTTTTATCGCATTGTGTATTCGCTTTTTTAAATTATTCTTTTCTGAATGGTTGTTATGATTGGATGAGCATGCAGGAGACAATTCAACCGACTCGGACAATGAAGAAACGGATGATGATGATGAAGGCCTTTTAACAGTGGTAGTGGTCGTATGGTTACTCTTCGGTGACAACGTCTCCAATGATGAAGATGCTCCGGATCGAGTCATCTTCTCGTGCTGAAATGTTCAATTCAATTTTTTTTTAAATTTTATTTTGGGAGCGAAAATTCGCTTCTTGCATGCTCTGGAACTGAAGCTCCATGCAAAAAATGTTGAATGGAAGAATTCTGCATTATTGGACGTATTGAAAAGAGTTTGGAGTGAAATAGCAATGTGTGAATCACAATTTTGGCATATTTCCAAATTGTTCTTAATTACTTGTTGCCTTAAGAAAGGATTTCCTTAAGAAAAGGAATCGAGAGCCATGGTTCTTGTTGTCATTTGTTGCTGGTGTCATTATTGTTGAGCTGATGCAGAGTAAATATCGTGGTAGGACTGTCAGAAGAAGAGCAAATAGAAACAACAGGGCTACTTGTTAGATCGGGTGCTCGAAAAGGAAATCCATACTCTTCAGGGCAAATATTGGTGTTGTGTCTGGTGGATGACTGTTCAGCGTGCTTCTTGGCCAAATTTCGTGAAAATTGTTTTCCAAAGGCGTATCGATTGATCTTCTTTCGTGGTGGTACAAGTTTATGCAAAGGGTCGTTAAAAATTGCTAAATCTTGCTCTTCATTGTCACCCATGAAATGATTCTTAAATAGTTTCGAGTAATAATAGTAATAGTATGAATGTACATAGGGATGCATCATGGTCATGTTGTGTTGTGAATCCACATAAACCATATCCTTTAGGATGGAAAAGTCTTTTCTTTCGGTATAAACATTGAATTGATTCATACTTTCTTTAGAAGACGTAATCCTTTTGAGTTCATGCATTTCTTTGAAATATTCTAGGGATCTTAGTAAATGTTGTGGAGGTGTTAGATTCTTAGATAAATATTGATGGAATATTTGATATTGTACAGAAAACCATAGAGTTTGTTCAGAGGTGAAGGTTTGCGTGCTATTTTCTGAATCGGTTGAAAATTCATGAGATGGAATGCCAGTAATATCATGCTTAATGATATTCTCTTGTTCCTTCTCGTGCTCGAAAAGAGCTGGAAATCGATTTCGATTCAACCTCAGCACGTCTCCTCTGAAGGGAAAGAGAAAAGAATTGTCATGGCATTCGTTCAGAGTCAAGTCTGTCGTATGATGATTCTCAGAAATTGATACGTGTGGAGAGTTTGTCTTTACAAAATTTTCCACAAATAAATGTCTTTCGGCCTCAAACTCATCTCGTGTTCTTTTTAAATGTTGTTCTGCACGAGCTAAACTGGATCGTACCTTGGAAAGTGTGTCATCCCCCACTTGAGTTTTTGGGTGACTCGTAGAAGGGTGAATATTCTCTTCTTGAACTTTTGGTTGAGACTTCTCAATTTCAACTATGAGCTTTGATATCGAATCGAGTAATTCCTCAAAATCTGTATCATATTTCTCTGAAACGATGGAAAATAATATTTGGAAATAATTGCTCTTGTTGGAATCGCTGTACATGGATGCTTTGTTATGAAAGGATATAATGTCACTGAGAAAATTTTCTAGCTCGGTAATTGTGCCTTCTTTGTCACTATCATCGTGTAGACAATCCAAAGTGATAAAATTTGCAGCTTTTGTAATGTCTTGAACTAGAAGTTGGTCGTTAAAAATTGAGTTAATAAATAAAATTGATAATTCTTTTCGGTATTTAAGAATGAGTGGAATTTTCAAACAATCCTTTTCCATCAAGAAATGCTTTAAATTTTGGAGAGAAACGACTGGAACTGCTTCTAATAGTGCTGATTTCTCGGTGCACATGCATTGAGTTGAAAATAAGCATTGGCTATTTGGAAACTCTGGCAGCTGTATATCCGAGACAATATCCTCTTCCGAAGAAGCAGTTTCTCCTAGATCCAGACTGTATTGATTTTCCAATGTACTGTCTTCATTCATGACTTTTTCAAAAAGAGAATGAATCAACAAATTGATTTGAACAATTGTGTTCCGACAATTCCACTGCTACACTAGGTGAGTAGTAATATTTATATTAATAATAAAATTGAATCGATTAAAATGTTGTTGCTCCGATTAATAATCTGATAATTATTGGTTAACAGATAACACACGAAGGATTGGTCACAATTTTTTATGTAACGGAAAAAGGCGCCATCAAACAAACCTCAATCCGTCAAGTAAATGTTGATGTACAGGACAACGCCTTGATGGGTTGCTGAGTGAGTCTCAAAGATGGATTACACCACTCAACGGAAGTAGGTGGTGTGTTCTCTTGAACAAACATCATCAAAGAGACGATTGAAAAGATCGAGATGTTGATGGAAGTTTCATCATGACATAAAAAATGTACGAATTCGAAACGACCATGCGAGATATGATCAATGAGGTTCGTCTCGCATTCAGCACTCGTGAACCAACCAATCCTCAACTTCCCATGCTTCGGATCGATCTGGGCTTCACAAATTCAAAGTTATTTCGACATGAATCATGAAAACAATGATGAGAAATCTGTATTTGCCGAGTATCTTGCCGAACTGACTTCTCTCATTCCGTTTGGTTATCCTGTCATTGCAACCTTGATGATCAATCTGGGAGCACTTGTGGAGGCAGGAGCCACATTGAACGATACAACTATTGGTTATTTTGTCAATTCGTTTGTTGGTCTGCTTGTGGAATTGTGTCCACAATATTTGAGAATTTATCGCAAGTGCAAATCTCCAAAAGTGTCAGAACAAACCAAGCAAATTTTGGAAGCACAATGTGAGTCTATGAGTGAAGGCATTGATAAAGTGGAAAAAGCAGTCGTTTGCATCACGAGTAGATATGCATTGGCTCGAAATTTAATGAGACAACATGCAAGCTTTACACAATTACAAGAACTCACAACAGCGTTGAGATTTCAATTTCGATTTCTATTTTTTGCGACACATTTATTGCATGATGAGCCAATTCTTATCATTCATCCCATTGAGAAATGGGGCATAAGAGCTAAAATTTCATGCATTACTTCGAATTGGACGTTGCATATGGTCATGGCATACTTTTTGAAACAACAATTTCCTTCTCTTTCCATCCAATCGCCACGAGTGGAACAAGTGGAATACTTACTTGGACAACGATCAAAAGCAAAAGGATCCATGTTCTGGGTTTATGAAATGTACAACTGGACAGCATTGGATTCACTTCCATCAGGTCAAGAGCATGAATCATACGAACAACATTGTTTCAACAACGGACTCGATCACCGAATTTGGGGAGAAGGTGTTCCAAGTGATATCACCAAATTTGAAGGCATTCGGGTCATATTATTAGGACCAGCTCAATATGAAAGAAGATGTAATTTAATGAAAGATTTTACTGAACAAAAAGCTTCTTTTGAAATTGAGCGAGAGATGTCGCAAGATGAAATTGAAACTCTGTTGAACAAGATGGTGAATATTAGCACTGAAGAAAAGAGGAGAATTGTTGAACAAAGAAGCTTGGAAACTGGTGTTGGTTTGGTAGATAAGGAATGATCAATACAATCCGAGACCTTTTCATGAATTAATGCGAAATCTATCAGCCGAACGTCTTTCAGGAATTATATAATTTTGTGGGCACTAAGTTTGAACATAATCTGAGTGGCACAAAGTGTATGAGTGACTTGTCGAGTCGGTCGAGATTTTCGATTAGTTGGAAGGCTATTTCCCCATCGGTGTCAAGATTACGAGAGGTGCAAATTTTCGACAGTTACGGAAATGCTGTGACCGTTCGGTCAAAATTGTCAAGTGTATGCAAATTTCATCCACGCTGTCTGTACATATGTCGACCCACGACTCAACATGTCATCTGCCATCTTGTGTATCTCCTCGAAAATATACTCCATAACAAAAAGTCCCAACAACAACAACGCCATGACAACAACAGATTCTCCACCCAACACGAACAACAACACCAATGATACGACAGCTCACTCCACGGACCTTCTCAATGAGCAATTTCGTGAAGCTGCACTAATATCTCCTTCGACTGCAACCACAACTGTACCAGTAACGAGTTGTGCTCCAGGTCAACAGCAACAGGAACAACAACCAGAAAAAACAGAGAGTAGGAATGATGATGATGAAAAAGATGACGCACAGAGTTGTGTGGCAGTGGATGATAATTTTCAATTCAAAGGTAAGACCTTTTGACTGTATGATCATGATTCAATGGTTCATTATAATTTTCATCACTTAGAACATCGTGAAGATCATGCAAACACAATCATTGAGAAAGATCCTGTTCAAAACATGTCATCGGAGAAACGTAACTCCAAACATCATTCCACAACCTCGAAAATGTCATCTGCCAGTTCCACCATTTACAAAATCAAAACTTGCTTTGGTGTGTCGCATGTCAACGTTGCATGTGCGCTCATCATGATTGTCATGCTCTTAAACTTTCTTGCTTTGGTCGCCATTTGCTTGTTAACCATTCAAATCTTCTTAACTGCCAACACTGGTGTTAGTGAAATTATGATTGCAAGAGGAGATGGTCTCTACTTTGATGAAATGGCTCATTCAAGCATTCGTTTGGCAGCCACTACTAATTACAGCATTGTTGACACGACGGTCCACATTAATCGATACAACTCGAACCCAACAAGAATACGAGCAGCACTTAAAAACATTATCACAGCTCTTCCTGTGAATTACACTTTGAAACCTGAGGGATTTTTGGCACAAGGTACAAACAATATTCCAATCTTGACAGTGTATGCAAACATGTCCAAATTATTGAACTCCTCTTCAACGTTTCATATTGGAAAGGCCTTATGGGAAAGTGAAGAATTTCAAACCATGAAAGCGAACTGGACTCGTGATTTTAATCTTTTTTTACAAGATGTGACAAGTTATGGATCTAGAAGAGATGACGAAGTACAGAGACGTAATATTGCAGTATTGTGTATTGTGGTCATTTCTCTTGCTATCATGTTGCCTTCATTGGTGGCTACCTTTGTATTTACATTGAAAAAGGATCACACTTCCAGCACCAAGTTGAAGCAAGTGAATGCCAATATGGTCTCATCGACCATGCAACATCCTACCCTGAGAGAAATGTTTAGAAAATACTGTGAACAAAATGATCTCGCTGCTACTTTCCATTGCATTGAAAAGATTCATCTCTATCAAGAATTGTGTTCCAAATCATTTGAAATTTATGTGAAATTATTTGAAAAGAAGAAATCATTTGAAAAACTCCGTCTATCGAGCAACAACGTTCAGAAAGAAAAACCTCTCAGAACCTCAGTCTTTAGAACTATCCAATACACAGAAAACGATCTCAAACTCGTTCAGAATTTGAAATTAGAGCTTGTCTTTGAAATTCTCGTTAATTGCTCAGACTATGAAGGAGAATTCGAAGCTCCAGTGAATGAACATTACATTAGCAACGTTTATCAAATACTTGATGAATTGAATCTCCAGACTGCATCGAGAGGTGCCAATACCTCTTCTCCTCGTGATTTTGATTTATATGAACACTATTTGAGAGAGGACTTGTTCGACTCTGTTGAAAAGAACTTGATTGATTTTTTATCAGTTCCTCATCATGCATTCAAACAAAGCTTAACAAAGGTTCAAGAGAGTCACCACAATACGACAATTTCATCACCTAATGTGAACTGAAGGGTAAAATATTAAGCTTTGATCAAGAACCCTGCATTCTTGATGAAGGACAAGATTGAAACAATTCATTATTTGACAACTGCTGTTCCATCCACAACTCTCCAACACGTAATTGAACTTCCTCCACCAATTTCAGGTGGTTTGGTTGTTTGACCTCAATTTCAAACAAAGAGCATTGACCTGTTTCCATCAGATGGTGTTTTGCTTTGTTTTGTCGAATATTCATGATTTTAATATTTTTTTCAAATATTAAAAAAATAGGCCATAACTTCTGCTTTAGATACAGCAAGCGTACTCCCAAAAACTCTTTTGGATTCATCTATCACGACAAACAAAACCAGCCGATTTTTCAATTTCTGATAAGAAATATTTTAGACGTTGGCAAATGAAGAGACCGAATTAAAAAGGTTGGAATTATTATATGTATCAAATGGAAATACTCGGATGATGTAAAGGAATTTCGGATTTAATCAAAGTTTTCCGTAAATTCAGTCACTAATCATTTCACTGACATTACTCATGACTTCACTCAATACTTCGAATTGGATAGAATGCTCTTCCTTCTCGTTTGACTTTCTTCAAAAGTAAATGAAAGATGAAATCCATGAGGTGACGCTTAGATCTGTCCACTGAAAGCGAACAATGTTTATCCCTCGTGATTTGAGAACTCAATCACCGCCGCTAGATTTGGTAAGTGGCCTGGGCCAGCAGTGACTTTGCAAAAAGCTAGGAAGCACAGTTTCAACGTTATTGCCAAGATCTCATTCTCGAAAAAACAAAGCCATGTCTCGATCTTGGTTTCTTGTAGAGTGCTCTGCGCTTTTAATTCTCTTGCTTGTCAACCTTTCTTCATCCTCAGTATTGGCTTCCACTTTTTACCTTTCACCTAGTGGAAGTGACTCCAACAATGGCCAATCTGTTTCCACACCATGGATGACCTTTAACAAAGCATTTACCACCATGAAAGGCGGAGATGAACTCGTCCTTTTGGATGGAACCTATTCTGTCGCTGCTGGTACTGGAATCATCAATTGGCAAGGCTCCAATTCGGCACAACCTCCCTCAGGAACAAGTTTGAATGCACCTACCTCATTCGTGCTCAAAATCCTGGAAAAGTGAAAGTAGATGGTGCCTTGTTTATTGGAAGATCGTTTCGTAAAGACAGCTACATTAGTGTGAATGGAATTACATTTGAAGGAGATTCTCAGATTTATAATTGTGATTATTGTACTGTGAAAAATTGTGGATTCCATGGTTCGTTCTGGATTGGAACAAATGATCACCAAATGGACAACCAATACAACTTGGTGGAAGATTGTTGGATGTGGGGCAGTCAGAGAAGAATTATTTCAGGAAACTATAGAGCTAATTACAATGTCTGGAGAAGAGTGGTGGTAAGGTAAGTTTCAACAATGAACATGATCACACATGCATTAACATTATCATTGATTATCGTTTGAAACAACAACAGAGGGGATGGTTGTGGGCAAACATACTGTCAAGGAAGTGGTAATCCTAATGTTGGTTTTACAGTTTACGATTCTCATGACACAACAGTCGAAAATATGATCATTGTCGATAGAATTTTAGCAACGGGAGATTACCCTGGAGCTGATTTTGCAGGTATGTTTGTCGCTTAAACATCTCCTTTAATCTCCTTATTATGATCCACACACAACTTGATCTCTGTTACATTTTCATGATCCTCTTCTTAAACGTTTAACGATTCACATCACACATCCAGCTGCTCAACACACCAATGACATCAAATGGTACAATGGTAGAAACAGATGGCTTGGATGCATCACTGTAAATTGTCCAGATGTTGGCTTTTACTTGGAACCAGATTACACCCTCGATCCAACGTTCTATCTCAAGAACTGTGTTGCAGTGAACACCAAAGAGACTGGTCTCAATATTGCAAGAAAAGCATCCAATATCACTTACGAAAATGTCATGGCCATACGTTGTGAAGGTGACGGCATTCGTGTGAGCCCTGAACCAGGGGTCGTCAGTGGAGTGGTCAGAAATGCTGTATCGTATGGATCTGGTCGTTATGGAATTAACTCTCAATTCAAACCATCCTATGTAAACGTTTATGGTAGTGGAGTGTCTCCCTTCCAACAAACAACACCAACCGTGGGAGTCTCATTGAGTGATCCAACCACAAGCTCACCAGTGGCATTGAAATATCCAGTTCGAATTGAAAAAAATTCATTCCTCAGTAAGACAGGTTACAACAACGAAGATATTGGTGCAAACATTGTTGTCAAATATGGTTTGGATGGCACTCGATTTGGAGATTCTAATGTAGAGTTGTTGACAGCAAATAGTTTATGGCCATGGCCCAATGAAGATCGTATCAAAGCAGAGATGTGTGCTAGCACTACAAGAGGATTTTGTTCGAGTGGCAAACGGTTGGATGGAGTGAATGCTGTAACTTTAACTTCCTATATTTGGGAAATTTTAGGAAATCCAATTCCTACTGAAATTTATCAAAATTCGAACACTTCTACAACATGTTTTGGAATTGACTCTACATCTGCTCAAGTATGTTCTGGACATGGAGTTTGTGTGAGTTTAGATTCATGTTCTTGCACGGGTGGTTATACTGGAAGCAATTGTGCAACGGCACCTGCCATTACTTGTTTTGGCATTGCTCAAGGAAATGCAAGTGTTTGTTCTGGTCATGGTAATTGTGTAGCCAACAATCAATGCTCGTGCACGGGTGGGTATACTGGAAGCAATTGTGCCACACCACCTTCGAATGCGATTAGCTGTTATGGTATTGCACAAGGAAATTCAAGCGTTTGTTCTGGTCATGGCACATGCACTGCTCAAGATCAATGCAATTGTAATTCAGGATACTCTGGAACGAAATGTGAAAATGTCAATCAACCAAAACCATCTCCAATTGTTTCGAAAAGTATTCGAAATTTCAATAGCACTACCAGGAATGATTCGAGTGCGTTGTTTGAGGGAAACAAAGTTGTGACATGGGGATGGATGATTCTTGTGGTGTTCATGTTTGTGGAATGGTGGATGTAAGGGAAATGTGAAAGAATAAAACATTCTTTGTCGATGAGATTACTTTGTTAGAATATTTATGAGAGCACTCTCAGCTTCAAGTTCAAGAATATCAAAATCCTTCTACAATTTCAAGTAATTCCATACATGCCATGTGAACTGAAAATTAAGCTAAAGTTCAGACCTTCTCGAGTTTTGACACAGGTTAAAACAATTTTGCCAAGTATTAGCGAAAGTGGAATGCGACACCAGGTTTTTTAGTTACCAAATCTTGTCGCTCATCTCAACAGGTACTCTATTCATTGATAACATGTAGTTTCTTCTCGAACTATCCAGCCACCACTACTGAAACTCTTGGGTTTATAACATCTCTTTTATGTATCTCTGTAGATAACATGATAAAAAACAAAGTGTCATGGCGCTCACTAAAAATGGCTTCAAAGCAAAAAAGGACACTAGTTGACGAACGGACGATCGGGGCCGTACAGATAAATAAATGGTCGCATTAAAATTTCAATACTACATTGTGTCATCTTTCGTAATAGTATTCAATCGAGACGTCACTTGCCAAATCAAAGACTGTCGCACCATTTGGCTCTTCCTCCTGCCACAACCACAGCCAGTATGAAGATGATCAACACTTCGAAAACGACAACACTCTCCGTCGTTAAATTCAATCTCCCAAACGATGACAACAATGACCACCCAACAAACGAAGAACCTCCTCTCAAACTCACTCACCTCATTCCATCGGAAAAACCTCAACGAAAAAACTATCAATTTTCACTTCGAGCAAAACCTGTACCTCACGACATTCCACTCTCCGTATACGAACTTGTTGTGGAGTTTTAGAATTTGATTGTATGCGAGTGATGTCGATCTTGGCACTGATATTCAATGTGTGTGCTTTTGCTGTCATTGCAGGTGTCATTATTCACTCGTTTTCAGTCATTAACAATCCTCGAGCAGATATTCTTTCATTACGTGGAGATGCCTTGTATAATTGTTTGTTAATGGAAGAAGCCACTCGACATGCCAGTTATGCCAATAATTTGACAGCTGCCAAATTGTGGTATCAATATCGAGATGCCATGGTCGATGCCCTCTCAGGAATCTTTGACGTGTTGCAACAAAGTGGTTCGACCATTAATATTTCAACATTGGTCGATCCTGTCAAGAAAGATCCAATGGTCATTCCCATCATCAAGTCGAACAACAGATTATTTCACTTGTCGAGAATGGACGTCCACTCGAAGCTAAAAAACTCTTCGTTTCCAATGCGTCTTTTATTAGTTCATATACAGGAAAGTGTTTCAGAATTTTCTCAATGTATTGAAAACAGATGGACGTTTCAAGGATCAAATTATTAACAGTACGAGTATCACGACCGTGTCAGTGGTTGGAACCAATCTCACTCTCATCATTCCTGTCATGTTTGTCATCTTTTTATTGACCATTAAACGTGACAAGGATGCTTCCAAGAAATTAAGGCAAGCCGAGTTGTTGCTGTTGAAGGACACGATTGCGAATGGAGGTTTGAGAACTCTCTTTCGAAATTTCATTGTTGAAAAGGCTGAAGGTTCTCGAAATTTGCGACTCTTGAATCAATACATGTTTTTAGAAAAGGTTCAATATTATAAGGATTTGAATTTGAAATTGTTTGAAATTCAAATCAAGATGGAACGACAAGAATTTGAAAACAAGAGACAAGTGAAATCGCCACAATTCTCTTTCAACCTATGAAGACCTACAAGAGAGAATCGACCTCTTGGAGGTTCTTCGAGTGACTCGACGACTTCTGAATTGAGTAACATTGTCATGCACAATCACAACACTTTCAATGAAAATTATCCTCAACAAGTAGAAAATGATTGGGACTCTCCAGAATTGGCTTTGATTTTCCCAGAATTGAACACTCATGTTGTTTTTTCACAACAAGATATTGACAAGATTGAGAGAGAAACGTATGAAGTTGCGTTCGAGATTTTCAGTGAACATTTGGATGAGAAAACTGCTGGAGATTGTCATATTGGTGGACTCTCAAAGAAAATGATTCAAGAAGTGAGACAAGTATTGGATGCTATCAATCATTGTCAAGATCTTGAACTGAAACAAGTTGAAAATGAAGGAACAAGTATCGACCAATTAAGAAGCATTCCACCAAGACAAGGTTGAGTGATGCCTTGTTTGATCCACTTCAAGAAAAGGTAGCTGAACGATTACTGACTTTACATAAACAATTCAAGCAACACTTGCATTGGGAACGAAAACAAGTCCATTCAGAAAGGAATTATCTGGACAAGTAGAAGAAATTTAAATAAATATATTTAATTCTTTACAAAATTACTACAAAATTACAATGACACATGGTGGGACGTTCCTTTGTGTCACCCTTAATTTCGTAAAGAATTGTTGCAAAATTATTATTCGATCAATACCACTTAGAATTAAGTCCCTTAAACGTGCAACTGTTTTGACATAACAGCATACTAGTATAGGGAAAACTCAAAGCTGCCCTCGGTCAACCCTGGGAGGTTGTCATCAAAGATGCAAGTACAATGCTGAATATATTCTTTCAAAATTCTGCCTTAACGAACATATCTTTTCTCACAATCAAAGAGAAGCAATCATGACTCACTGTATTTAAAAAGAATGATAAGGTAGAGCACACAAACAAGGTCCAACATAGCAATGTTGATTTGATTGACAAGACCATCATGATCGATGATGTTCATCACAGCATGCCAACAATCATTGAATATGAATGAATCATTCACTTGATTTCATTTTCCTCAACCATTCGAGTCATTCCCATCCAATGTTGAAGATTGGAATTTCGGAAGGGACAATGTGTGTTTTCAACGGTCATCATGTCCTCGAGCTTTGATCATCTCCATTCATTCACGATATTCAACAATAAACTCATCGGTATCATATCATATAACAACATGCTGTCAACTGTGTCTGTCATCATGATGACGAGGCTGACCATGATGTGTAAATCAACAATAAAACTCATCAATGATTCGTTGCTCACTCGTATTTCAAACTCTTATTGAAAATTCTCTCGGAATTGAAATGTTATTAATACGTTTTCATGGTCATCGATTCGATACACATTTTCTTCATGATGTGTGTCTTCCAATGATCATTGGCTACAAAGTTTGTTCTAGGTTGTACAAGCCTGATCCCCAAAAGTACAATTACTTCAACGAAAGTGTTGAGCCAAGTCACTTGCCAATTCTCGACTTTCACCAATTGTAATCAAAAGTCAACCGCCCCACGCACCAACCACCACACGTCACTTGCCATTGTAAAATTCAGCTTAACCGCAACTCGCCTATAATTTTCCCAGCACAGGCATTCTTCAAATTTTGCGTTTTCGAAAAAAACAAACAACACCACAACCACACACAAAATGGGTAAAGAGAAGGAACACATTAACGTTGTCGTCATTGGTCACGTCGACTCTGGTAAATCCACCACCACTGGACACTTGATCTACAAGTGCGGTGGTATCGATAAGAGAACCATTGAAAAGTTCGAAAAGGAAGCTCAAGAAATGGGTAAGGGTTCCTTCAAGTACGCTTGGGTTTTGGATAAGTTGAAGGCCGAAAGAGAAAGAGGTATTACCATTGATATTGCCTTGTGGAAATTCGAATCCAAGAACTTTGTCTTTACCATTATTGATGCTCCAGGACACAGAGATTTCATCAAGAACATGATTACTGGTACTTCTCAAGCTGACGTTGCCATCTTGGTCATTGACTCTACTACTGGTGGTTTCGAAGCTGGTATTTCCAAGGACGGTCAAACCAGAGAACATGCCTTGTTGGCCAAGACTTTGGGTATTCAACAATTGATTGTCTGTATGAACAAGTTCGATGATAAGACTGTCAATTACAATCAAGCCAGATACGATGAAATCAAGAAGGAAGTTGCTGACTACTTGAAGAAGTTGGGTTACAAGGTTGATGATATTCCATTCGTCCCAATCTCTGGTTGGACTGGTGATAACATGATTGAAAAGTCTGACAAGATGCCATGGTACAAGGGAAAGTGTTTGTTGGACACTTTGGATGACTTGAAGCCACCAGTCAGACCAGTTGATAAGCCACTCAGATTGCCACTCCAAGACGTTTACAAGATTGGTGGTATTGGTACTGTCCCAGTCGGTAGAGTTGAAACTGGTGTCTTGAGACCAGGTATGGTTGTTCACTTTGCTCCAGGTCAAGCTCCAGATTCTGAAGTCAATCTGTTGAAATGCACCACCAATCTGTCCCAGAAGCTAAGCCAGGTGACAATGTTGGTTTCAACGTTAAGGGTTGTCCACTACTGATATCAAGAGAGGTTATGTTGCTTCTGATACCAAGAACGATCCTGCAAAGGAAACTGCCTCATTCGAAGCTCAAGTTATCATCATGAACCACCCTGGTGAAATCAGAAACGGATATACTCCAGTTTTGGATTGTCACACTTCTCACATTGCTTGTAAATTCGAAAAGTTGTTGGCTTTGATCGACAAGAGAACCAACGCAACTGTTGAAGAGAACCCAGAAAAGATCAAGAGAGGTGAATCTGCTATGGTCAAGTGTGTCCCAACCAAGCCAATGTGTGTTGAAGCTTACACTGATTATCCACCTTTGGGAAGATTCGCTGTCAGAGACATGAGACAAACTGTTGCTGTCGGTATCATCAAGAAGGTTGAGAAGAAGGAAATTGCTGCTAAGAAGTAAATTTCTTCTTGAAATGGTGTGTTTCCAATAAAATTCAAAAATTTATCAAACTTTGTTTGCTGTGTGAATATAAAAATCAAAATTCGCTGGGACGAGCTGTTGCTGCAACGTCAAGCTTCTAGAAAACTTTAAGCTTGGTAGTTGATTGAGGAAATTTGAATTGATTTTGGGAAAGCTCACTCCTTAGACCTGGTCAATTAAACGACCTCATTGAAGATGTTTTCCTACATGTGAATTTGTAGGAATATAATACAATTTATTAAGCTTACACATTTTGACGTCTGGCTTTTCTCGCTCGTAGACACAACACAACCACAACCAACACAATGGCACCAACCAAACTCACCAAGACACACGATCCAACCAACGATGCAATCAATGCAATCATCAAGGTCTGTGAATTGGTGTCAACCTCCACTCCTCCTGACTTGATCTCTTCATTCTTTTGAGAAGCCTTCTTATAATTCATGTCAATCACAGCAAATGAAGTCAAGTGATATGTTCGACACACCATGGAAAAGACAACCATTGGAGAAGATTGTGAATTGGTAGCTTCTAAGGTTTTCTTTTCTTTGAGAATGGATTCCACTCCGTCGGATTTCCAGGATTGACTCGATTCATCAAAGTACATGCAAGTGAAATTGAAAGGACTGGTCGCGTTGAGATCGAGCGTTCCTTTGACATTGGTAAAGACAAGTTGAATGGGTTCTTGTAAATTTTGAACTGAAATTTTCTGTCCGTTCGAATCGAAGAGTGAAATTTTAAGGATGGGACTCACGGTGGTTCTTCTGCTGGAGTGGCAGCTGACAGATTTGAATTTTGGAACACTGAGGTAATCAACGTAACTGCTGCATTCGAGGTGAGATTGACCTGATTCGACAAGTATTGTTCCAAATTCGAAGGAAGGCTCACCACCACTGATGTGAAATTACTAAAAGTCACATTCTTCGAGTTGAGTTGTGTCAAATTGGTAAATTGTTGAGATTGCAACTCACTGGAAATGGATGGATTTGAATTTGAATTTGACAAGGAACAATTTCCATTCACTACTTGTGTTGGACAAAATGGAATGTTACATTCTGCTCCAATCCATCCATATTCACACACGACACAAGATTCTAAAACTGAATTCCACATGTAATCAGGACCATAGGAATTACAATTTGGTAATATTTTCCAACTCGATTTTTGACAGGATCTGTGAATAATAATTGTCCTTTTTCGGTTAAAAACATTCCAGCTCTCATTAAATTGGGAGTGTACAAGTTTTGGGAAGGAGGAAGACCATTCGCTGTGTAAGATATTTGAGCAACGACTGTCAATAGCTTTGAAAATCGATCAATTTTCAAAATTCGACTATTTCCACGATCCAAAATGAAAATAGTTCCAAGACGAGTGACTGAAACAGCAGTTGGCATATTCAGAGCCACCCATAATGGATGCATTCCAGAATTGTTGATATCAATGTTCCATCCCTGAACTCCTGAACCAGCAACTGTTGAAATGATTCCTTGTGCATTGACTTTTCTGACACGATGTCCAAAGTTTCTGCAATGTATAATTCTCCACTCGATTCGTGATAAAATACTCCAGTGGGTTTTTGAAGTGAAGATTTGATGGCTTCAATATTGTCCAGGCCTCTGCATTGTCTCTATTTCCAGCTACTGTGGTGATAATATTGTTTTGAATTTTTCGTACCAAACCATGTTCTGTGTCTGCAAAATACAAGACATTGTCAGATGTCACATGAATACCAGTAGGGTATTTAAGAATGGCGTCTCGAGCTAGACCTCCATCTCCAATTCCTCCTATCAACGTTTCAACATTGGCTTGAGTTGGTGAAGTTAATGATACTTTTCGAACTCGATTTGCTGTTGGCTCCACGACAAACAACTCTTTCGAATTTAATGGAGAAATTGCAATTCTTGATTGAAGGAAAGAGTGACATTCTGACCTGCTCCATCATTTGTATTAAACACACATGGTGTATTTAATCCAGCAACGAGTGACGTTGTCTGACCTGTCGTCATGTTAAAACTTTTCATTTGACAATCTTGAGTGGAATAGAGAGTCGTTCCATCTTGTGAAACTTGAACCGATTGTCCACTTCCAACTATGGACACGGTATGATTCAAAGATGTGACAGATACTTTACAATGGTATTGGTCGAGTCGGTATAATAAAGGTTATCATTCTTGACATCGTAGGACAGAGATGAAATAGTTCCAGATGTTACAAGTAGAGTGATCATCATTCCAGTCGATGCATCAACTTTTCGAATAGTTCTGAAATCTGCAATATACACATCTTCAGTGATGGGATTGACAGAAATATCTACTGGACTTAATAAAGGAGAGGATGTTGCCAATTGAGCTGATGTTGGGGTTTCTGAACAAATACCATTTCCTGCTACAATAGTAATGGTTCCGTTGAGTAAAATCTTTCGAACTCGACAATTTAAAGAGTCAGCAAAGTATAAAACACCTTGAGAGGAGAAGGAGAGACCTTTTGGTTGATTCAAAAAGGCCCTAGTGGCGAGAAGGTTTTCACCATTGTATCCGGCATCTTCTCTACCAGCGACGTGACAATCTCATCAGTGTTTAAACTCATGGCTCTAATTCTGTGATTATTGGTATCAGAAATGTAAATTTGATTAGTGACAGGATGAACGGCAATTCCTTGCGGACCATTTAAAAGTGATCCCTTGGCGTTGAAATTACCACCTAAGGTTGATGTTGTTCCAGCAAATCCCATCAAAATCCCATCTGAAGCCATGAATTGAAGGGCATTTGCATTAGAATCAGAAACCATAATTCCATCGATTCCCATTGATATTCAGCTAAACCATTAGGAACGTTCAAACTGAGAGTATTTCCCCAAACAACTCTAGAACGAGATGTTTCCAAAGGCTCTTCGAGCACAGACATGGTTCCAGTACCTGAAATATCACCAACATTTGAGACTGTTGAAATTTGTTGAGAAGATGAAACTTTCGAATTCGATTGGACCTGGCCTCTGAAATGAAAACATCTCCGGTGGATTTTGAAACCAATACGTCAGAGGGGAACATTAAATTGGAAGGGTAGGCAGGCGTATTGTCTTGTGCTGTGGGTAACAACGAACCACTTCCTGCAATGGTGTGAATAACTCCGTTGGTATCGACTTTACGAAGTCTGGTATTTCCATAATCGGCAATAATGACTTCTCCATTTGGGGACACGACAACATCCATCGGAGCCCTCAAAGAAGCAAATACCGCCAAGTTTCCGTCTCCACTATATCCTGGTTTTCCATTTCCTGCTACTGGTGTCATCATTGTTGTTGCAAAGTCATATCTTCTCACGACGTTCCATCCTGTTTCAGTAATGTACAGAGAAGACTCATCTGGTGAGAGAGCAATACCAGTTGGAGAAAGTAATGAAACGTTCATTGCACTGGCTGTAGCATTTGAATATTGTGCTCCATTGTTACCATTTCCAGCAATGATCTTTGAAATGCCAGTTGTCAAATCCACAGATCTCACTCGATGGTTTGCCGTATCCGTCAAATACAACATGGTTGCCTCATTATTCACCACAATGTTCGCTGGTTGCACATTCAATATACCAAATGTTATCGTTCTCTTTGAATTAAATCTCCAATCCACAATGACAATTCGTCGATTCATAGTATCTGCAATATACAAAGTTTTTGTAGCTTCATGAAAAAAGAGACCATTGGGATAATTCAACAAGGTGGCATTTGGTAACCCATTTCCAGAGGGTTCGATACCAGCAGTTCCATTTCCAATCACGTCAGTAATCACATAAGGTTCTTCTGAATTTAAATTAAATTTTCTCACTTTATGGTTGTCAATGAAATAAACATCTTTCGAGTAGGGTGCGCATGCAATGTCCATGACTGAGGTAACGGTATATTTAGAACTGGACAAAGGATCGCCAATGAGTGTTTGAATCATTTGAGAAGTCAATGAAAATTTTCGAATGCGACCCAGCGAAAGGTCCCCAAATAAAATTGACTGTTGAAAATTGGCATCTGACAGGACTGAGTGAGAAAGGCCACGCACCATTCCCATACCTGCTGCTGTTGCTGTAAAGCCGTCCATTCCATAGCCGCCAGCAATATCCAACGATACTTGATACGAAGATGGTTCTTTCGTCGTAGCAACATGTGACGTTTGTTGTTGTTGTGCATTAATTTCGCATCCAATGTTCAGTAATAAGATGAAGGACAACACTGCAAATGACAATAGCCACATGCTCGTCGTGGCAACTTGCTTCTTACAAACACTCGTCGTTGCCGTTAGCATGGTTTTTTAATAATTTTGAACGTGTCAAACGGAAACATTTGATGTCAGACGAGAACTTGAAAGTTGGGTACTGGAAGTTGCGAAACATTCTATGAGCAGATCAAAGAAAAAAATAATCAAAGTGTGAGAGTGTTGACCGCTTTGAGAACAACAAGTCATGAAGGGCTTGTCACATGTGAATTAAGATCGTAATGGTAGGTTTGTGAAAAAAATCAAACGCAAGCAGTACAAAAAGAGTATGGCAGAACTATGTTTATTGAATTGAGGTTACTTTTTACTCTCTTCAACTTTTCAGAAATGAAATTTTGAATTTTGAAACATAACGGACAAATCATTACTGTAATCATAACCAAGTATCAAATTTGTGCATGATTAAAAAAATGACGAGTGTGATGTGTTTTAGCTGTTTCTGCTAATGCTCGCCTTGATTTTTTCTAGCAGCGCCTACGCTTTCATACCCTCCAATCCCAACTCGATTCGCATTGTTTCACATTCGCAAGACATTGAACGAATGGGAAGAAGAGAACCCCATCGTCGTCCATCCTTCGAGATCGAAAATCGAATATTCAACTCTTTCCGCTTCCATCGATCCATAAGAATAATCATGAAGAAGATCATCGCAGTGCTGAAACCGCTCGTAGTAGCACTACTCAATCGATTTGGACACAAAATTCTTCAATTCTCACTTCCTATTATCTTCAACAACAAGAATTATTGAAAATTCATAAATTACGACAACGATTGACCGATTCGAAACGTAATAATTTCTTTGCTTCTCAAGATTTTCAAATTCGACACATTCATTTAGCTCTCACACAACAACCAAATGAAATGGTCGTTCAATTTCACACATTTTCATATCATCCATCGTTGGGCGACCATTGGTGAAAATTGGAAAGTCTCGAGACTTGAAAGCAAATGTTGAAGTGTTTCATGTTGGAGCTGTGATGACTGGATATGGAGATACGAATCATACGGGTTTTGATTATTCAATTTTAATGTCACCACTCGAGTTTGACACGACATATCATTACCAAGTAGGATTGGGATTTGTGGTGAATGGAGAGGCTACTTTTATGGTCAAATCCGAACAAGTATATAATTTCACAACAAGAAGTGAGGATCCAGATGAAATTTCTGTACTCATGTTTGCCGATATGGGAGTCGTTTTTTCACCAATGAATGTGAAACGTATTCAAAATCGAGTTCGACAACAAGCAATGAATGGAAATTTCTTTATTTATCATATTGGAGATATTAGTTATGCTGATTTTTATCCTGGAATGATGTATCAATTTATTTGGAATTTGTGGTTTGAATATTTTGATGAAATTCATCCCTACGTTCCTTATATGGTGTCTGTGGGTATGTGTTTAGAGAATTAACGTTATATTGATCCACATGATTATATTCTTGAATTTCTCAATTCTCAATATGTTTGTTAACATTGATTTCACACATTTTGACTGAACTATTTCACAAACTGAATTAAGGTAATCACGAATATGAACCAAGACATCCAGACAATCAAGATTATGAACAAAACTTTGCTGCCTACAATCACAAATTTTGGATGCCACTTCGAAACAATTCTCAATACGGTCACAACATGTGGTATCATTTTGATTTTGGACCTGTTCGATTTGTTTCCATTGACACTGAAACCAATTACCCACATCCACACGAGAGTCCATATCCTCCCATTTTCAATGGCAATCAATTTTCCTATGTCACTAATGCAATCAAATCCACCAATAGAAGCCAAACACCTTTCTTGGTGGTTTTGGGACATCGTCCAATTTATTCTGCAGTGAAAGGATTTAGCGATGCCAATGGAAATGTTCTTTCTCGATCGAAAGTTCTTCAAAATGTATGGGAGAGAGTATTTTATGAGGGACATGTGGATTTATATACATGTGGACATGTTCATGCCTATGGTATGTTTATATGGAATGAGAATGATGATGTGAAATTAATGATTTTCAAAATTATTGACTGTCCATGGTTGACATGATGATTCTAGAGAGACAATATCCTGTATATAATCAAACTGTTGAGACGAAATCAAATCCAAATAATTTAACAAATCCAAGAGATACTGTTCATCTCATTGTTGGAACTGGAGGTTGTATCGAAGGACTTGAGCTTAATGAATGGTACAATAAGAATATTTATTGGAACTATAAAATATTCAATGATGTAAGTGAATAATTGTGGATGTGTTCTTATAATCTCCATTCTTTTTCATTGATAGGATGAAGGATATGCACTCTTACGTGTGAAACGAGACAAAACAAATAGGAGACAAATGACAATTACATGGGAATTTTACAGTACGACTCATGATGAATTAGTAGACTCTTTTGTCATGACCAAGACCTATTAATCCAACAGAAAAATTGATGATTTTCCTCCAATATATTCATCATAATTGATCCGCGCTCAAATGTTTATTACGATTTCATCTCATAAAAAAATGTCAAAACGCAATTCTCTCATTTCTTCATATCCGTCCTCATCTCTGAGACAGTTTCCGAATCAAAGCCTCATCCTTTTTACCCTCCCCGAAGAATTATGGCTCATGATTATTTCCTTTGTAGATTATCATTCTCTTTGTGCATTGGAAAAGACATGCAACTTTTTTCGAAAGGAACTTTTAAATCGGGATGGATTTATGAAATTATTAATTAATAATTTAGTGTTGAGCATGATGCACAGCAGTAATCAAAATAGCGAAAAAATTCAACACATGTTTGATGATGATGATGATGAATTGTACGAACAAGAAGAGGATTATGTTTTTCAAAATAATTTTGTTTTTGATAGCCATTGTCATGAAGAAACAGCTGATTTAGTCATTCGAGAAATTAAGCATGGACATCGACAACGATCGACTCAAATTCTTCGAGAATATTTCTTTGAAAAAATTATGAAAGAAGATTACCGAGAAATTGAGAGAGAATATGTTATGAATTATTTGGTTCTTGAAGAATTTAAATTTCAATCGTTACGTGATGTGTATATTGCGTGTCACTTGTTTAATGTCAATCCATTTGTTTCATGGAGAAAGATTTTACCAACAGCTAAAAATAATGAACAATATAATGCCATTCTCATGGAAAATGCCGAAGAATTGTGTGGATTAAGAATTCATTGGAAAGGAATTGTCATTCAAAATTCAAATGGAATGCTCACGTGCTACTTGTATGACGATGAAGAAGATTTGACAGATTTATTCAATATTGAACTCTCTGCATTACCCATTGTGATCCTAAAGCACGTAAAAAATCTCTCTGATTTTAAATATTTGGACACTGTGGAATTCATTGCTGAAATTGAGTCCATGCCAGATCATGTTACAAGTAATAGAAATTTTCTTGGATTTATTCAAGGAGCTCACTCTGTTCTCGATCAATTCAGCTCCTCAATTTCTCAATATATACCTCACTATAATGCCCTTGATAGGCTTTTGAAATCAAATTTATATGTCACTTTACGAGTGCAAGGAGATGGAACATTGATTCGACAAGTTACCAATAATAACTTGGAAAATATTAATCTCACCGTGACTCGATATACGAAACAAGCAAATGCTCAAGAAAATCATGGACAAGTCATACGTTGGAACGCACAAATTATTTGGAAATTTATATTTGGCAGTCATCGATACCTACTTGTGAGATGTTTCGATTCTCAAAGTTCTCTCCTTTGTTGGGTCAAGTGTGAAAAGCAAATCTCCTCCTCTTCTCTACCTTCTCCTGGAGATTGTGTTTCTATTAAGGCATCCATTATTGGAATCGATTTTTGAACCTGAAAACAGTACATGATGAAACATTGACGCACGATGAAGGCAATGCAAAAAAGAGGACCGCAATGACCTCTTTGTTCAAACAACAATTATTTTCAAATTCGCTACAAGTACACTCTTCATCGGAATCACTGATTTGGAGCATATTGAGGATCATGTTGAAGGTGTGCTGGATGTTGTATCTAGTATTTGCATGGATAGTTGGAAGATGTACTGGATTTACATTGTATTAACTTTTGGAAGAATTTTCACAATTCCTCATGATCATGCTTCTTGTTTCGATCGTATGGTGGTGGATGCTTGGATTTTGTGTACACCAAAGCACAACGAGAATGTCCATTGTAGAAAAAGAATTTCGTTCTGGAACATGCATGCTCGACATGTTTTTCAAATTCACACCGTTTCATGGTTTCTTCACATGCAGGACATACAATTTCATAATTAATTAAATCAATTGTTTTCTCTAAACGACGATAGTAATCCAATTCGCGTGGATGGTGGTGAAGTTGACAATGTTTTTCATGTTGATGCAATGGAAGGACCATTCTGCAACTCAAACAGCTCGTCAACTGCTGTTGTGTAAAATTCGAAAAATTCAATCTCTGTTCAAGTCGTGTTTGAGGATGAGAGCCGTCATCATAATCCACAGTTGGAAATTGTATCTGATCCACAAGGTCAGGAGAATGAATAAAATCTGTAATGGTCAAATTCAAATGATAATCTTGAATGGCTTTCATGGTTGCGTGTGAAATTTTTCCAAAATTTTCAAATTCGATTCGTGCCACAGATTTCCAACTTGTCTCTCTCACAGATTGAACAAATTCAAGCAGCGCGTTTTCTTCGATATCATCCATCGAACAAAGCTTTAAATTTTCTAAAGGAATTCTTTTTCTGAATAAAGAGGTCATGCATTTCATCAAGTCTGTGAAGTGCTGTTGTGACGTACCATTCTTATAGAAACCAAGTCTCAAATGTTTCAATAATTCCAACTGTTCTAGGCGCTCTATTAATGTGTTCACATAACTATATGTTACTCCGTCAAGATTGACAAAAGTCAAGCTTGATTTAAATGCAAGTAAAAAATCAGCAACTCCATATCTAAAACAATCAAGAGCTCTGAAACTAAATTTTGACACTTTTGGAATTTTGCTAGACGCCTCCGTGAAGAGAGGTTTTGTGGACGGGCGGTCATTGCTTCGTAACAGACCTAGTCCTAATGAAACATTGATGGATTTCAATTTTTCACACTTGATGATCAGGTTCGAAATGACATGTCTAATTTCTATATCACCTAGGTCTTCTTCATCCAATGGCTATCCCTGTATAGTTGTAAATCTAACGATTCTGTTACCAAGCTTCCTTGTAAATCATTGAGTTTGGAAATACCTGCTTGAACTTGTACTGGTGTCATTTGTCTCAAACCAACATGCTTGGATTGTAGAAATAGATTTGGTAAAAATGGCACATTTGATAATGTTACTCTCTCAGATGATGATTTTACATTCACACAATCAGATCGAGTAAGACTTTTGATAAAAGCAAATTTACATGGATCCATGTATGAATGTTCAATGTTTTGAACTTCTTCCATGACCATTGTAGTTGACTTGGGAAAAAAGAGAGCATGTAGATATCCATCTTCATTATATCCAAAAATCAGTCTCTTAAACACAAAATTCTTCACATTCTTTGTAAATTCACAATCAAGATATAAATCGTGAAATATTTCAGGTCGAGTGCTTACGAACGATTGCATGAAACAATCGCCTTTAACTTCATGAGTCGAATAATAAAAATAGAGAAATTCTGGTTCTGTAAAACAATTGAAATAATAAGGGCCAATAGTGTTGTGATAAATTTGTTTTTCGATGGCTGCTCGTGACTTGAAAATGTCATTCTTCTGATCTTTGGTGCGTTTGGAAAATGTCAAAAACATGACATTGTTAATACTTCCATTCACAAAAACATGTTCAATTTTCATTTGATTGCTTTTCACAAAATTCATCACATATCTTACGTATGGAAAAAAGTCTTTGAAAACATTCATTTGAAAATTACAATTCTTGTTATGGAAATTTGTTTTAGAATCTTTTGTTTCACTATTATTCAATTGATCTATATATTGTTGAACATCAGGATACAAGTGCAACACATTTAAATTATTAATAAGAGCTCGTCTCCATGGAGAACAAACTTTCGGAATGGTCATGATCAATTCGTTGAAATGCAAATAGCAAAAAATATTATAGAAACAGAGATCGGGTGGGACTAGCCAATGAAAAGAAGATGGAATAGTGGCTTCACCCTGATCATCAAATTCATCACAAATGACAGGTGACTTGGCAGCTCTGTTTCCCATTTTTTTAATTATGAGTTCATTATGAACTCATTAATTCAGAATTATGGTGATGAATGTTGATCTAAATAAATAATTCAAATAATTCCAATTGATCTCAAACTAGAGTCTACAAGCTTGTAATCTCAAATTTTTTGTCCGTCGAACTCCACTCTCCATAAATGTACACAATTCCAAACCTGTCCTCGAACCAGTTTCCGTTGTGAATAATTACGAAAAACAAAAGAAAAGTGCTTCAAAAAAAATAGCTCCGTCCGATAGCTCGTTTCTACTATCTCAATAATATAGCCATCATCCAACCTCTCTTCAAGGAAAAACAATTTTTTTAATCATTACACGTTAGAAAAATCATTCCATCCTTTCTAATTTATTTTTATAATCATCATCACAAGAAAAATGATGCGAGAATCGGATTTGGATATTGGAAGCGGTCGGGCATCTGTTGATGAAGGCTCTACTGAGAATAGATCCTCTATTGACATTACACTAAATGAGCAGGAACGAGGACACACTATTGATAATTACGCACAATTAGACGCAGCATCATCAAAGCCTGTGTTGAAACGAAACCCATACATTTCTCTTCTTTTTCACAACAAGAGATTTCTCATCATTTGGATGGCTGGTGTGTTATCCGGAATGGGTAACTACTTTTCTGAAATTGGTACGTTATTAGTTTACAAATGATGAGATGATGCAACAATCATTCCACCATTCAATTTTCTTTCAAAAGCTGTTGTCTACGAAATTGAACACAGAACCAATATTGGTTTTGCAACTGGTGCTCTTTTCCTTTCAATCTTCGCCCCATCATGCTTGGCAATGCCTTTTGCTGGATTGTGCTCCGACATTTTTGACAGACGAAAGGTTTTAATTATTGCCAATATTGTAAGAGCTGTGATTGCTTTTTGTTTTCTTTTTGCCTTGTTGATTAAGGACAATAACCCACTCTTATTCGGATTTTATTACGTGTGTATGGCCCTAATGTTCTTTACCAACGCGTTTTATGATGCTTCTCGTGGTTGTTTGATGCCGTTGGTTGTAGATCACCATGACCTGGTCGCTTGTAACGCCCTCGATAGCTTGACCTGGTTGTTCTGTTCTTATACTGGTGCTGCTATTGGTGGTCTTATTACTTCCATGGCATCCAATATGTGGACTCCTGACAGCCCATTAACAAAAACAGAAGTAGGACTAGTCACAACCTTTGTACTTAACGGTGTTTTGTTCATTTTGGCCTTAATTTTGACCATTGTTTTGATGAGATATCCAGAGTTGAACCCTCCAAAACCTGCAGACTTTCCAAAGGGAGGAATTGCTCTTGCTAAACACAGTATCAAGGAATTATACGAAGGATTTAAACTGTTGCTTGGCGGAAAGGGTTATCTTTTGAGTTTTACTGTCATGAAATTATTGGGCTCTTTTATTTGGGCATCCGTTGAGTTTATTAATGTGAAATTATCTGAATTCCCAACGCTAACTTTGATGGATAGTCCAGAAAACACAATGACCATTGCATACAGCTTGTTCGGTATTGGCTCTGGACTTGCTCCTATGGTTTGTGAATTGCTACTGGGTAACAGAATTAGACGTTCTGTGAGAAGTGCATTCTGGACAAGATTTGTGATTTTAGTTTCCTTCTTCATGTTGGCCGTTGGTTTTGGTATCATGACATTTACTATTCACGCCTCAATGTTTATTGCTGCTAACTTTATCCTTGGTGCCGCTGGTGGTACCATGTGGGTGTACAGTATGGCTTCCATTGAACATTTGACACCTAACCACTTCTTGGGACGTATCACTGCTTTTGATATTTGCTTTGGATTTGGTGCTGGCCAAGCTTTGGGAGTTTTAGTTCCATCCCCATTCTTGAATGACATTTTTGGCATTAAGCAGCCACACTTGTTTGCACTTGTCATGTTCTGTTTGGCTTGGGTATTGTTCATTTTCTGGGTTATTTGGTTCTATCTCACCAAGAATATTCACCAACATCATGTTGAGCACGATGAGCACAAGCATTAATCAAATTTTTAACAAGATAATCTTTTTAAGTGGAAATTGAGAAACATATACATGATATGCCGTATTTCCTGAAATAAAAAGTTCTAAATTCGTACAAGGCTTTGATGGCTTTTTTCAGATCATGAACACTTGATGAACGTTATGAACAAGATTAAAACCCAAAGTTCTCACAATTTTTTTATTCAACTCACGAAACGTGCAAACAGGTTGCCTTAATAATACGAACCACCGCCATACTGTTGATCGTCACCATATTGTTGACCATATGAAGGGTATTGCTGTTGATCATAATAAGGATACTGTTGTTGTTGATCATACGATGGGTATTGCTGTTGATCCTCCTCCCATTCGTTTTCAAAAGCCATTGGTCCTTGACCCATATCTTCTGCTCCACCACCTCCACTTCCATCGTCTTGATCTGGAGGAGGATTCTGACAATTCACAGTACAACTACATACAACAAGTGCAAGCAAGGCAATCAAAAGGAAAATAACAATCTTCTTCATTGGAATTAAAAGAGACGAAAGTTTCAAGAAAAGATCTTTGACTGTTTTTTTGTCTATTCCATGAATGGAAAAAGTTTGAAATTGTTTCAGAATTGAAATGAACAATTATAGAAATTAACTTTTACTGATTGTGTGTTGGAATATGCATCAGTGAAAAGAGAACCAGTGCTTGAGCTTTCTAAATGGAGGCATTTCTTCGAACTTGGTCCTGTTGAGAAAATGGTTGACCAGGTTGTTGTAAGCTTACCAGCCGCTGCAAAAAATGTCGAAACGATTATTTCTCGAGCTTTCCGATGATAGTGAACTGAAATTTCAAAAAGAGAAAAAATCAAGTCGTAGGCATAGTCAGCAAACAAGCCATCATGATCGAAACATGTGAGGATTATTTTGACTGATTGTTGTCGTTCCGATAGTCATGCCCAAATCAATGAATTTTGAAAAACAAATTTACATCACAACAATTAGGAAAGAAGAAATGGCTGATCAATAGAGAATTAGAATATCCTGAATTTATTCCTATTGAATTTATGAACGATCCCGAATTTATTTTGAATCACGTTACAAAGTATGGATATGGATTATCGGGTGCGTCGTCAGAGCTGCGCTTTTACTGTTGGCATGCAATTAGCGTATGTGCCTAGGGATGTACTGAATGATCAAGAAGTAATACTAACAGCTCTTCAACAAGACGGCTTTGCATTTGAATACATTTTTGATGATCTAAAAAAAGACAAAGACTTTGTATTGAAAGCCGTCCAACGTAATGGGAAAGTGCTATGTTTTGTTGCACGAGAGCTTCGTAAAGATAGACAAGTTGTTTTAGAAGCTGTGAAACAAAATGGTGGAGCCTTAAAATATGCCGCAACAGAATTGTTGGAAGATCAGGAAATTGTGTTGAATGCTGTTCGTCAAAATAATGAAGCTCTTTTATATGTTTGGGATCGAGTCTTCGTAATGAAGCTCTCAAATTAGCATTTCCTGAGCTACCATTGATAGATTTTTCAGACAAAAAAACAGTGCTACACCTTGTACAGCAACACGGATGCTTGTTACAATTGGCGTCAAAAGATCTCAAGAGTGACAGAGAAGTTGTGTTGACTGCTGTGAAAAATTATGGACTTGCCTTGCAATATGTAGATGACGCTTTAAAGAATGACAAAGAATTGGCACTTTCTGCCATCGAACAGGATCCTTCAGCATTTATATTTCTGTCTAAAAACTTACAAGATAACAAACAAGTTGTACTGTGTGCAGTGAAGAAAGACCCAACTTTATTACAACACGCTTCGCAAGCAATGAGAGGAGACAAAGAAATTGTGTTAAAAGCCGTAACACAACACGGTTGGCTACTTGAGCATGCATCTTATGAATTGAGAGAGGATAAGGAAGTGGTGTTAGCGGCTGTAAATTCAAGTGGGGTAGCATTACTGTTTGCATCAGAGGAATTGCACACAGATCGAGATGTTGTACTGGCAGCCGTCAAACACAACACGATTGATCTTTCAGATGACTTATTCAACGACAAGGAATTATTATTACAAGCTGCTCAACTCGGATGTTACCGAGTGTTGTTTGGAGCCCCTGCCGAAATTTGTGCTGACAAGGATTTTGTGACACGTGTCGTTCAACGAAATGGTAATGCCTTAGAATATGCGAACGAGAGTTTTCGCTCCGACAAGCAAGTAGTGTTGAATGCTGTGAGAAATAAGGGACAAGCACTATTATATGCCAGTGACGCATTGCAAAAAGATTCCGAAACTGTGTTTTAGAAGCTGTTAAAAGTAATGGATTTGTTTTGGGTGAGTACAGCCACGAATTGTATAGAGCACGAATGGAACATTGTTATTTTGGAGCATATGTAGGAAAAGAACGCTGAAATTACAATCACAAATTTATTCTTTGATGAAGTTATACTTCCTCACACGGTAATAAGATCTAGAACACACTCATAGCAACGACCTTAATCGAGACAATGTTCCTTAATTATAATAATGTCCATATCTGGGTTTATAACGATAGTGTCTGTATCTATAGGACAATGTCGTCTTCTTCTTCTTCCATGTCGATACCTATAATGATCATAAGGATAACTGGAGTCACTTTCAAATTCGCTGACTTGTGGATCATCTTGCCATTCACTTTCGAATGCCATTGCACCACCATCATCCGCTTGGTCAGTATCTGCTGGTTGAGTCGTAGCTTGACTGTTCACATAATAGCAACAAGCAAAGAGAACAACCAATGCGAGAAGAACTAGAAGAAAGGTTTTGTTCTTCATGATGTTCGTTAAGTAGTTATTGTTTTTTAAAATGAACAGAGAAAAGAGTAAGGTCTGCTATGAGGAGATGGCAGCACTTGACTCGATTTGATGTATTTCTGAATGCAGTAAATGTCCTTTTCAGAAAAGCATGTAGCCATATGAAAATCTTTGAAATTGTGACACCGTGGATTTCTGCAAAGATACAGATTCCAAAAGAACTTGGGCTGTGCAAGGCTTTGCAAGAAGATTTTAAAGGCCTTTAAATTTTTCTGTCACTTTTCATCAACTGCCAAATCACAAAAAATGTCTGCTAGTTCTTCACAGCAATCACAACCATCCCTACAACCACTATCCTCTCAACAACCACTCACTTCCCAACAATCACGACGAAACAGTACCGACAGTCATCAAACTTCTCTTTCCACATCCACCTATTTCGATATGGAAAATGCCTTTGAAAAAACCATCGCTTCAAAATCCCTCTCTCCTTTTCTTTCCATGAGTTTGAATTCAAAAGACAGCAACAACAACAAGATTCGTAATTCATGGATCAGTAGTGTGAGTCAACTTTCTTCAAATATTCCTTTTACAATTCCTCATATTGAAGTGTATGTGGAAAAGTGTGAAAATTTACCAGCCATGTCGAGTAGTGGATTTTGCGAGTAGGTGTTATTGTTGTTGTTTTTAATGATGATTCATCTCTCTTTAATATTGAAATCGAATGGATGAATATATTATTGAAATATACACCGGTTGGTCAAATTTATTTATAACTTGTGATGATCATGTGTAATTTTCAAACAAATCCTAATATGAAATACTGTGATGAAAACAATTGAATGGCTACAACATTGCCATGTCTTATTGTTGTTGTGGATGACAAATACAACAATGACCCACATTTTGATTACAATCCCTCGTTATTGTCATGGACGATTAAAATGCCAACTCTCAAAACTCCGCGGATCTCTTTGGAATGTTCAACAATTTCTATCATTCGAATCGACGCTCGTTCTTCATGACAACAACAGTCCCTATGTCGTTCTTTCTGTCATTCCATTGGGTGACAATGAATTACGCGATTTTTCACAAATTCCTTCCGAAGAGTCCTGTAAGAGTTCGAAAATTAAAAAAACACTCAATCCAGTGTGGAATGGAAAGGAGAGATTCTTTTTAGGATTTCCAGGACTCGTGAATAATGCAAATAATTATTTCAGCAATTCAGTTTCTCAATCATTCAACTCAAAGAAACAATCACAGACAAAGAATACTTCAATTTCATTTAATGAGAATAAGAGTAAATCGACGGATAGTTTACTGTCAGCAACAACGACTATGACAGCAGCAACAACTTCATCGAAGAATGCCACTCATCACTCCTTAACTCATTTCCAAAATAAGAATTATTATTTATTAATTCAAGTTTTTAGTTATGATCGTTTGAAAAAGGATTCTTTTATTGGATCTGCCAGAATTGGACCTCTTTCTAAATTACCTTATGGAGTCATGTTATCCAAGACAGTGTCACTCCATGAGGCAGGAACAAGTGCTACTTGCAGTATTAAATTTATTGCCATAATTTTGGATTGACATGGGAAGAGTTTGAAGAAATGGATTCGAATGGAAATGATGAATTTTTAACATTTAAACCTGTCTGTGCCGATGTAAGTATTTCAAATTTCACACAACTTTTACTGTCAACATGATCACTCCTCCAACAATCAATGAAAACAGCCCGTCAAAGCAGTTCTCGACAAAATTTCCAATTCTCGTTACGCCAATCAATTTCCCAATCCCAAGGACGAACTTCGTTTTGCTACCATGCTTGCCGACAAGTCTCATCTATTACAGACCTACCTTAATAAGGATTGGGTTGAAATCATTCCTACCACTCATTCTCACAAACAACAAATCATGATCCAACCAAATTCTTCAGAAACTTCTCCAAGAGCATCCAATCCACATTCTCAGAATCATTCACATCAGCAAAATTCCATGAGTGGCAGTAATACAAGTAATAATTTAGATGCAACAGCAGCAAGTTCTTCCTCTCCATTGCATAATGAATTGATGCATTCAACTCCAACACCCTCTCATGGAACTGTTGGTAGTTCCGTATTCAGCGGAGAAGAATGTTCACATCATTCGTTGACACAATTGAATCATCATGAAATGAATAGTAGTGGAGGAAGAATTAGAAATCGAACTACAGTCACGAGTTCTAGTACAATGACCACCACGAATAATGTTTCATTTCATCCAGTGATCATGAATGAAAGTAGTAATAATAATAATAATAATCAAATGAACAACACCTCAGTACCACAACGTAGTCCACATGCATTTGATGAAGATCATCAAGATCATGAAGAAGAGGATGAAGACAATGAACACGATAATCATCATGAGGATGCTGACGAGGAAGATACTGAATCCACCGATGGATCAGAATCGGAAGAAGATGAAGAAACAGAAGAAGAAAAACAAGTCATGAATGAATTTATTGAAGAGCAAAAGAAACAATTATTGAAAGGAAAGGTTGACATTAAATTGATCATTGTCGATCAGGAACGAGATCAAAAATTGAAAAGCTCTGCTCGAAAATTACTCTCGCCCATTCTCTCGAAATTTAGCTCATCCATTTCTAGTTTTGGAATGTTTCACAGTTCGATTTTGATTGGAAATTGGATTCTCGAATGGAATGACAGTGCATTGTGTGTACCGAGAAGAACTCTTTCAAAAGCTGCGTTATTTTGTGCAGATTTGGAACCAATTACCACTTTGGAAGATTTAGATGTCGTCATTAACAAACTTGCGGATGTTATTGTGGAATGGAATACAACTAAAAAGTACAAACCCATGGGTGGAAATCGATGTATCTATGGAAATTGTCAAGATTTTTGTGAAGCAGTTCTCGCAAGAATTGGAGTTGATTTTCGCATCAAGAATCCATACGTGAGACATTTCTTTGAACAATTGAAGAAGAAAGGTTCCACAGATTTGAAACTATATTTCCAAAAGGAGGAAGCTGAAGTACCAAATTCTTTTGCCAACAAATTCAAATTGTTGAGTGCAAGCGGTGGTAGTAATTCAATCAAATTTGCCACTCATGAACAATTGGATCAATTTGTGTTACGATGTTTAAGAATTGACCCAGAAATGAAAACGAATTATCCAGATGTGTGGAGCTTACTGAAAGGTTTTGATCGAGCTTTTTGGCTTCGACATTTGGCATGGGAAGAAATGAAAGAAAAGAAACGAAGAGAACTTGTTTCTGTCGAAAGAAATTTATTCAAAATTTCACAGCTAAGACGTGCTAAAAAGTTAACCGATGAAGACGTCTTGACAGAGAATCGATTATTTGAGAGAGCTAACGAAATTAAGAAGGAATTTGAGAGGATTGAGAAGGAAGGAAAACCAGTGCGCCCATTTATGGGAAAGCAGCTAGACGAAAGGAAGGAACTTGTGGAAGTGGATTTGTGTCCATTCTCTAATCCTTTAACAACTTATTCGATCAGATTGTATCACTAACAACATGTGTAATTAAGCAAATATTCCAAAAATATCCATGTCATCATCATCGGTTGTCGAGTCGCTAAAGCGAACCTCGTCATTGTCATTAAGGATTGGTTGTGGTTGCACCACTCGTATTCCATAACGCATTTCACACATTGTTTCAGTATCCAGTGCAAGCAAATCCCATATCCCTTTCTTGATTTCGGCCATGACTGTCAGCTCATTCACAAGTGAACATTCCTTTGACAAAGCTGTCAGGTGATTGGCCGCCTCTACACAATTCTCAAAATAATCACGATCCAACACTTCATCTGGAACCACACAGGCATCCGTTTTGCTGAATACATACACGGGCTCCACTCGTTCTTGAATCACTTTCAAATTTAAGGCATTCAACATGATGACCTTATCTTTTGAGATTACTTCTCCAGCTGCTAGTATTCGCTGTTTGTATGGGAAATCAATTCGTCCCATTCGAATTCTTGTAACAACGTTGCAACAATGAAAAATGGTGATCATGTGTGGTGTCAGACCCGTTCGTCCTTCAAAATATACATTTTCTTTTACAATGGATCCAACTTTGGCTGTTTTGAAAGATGTATGTTGCAAAAAGACATTCTTCAACGTGGAATAATCCTCGCAATTTGTAAATAATAATCCAATTTCTCCAACCAGTAGTTCTTTAAATTGCTTCAGAGCCTTGATCAGCTCTTGATCTCTTGATGAGGACTTGGCACTACATTGATATTTCTTTTCCAAGTTCTCTATGATTCCATCAATGGCTACACGAGTCAGAGAATGTTTTGCAATATACAGCTCGGAAAACAAGTCGGAATCTTGATTGGACAAGGCTCTTCTTATTTCTTGCAATGTAGTCGTTTCCACTCCTGCAATTTTCACGATAAGGACATAATTGAAACGTTCAAATAATTCTGTAAATTGTTGGGTGGTTTGTGATATAAAGATCTTTCGATCCGAAGCATAGAAGGGACAGGTTTTATCAAATTTAAATTTCATCCTTCCCGTGGGAAATTCCAATCGAGGCATTCTTTTTGTCTTGTTTCAAATAAGTCCATTCTGAAAATGAACACAATTCTTTGTCAAGCATATGCTTGACGATTAACAAGAACTGAAAACTGTAAATACGCAATAAGACAAGTGGAAGGTTACCTTTGTTCAGAAAAGGAAATAGGGCGAAGCAGGTGCGAGGTTATCCTGAACCAACGTTGGTCTGTCACGACAATCTCATTCGTCGATTTCCTTTTCACCGTGACAACTCAATGACAACAACAAAATAAAAACAGAGAGACATCATGACATTGAAACCCTACACATTGGCTTCGGGAATATTTTGTGGACTGACGACTGGACTTCATTTGATTTGGGTAAGTATTGACACTTGGCAAGATCCATAAGAATATGAAATGCATTATTTGATCACTTCATCTTGTTTAAATATTTAGGAGGCCATGATGTCGTCAAACCATTTCTGAAAATCCATGAACAAGACAAAAAGCTTGATGAAGAAGCTACTTATATTCTCCACGCGTGCTGGCATGTCGTTTCGTTGTCTTTGGCCGCTACTTCAGCCATTCAAATTTCGTATGCTCTCGGAAGACCTTACTTGATCGGTAATTCCTTCATCAAAGTAACTCCCGAGCTCGTGGACTTTATCAACATGTTTAATTTCTTGGAAGGTTTGGTCGTGTTGGCTTGTAGCTTTTTTGGAAAGGTCGATGATGAAGAATTGAAGAAGAAACGAAAAAACAAGTGGTTGCACTTGCTGTTTCGTTTGCCTCAATGGACGTTGTTTTTCACGATTGCTGGCTTACCTCTGCTTGATTAAGACGTAATTGGCTTGAACAATCATTACATAATTAATGGAATATTAAAAACTAGATATTTTGATCTTGGATTCTTTAGGGAATGTTTCTAAATCATCATACAACGATTCATTCTATGAGACCCAATGACTATGGTGCTTTGAACTCGCCAATCAAAAACCAAAATCAAGGCGGGATTGAAAAAAGATTTTGATTGAGACACTTTCCATTTTACAATAAATCCCCTGAAATCTTTCCACAATATATTGATCTAAAAACAAATTAACAACAACAACACAATTAACTCGTCATCACTCCCGAACACAATGTCCTTCAAGCCATACACGTTTGCTGCAGGAGCCATCAGTGCTCTCGGATTGGGCATTCATTTAACTGTTGGAGGCAAGCATGTCGTGACACCTCTCTTGAAAAAGCATGAAGAAAAACAATTGAATGAAAGAGTCACTAATTTACTTTATGCATGTTGGCATATTACTTCCCTAACATTGGCAGCGTCTTCAGCAGTCCTTGTTTCCTACGCATTGGGACGAGAACATTTGATTGGAAAATTGATCAAGGTGACTCCAGAGTTGGTGGACTATGTTTGTGAAGTGAACCTTGGTGCTGCTTTATTGGCCTTGGATCTTTCATTGTTTGGAGTTGTGGATCAAGAGAAGGAAGAAAACTTGGAAACCAAACAAATTGTGTTGCGGCGATTGACCAGATTCCCTCAATGGATGGCATTTGGACTCATTGGACTTCTTCCATTTGTTGATAAGAGATTCTTGGCAAAGAAATAGTGAGAATCTTGTTTCATTGATCATTCATCATGATGACTGTGTGATTTGAAAAAGTCAAAATGTTGAACGTTGTAAATAATATTAAAAAAAAATTCGCCACAACATGTCATCTCCTTCCTCATCTTCCTCATCCAATCATGTTTCGGAATTTGTGGTTCCTCCACATCTAGTTTCAAAATATTACAGCACTAATCCAAAAGTGAATACCATTACGGGACTCTATGTTTTTCCAAATTATTTATCTCAAGAGGAAGCTTCAAATATAATGAATAATATTTTAGATGCCAATGAATGGTGTAGTGGCGAAATTTGTAGAAGACAACAACATTACGGATATTTATATTATCACACTAGACATCATTTACCAAATTTACAACCAAAAAAACAAGAAGTTTCTTCGTTAAAAAGTATGGATTTTGACTCATTTTGGAGTGAATTATTTTGGGAGAAGATGATCAAAAGAGATGGATTATTTAATTGTGACACATCATATCACGTTTGGAAAGAAAATGTGGAATCAAATCATGGAAATGAACATGACGAGAATGCCAAAAGAGCTGAACCTCAATGTTTAGTCAATGAATATATGGGAAATCAAGGCATTGCATCTCATGTAGACAATGTGAATGCATTTGGAGACGTGATTGTTGGCATTTCACTGCTCAATCCCGTGTACATGACATTTAGAAAAGACAAATTGGAAACAAAAATTTTACTTCCTCCCAATAGTTGTTACGTTCTTACAGGAGAATCCAGATTCGAATGGAGACATGGAATTACTCACATGAAACAAATTTATGTACCTAGAGAATATCTAGTTTCAGAAGAAGAAGCTATTACAAATTCATCAGATGTTGAAGATGAAGCAGAAGGTAAAATGTTCATTCGAGAGGACAATTATCGTAGAATCAGTTTGACATTTAGATTTATTAAGATTGATGGTACAAAGAAAGTGGTGGGAACAGAGCCAAAAGAAGAAGGGGCTTGGTAATCATGTTGGAAAAAGATGAGCTCAATAAAAAACGAGCTCCCATCAGAATTTTGGCACTGTGGCAATTTTTTTGTAAATAAAAAAGCGGCCAACGGTCAAAACAAGACCACCTACCACTACTATATCGGAAGCTCATTAGCAACAAGTCATTGATGAGGAATTAAGCAGTGTGAGGAGCTTGATTGTAGCCTCTTATTGCAGCTAGCGTTACACATACTCAGCGATTTTTCAATTTTGTATTTCAATTATTATACCTCACCCGAATATAAAACCAATTTTGCTCTTGTACATACTACCTCTCATTTGGCATACAACGCCTGTTCACGATATTCCTAATCTTTCCGTTTTTCAGAATAATGAATTGTTTATCATGTTTATGTTTAGGAGGGAAACGCAGTAATAAGGTCATCAAACTTTCATCGGCGGCAAGAAAAGAATTACATCGAATAGAGAAGAAAATAACGGACCTATTTCTGCATAACGCCAAAATCGAGTTGTTTATTGTAAATTCAAAAGAAGAAATCATGTAGGTGTTTTGTAGTTCGAGCTCTTTTCAGTTTCAAATGAAATTTCAATGAAGATATCACACTGAGCAAGCAACCCTGACAACTGGTGCTGTTGATTATGAGACCCTTGTACATTACACTCAATATTTGAAATCTTCTGTAATTCAATTTTCGAGGAACATCAATAATGACAAGACTGCTTCCTATTACTCGACACACATCAAGGGGTCACAAACAATATTTTCATTGTACACTTTAGAAATAGGATATGTAAGTAATGAATTGAGACCATACAGTAGCATTGTTATCAACTTTTGTGTTGAATCATTTAACCTTATTCATTCAGGATGTAGCTTTTTATACAAGGTTGCCGTCGGAACTTCATGTGTTTAACATCAATCTTGCAGAAATTGATTATAACATGATGAACATTATCACTGACATCACTAATGCCATTGACTACCTCAACAACGAATGATTTTGACTCCTTTGAATAGATAATTAAAACAATAGCATTACCCATGTCACCATTTCTATTTGTATTCAAACAAAAAATATTGGCGACCATAAAACCGCATCACATCTCAACACAAACAACAGCCACTAGATCCACACCGTGCATACATGGCCACCGAAGAAAATCAACGTAACTGGCAAATTTTGAAAAAGCTCCGTGAGAGACCTGAGAACAAGGTCTGCATCGATTGCCCAACCAAAAATCCCGACTGGTGTTCTCTTCAATATGGAGTGTTCTTTTGTCTTGCGTGTTCGGGAGAGCACAGAGGATTAGGCGTTGATGTTAGTTTTGTAAAATCAGCAGTTTTGGATAAGTGGAACGACGAACAAGTACAATCACTCGTACACGGAGGAAACAAGAAGGCCCGAGAATACTTTGCAAGCAAAGGAATTGATAAACTCGGTATCAAACAAAAGTACAACTCAAAAGCTGCAAAGGAATACGCTGCTCTTTTGAAACAACAAATAGCCAAAGCGTAAGTAATTGTGATAATTTATATTTTGAACAATTGTATTTATGTTTTCTTTGGAACAACTCCGTCCGTAAAACATAATGAATTTGTAATTTGGGAATACCAATGCCGAATCTCAATACCTCTTTCACCTTCTCACCTATTCAACATTACCTTCTAACATGAAAAATACCTACAACAATACATTCGGATGCATCATCAACATGATTTTAATTACACAAAAATAGTAACGAAGGAACTGAGAAAAAACCAAATCTCACTATCAACACTGAAGATGTGAACACATCATCTCAAGAAAAAGTTAAATCTGCACCACCAAAAACCAACAACTCGGATTGGGATTTCGAAGAGGAAATGATGAAAGATGTAGTTGCAAGTCCATCGCCAACAACTCCACAAGTCAACAATGAGCCAAAATACAAAGTTGTTACATCAGCAAGTTCCGATCCAAATAGGATTAAAATCAAGAGTCACCACCACACCAAGACATCATCTGCATCCTCATCGACAAAGGATATATTCTCTCAAGATTCTTATTTAAAATCAAAGAATAGTGGTAAGAATGAAATTAATGATGACGATTTTTTCGAAAAAGAAGGTGCTTCAGAAAAACAAGTCATTAATGATGACGACTTTTTCGACAATGATTGGGACAAGGATTTTGACAATCAAGGATCATCTCACAACATGAAAAAAGCTTCTTCCACCCCCAATATTTCATCGAGAGGCAACGAATATGAAAATAATAATTCTTATACTAACAATAACAATAGATACAGCGGAATTGGAAGCAATAATAATGGATCTTATACAAACAATTTTGCCTCTGGAGACAAGTACAGAGGAATTGGCTCGTCATACACCGAAAGAAGGAAAAATGCACTCTCAGAATTGTCTCTTACAGAAATGTCAAGCTCAGATTTAGCGTTTTATTTAGGTGAGCAAGCCAAAGACGTTGCCAATAAGACAAAAGAGGTTTCTAATTATCTTGGAGGTCAATTACAAGTTGTTTCTCACAATGTCACAAATTGGTTTAATTCCATGATGCAACCTAATGAGCACAAGTAATTTCATACAGTTATTGGCAGCAATGTTGTACTTTAAAACCTCTTTATTCGTCCTTTCTCCGTTTATTGCGAGTCGCATGTTAAATAGATACGGCCTTTTTGATTCCATTTAATTAAATAATAATAATATTATTTCTTTACTAAATTACGATGTCACAACCGCACCTTCATGGCTGCCAACCATCGACTTCAAAAAAAATGTTCTCCTTCATCAAGCAGAAAAAGATTATGGACGATCTTTCTACCATCAAGAAAAAGCAATTAGTCAAACATGCCAATTATATCATAGAAAAGAGAAATGAAATTAAGAAAATGCAAGAATTGGATGGAATTGGTCAATCAGTTCTTCCGAAGACAGCTGGGGTTAAACCCGTTCAAAAGTCGGAGCAGAAGAAAAAACATGCTACATCAGGTACTTCAAAGCTCAACAACAAGGACAATACATCGTACAACAATTCACGTAGCTTTGCAAATTCTGCTAACACCAACGAAGTTTCTGCGCAAGCAATACTTTCGGATGACACTGTACAAGACTTATCCAAAGACTCTGCACTGGAATTTCCCCAAACCGAATATCAAAATCATTTATTCAAAATTGCTGAACAATTCGAACACATGGACCCTGAACTTTCCATGTTTTATATGAAGAGATTTTATAATGAAATGAACAGTTCTGATAATTTGGACAAACACACCGACAAGTATGCCAAATGTTGTCTATTTTGTGGACATTCATTCCTGAGCAGGGATGAGGGATATCATCTCATGAAGCAGCCATCGAACAAGGTTGTAATTAGAGATGTTACCAAGGACGAAAAGCTATGCTCACTTAATTTAAAGAAATTTTTTGGATCAAAAAAAGAACGAGTGAAATGGTCGAATATAGTTCACTGCTTGTGCACCACGAGAACTGCTTCTAATAACGTGCTTACATATCGATGCAAGAGTTGTCACAAATACTTGATTGTTCCATTTGACAAAGATGTGGCTCTTACAACATCAAAATCGGAAAACAAACAAGAATGTGTCCAACGAAAACACCAAACCAGTAATGAAGCCTCAAACAGAGCTTCCCAACAACCAAAAAGTCAGACGTCTTCCAATGAAGTCAGTGCACTAGCAACAAATGAAAATTCGAACATCTTATCTACAAAATCTAAAAAGAAAGGCAGCCAATCTCAACACACTCAAACTGCGGCACCAAAAATTAACGATTCAAACGAAAAGAAGAGAAAGAGAGAAAATGTAACGTCTTTATCAGACACTTCCCAAGCATCCAAAATCAAGGATCCACCTACAAGCAACAATGAATCCAAGAAGAAAAAAAAGAAGAATGCCTCAGGTGCCACATCAGCCAGTGACTTTTTAAAGATGCTCTAACTCGCATCATTCATGAATAAGTGTGGGTTTAACAGGCTTTGAGTATGGTACTCCATTCACTGCATCCTTGCGATAGGTAAATACTTGAGGGGTTGAAAAAGTTTTAGCATGGGATACGTATTCACTTTTTGGGTATGCCACATACTTGGATTTTTGCTCACTCGCATTGGTCTGGCCAACCACTTCCGTTTTTGTTTGATTCATGGCAACTCTGGAGCTCGATGACAACTTGAGCTCATGACTTTCTTCATGCTTTTCATGAATGGGATTGAAATGCTCTTTTGTTGTTGGTGACATACCAAAATTACTGGTATGAGCAAATGATTGAGGAATAACATTGGCCTTAATTCTCAAATCGTCTTTCAAAACACTTGGAGGTGGAACACTCATGTCAACAGTATGAGCAAAAGATTTTACACCTGTTTTGACTTTTCCACGTTGTTGGGCGTCTCGAAATACAATGGCCTTAGTTTGACTTGATGCAGTTGAAAAGGGTTTTGTTTTGTCATGGTTAGATTTTGTGGTGGTGCTGTACAGACCCATAAGTTCCTTAATTTCTGAGCTGTCACTTGGAGTGGCCATTGTATATTTCATCTCTTGTTGCATTTCTTCAATTTTTTGAGTGTTGAGGGCATAATTTTCTTCGATATTTGGAGCGAGTACGGGAGTTGTAAATGACGATTTGGTTTCGGAAGCATACTTGATGGAAGGATGCAACAATTTGTACGTTTCATTTTCGGGATTAAATCCAACAGGTTGGCAGCTACTGATGGTCCCGTTCAAGTGATGTTCCTTATGATCTGCTGTATAGGTAATTTTGGTACTCAGTGGAGCTCTCTTGTGCAGTGATTGTTTGAGGTTTTCCGATAGTTGAGCTCCATGATGATTGGATTCATACGTTGTTTCGTAAATACTAAAGGTTGGCTGAGTTGGCATTTGAGAAGATTTTGCAGACTTAGATTTGGTGGGTGTTCTTGTTTTTTTCAACTGAGGAGCCATCGATGGGGTTCCCGCCCAAGTCTACTGTTACACGAGATCTCATTTTAAAAATGTCCATTCCATGAAGCAACAACGACCCTGCCTCATGAATTTGTTGATACGGAATAGTATCTAGACAAGGGTGGCCATAAACATGTTTGGTGCTTGTTCACTCAAATAGAACAATGATTTTTTTTTCCATGTTACGTTTTTTGTGAGCGAGTTGGAAGGACAATCACTTGAATGTTGGTTAGTCATAACCAGGATTGTTGCAATAATTACATATCTTTGGTATCAACATCAACATTTTTCCGCAACAAAAAAATCAATGAACAAACAAACTTTACTGCATGTCGTATCTGGCTTATAGCCACTCTATTGATCATTGCTTGTGTATTGATCGTCCTTATTACATTGGGAACGTGCTTCACTCATGGAGGAGTACAAGAACCAGTCTCAGCTTGTGGAAGAACAAGCTCTCCAAATCGAGCTTTATTCATTGCGTGTTTTTGTGTAGCAGCATTACTAGTGATAATGTTTGCTCTGACACGAATGATTTCGCTGCATTACTCGACATTTGGGACATACATTCCTCAGGTAAAATCAGGTTACTTTTGGTTTTATGTCTTGCATTTCCTTCCATTGCTAGTGAGCATGCCAAGTTTGATTATCATGGCCATACTACCTGACGATTCAGACAATGGAAAGATTCATTTGGGAGCAGCCATTCTTGGAATGGGATGCTTACTTCTCTATGCTTTGTGTAATGCAGTTTTTCAAGTGGTTCGTATGGTCAAATTGGTACGAAATTCATCGAGTTGTGTCTTTAGCATTTCAAAAGCAAAGAGTCTCCCAAATGTTGTGTTTTATTTTGCATGTTCCATGGCAATTTTATTTAATCTGGCTTTGGTCATTGCAGCTGTGGTGGGAATGATTGTGTGGATGAATGGAAATTTGTTGGGAGAATGGGTGGCTGTATTCACAATTGTTGGAACTCTCCTCCCTCTCACACTGGAAAGCATTTCATTGAGCTTTTTGTTGGAACAAACAAAAAGTGAGGCCACAGTGGTTGAAGAGGAAGAAAACAAGACACTCATTCATGAATAAAAGAGCTTATTCATTCGTCTATTCATAATATTACAAGGAAACATATCGTTTCATCATCATGATGATTCCCTCAAAAGTATTGAGAATTGAAAAAATGAAACAAGCAAGGCTCTTCAAAACTTCGCTGCTCCTGGCCAACAATCCCACAACAACACTTTCGGGAGCTTCAATTACGCCAGCCATCCTCTCTTCAATAATCTCACACCACCACAATGAGTCATCTTTTTTGATTTCTTCATCAAATACGAGTGTACAAAAGAGAAATATCAAACAAAGGAGATTTAAAAATGTTTATCAAAATCCCTTTGATATGGTTGATGAATACAAGAAGAATCAAGGAAAAGTTCAATCACTGATGGACGCTCCAGACTATACCGGTGTTATGCTGTATGATAGTCTTGTGGAGTTTAATTTAAAGAGATATGAGGAAGCAAGGAACAAGGGTGTTATTCCTGGTATGTAGTAATCGTAATTGTTGCTATGTAGATATAATTTATTCATGGCCCAAATCATGATGATTAATGTATACATGAAATTACTTCTTTTATTATTTGATTCAATGATGTGCATTTGAAATACGAATGAAATTACCATATGATGACCAAATGAACCATGAATATACCCACGCTGGTTGGAAATGATGAATTTCATAACAATCATCTCCGAAAATATTATTTTCATTGCTTCATAACGGGTCTTTTCTCTCAATGTAGGCGAGGAATTGCTTCAGGAAGAACCTCTTCACCAAGGTTGGGTCAACTTTATGAAAGCAACAAAACCAAAAGAAGGAGAGTATCATCCTGGAGAGAGCATTCGTACAGGTGTAATTGGACAAAAGGTTGGAATGGTTCCATTTTGGGATAGCTATCATTCCTATGTTCCTCTTACTATCATTCATATACCAAAATGTCAAGTTGTTCAAGTGAAAACAAAAGAAAAAGATGGATATACGGCACTCCAACTTGGTGCTGGATCTATGAGCGCCAAAAAGTTAACAAAACCATTGTTAGGTCACTGTCAAAAGGCTGGTGTAGAGCCAAAGCATGTTTTCACTGAGCTAGAGTTACCGAAGATGCCATTTTACCTGTTGGCTTTGAGATTACTGCTCGTCACTTTATGCCAGGTCAATATATCGATATTAGTGGACGTACAAAGGGTAAAGGATTTGCAGGTGTCATGAAAAAGTGGGGATTTGCAGGTCAACCAGCAAGTCACGGTGTTTCTGTTGTTCACAGATCACTTGGATCAACTGGTACAATGATTAATAAGGTATTTAAGGGCAAAAAGATGGCTGGTAGAATGGGAGCAGAACAAGCTACACAACTTAATTATTATGTTTACATGGTTGATGTCCAAAACAATTGCATCTATGTCAAGGGATCTGTACCAGGAACAAACGGTTCCTATTTATATTTGTGTGACGCTAGAAGAAAACCATTACCTGCTTCACCACCATTCCCATCATTTGTTGTTCCAGAGGGAGAAGACATCTCAACAATGACCAAAGAACAATTATTTATGGAAGCTCCTGGAGTTAAGCCATACATTTGGGAGACTATGGGCATCACTAAGGAAGAACTTGCTCGAGCTGAACGAGAAGAATTACCAAAGGTTCTTACTTCAGCAGATATTGCCTCAATTCAAACAGCAGACGCTTATGAAAAAGAGTTATTGGAAATGAGACGTTCGAGAAAGAAAAAGAGAGAAAGTAAATACGAAGAAGAGGATGAAGATGAGGAGTAATTTTAACCATGAGATAATAACGCACATAAACATTATTATTAATCGAAAAATAACAAATGAAAACAAAATTTATCAAGTTTGCAACGAAGGCCATTGTTTGACTTTCTTTTGAGGAGATTTGAAGGTTTCTTCATCTGTAGATTGACCCCAAAAAATGACCACCACAAGAAGATTTGTGGCCGATGACATGTTCAAGTTTAACAATGTCAATCTTGATTATTATACTGAGACTTATAATATTCCATTCTATTTTGAATATTTAGCAACATGGCCCGAATATTTCTATACAGTGGAAACTCCTCATGAGGGAACGGTGATGGGCTATGGTAAGTCTTGGACCATTCGTTGAAAATCATGTCTTGATCATGAGTTGTTGTTACTTCCGAAAACTTTAATTACTGGATCTGTGATGACCACTAAATTATTATTATTATTTATATAACCTATGGACGATGATAATTGCTGAATTCATTTCGAAAATTATTATCAATTTATTATTTTCAATTATTTGCCATTCACCTGTTGCGATATTTGGGATATAAAATTATCACAATACACAAAATGGACATCACGAATGACAATCAGTAATGGGAAAAGTGGAAGGAGATAAACCACGTAAAAAGTGGCATGGTCACGTCACTGCTCTCACAGTGGCTCCAGAATATCGTCGACTTGGTTTAGCAAAAAAACTCATGTTTCTCCTCGAAGAAATCACTGATAAGATTCACAAAGCTTACTTTGTTGATTTATTTGTGAGAGTTTCCAATCGTATTGCTATTGGAATGTATGAAAAGCTAGGATACACGACCTATCGTCGAGTGCTCAATTATTATTCAGGAAAGAATGGAGAGGATGGTTTTGATATGAGAAAAGCCATGCCCTTAGATCCAAAGAAACTATCCATGATACCTCTGGGACGAGACATTTACCCTGAAGAATTGGAATCCACTTTATAAAAACACACTCTGTGATCACAAGAATAAAATACAATTTTGAATCTACATTTGCTAGCGATCATAATAATCTTTGAATGATTTTTGTCTTGGCATCGTCGACGATTGAATCTTTTTTCGAACATCAAAACGTTTGTCGAATTAGCTCAAAAAATTGCAACAATCATGCCAGCAGTAACAAAGGGTAGAAAACACCAACAACCCTCATACGAGGAAGAAGAGGAAGAAAACGACGTCCAAGTGTCCGATACTGAAGAACAAGAAGAAGAAGAAGAAGAGAACGGACAAGAAGAAATTCAAGACGTCAATGAAGACGATGAAGAGAATGAAGATGAGGACGAAGAACCACAACAAAAGGGTGGATTGAAAAAGCACAAGTTCAACGACAATGGAAGCTTTACACAACAACGAGGAAGAGGTGGTTTCAGAGGTGGTCGTGGAGGAAGAGGCGGTGGTTTCAGAGGAGGTCGTGGAGGTGGTGGTGATCGAGAGGGTGGTGGTTTCAGAGGTGGAAGAGGTGGTGGTTTCAGAGGAGGACGAGGTGGTAGAGGAGGAAGAGGTGGTGGTGGTTTTAAATCCTTTGATGGTCCACGTGGTGTTGAGAAACAACATAAAACTGGTGGTTTTGGTGGAGGAGGCTTCGGAGGAGGTGGAAGAGGTGGAGGAAGAGGCGGTGGACGTGGAGGTGGTTTTAGAGGAGGAAGAGGAGGTGGACGTGGAGGTGGACGAGGTGGATTCCGAGGAGGAAGAAACCGAGAATAAGATGTTGAGTAATTGTAGTGGATAATTCACGATTTTGACGATACATTCATCATGTGGTCGACGTTGTTCATCACGTGATGAATGCAAACAGCTCTAGAGGTGTTTGGAAATACGTGAAAAAACATAACTAGTGGAATGATGTTGACTATCATCTCTAGGAATTATCATCATCATCATAAAATATGGTTGAGAATAAACCAAAGTCTCGCTTTTCAATAATTTGTTGTTCTTTTCAAATTTCAAAAAATATTTTTCATTCGTATTCTTTGGTCGCTAGTCAGACTTCATCATGGCTTCATCAGCAACTCTTGGCCCATGTTTGGCTTTGGCCGTGGTTATTGGCGGAATTGGTGCCGGACCATATTTTGGAAGACGTCTTTTTGAAGGACACTATGTAGGTGATTTTTGATAGTATTGTTTATGATGATCGTGTTGGTTTTTCGGTGAATGAATATCAACTTGAAAATTACAATATTTCTTGTGATGAACAACAACGCATTGCAATATGATAAATAATTTTGATGAACGAACAAATTGATGATGACATGATGATAACAAATAATATACAAATTGAAATCCGTTTCATTCCACTATCGTGGCAAATTTGGAATTCATTTGAAACAATGAATCACTTAAAAACCTATGTGTGATCATAAATTAGAGAGAAAAACAAAAGCCAGATTATTTTAGATACGGCTTGTGGATGAGGGACTATGCTGTCTCCGATAGTATCCGAGAAAATGTCGAGCCAACAAGTGGTACTATCAAATCACCAGTGGCAAAACCACTCCTTGGCTTTATTGGCCCCAAAATTGATACATCAAATCCATTCAAAGCAGAGTTGGAAGAACAAATGGACAGATTACTGCTTGAAGTGGCACTCAAAGATGTCAAGAAATAAGATCATTATTGGCAATTTCTCTTGAAACATGTCACTATTAATTTTATCAAATGTAGCCACCAATAAGCTTGATAATTTTCTTAACTCTGTAACAGGGCATTCATAAAAGTATTTCACATTGTTGTCATCCTCGTTGTTGAATCATTTGGAAAGAACAAATGGTTAGCAATAGTCTGGTTGACGCTTGTAATCCATTGGTTCAGCTCCACACCGTTCGTTCATGCGAGGGTATGGCTTGATACTCGAAAAGTCATTAATTGGCCAATACCAAGGACCTGCCACCTGACAAAACATGTAATTATCATTATTGGCGTTGCATTGATTTGGTCGTTGCCAATTCTTGTCCCAAATGTCCAACTGATAAACATCCTTAGGAGTAAATTCAGCGCTTTCAAATTGGCCAGTCAAATTGCCAAATATTCCTGCAGCTTGGAGCAAATTCATGTACATGACACTACACACCATTTGTGGCTTGCCATTATCATACAACCATCCGTCTCGTTCTGGAAGTGTCAATGCATAATTGATGGTAATATTCAAATCTGTGATTGTATCAAAAACACACATAATGTCAGTGCAATTCTTATTTTTCAATCCATAATAGTGTCTAAATCTCTGATTCATTCCCTTCACAAACAGTAATTGAATGGCAGAGCCCATGTACCAATTGTTAAATAATACAAAAGTAGCTCCAATCATTTCACCAGATAATGGAGTTGGTAATTGTCATTTTCTGTGTCAATCCATGCGTAGGCAATATTGTTAAATCCATATTCGTTGCCATCGAGAGTTTTAAATAGAGCAACAGCTGCTGACTCGTTGTAGATTTTTCGATATTGTGGAGCAAGCCGGGCAATGATAATGGTGGAATCATCCTTATTCGATAAATACCATTCAGCCCATTTTGTTTTACGAATTCCTTCTTCAGTGGATTCCACAACATATTTAACTCCATCAATTTTGAGAATGGATGCAATATGACCAATCTGTGAAGAAATGATCCATTGATTATTTCAACCATCATCATGATAAATCTTTCAAAAAATAACTCTAGAAATACTACATACTCTTGCACCAGTTCCATACATTAACAGACAATCCAATCCACTCATTTGTAACTGAGCTACAAGATCTCCACTTTCCAAATCTGAGTCATCCAACCAAATTTGTTTCACAGGTCTTTCATTGAACTCAAAACCCATGTCACGTTTCAAAAAACTAATCTTGTCTTCTTCAAAATACATTCCTGCTAATATTTTACCAGCATTAAAGGCATCAATGATGGTTTGGAAAATTTGATCTTTAAACTCAAAAAGTCTCAATCCATTCTGTAACACATCTTGCCATTCTCCTATTTCTGCGTTTAAATTTTTTAACACAACTTGATGCTTTCCTTGCATAAACAAAACTTTCACAAAATAATTTTCCCGAGTAGTGATGAAATACCAATCATAGCAAAACATAGACGCTGGGCCATAGCTATCAAATTCAATAGTGACCGAGTGACTCTCATGATCAATGTTTGTAATTCGAGCAGAGGTGTTTTTAAAACAGGGAGCATCACTCCAATTTAAGCCATTTCCAGAAGGATTAACACTGCCAATAAACGTTGGAACCCAATTTCTTCTGTGATCTGGAGGTTGTGGTTCCGATGATGATCCGTACGAATGAGGATGATGTGTTTTGGAAATGAAAGGTGAAGATACTTCATCATTCTTCCTATTGTTTTTAACGAGTTGAAAAAGTTCTTTCCAATTCATTGGTTTTGCAGATCGAGCAATAGAATATGTTTTTACATAATTGTCCTTTCTTTCAATGAGAGCAGTTTCTGTTTTATGAAATTGAGATTCACTTTCCGTGAAAAAGTTCAATCCATCCGTCATATCTAACGATGAAGAAGAAGTACTACTTGATTTACCCATCAGCTTGGCCTCTTGCATCATTAATCGGGTGGTTATTGATTTTAATTGTTCCTGACTCGAGGTCATGTAGGAAACTTTGGATTCAAGAAGTGATGATGATGATAATTGTTGCGGAATTTTGAGAATGGGAATGGCAAGTGCTCCATGATGATTGGAGGAAAGAGTAAAGAAGATTATGTAATGTACAAATGTCAAGCCTATCATCATTGCAATGATGGATGGAAAGAATCTTTTCCGGCTATACGGATATCGAGGAAATAGTTGTTGTACCATTGGTAGTGTTGAATACGTATATATATTGCTAAAACATGTATTTACAGAGTTTTTAAAAAGAGAAATGATGAAAAACAGCAACAATATTTGATGATCGCTGCTTTCAGAATCAAGACAAGTGATGACTGTGTTTGAAAGATTTTTTCGTTCTAATTTTGCTTCTAATATGCGGCGTCCAAGGTCCTGACTTGCGAAAGTCACCTTTTCCTTTTACGTTCTTTTTTGTATTGAGGTTGAGGAAGTTTTACTTATTTATTTAATTGTCATATGGTTCATAAGAACCATCTTGAAGAGGAGACGATATTGGAGTTGGTGGGTTGGTCACGGGATGGTTTGCAGAATTCTCAAAGCTTTGTTTAACAGCCAACTTGGGTAAGGCAATCTTGTTGCTTCGCAAATGAGATGGAATAAGGTCGTCGCTGCTTGGATTGACTTTTTTGAATTGTACAATTTGTCTGAACATGAACTCAAGAATATGTTTTGCACTGAAATGATACTCTGACTTTAAAAGTTTCGTCACACCAACAATTTCTCCTGCTTTTTGAATAAAGTACTCTGCATCTTCGTCAGTGCATCGGTTTGTTAATTGTGCAAGTCTAACGTCCTCTGAAGCAAATTGTTCATCCAAATCAAACAAGTCAATTTCAGGCGGCGCAAACTCTCTCAGTGAAGGTGGATACACTGCTGGCTTTAAACTTGGAAGAGGTGTTTCAAAGGCTGGAGGAATGAAAGTGAGAGGAGCGTGCTTGACTCCTAACTGAGCATATAAGTTAATAGCTTCTGGTACAAGGTCTGTGTCAAATTTAAACATCTTATCTACAAATAGTTCGTTGAAATCGATTGGAAGTTCTTCACTCTCCTGCAAGCACGACTTTACCTTCTCTGACATGGATTTTGCATCTGGCAGGAATTGATAATCATTTACCTCTGGAGATGTAGAGTCTATTTGGTTTAACTCAAAGCCGAAAATAAGCCATTTGAAAATTACGTCCAACAATACTGAATTTTCTTCCTTGTCTAACCACTTATCGTCAAACATATGAACACTTCCAAGAACGGCAACTCTTCCCTTGTCATTTTTCGAAGTATAAAAAGCTCCAACAGGCCTGTTCACTGGATAAGAGACATGACCTGAAGCTAAAATTGCTGTTGCCGGGCTCTCTACGTTCAAGGTAGCTCCATACGGATAGACGAAGGTTAAATGTGACGAAGGATCTGATGAATCTACAGCTGCATCCATTGTTTTCCCCGCTTCCTTGTTGATCGTTCTATTCAGAATTCCCTTTTGGACACACACTTCCTTTGGATGATAATATTTGAAGAATGATGTTCGGATAACTGTGTCCGAGTTAATGAAAATTCCCCATTGTTCTAGAAGATAGTTGATATTCGTTTCAAATCTAGGTTCACCTCCTTCTCCGAGTTGAAAAAGAACACTTCCGCCTTCCTTAATATATTGCTCAACGGTCGAAAACTCTTGCTCCGTAAATTTTAATCGGGGACCACAAAATATTACTAGATCAGCTTGTTTTAGTTTTTCATGTGATATTTCCTCCTCATTACTGCCATGTTGTATGAGATGGTGATATTTACAACCATCCTCGCGATCGGGTTCAATAACTTACATTAGAGTTTTATACTCCATTCGTATCTTTTTATACAATTTTTGCAAATTATTCTTTGGAGTTCCGTACTCATTCTTACTGATATTAAACATGACTGTCTTCGCCAACGATGGTTGCTGAGAAGCATCAGTATTGGCGCTTTGCTGCGAGTGTTCGTTTGACAACATTTTTTTTGGCGGTGTTCACTTTTACCCGCCCTTCAAAACTACAACTTTAAAATTTTGTCAAAAATTGTATCTTGTTTCAAGTGGATTTGGTCATGCTTGATTGAAATTAAAGCTCATTTGTTGCTTCGCCAAATTCCATTGTAGACTCCACTATTTATTGTATATCTACAATATTCTAACAAATATTATTAAATCCAAAGTATCCACCTTGCATAAGGTTATCCACGAGTGATTTAATACCCATCGCCCCTGTCAATATTGATGAGATGGCAATAAAGATGGCAATTATGAAAACAATGAGACTGGGACGATTAAAACGTTTCATTAACAATGCCACAACAATTTGACCTGCAATTCCACTCAGAATTCCACACACAAAGTACCAACCTAAGGAATTACATTAACCAATGCAAATTTGTTAGTTGGAAATAATATTCTTAGTACAACACTCAACAAATACATAGACTACTACTTACAGAAATAATCCCATGATATCACACCCATAATTAAGAATTGAATAGCTGTCGATGAGCCAGTCAATAGTACGGTGAAACTTGAAGTTGCAACACTCACAAGTGGATTCACACCCATTTCTAAAAGCAGAGGTCCAACCACTAGTATTGAAATTCATAGTTTTAAAAATAAGTATTCATGGTGAATTGTTACAAAATCAGCCTTTGAACAAGAACATACCTAATCCTCCACCAATGCCAAGTAAGCTTGCTGCTAGACCTGCTGTGAAAAATACCAATGGAATGAGAGTGACATTTCGAGTGGTCCATCTGACATCTCCGTCCAAATAATTGTATCCATGTTGTTCCTTTTTGTGATGCATATATCTCAATATAATACCAGCAATGCCAGACATGAGCAATAACAAGGGAAAGGATGCCGCAACAATGAGCCAATCTGAGGTGTTACATAATTTTTCAATAATTTTGTGTGAAAAACCACACAATGTTTAAACTTACATTCAACAGAACATTTTTCAATTCCCAGCACGGAAGGAAATGATTTTCCTCCTTTCAAAAACGACGAAATGAACACAATGGTCCAGCTCACCAATAACAAGCACCAAGAAATGACAGGAAATACAATCAATTCTGATTTCTTAATTTTCTCCAAAGTGGGTGAGTAAGATTTAGTTTCCAAGGCATCTTCCAGTGAAATTTCATCGACCACGAGTTTAGTTTCATCCTCGTCATGATGTTCATGATGTTCACTTTCTTCCAATGAAAGATTTTGTCTCGGTTCTTCTTCTTCCAACTCGAAGGATTCTTCAGCATTGATGGATCTAGAAATTTCCACCATTTGAGGATGCGTTTCAACAAGTTCTTCAGTGTTATCACCTCTTGCAAGCTCCAGTTGTTGTTGTTGCTGTTTTTGGAGTCTCTCTTCATTTTCCTTCTTCCACATTTGTCTTCCTTTCTTGATGGACCGATAACTCACAATGAGCAACACCAGTAAAAGCATGACAGTTAAAGACCAATTCGGAAACCAAACATTAAGAAATACTCCTACAATGGATCCAGCTAAAATAATGGGTTCAACAATGACTGCAATTTGATAATCAATGAGAGGTCGTTGTTTTTCTAATGGATGTCTTTTGAATGCGAGAGTGGCATACACACTAGCAGAAGCTCCAAAGATGATAATTGTGGAGAGGGCAATAGCAACGCTGGCTGGATATCTTCCAATGAGGAACAAGACAGGGACTATGATAGCAAGATGTTAGGAATAGATATCATGTTTCAATTTGAAATGAAATTAATAAGTGAAAAAATTACTTACCGCTGGTGTGAAATATGAATAAGATTATTTGCCACAAAAATTCCTTAATGTAGATACTTACTGTACACAGCATTGTGTGCCAGTAGTAATTTAGGAATGTGTGACATGATGATATTCAATTGTGTGGCATAATCATGAACATGATCACAGTAAAATAAAATTCACATAATTCAAGAACAGTCATCTAAATTTCAATCTAAATAATAATTACCTAAACTCCTCCTCCTCCAACACCTGAAGCAGCTGCAGCAATTCCTCCAAATGATGAGAAAAACGATCCCATAAGATCCCAAATCGTAATTGGAAATAAATTCTTTGGTCCACACAAACCAAATCAATATTTACAAAATGACTCGAATTGATTAATTTCACACTTTGATTCTGCACTCGACACACCACATAGGGTTCATCCAAACACAATTCTCCATTTCTTGCCAAATCACACGATTGACAAGTCGAATTTATACATAATAAATGTTTTCCACATTGTGCGGTTGAATTACACGGCGAACCAAAGAGTGGATCGACACTTTGCCAATCAATACTAGATGAAGTGTTTTGTTGCGTTAATCCTATTGTTGTTCTCATAAATTTTAATTCAACCACATGAGCATCGTTATTATTCATTTCCAACGATGATGAAATGAATGATGAGGCTTGTGTTGTTACAACTCGTATGAACATGCATAACAGAGTGGTTATAATAACCATCCCTACTAATACGAAACGTGTGTTATTATTCCTTCGGAAAGTACTTGGCTTTCCTTTTAAAATAGAAGGAGGGGTGAGCGAAGAAGTCATTCGAGGAATGGTCATTTTCTTTTCGAAAGGTTATTGAAGATGCTGAAGCAAAGATGCGATTTGATTTTTCAAATTGTAATGGGTACAGTTGCATTCGCTTCGTACACATTTAATTAAGTGTTCTTGAAATGTGTTGTACTATTTCTCTTGTGTTTTGCTCCAGGAAGAAAGTTGAATAAATGGTGGAATAACAAATTCTGTTCTGTTTAAAAGAAAACAAGTCTTTGAAATCAAGCTTAACGTCATCTAGACATGTGCTTTCACACTCCAGTCCATCGTTACCTCTTCTTCATGAAAAACCTCACCAATGAATTTGTTGGTTTTTCCTTTTAAAGACTTTCATACAATTCAAAAAAATGAGAAGAACTCCCTTCATCGGTGGTAACTGGAAGTGCAACGGAACCGTGTCCTCGATCAAACAGCTTGTATCCGAGTTGAATCAAGGAACAATGAATAACAATGTGGAAGTAATTGTTGCTCCATCGGCTGTTCATATCGGATTGGTTCAATCTTTGGATTTGAGAAAGGATTGGAAGATTAGTGCCCAAAATATTGTTCAAGAAAAGAACGGTGGTGCCTTCACGGGAGAAATCTCTGCTGCCATGTTGAAGGATATGGGAATTGAATATACATTGTTGGGACACAGTGAGAGAAGACACATCTTTGGTGAGTCCAATGCTGTGATTGCAAAGAAGGTTAAGGCTTGCGAGGAGACTGGATTGACCATCATTGGATGTGTGGGAGAAACATTGGAAGAAAGAGAAAGAGGTGAAACCAACGCTGTGATCACTACTCAATTGAAAGATTTTGGTGTTACTAATTGGGATAAATTCGTGATTGCCTATGAACCAGTGTGGGCCATCGGAACTGGAAAGACTGCCACTCCAGAACAAGCACAAGAAGCTCACAAGGTTTTGAGAGATTGGTTGAGTCAAAATATTAGCTCTGAAGTTGCTGATAAAGTGAGAATTATTTATGGAGGAAGCGTGAAGGGTGACAATTCTGATGAACTCATCAAGAAACCAGATATTGATGGTTTTCTTGTTGGAGGTGCCAGCTTGAAAGGAAAGGAATTCTTACAAATTGTAGATTCAGGTGTCAAGAAGGCTCAACAACAATGAATAGTCAATACCAAGTTAAAAATTAGTAAATTATAGAAATACTATTTCATTTATTGAAATTTGGTTGTGTCTACGAGTTCTTCTACAGTTTTTCGACGACCTCATTGCACAAGTTTGCATATTCCGAACTGAAATAAGTGTTAATGATTATTGAAAATGATGAATTTCATCACCAAAAACTTACTTATTCTTATGTTTCAGCATGTTAAGATAATTTAAACGAAACTCCTTGTGCCACTTGAGAATTTGCACAATCGAATTCACGTCACAAACCAAAGTGGCCACAAGCAGAGCATTTCCAAAACACTCACTCTCAATAAAACAATCCTTCAAATACAGCAAGTCATGATATAAATCATGAGACTTACACAGAACATGTTGAGTGCTTGTGAAAAGTTGTGAATTTTCAAATTGTTGCAAATGCTTATTCTTCATGGTGTGTAGATGGCCTTCTTCTCCAATTTTGCCTTTACAAGCTCTAGGCAAATTAAAAGATTTGTGAATTTTTGCGAATGTGTCTTCCCATATTGATACGTCCTCCTGTAGTGAGGAAAGTAAATGCCCTGACTTATCTCGCTCGCTTTTAAGCCAATTCTTTAGAGAAAATACATCACTTAATGATCGTTCAAGTTGTAACAGAGCAAAAAAGTCAAAATTAACCATGAATTCTCTTAATTGAATAGAGAGCATACTACTGAGAATAATCTGATGATCGGTTTGCAAGGTAACTTGTTGTTCATCTGTTTTCAAAAAATTAATAAACGTTGTGGGTGAGTGACTACCATTCTCGTGCTGTTTGCTTTTCACAGCAATCGAGAGAGATGGTACGGAATCATTCGAATTGGAATTTTCACTCATTCTCTCCATTTCTTCTGCTCTCTTTTCTGCCTCAATTCTTCTAATAAATCTTACAATATCGTTAGAGAGCTCAAACTCCGATTGTGAGAATGCCAATTTCAAAACCTCATACGAGTACGATAGAACCTGATCGATACCTTCCGTGTGTTGTAAAATTTTAAGCATGTTGGCAGCAGAATGAACAGATTTTTGCTTAATAAAGGAATCAAATATAATTCTTGGAGGCTGTGGGAGACAATTGAAAACCTTACTCCAGTGAATGATATCCGTTTTTCGAAGACAGTTGACCACAATATCTGTATTCAACAACATCTTGAGACCAAATTTTGAATTCCGCTCGTATAACTTACCATAAAATTGAGGAAAGTTTTGTAAAAATTTCACAACATAGGGCAATCCATTCTCTGTGATCGTAATAAAATTAATTGAACAACAAATTCGAATGTTCGCACGATATATTAAAAAAATGGATGAGATTACATCATTTCAATTACTTACGCATATCGACTTTGGAAAAGACTCCTTCTTCTGTTGATCGTTCAATCGACAAGTATGTTGAACTATCGGTACTTCCCAATGCACAATGCAACATCCACTCTAAATTTGCCACGAACGATAGTGCAGAGTTTTTGTGAGGAGGTAGTTGTTTGGTAAATAACACTAAGGATTCGAATGACAAGGTCTCATCTAAAGATTCTGTGTGAATATTGGAATCTATTTGTTGCTCAAATAACAGACCCAATAAGAGTCCATGAATATAAGGATACATTTTTGGTTGCATTTCATAGTAAGGGAAGCCAAGTGGATTTTCAATGAAGAGTAAATCTCGACTGTTAAATCGAGGAGAAGGTATTGTCAATTTGGAACGAGATTGCGAATGAGTGTTCTCAACATCCACGTGAGCGCTCAATCTCTGTTTGACTGTCTCTGATATCTGAAGAAAAACTCCAAAATCTTTTAACACACCCATTGGAACAGCCTCTGTATCACATGGAATAATATTCTTCACTCGAATATGGTTAATTTTTGGAAGTTGAGAGAGATCCACAATGGACATGTCTGTTCCTTTTCTTGACTTTCCATTAAATGTAAAATAAATGAGCTTGTCATTGTATGAGCGTTCTTGTTCAATCCACAGACCATCGACACCATTTTCCAAAACAAATTCTTTAAGAGTACCGTGTAATTTAAAAGCTCCAAGATCACCATTAGCATGAATGAAAAGAAGTTTCACCGAGGACAGCAACTTTTTGGTTTCTGAAGCATTCACACCAGCTATTGATTTACACGACACGCTGACCATGGACCTAGGAATACTGGTGTGAAATTGTGTCATGTCAATGATTTCTAATTTTGTGAGTTTCACTTGAATATTATTGTTCTTATCATAATCTATTGGGCAAGTATAAATGTGTAATTTCATGGATTCGTCATACATGAAAATAATTGGTACAAGTTTCATTTGTTGTTGAGTAATTCTGAGTAAAACCGATGTACTGTCAATAAATAAAATTTTTGACTGTGAAATAACCCTTCGTTCCAATCGAGAAACTTCGTCCAAATGAGTCCTAGGATAGAGTAATAACTCGCTTTCATTCTTGTCATTGGTGGATATAAGGGCGAGGATGACATTATCAATCCAAACCATTGCTGAGCATTTAACTTGATATTCTTGTTCCAAATTTCCAAACATTCTCCACTTTTTTGATGTTCCAGAATAAATGACACATCCTCTCGCCCCAGAGAGTGCAATGTGATTTCTGTCTCCACTAATTGCTACATTTTCAATTGGATAGTTGAATGTAAGATATGAGAGTGGAATTTGTAAAGGTTCCCAATCAGCACTCACAAAGTCCATTCCAGAAGACATGTGAAATCGTAAAAGTTTGTTCGTTGTTTGAAGAATCACGTCCGATGATTTGCTTTGAGCAAAGCTTGAACATAAAATACTTTTACAGAATGTAAAATCTGCCAATGTTGTGGTACCATTGGAAACTGCAATTAAGTGATAGCCCTCACTATCCCACAACAGAGTTCTAACTCCTGAGCCAAATGGTTCGTTCTTGGAGGAAATTTCGGTCATACCTATTGGACTTCCATGCGTCACTTGAGATCGAATACTGTTTGCAAAGAGAACGAATAAACGAATGATTAAGAATTGAATCAAATAGGTCAAATAATTCCAAATGTTTGTACTAAACAAACCTTTGCATTTCTTTTTCGGAAAATTGAGGAAGACTGGTCATGATGCACACTCCTGATATATGAAAGATGGCAAAACCTCGTTTGCTATATCCAACAGCAATTGCCAACCCATCATGAGAGCTAAAGCACATGGAAGAAACACGCCCCAATTCTTCACTTGTGAAACCTCGATAAGAAAGAGACAATTTTGATCGTTCACTAATGGAATGATTTTTTGCAATTTCATAAATAATAACATCTCCATTGTTGCAACCAATCGCTAATAAATTATTTCTACTGTTGAATTGAACACACACTGCATCAATACCTTCAATAGTTCTCAAAACTTTTAAGCTTTGCAATTGTAATTTCTAATTGTACAGCAAAATATTTTCATGAATTAATCAAAAAATTTTACCCACCTTCTCTGAAGCAATGATTAAAACAATTCCTAATTTCAAAACTATTGCAAAAATCTTATTGTTCGTATTGTAGCTCAAACTTATAATCCCCTAATTTGTTGTTAAAAAATGGCATGAAAAAATTACAACACAATTAACATCAAAGTCACTCAATAGTTTCTGAACCTAACATTTTTCACGTACCAATTCAGTGTCATTAGAATCCACTTGTTTTCTATAATGTTGAGGTAAACATTCATAAATAAAATCAGGTCCAATATATTGTGAAAAGTCACTACCTCTCCATGATGTAAAAAGAAATCCTCCAGTTGTTGTTCCAACTACAACATTGTCTCCATCCGAACATATTCCACCAACATTTCCATATTCACATTCTAATACACAAAAATTAGAAATTGAAATTGTTGAATTAATAAATGCATTGGATTGACTCCTATGTTTGATGTATTCTTGTTCATAGGATTGCCCCGATTGAATGAAATGTTGATATCCGGACACCTTGAACACCAATAATGAATTTGTAGACAATGGAACAACCAGTAGAGAAAAATCATGAAATATCTTCCATAATAAATCGCCTCTCGGAGCACGTTTAAGCTCAATTCGTTGTTCGAGATGATAGCCATCCTGTTAACATTATTTTTACAATTATCAACAAGATTTGTGATTGATCCATTCCAGTCATAAAATTACATGATGGCAAAATAATATTCAATGATAATATGATTGTGGACATGTCAAATAAATATTAAAACATTGATATTTACATGTTTCACTGTCCAGACAGATAAACTTTTTGTTGTGGTAATCGCTAGCAAGGGCCAATTTTGATTAAAGGCTACTCCGATAACTTCTTCTTCACCATTCGAGAATTGCCGATCCACACATTTCAATGTATTAACCCAGCCAACAGGGAAATACATTATGTTGTGAATATTTTTTTAAATTGAGCAATCTGTCTTTTAAACATGATGTTGTTTATAAAAGATTTTCAGAATGTAAATTACACAAAAATTGATTAAAATTGAAAAGAGGGCCATACTGCATGTCATGCCAATAGTTGACAGCAATAACAACACCCTCTTCGTTGTGTTCTTGAGCAACTTGATGCAGCCAGAGAGCTGGTAAATAGAGAGCATCACCGGGTCCTATCTCGACTTTGAAGGGAGTGGCATGTTCGTACCTTGGATATTTCTTTTCAATATCTTCTCGTGTCTCCTTGTCTGGATCTATGTCAATCCATGGAACCTGAGTGCTTTCATCTTCAATTTTCCACTCTTTCTTGTCAAAATCGAATTTATATTGAGCTTCTTGATAATTTTTGTAGGGTACGTTGATCTTTTACAGATATTTTGCATGTTTCAACAATTAGCAAACGTGGTTGTGATAACAAGTGTGAAACTTACAACATCTGTCGGTGGGTATAAGGTGAAAATTTTCTTTCCAGCAATCACACAATAAATATTTTCGTATGGATCTTTATGGAGAGAGCTAGTGCTTTGTGAATCACCAATCCACAGATTTACAGCATCAGGTAAATTGTTGAACGACCGTACAGCAAATCCCAAGTGTTCAGGTACGTCTTCCATAAGAAATGGGAATTCCTTGAATATAATATACGCATAATGTAAATTTGTGAAATTGTAAATTTCTTACCTTGGTTAAACTGGAATTTTGATGCTGGGCGTAAAATATTGAATTCATTGAGTTCATTCCATTCAAATCTTCCTCCATGGCATCTTTTGGTGAAATGTCTTCTTTCAGTAGCCTTCTCTTATTTTGCAAAAGCTTAATAAACTTTGAAAACTTCATTTTCAATTCCATTGGTTTTATAAACTTGCCATCATGAACTGCATCAGCTTTTCCATTGGGTGTACATGCCACTGAGATTTCTCGTTCTCCAATAACCTGCTTGAAATATTCAACATTCCACTTATTGAATGCAGGCCAATCACAAATAGCATTCCGAAATATCACAGGCTTATTCATGTTCACATAATGTTGAATAAAATTCAGAATTTCATCCTCATCTTCATAACTTGGAAATCCATTGAGCTCTTCAATTTCAGCATGGTCCAATTCGTCTACGCCACAATATAATTCTCTGGTTTGTTCCGACAAGAAATTTAGCTGGCGATGAAGTTTTTCAGAGAGTGATTCCTTCATTTTTTCCATTTTTAATGTGCCAAAATTGCAAGCCTTCATCAATTTGATTTACTGAATTTCCTCTTCAAGCAAAACCATCAACACCTTCTTTTCAACATATTTGCAAAATACGGCGAGAGAAACAGGACAACGCAAGTCCACACAACGACTGTTTAGTTTTGCATATTAATAGTCCCTCAAAAAAATGTCCTACAGCTGTTGTCGTAGCCACGAAAACGACAGAATGTTATCATCATCTTCATCGTCTTTATCATCGCATGATGATGAAATGATGAGTGTAAGTGGTAGTAGTGATAGCAATCAACTACCATACCCATCTTTTCCATTACGAAATAAGCCTAACTTTTCATCCGCACTCTCATCTTCAAACCACGAACAACGAAGTGGTGGTTGTTGTGGAGGCAACGGAAATTCTCCAAACGCACCAACTACATCAATCATTCTCCTAATCATTCAACGACATCCTCAACGAATATGCACTATTGCGCCTGTAAGAATCAATTTCAACCAAACGCCGATTGCGAGTTCAAACAATTCTTAACCCGATATACAGGCAATCAATTAGATCCAGGTCCAACCAATTCAGCAAACAACAATGGCGCCATTACTACCAGTAACAAGTCAACGTCTCCGTCCACAAGTTCAACACGTGCCGAAACTCGATCGTCCAAGTCATCATCTCCACCAACGCCTTCATCATCAAAAGCTAACACTTCTTGCTTGTTATGTAAACTCAGACACAGAAAATGCGATTATACATATCCTGTACTCACTGCGCAAAAGAAAATCGTACTTTTTGTCTCTACATTGGAAACGTAAAGCGAGGTCCCAAAAAACACAAGGATGACATGGAAGATGAAGACGAGACTAGTGTTCTTTCGAAGGAAAACATTGATGGCATCTATAAGATCATTTATCAAAACATTGCTAACATCAAATCAGATCCTCAGGTCATTAGCAAGCTTTCGTTTGAACTATTCAAGAAGATTGTAGACAAACTTTTGCCCAATTCTGAGCGAGATCTAGTTCATCAAATTGTTAAGGTGGCTTTACTTCCTCCAACTGAACCATTCACTGGAGATATGGATTACTATTTCAAATACTTTTACAAATTGGAGAAAAAGACATTGCTTTAATATCCATATTACAAGCAATTTGCTTGCAGCGATTGAATGAAAAAAGCCTTGGCCAAAGAATGTATGAGAAAGCTAGATCCAAAATTTCAGCCATGTTTGATCAAGTGTCTGACTTTAAACTAATTGCTGTTTACATTTTTTTGGCAATATTTTTGATTGGTGAAGGAGAACGACAAAAAGCAGAGTATTATCTAAACCATGTCAAATTTTATGTTAAAGAGTTCCAACCTAACATGCAAGAAGCTCAATTCCTATTACGAACAGTTCTTCTTTCAGAATCCATTTTACAAGAATCTTACGAACAGTTGTTGAGACATTATGAAAACATTCTCCTCTATTTTACTCCTAACAGCAGTACTTCTCAGACCAATATTAACACAATTTCTAGTTATATCACTGCATCCAACGAGAAAATGTTCAGGGGTGGAAATTGTAGAATATCAACGGACTCAGGTGATGACCTCAAAAAACAACTTTCACACTTGAAAACATTAATAGAAACGAATAACACAGAATACCCATTAGGATATCACCAATTACTTGATTCGTTGATGAAGTCGTCGAACAACTCTAGCCCATATGCTGTCTCCATTTCTTCTTCTACGGTTCACAGTGAGAATTTGGATAAGAAAGTCGAACAAATTAACATGGCCATCGAAAATATTCGAAGTATTTATGGACAATGGGATTTTCTTGGAAATACTTTCATCATGATGCTTTACAGTATTATCATTCTCCATCATCACAAACAATTTAATGACGAAGAGCTATCCATCGATGCAGTGAAATGTGCCGACATGATCACCAAAACAACGGAGTGCAACGATGATTTTTCATTGTCTTCTTTTCCAGCCTCGATACCAATCTCTATTGCATGTAGGATACATTTAACATCCCTCAAGACCGTTCTAAGTCAACATCACTCATTATCAACGAGTATGCAGAACAATTGACCACATACATGCAACTCGACATTGATGCACTCGAAATGCTTGCAACCAAATTTCCTTTGGTTGAACGCAAGTTTGGAGCTCTTATTAAGGAAGCGACGGCCTGCATGGGTAAATATCACGAGCTGAAAAGAACTCACCCAGCAAATTCATAACCTTACAATCTATTTCACAACACTTGAGCGTTTAATTGTTATTAAGGAGATTTACTTAATATCATTACAGTTACTTCATTTGACAAAATTAATGTTGTTGTTCTTGCTCAAAATAGTTATGTGTTTTCATTCGTTGCATGCAGATAAGTGATCATGCTTAAAAGAAGCAACTGGCTTCACCAACAACCCGTACCAAAAAGGCAAGATTGATACCAACATTGTTCGCATCTTGAATTGATATGTTGTTTATCCGATACCCCTTTCCAAGCGCAACAATGGCCAATTTTACCTCCAACAAGATGTTATTGTTTTCTTGTCTTTCCGTGTATACAATTTGGTTACCTTTCGACGAGGGCAATTGACTTCAACCCCAAAGACGTTTGTGTTTGTTGTTGAATCTGAATGGTTGGGTAATTGTTCCCTCAATAACCGAAACTTCCATTCCCTTTTCGTGCTTTCTTGCTGTTGGAGTTCACGATGCGACTTCAAAACATGACACAGATAGATCCAGCAGGGGTTCAAAGCAAGTATCGCATGCTTTATTTCATACCGCAATAGTAAAGAAAAGCTCAGTTTGTTTCGACTTTATCTAAAACGGACTTCCAACGTCACAACTTCATAACACAAATGTCATCCATTGCTTAATTCACCGCACATTGTTTAGGATAAAGGCCAAACTCAAACATTTCAAAAGAGGTCAAACAAGGGATGTGAATGAATCATTCTCATTCGTACATTATTGTTGTACTTCATGAACGGGTGATCACTTTTCACAAGTTGCTGTGTCACTGGCTGGAACGCAACATAAACACCACCATAAAAAACAACACCTCTCTCATTGTGTTTCCTTGTTCGAACACATTTAAGTGCGAGGAGTGGTGTATTGAAAGATTGTTCTCTCCAAACAAACTGCAGAAGCCAAACTCCTTGAGTTACTGCAGCTCTTACACAGCTCGATCGACGTGTTTTTCAATCCGTGACTACAACACTTGTTGAAGAAAGAAATACTTCTCATCTATTCTTGTTGCAAAGAACCAATCCACTCAACATGTCAACACCCTCAGCAAAACCTCTACGAACCATTCCTTCTCTTCATGAATTATTGCATGGAAGTATTCATCAACATGATGAAAACAAGTCAATGGATCAACCATCCCACAAAACCTTTAAAAGTCAAGAACAACATCATCTCCCAAGTATTTTGGGCTATTCAACACCAACTACCTCTTTGAGCATGACCACCAAGGTGAACTCGCTCCAGTCATCACCTCGGCATGATGATCATCACGAAATCAAAGTAGGTCAAACTACTACATGTTCATCTTCCAGGTACAACCATGTAGTACCGAACAACAACAACAATAACAGCAACTACAGGGAAAGCCAGGTGTTTCAAGCCCAAACATCGACACACAGCGCATCAGCATTGATCTCACAAGTTCAACCATACAGGCGTCCCAATTATTCCTCTCACATTATACCGTCCCTTCCACCGACAACGACTTTGAGTTCATATTCATCATCGCCTGTAACAACAACAACAGCAACTTCTCTTCCGCCCTACAACCCACTTGAACCACAACAGAGCAACCTTCGAAGAATTGAAGAATTGGAACGTGAATTGAGACATCAGGCAAACATCATTGCTGACTTGGAGAGAGAAAATGGAGAGTTGAGAAGAGAATTGCAACATGTGTTGTCATCCAGAGGTTCCATTGTTGCATCTACCTCGAGTGGAAATACAAAAGACAAAAACACAACTCATAACTCTACATCCGCCTTAAAAAGTACTGCCTCCTCTTCTTCTTCACCTCCTCCTCTACCGACATCACATCATCCTTCCTTGTTTCATACATCAAACAGAACCTCAACACCAACTCAACATCGATATGAAAGTAATGCAACTCCAAACACATTCATGCTCGAGCAACACCAACAGCAAAGGCCATCATCCTATTATGCAGGTAGTACCACTTCGAATCCATGCATGCATGTCCATGATGCCCATACATGTAATGAACTACAACCAAAGAAAATACCATCAGGGGATCATGCATCAAGCAGCATGCATGCCAGTTACCAACATCATGAGGTGCCAAATAGTTCCAGCTCACATCATCAACACCATGATTCGAATGTAGATCATTACGTGCATTATTCGAGTAGCTCATTGCATGACAGGTATCATGCCAATGTCACATCATCATCATCCTCTCCTCAAAAACATGTTCCATACTCGAATGAATATCCTCATCGACCACATTTAGATCCACACAATAGCAATTATGAAATGCATTCCTACACATCCACTCCTCTACATACTCAGCAACCTTCCTCGCTACCACAACACCTTAAACGACCTTTCCATCAAATGCATGAACATGTTCCAACATTTAGCACTCCATCAGCACAACAATCTAAAAAACATGTTGCAACATCATCCACCTCGACCTCAGAATCCAAAAAGAGAAAAACAAAAGCTCAGGATTCCAAAAAATCTGTCCCATTCCCAAAAACCATTTCCATTGTGGATGAATCATCGGATCGAGAAAATCAATTATCGGATTTGGAGCTCTTTAAGGTCAAATGGAAAGGAGAAGAATATGTTTTAGGTACGTATCATTCATGAGTTTTGAATAATCAACAATTGATCCTTCCATGTACAGTTACTGCTTTCAAGAATAGGACACAAATTTTGAATTATTATGTTCCCTTATATCAAAGTCAATTTCCAGATAAGCCTTGCAAAATAGTTCTAAGCAATGAGGATTATAAACAACTTTCTGTTGAAAATCCTTCAAATGTTGAAAAGAAGAAGCATGCATGGAGAGTTTCCGTCTTTACCATTGATTTTTATAATTTTGTGAAGAATTTGCAGCAGAAATCTCCACCTCCAGCTTCGTTTACTTCATTGTCCTCTATTCAACAAGCTTCTTCCTCAATGAATAATAACACGAGTGGTATTAATCCGAACAACAACAACTAAATAAACTAATTCACCACGAACAATCTGACTTTCCTTAATTTCGAACATGTTTGCCAACGAATACCATCCATGCATTTTTCAAATTATTTTCATTTTCGAATTTTAACGTTCAAATTGAACATCTTCAAATACAACTCGAGCGCGCTATTGAGCCTTTGATTCTGTTGAGGATGACAACACTTTCAAACTGCCATCGTCCTCGAGTTGGTTGAATGAAATTATTTCAAGGCTTCACCATCAAGGAAAAAAATTCACCATCTTCCCTTCATCAAATTCCGAAACGCTGGAATCACGTTATCGCTTTCCAAAGTGTATTATTGCTCGGTGTTGTATTCATTTGCGATCCGGTTTTTGATAGTCCTTGAAATTGTACTTGTTTTTATATATCAGTAGTAGTTATTCTTGTTGTTGAGAATTTTAGTCTTGATAATTCTTGAGAAGAAGAAGCCTTGATCGGAAACGACAAAGAATTTATTCCCAAATCAACCAAACTGTAATAATGGTCAAAGAAAAACTGGCTTTTACCAATCCAAAGAAAGCTTCTGCTCCCAACACAAAGAAGCCTCAACCCAAACAGCAGCAAGTTGGCCACCCAAAAGTTCCATCATCATTGAACGGAGACGAGAATATTTCAGCTCAACTTCCGTCATCACAACATCAACCTCCAATACTAGCTGAACCACCAGTCATCACATTGAAGTCAAATGACACAATCGGAGAGGAGCCTAACAATGAGCTTATCAACCGAATTAACAAGGAAATTAGAAATTACAGAAAGCAAATCGCAAAACACAAAAAACTTGGAGATGATGTAAGTACTTGCAAATTCCGAGTGTTGCAATATGAGCTTTCATCGTTCAACTCATTTATTAGATCCAAAATCAATTAGACTTTGAGGTAGTATTACCAACAATTCCTGCTTCTCTCAACAAGAAGGAACTGTCTTTCGACGAGAGCATTGAGAGAAAAAAGATTGATACTCAAATTGAAGAAGTAAAGAAGAAGGAAAAGCAGCTAAAAGAAATGATTGAAATATTGGAATCAGAGTCAAAATCTTTGGACACTCTAGAGTTCATTCAAGGCTCCATGTCTAAAGTTTTCAATGATGTAAGTGAAAGACTTTTGACAATGAATTGTTTTACACTTTTTAGTATGAAACTCGCCAGTCTAAATTGGAAAAAGATGTAAAACAATTACAAAAGGAAATCAAACAAAAAGATCAACAATTAGAAGAGGCACTTCAAGCATTGAATACCACAAAATACCAACTTTCGATTCAAGCAAATAGCAAAAAAGAGAATGTCACAAAGTTGTCCTCATATGAGCAACAGCTAAACGACTTGACTGAGGAAAATCGAAGACTTTCTTGTCAAATCAAGGAAATTGAATCCCTTAAAGAAGAAAATTCCAGACTAAAATCCGACAATTCAGATGTGAACAAGTCATTTGAGAATTACAAAAACGAAACTTCACAACAGCTTGCTACCCAGAGAAATACTATTGAGGAGCAAAAGAAAACAATCCAACAAGGAGAAGAGGCAATTCGAATGCATATAAGCAGATTTAACCAAGCTAATAGCGAGTTAATGATGCTTAGACAACAATACATGGAACAAGATAAGTTCGTAAAATATCAACAACATCAAATCTCAATGAAAATGGAGGAGAACAGCTCCATTGTCAAAGAAAACAACACTTTGAAAGAAGAAAATTCGAAATTTACAAAACAGATCCAAGATTTGTTAGAGACAATCAAGAGTTTAGAACTCACTGTTTCAAATCTCACAAACTCCAACAAACAAGTTCAAGAGAAGCTCCAGAAAACGGAGTCAGAGTCGCAGGCTACTATTCAACAATTAGAAGAGCAGTTAAAGCAACGTCCAGTAGTTGCATTCCCTGTAAAGTTCGAGGAGGATATTATTAACGATGCAATGGACCAAAAGAGAGCAAAGGATATTGTAGAACTCATCCAAGTTTTGAACTTTTTCAACATTTCCCATCCAGACTCCTTCGAAAGGAGGTCAATGTTTCTTTCTGACCAAATGGCAATGAGCCAATCTGGAAAAGAAGTTTCAATTCTTACTCATGGCGATTTTGCTGCTCTAGACTCTCTCGCTCGTTCATTATTTGGGCAACAGCAAACTATTGATCACGTTGAAGCATCCGTCTTGGATGGCGTCCAAAAGTTAGAGAAGATTTTAGATCGATGCGACAAGGAGTACATCCTTGGCTTGTCCTACAAAGTGATAGCTCAGCAACTAAGGGAGTTGGCATCCTCACACATTTACCTCTATGGAAAAACACTGTATCCATACATTTCCTCGAGTTTTGACAGTAATCCACTTTCCTCCAACAATGCCATGTTCAATGCTCAAGGCTATAATATCAAGATGGACGATTCAAGCATGTCCTCGACCACAAAGCTCAAGAGCAATTTTATGAACAGCGAAATTACTACTTCTACCACCTCAACGACGTCACCCTCCACAAACTTTGACACCTCCTCCAACATTAATATAACGTTAGATGTACCAATAAGCGTCACAACTTCTCCATCCAACACTGAAGTTTCAAAGTCGTCGAATTGGGAAAACGAGGCCTCTTTACTCACAGTGCCAAGCGCTCCAACAGAGCAAGAAATTGGGCAACTATCTGCTTCACCAGCTAACCCCAATGTTGTGGAAGGAGATGTTGCAGATAGTAATTCTAACATTGAACCACCAAACGTTCCCTTAGAGAGCCAAGTACGATTGTCACCCTCTGCTCCTTCTCCAACAGGTGAAATTGAAGAAGCCGTGACACCAGCCACAAATCCTAACACCAAGAAAACTACGAACTATTCGAGAGGAAGAGGACGAGGCTCATATGGCAGTCGAGGCAGACAGAGAAAGCTTTTTGTGAGAACTGAAACTAAACAATAAATCCACCAATATTTTCAACAAGTATCGAGAATTCATTTCGATCCTACTTTACAATTTATACAGTAGAAAATTCTTTGCATATAAAAGTGACAGTGCATATTTGGAGATTTGGCTCTTATGTGAAAGTCAGCTCAGTTGATGCAGCTCTCTTCAACATTGACAATCATAAAATTACTTTCTATTCTTAATATTTTCACTGAGCCATTCTAAAGCCTCGTTTATACCAATTCCATTCAGCGCTGATGTTTTAAATATTGTCCATGTTCTGTTTTTTATCTTACTTAAATTAAGTTGCTCCGACACTTGTTCCACACTCATTGCGTTTTTAGCATCTTGTTTGTTAGCCATGATTAAAAGTATAGAGTCTTTGAGCTCCTTTTCATCAAGCATTGCAAAAAGCTCTTCTTTAGCAATACCCATTCTATCTCTATCACTTGAATCTACTACATAAATTATTGCGTCTGTATTTGCATAGTAGCATCGCCAATAGGGTCTAATTGATGTTTGACCTCCTAAATCCCAAACCTGAAATTTAATATTTTTGTATGTGATGGTTTCTACGTTAAATCCGATCGTAGGAATTGTTGTTACTGCCTCTCCGACTTGTAACCGATACAAAATTGTTGTCTTTCCGGCATTATCGAGTCCCAAAATCAAAATACGGACTTCTTGTTCCATATTGAATAAACCACCAAAGATACTCGCTATTAAATTTCCCATTTGTTATTTTGTTTAGGCTGATGAAGAGGATAATGAGAATGATGATTCGTCGCGATCGGATGATGATTAAGCTGATGAGTAGAGACGATTTTTACAATTTTTTCTAGTTGCGTTTCTTACGTCATCATCATGCGGGTCCATTTTCCAAACCGGGCCATCTCCCCGTTTCATGAAAACTTCTCATGTAATGAGAGGTTGTGTTGCAAGAACATTTGAGTGGTATTACATCTTTCTAATATTATGATCATGACATTCTTATTTAATTAATTCTTGTAAATTTAAAAATGTCGGAACATGATTCTTCTCATCATCACCAGCCATTCATCCCCATGGCAAAACATAATGAAGAGCCTAACATTTCTACAAATACTACATGTACCCGGATTAAACTGTTTAAATCTATTGGAAAACATGAACGTGGAGTGTGTTGGCATTATCGGAAAAAGGGTTTTTGTAATTTTGGAGATACATGTAAATATTTACATTTGAGGGATGGAGAGGCAAGACCAATTGGCACGAATCGTGTGATGAGTGTTGAAACCAAACTGAATCATGATGATGTATTACAAACAGAGGAAATTAAGAGCCATTTAACACTTGAGGAACGGAATGGATCGACTCATTCCAATAATTTCACAAGTACTTCATCAATGATTAATACCACAACATCTACTGACACGACAATACTTGACAAGTCTCAACCTATCAAACTTTCATATTGGATTTCGAGAGCAAAGGAATTGAGATTTCCTTCATCTGTGCTTCGTTCAAGTTTTGAAGAGAATGGGTTTTCCATGATTCCCAATGCGGATGAGATTGGACATTACACAGCTGTATTTTGGGGACATACCTTTCCACATACACATGATGACTGGAAATTAATTATTCCTTCTTACACTTATTTCAATCACTTTCCAAATTCTCACCAATTATCAAACAAGAGTTTAATGGCTCTTAATTTTCAGAGTGTGGATGAACAACATTCTCCACATACGATTCAATTCAAATCTTGTTACCTACCAGTCACTTTTTATTTTCCAAGACAAATTTCACTCTTTCTTAATTTTTTAAAGACATCACAAGTAACTACGAATTACAGATGGATTATTAAACCCATTGGATCCGGAGAGGGAAGAGGAATTAGAATTTATGCCAACTCTCACGATTTGCTTTCACAAGAATTTCCATCCATACCTTCCTCAGAAATTGAAACCTGCCACATCACTGAAGAGACTTTAAATTCTATCAAAAAGAAGAAGATTGTCGTGTCTCAGTACATCTCAAATCCAATGCTCATTGAGGGTAAAAAATTTGATTTAAGATTGTTTGTTCTTGCTGTCGGAGGTGAAACAGAAAGACTCTATCTTTATAGAGACGGTATTGTGAGGTTAGCAAGTGAGCCATATTCTAATTCTGATGATACTCTCAACAATCCATATATTCACATTACCAACAACACTGTGAATGATAAGAAGAATAAGGTCCAACACGAAACGATCAAGAAAGAATATGGGTTTTTCTGTAACCTGTCCCTCAAAGAACTGAAAGAACATTTTTCGAAACATGCTCTTGATTGGAATCTGTTTTGGACCCGTCTAACAGTGTTAGTCAAAGAATCTGTTATGCTGACAATTTTCGACAAATCCAAACAAGATGAAATCTATCATGCATGTTCTCACAGATGTTTTGAAATTTTTGGATTTGATGTATTGATTGATGAGAATTTGAATCCCTATTTACTTGAAGTGAATTCCATGCCTGATCTCTCTGGTGTGAGTCAATCGAGCCATCTCACTCTACAGAAGGATTTTACTGTAAAATCCAAAATGCTTGTCTCTGCACTGAATCTTGTTGGTATCAAGATCATGAATAGAAATGTCGATCTTGGAGACAACAATGGTAAGAATGATGCTCATTCGGAATATGATGATGAACAGAGGTGTTATAGAGAGGACTTTGAGAGAATTTATTGAAAGGTAATGCTTGACATTGTTCATTCTCTCATGCGGAGTTTTTTCTGCTACGCGCAAATGCGGATGAATCTCTCGTGACAAATTTAACACAAAGCGAAACTTGCCATGTTTGCATTTCAAACAACATCAAAAAATAATTACAACATTGATTACTGAGACACCTATTGAAAGCAACATCATGAGATTCCTGAATCAAACAGTTTCACGCATGAGAGGAGCACAACTCTTGAAGCCCTCACAGGTACAGCATTGTTGGCTTCTGGAGGATATTACATGATCAACAAGATGATGATGAATGATGACCAATGGAATTTGCATTCCGACGTATTCGATAACCATCAACAGTTGACACCTTCATGGATGCCATTAGTACAAGCAGAGGAAAAGAAGTTTAAAGACCCACAGTCCGGAGTCATCACTGGCAATTATGCACAAATGGCGATTATTACCATCAAACTCAAAGATTCGTTTGCTCAAAAGGATTATGCCAAAATTTTGAAAGCTGTTGGTGAGGTTCCAGAAATTATTACCAAATTATCGAATGGCAGTGACGCTCCTAACGATGAAGATGAATTACCACCTGTGATGGCAAGTGTTGGGTTATCTACTCGATTTTGGCATCAGCTTGCATTGAAGGATCCAAAAACGTTCCACAAACCTGATGGTTACACTGCAGATTTTGACACCAAGAGTGGAGAGTTTGGATCCATGCCTTTCAAAGAAAGTGAAATTGTATTGCATGTGAAAGCTAAATCTACGTCATTGTGCTATGAGACCATTCATGATTTCATTAATGCACTTCCAAAAGACTCTATTGAGAATGTGCAAGAACATTACGGTTTCATGTACCAAGATTCCAGAGATTTAACCAAGTTCATTGATGGCATAGTCAATCCAAGTGGTGTTGAAGATCGTCAAGAAGCAGCCCTTAATAATTCAGGAGGAAGTTTTTTATTACACCAAAAGTGGGTGCATCATCACAATCCAGATTCCAAGTACACAGTGAAGCAACAAGAGGAATTTGTTGGAAGAGAACGAGCATATGGAGCTGAAATTTCACAATTGCCACCCACTTCACACGTTGCTAGGATGAGAAGACCCAATGGAGATATCATTCCAATTCTTAGACAATCATTTCCATTTGGAACGGTCACAGGAGATCATGGACTACTTTTCATTTCATATTCATCAAATACTGACAAATATGAAACTTTATTGAATGCCATGGTTGGAAAGGTGCATGGCAAACACAATGATGCTATTATGAAATTCTCGAATTGTGAATATAGCAATTATTACTATGTTCCCTCACGAGAAGAATTGGAAGTTATCAAATCAAAATATACCCGATTGTAAATAATAAAGCTTTGATGTGCTTGTCAAGCTGCTTCCCTGAGCTATTCTTTACAAAACATGTTGAAAAAAATGAAAGGAGCGTCGACAACTCTGTTGCTGCTACTTTTAGCCATATTATGGGTCGCGACACTGACCTCCTCTGTGGCACTTGCCTGGAAGATTACAACCAACCCAAACACGAGTAATAAATTCGGGAATAGTAAACTTCCTCCGAGGTCGGTTTGGAAAAATCTTGAAACAATCATGACTTCGGCAATTTCAAACGGAGCCTTTCCTGGTTCCGTATTCTTGGTCGCTGATAGAAAGAATGGCATCTTGTACTCGAATAGTTTTGGACACTTTACTTATGATCAAAATTCAACTCCGATGAGCCTTCACAGTAAATTTGATATGGCTAGTTGTACCAAGGTCATTTCAACTACAAGCGCCACTGCTCTCTTATATCAGAAAGGGTTGATTGGATTGAAGGATAAAGTCACCAAATATTATCCTAATTTTGCTGTGAATGGAAAGGGAGAGATTACCATTGAGAATTTGTTGTTACATAATAGTGGATTCCCTCCAGATCCAGATCCATGGTATAGCTCAACAGCCTTTGGATGCCCAGCTACACAATTCTATCATCCACCTCAAGAGTTTACCTGTGCTTCCAAGATTTATAATTCATGGATTAATCAAGTATTGCAAAATAAGCCTGGACAAGTTTATGTCTATAGTGACTTGTCAATGATTTCCATGATGTATATTATCGGACAAGTGGTTGAAAAGAATATGGCACTTTTAGGAATGACCAAAGCTGATTTGAGGGAAGATTGTGTTCAACAAATTGGATTGACAGCTCCAGGTTATGAGACATGTTATTATGAAGCATTTGTTAGAAAGCATGTTTTTAGTAATTTACAAATGACAAAAAGTGGATTCATTCCAAAACCAGAGGAAAAGTCAACCATTCCACCAACCTGGATGGACAATTCTTATCATCATGAGTTGATTCAAGGATATGTTTCTGATGAAAATTGTTACGCACAAGGTGGTGTTGCTGGACATGCTGGCCTCTTTTCACCAATGGTTGATGTTTACCGTTTCATGAATGAATTAATGTTCAGAACGAGAGGTGTTTTCATTAATGAAACCACTTTACCACATTCATTACTGTCAAGAATGTGACACAAAGTTCAAGAGCTTTGGGATGGTAGGTTTGATTGTTTCATAATTTTTTAAAGGATTTGGAATTGACGTATTTAATATTTCACTATAGGGACACCAACGCTGAAGGAAACGGATCCTGTGGCTCACTTTCAAAGAAAACCTTCTTACATTTGGGCTTTACTGGTACTCAAGTTTGTGGTGATCCTGACAGACAACTTTTCACCGCCTTTTTAACCAACAGAGTTTATCCAGATAAGGACAACAACAAGATGGCTCCTGTCAGAAATGCTGTCAATTCTGAAGTACAAAAAGTCTATGACCAATACTACGCTACATTATGAGGTGGCTAATTTTTTCAAATAATTTATTAAACTTTTTCTCATACCTTCATGACGAATAATTAATTCGATTTGTTTTGTTTTGGATCCCTCACATTACGACACCATTTAATGATAAACTTTGTTTCTTGCTCACCAATTCGAATTCCATTATTTTCCACGACTTTGGAATCCATTAAAAGGAAATTGAATGGAGAACATCGTAATTTAGCAACTGTAAAGGAATTGTTTTTCAATCTGATTTTGAAGTACTGTTTAGCTTCATAAGCACGACCTGCCCTGAGTTGGTGAGTTTTCGGTGGTTACTGAAGTCGTTCCCTGTGACTTTGAGAGTGAAGAAGAAATTGTTATGAACCTCGCAAATCAAATTGAGCATGACCATTAGATTTCAGCCGCAACACCATTCGCACAATCTATCTACTTCCTCTCACAAAACAGTCTCTTTGTGACTCAGTTCTTGGCAAGTTTGCTTCCATCTAAGGTAAAGGTTCTTAGAATGACGAACGAATGAGATCAATACTAGAGAAATTAATTACGGAAATTCATTCAACTTGTTCTCATACTAATGAAGTGTATTTCCATGAGCATGACGATTAATAACAAGGAATTTCATTCATGTCAAACTAACAAATTTGGAAATCTAACCTTAGATCCCCTTTTTCTAAAAATTCACACACCAATGAACCCGCAAAGACCAAGAACCACTACGACTTCAAGCAAGTCAAGAAACACACACACAGATCGAACGTTAACACCAAGCACAACAAAATGCCTTATCAAACTTTTCAACGACCACGAAATTGGCAAAACAATTACTCCCGACCATGGTCACGCACACCACCACAACAACATCAACGTCGTTACGGTACATCATTTCATCGAGAATATGACAAGAAGACAATTACGGAGGATATCATTTACACTCAACAAAAAGTACTACAACGATTACTTCTCCTTCATGGATCACAGAAAAGAAACGACAACGTCGAAACAAGTACACCATGAAAATTCGAGCACTCAAACAATTGGTTGCCGACAAGGACAAACTATGGGAAGAACATCGATTCAAATTAACACTCAAAGAATGTTCCAAATTTTCAACACAAACTTTGCGTGAAATGAAGAGTGACTTGTTGAAATGTTACCAAGTCATTGATGAAACGTTGCATGATCGAGAGGATCGAGAAAGATGTGTTCGATTTGTTTCGGTAGTAAAAGACAAGTCTTATTCATGCCTTGTCGACATTTCTTGTCCTGTGAAGAGTGTTCACATAATGTTGAGAATTGTCCAATTTGTAGACAATATGTTGAAAAGAGAATTAAAATCTTTCTATCTTAAACACCTCCTCCTAATTAATTAATCATTTCACTGTTTTCTATCATTCTCGAATTCAAAAGTAATTTCAACACTTTGTATACAATGATTGAATATGAAAATCATTCAATGAGTTTAAGGATCCAATTAAAAATTCTATTTGAAGACTATCTCTATCAAGACTTCTCACCAATGAGATGATTTTCATGTCCAGTAATGGATGACATTCTTCAACATCCATTGAATATATGACTTTCCTGAAAATTGGAAAATGCGGAATCAGCAGTCAACTGTCGTTACCAAAGTCATCACGAATCAGTGCACACAACAATTCATCAAAAAAAAATGGCACGAACAGTAGAAAACATGATCATGTTAGAGGATGTCTCTGAAAGAGGCATTCTCAATAACCTCAAAAACATGTACAGAAAGGATTCTATTTACGTAAGTTCGAATTTTGAGTATTTTCACACTTTTATTGTAAACTGTGAAATAACAGACCTTCATTGGAGAAGTGCTCATTTCCGTGAACCCCTTCAAACAATTAAACATTTACAATGAACAAAAGTTGAGACAATATCGATCTCATTATCCCTTCGAACTTCCTCCTCATGTCTATTCCATTGCTGAAAGTGCTTATCGAAATTTAATTTCTGAAAGAACTTCTCAATCGATCATCATTTCGGGAGAATCAGGAGCAGGTATGTGTTTTGGTGTTGATTGTCGATCATCATCCTTGTGATTTTATTGTAATCCATTCATTATGTGATGATCAATAATGTCAAAATTTGTTGACGTTTGATTGGCACTATGATTTTTTTGATTATAAACAACTACAACCTTTGTCTTGAACACCAAACTCTCAGGTAAAACCGAAGCTGCCAAACAGATCATGAATTACATTGCAGCAGTGAGTGGAGGTCCCACTGAAGATAAAGTCAAGACACAGATTTTGAAAAGCAATCCCTTGTTGGAAGCTTTTGGTAATGCTAAAACTGTAAGGTAGGTTGATGAGTGCATTGCAATGAAAATTGTGTGAGTCACCCGTGACAAATCTTGGCACATAATATTAATATTGTCTTTTCAATGACAGAAACAACAATAGTTCCAGATTTGGTAAATATATGGAAATCTTCTTTTCCGATCTGAATCAAATCATTGGTGGTCAAATCATGCAATTCCTCTTAGAAAAGTCACGTGTTGTTTCACAATCTCAAGGCGAACGTAATTTCCATATTTTCTATCAAATTTTCACAGATGATGAAATTGCCAAGAAATTGTCACTGACCAAACCCGAACATTACAAATATCTCAGTAACACCTACAGTGTCGATACCATTGATGACAAGTTAGGTTTTCGTGAAACCAAAGAAGCTCTCGACTATATTGGAGTGAGCAAAGAAACTCAAATGCAAATTTGGGAAGTTGTCGCAGCAATTCTCCATTTAGGAAATATCGAATTTTCACATTCCGAAAAAGGAGACAAGACAGCTCGTAAAGATGGTTCACAAATTGTGGATCGTACTCCTTTGAAATTGTGTGCCAAGTGTTTACATGTTGATGAAGGAATGTTAGAAACTGCACTCACGACAAAAACAGTAGAAGCAGGTGGAAGAAATTCAACCTATATTAGCCCTCTGAGTGTAGAGGGAGCCTACTTTGCAAGAGATGCATTGGCAAAGGGTCTTTATCGAAGATTATTTGATTGGATTGTGAAGAGTGTGAATGAGTCCATTACTTTACCTTCTTTGATTAATCGTCGATTATCTACCATGAATGGAAAAGCACCCAAAAATGGAAAGAAAGAAGAGTCCAGCAAACCCAATGAATATGTCACGATTGGTATTCTCGATATTTATGGATTTGAAATTTTCCAAACCAATTCTTTAGAACAATTGACCATTAACTATATTAACGAAAGACTTCAACAAATGTTCATTGAATTAACTCTCAAAGAAGAACAAGAAGAATACGTCCGAGAAGGCATCAAATGGGAAAAAGTTCCATACAATGACAACAAACCATGTGTGGAATTAATTGATTCCAAACTTGGAATTTTCAACTTGTTAAATGAAACAAGTTTATTAAGCAAAGGCGATGATGACTTTTTGAGAACGGTCAAGACCAATACGAGCAAGCATCCATTCATGGTTCCAGACGATAAGGTCATTTCCAAGGAACAAGAAAAGTGTTTCAAAATCAAACACTATGCAGGAATTGTGGAATATCATTCGGCTGGATTTGTCGAAAAGAATTTAGATACCTTATTCCAGAATTTAGTGGCATTGGCACTCACTTCCAAATCGACCTTGTTGACTCAATTATTCTCCAATGATAAAATCATGACTGGTGGAAATAATGTTGCGACGAAACCACCCATGATTTGTACTCAATTTAAAAAGCAAGTCGATCACTTGATGGCCAAATTGTACGCGTGTAAACCTCATTACATTCGATGTATCAAACCGAATGATCGAAAGATTGGAAATTGCTTTGAAGATGATATGGTGACTCATCAAATTAGATGTTTGGGTTTATTGGAAAATGTGTTGGTGAAGAGAGCTGGTTTTGTGTATCGTCACAAATTTGACTTTTTCATTCATCACTACAAGGTCACAACCAAAGAGACGTATCCATTCTTGGCAGCTCAATTCCACAACAATCAAGTTGAGGCGAGTAAGCACATTATATTGAATGTGCTCAAATCCAATACGGATCATTCGAAAATGTTCCAAATTGGTAAGACCAAGATCTTTATCAAACATCCAGAGACTATCTTTTCATTGGAAGAGCTCAGAGAGAGAGCATGCCCTGACGTTGCGACCAAGATTCAAAGAGTCTTTCGTAGATTTATCGCCAAAAAGAAGGCCGAAGAGAATAAGCGTGAAATTAATACCATCTTTAAGAAATTCCAAAAGAAGAGAAGAAGAGTGAGTTACAATCGAATCTATCAAGGCGATTATTTGAACTTTGCATTCAATTCAGAAATGTCCAAAGTGTTAGCAAAAGAAAATGATTCCAACATTGTCTATTCTGGTTATGTGAAAAAAGTGAACAATCGAAACAAGGTTCAAGACAGAACATTGGTCATGACTCATAAGAATATTTATAATTTGGATTGGAATGAAAAGAAGAAAAAGATCAAGGTCAAGAGAGTTCTTCCAATTTCAGATTTGGCTGCTGTCAAAGTCTCTCCATTCACAGATGGATACTTTATACTCTTCTTCAACTCAAGGTATTGCTACTTCTTTGATTCTGATGATGCTTCTGAGATTATTTCCATTCTCATTAGATTGTTCAAGCAATCAAAGAGAGAATTGTCCATCGAAGTCTCCAAGCAATTCGATTACAAGCCAACCCTCAAGGAAACTCGTACTGTCAAATTCGCAGAGGTGTCAAGCTTGCCTAAAAATCCAATTGATAAGAGTGGCAAGAATGAGATTACTGTGTTCGTAGTACCTCAGGCTGAACAGAAAAATCTGTAAATATAACAGATGATATCATTCATGTATATCAGATCAAATATCACCACAAGGCTGTGTGTGAACAATAATAAACACGTGTTAATCATCAATTCTCTCAAATCCTCGTTTTCGCCACTTTTTCACTCGCTTAATGCCACACCTCAACAACAACGAGGTCAAAATAATCAAAATCACCAAAACAATGAAACTGACTAGACAAGTCGAAAACCAATTTTCGTAAACAAAAATGTAGAAACCTTCAGAGGAAGTGTACGGTGGTGAGACATCAATTTCTATAGAGGAAAGAAGGAATAAATACTCTTGGAAGGGCATGTCACTCTCCATGGACACTATTGCAATCACAGGATAATACTCTCTTATGAATCCGTATTGGTCTGCATGTTCATAGGTCGTGTAACTGTCAAGAGAAAGGAACCTCCACCTCAATTTAAGTCCATTCGACAAAATGATCTCATCTCTGTAAGGAAAGTTTAACCTTGGATCATTAATGGAAAAGTCCTTATATTCTGGAGGTGCTTTTGAGCTGAAAGGCCCACCCACCATACTAAACGATGACAAGTAGTTGTCAATGTGAGTGTTCGTCACAAAAAATAAATCAAATGGAGAGGTATCAAGTAAGATATCTCCGTTTCGAAAATCTTCACATCTCAAACCTGAAGATTGGTAATAAATTTGCCCCTGCATCATGTCCACTTTTTGAATAAGACAAAACTCTTTCAAATAGTATTTTACAACTACGAATATTTCAGTGGCATCACTCTTTGAAACTTTGATATTGGAATGCACTATTTTCATGCGTTAATAAATGTGTGATTTCATGGTCAAGAGAAAACATACCTGACTGTTCGTTTGGTAAAATGTTGATAGACTTGGATTCTTTGAAGGAAACTAAATCAATTTGCTTCACTTCTGTCGTAATAACATCCTCACTCTTTCTTAAATAATGAACTCCAATATATAAAAATCGGTTCACAACATTTCCAATGTTCGAAATTTCCGAGTAAATATTCAGAATAATATAATTTCTTATAGAGTCAAGTAAAAGGTATCCTTGATAGGACAGAGTTGGTACGTCTGCATCAGTATCCACTAGCTTAAGTTTCAGTAATCGAGGTTCGTAATTAACATAGCTATAAGCAGCAGACAATATATACACAAGTCTCGAAGCACTATCGATTTCGATATTATTGGTCACTCTATTTCCAACGGTGGGGTCCAGTCCTGACCCCAAACAAGTGTCCTCAAGAAGTATTCCCTCCTTATTAATAATTGTTAAATTTCCATACCATGTTGTAATAATAAAAAGTCTTTGACAGAAGCTTGGTATATCTGGAGAAGTGGTAGAAATGGCATTTGACAAATGTACAAATGTAAGTAGTAATACTTTGGAATATCTGTCGACTGACATTGCTGTACATTTTAAATAATCAGGAAGAACGAAAATTTCTTGATCTGTTAATTCAAAATTGTAGTCATTTGAGTCGTTTCCTGCAATTTGCTGATCATACACCCTCAATAAATACAACTTGGAGTAGGAATCTTTGGAAGAATTGAGATAGAGTTGATATAACTTTACAAACACATAAATTCTATTAGTGTAAATATCTTCAATATCAGTTGCAATAAAGAGCTCTTCATCTGCATTGGATGTCATATTTCTTGTAATGACATGAAAATTCGACCAGGTAGTATTATAATAGAAGGGATATCTATCCTTGATGGCAATTTCTCGTTCTCTTTCGCTTGTGGCTTGAACTTGTTTCATTCTATTTGAAATCATCTCGCTCCATTCATCCACCGAGTTAAATCTTGTTCTTGTTTTAAGTGTTGCTTCAACAATTGTTTCCGTTCTAAAAGTTGGCAATAACAAGAATGTAACAATGATGAGTACAATCATGAAACAGTACCCGATATCTCTTTCCTGCATCCAATCAAAAAGCAGCAAATTTAAAAATAAAATATAAAGTTCCCACGCCTATTTTTGTATTTCGTGAGTCACGCTAAAACAAGAATGGCAGCACGACGCGGATGAGAGGGTTTGTGTGCAACCATTCGCGGCCCGTTCTCAAGTGATATCTTACAACCAAGGGAAATTCGAGATAGATCTATCAGAGGATTTGTGTACAACCATTCACGATGGTGTTGCTCACTCTTCCGTTGGTCCCAAGCACATTCCCTGCGAATTGTTTGTCAAATTAACGAAAAAATAAGCGGGCCACAACAAAATTAACGTCTCACCTCGGTTGTGTTATCATAGCAATCATCACAAATAATTAATAATAATCATACTACTTTACCACAACAATCACAACAACTACCTTCGGATGAAATTCAACAAACAAAATCATCGGAGCAACAAATCATCATACTGTCACAAGATGAGCTGCGGAACTTTAAAGAATTACGCAACAATATCATATTAAAACATTGAAGGAATCTGCTGAGCGTTAAAAAACTGAACAGTTCTACGAACAATAATTCATCAGCCGAAACCAAGGAATCCAAGAAAAGGAAGAAATCAATGACATCACATAGATTAATAGAGAAATCAAAAAAAAGAAAAAATCAAATGTTTGAGAAGAATGCAACAAGAAGTTTGCAAGGAATATAAATTGATATACATTTATTCTGTGACGTGTGTCAGATTCCCTCAAGCTAGTGCTCTCATTGGTTTCCTGCGGTCAAGTGCTAACGCCTTCAGTTCAGCCCGATCTAAAGATGCTTCGAATCTGACACAACCTAAAACTTTTTTAATGCAACATGTCTCAACACATGCTCATCGCTCTGTAGTCAGTGCTAACGCGTCTCAGTTCAGCCGAGTTAAAGCTTGTGAATCGTATGATGAATGGAGCTGAAGAAGTAGTTGCTTACTGTAGTGCGGCTAACAAACAAGTACAACTGCGTTTTTATGTTGACACAACATAATTGGAAGTGGAATCATCTTCACACTCTAGTTCGACACAGTCGACGTGAGGACTTTTCATTTTTGAATTTACAAGTTCATCAAGTTACAAACATAGGTGGCGGTAATGAAGGATATCGTGTCGGATTGAAATGATGTTTGGTCATGACTGAATCTCAAAAGACTAAATCCTACTCGGAAGAAGCAATTGAATCATGTATGAGAACAAACAACAAATAAACGCTGTTGTTCCTCCTACGAAGGTTTGTTTGATAATGAAAAAAGCCGATCGGTGGTTTTTTGCCTCACAAGCCTTTCTTTGTAGAAATTTGAATTTTTTATGTTGAATTTAATTTCGATTTGAATCATAGAGAGTCTTTGGAAATGACAAGAAGATGTTGGTACTCTCTCGGAAAATACTAACTTCATTTCCCAAGTTTCCTTGTGTCCTTCTTACATTGAGAAAATAAATTATTGGTCTCGTTGTTTTTCATCCTATTAAAAAATGCTCTCTCGCCAATTATTCTCTTCCTCATCCACAATGAAAAGTATTCTCTCGGGTTGTTCGTCCCAAATGCGATACTTTTCCATACTCAAGAGTGGTATTTCTACTACTTCTCAAATAACAACAACAAATTTATTGAGTGCTTCAACTTCTTTTTACAAGACATTGCCATCGGCCATTTCAACAACAACCTCATCATCTTTCCTTCTTTCAAAAATCGCATCATCATCACTGGATAATGCTCAACAAACCAGAAATTATGCCCTGCCAAGAAGATTGAAAACTAAATTCTGGTATGAAAAACTCAAGAAAGACAAACCTAATGCAAAGGGAAGCATGAGATACGCAAGACAACAACCCGAAGTGAACAATACTTTTCTTCGTCAGCAATTAGTTGCTTTGAAGAGTAATCGTAATTGGAAGAGAGCCTACAAGCTCTTCAAAAGACTTGAGGAAACAAGAGCAAATCCAAATGTTGAAGCCTATAGAAAGTTCTTGTACGTAATTGCATACAGAGGAGGAGCAATGAAAGAGGGTTTCGAGATTTTCAAGTATATGAAGAAGTTGAATGCATCTCTAAAAGATATTAGATGTTATAACACTATGATTCATGCTTGTGCTAAACATTCGGTTCCGATGAATGCCTATGTTATTGACCATGACGAAAATACCAACTCTTTCAACACAGCAGTTAAATTATACTCTGAAATTAATCAAAGACGCATTACCAAGACCTCCTTTACTATTGCGTACATGGCTGCTTGTGTCAAGAGTGCAGTTGAAAAAGGTCTGATTCAAGAGACTGAAAAACAAGAATGGCTTGCTACTCTTACAAAAGATGGACAACAAGTGTTGAGCAATTCTCACGTCCAAAAAGCATTGCAAGAACTTTCGCAAGCAGTGTTTCAGCCTCCAGCTGCCAAAGCTACAACTGAATCAGGCGTTGCGTCACAACCATCAGGTGTCCAAGCTCAACAAGCTTAAATTTTCTTTTAACACATGAAAGGGAAATTTCTTATTTCCAATGATTCGATCTGTCAACAACCCTCTAGTTAATAAAACACAAACTTTAATAAACTCGATCTATAATGGAAAATTTTGTGGTTATAACGACTCAAACAGACGTTCTTGTTTGTTTGGATTAATCTTGTTTCTCAGCATCTGGAGTAAAGACATACTTTTGAGCGAGCAAGGATTTGAGGACTTCATCATTGGCACTCAAAATATCCTTTGGCAAGTACAAAATTTCATGTGTGACTCTTGTAGCAACAACTCTTTCAGTGGAAGATGGTTTGAATTGTTCATTGAGTTGTTTGATTTCAGCAGAGGCGAGAGCAGCACGAGCAGTGTCAACCACTTGAGACTTGAATCTACGCATGAGAATCTTTCTAATGAGAGCTCTCTTCTCCTTCTTATTCTTGAGAATTCTTGCAACCTTGTCAAAGTTATTCTTATCCTTCTTCATAATCTTCAAGACCTTACGAATCATCTTGCTCACCTTCTTGTTACTTTGAGCAAGTTGCTTAATCACAGTCTTCCAAACAGCAGATCTCACTCTTCTATGAAGTTTAATCACTTGAATCTTCCATGTCGTAGCTCTTCTTGTGAACTTGACAGTACTTGAAGCGAGATCCTTCTTCACATCTGAAACACTGGTTGGAATCTTGGTATAAATCACCTTTGTGAAAATTCCATCCTTCAAATACGATGAGGAAATTTCAGAAACAAAGGATGGTCTCAATCCACATCTCTTGAATCCAGCAATGTAGACACAAACAGCAGGAGCATGAGTATCAAATCCAAGTTGAGTAATGAGTTTGAGAACGGCCTTAATGTTATGATCGAGAGCAACGAGACAAATATTTTCATCTTGAATTTGTTCTTCCAAACGTTTCTTTCGTTTTCTTGCCATTTCATCGGCCTTCTTGAACATTTCAGGTGAAATCTTATTCTTCACAAGTAATTGCTTGAGAATGACTCGAAGTTGAACCAAAATTCTTCTATAAATAGTAATCTTCTTTCTCACCACCAAAATGTAATTGTATCTCTTTTCAATGATTTGTTTAACTTCCTCACTGGTGTGAACATTGGATTTGCAACATGGATCATACCACACAGTATATGGAACATAGATTCTTTGTGGAACGTGTTTGACCACAGGAACGGTAATCTTCTTGGATTTACAACATTTGCAAAAGATACAATTCTTGCATTGACAATAATTACATCCATTCTTATCTACAGCAACCTTTTCAAAGTATTGAGCACCACCACATCTTTCATTACAATCTGGCATTGGTGGACATTCAATCACTGGCTTACTCTTACATTTGCATTGGTCACAACCATTAGGATCTTTGATAATTTCAAATCCATCAGCTCCACAAATCGAGTGACAATCCACAACAGCCGAGCAAGGTGGTTTGATACATTTGCATTTGGTGCAATTGTAATTGTCCTTATAGGTCACATACGTCATGTCACCACAAGTAACCTTGCAATCATCATCGGTACATTGTGGAGGAGAGTTACAGGTACATTTCACACAACCATTGGCATCGACGGATTGTTCCTTAACACCCAAACTTCCACAAACATCGGTACATTTCACAGGTGGACACTTGATATCCAAACATTTGCATTGTTTACACTTGTTGCTGTCATAGGACACTTCAGCAACTCCATATTTGCAAATAGCCATACAATCTGGTTCAGGTGTTGGACATGTCGTGTCATTGCATTTACATTGTGGACATCCCTTTGTGTCTTTCACATAGTGATAAATATTATTTGGACAATTGAGAGAATCGCATGAAGGTGGAGTAGGTGGACAAGTGGGAGGTTGATTACACACACACTTTCTACATCCAGTATTATCATCAAATTGATATTGATATCCAAATGGACATTGAATACTGTCACAATCGAGTGGAGGACATGTCAAACATTTACAAACTGGACAACCATCAGAGGTTTGATCATAGGTATGATTCAATTTGTTACCACAAACCAATTGACAATTTGGAGGTGTTGGATTACATGGATTGCATTTACAGACCGTACATTGAGTGGATGGATCCAACACGTTTGAACCACCATAAGGACATTTCGAGGAACAAGATTCATCAATTGGAGGACATCTGTTACATTCACAACTTGGACATTCAGCTCCATTTGGAAGTACCTTTGTCGTGTTGGTATAACCATAAGGACAAATGGCTGGATCTTCACATGGAGTACGAGGAGCATTGTCACAATTCAAACAAGTACACTTTGGACAATTGTACTGATCTGGCTTGATCACACCTCCATAAGGACACTGAGCTCGACCACATTTCTCATCAGGAATACAAGGAGGAGGTGGAGTACAAGTACACACGTCACAACCTTTAGTATCCTTTCCAACAGTAAATCCATAAGGACAAATAGCGTCACATTTTGGAAGAGGAGGACAAGTACATTTACACACTTGACAACCATCACCAAGACCAGAGTCACTCAATGTGAAACCATAGAGACAACTCTTTGAACAATCAAGAATTGGACAAGTCTTACATGAACATTGATTACAACCAGTGGTTTGATTCAACACCAAATTATAACCCAAGACAGGATTACATTGATCACATTTGGTTTCATTCACACAAGGAATGACAGGTGGCTTACATGTACAATTTGAAATACATCCAGAAATACCTCCAACAATTCCATAAGAAATATCATAGAGTCCAGATTCACAGGAACCAATGGGTGGACAAACTTGATCCTGAGTTTTACATTTGCATTTACATTGATCACATCCAAGAGAATCCTTTGAGATGGATTCCAATAAAAGTCCAGCAGCGGCACATTCAGCGTTACAATCTTTTGGACCTGATGGACATTCAGATGGACATGTTGGGCAAATACACTTTCCATTCACAACTTGTACTGTTCCACATTCACATGTGATTCCTAAACAAGGATTAAAATCACTGGGTGCATTGTCGTTCACAGGTTGACCATCAAAATACGCTGGATTTTCACTTCCAGCAGAAAGAGGGTCCGTCAACGATGATTGAGACAAGACAATTTGTCCAAAAAGAATCAACAAGAGAGAGGCAAGGAGTAGAGTGAAATATTTGATTTTCAAATGGTGGTCTCTCATTTTGTGTGTGTGTGTGTCGTACGTGTTGAAAAATTTGGTGATTCGAGTATTATTTTGATGGTGTTTTTGGAAATAAAAATCAAATCCCTTGTGGTTGTTGTTAAATCTCGACGACGTTGATGAAGAAGAACCGAAGATTTGTTGTTGTTGTGGTTCTTGTAGAAAAAAGGGATTTACAGCAACAACCACACAGTGTTGAAGGTCGGTTATTTCGTTCGTACGAGTTGTTGTAGAGGTTGTCGCTGAGAGAGTGTTTGTCTCTGAAGCGTTTTTTGTTTTTTTCTGTGGTGTTTGGACGGATTTGGAATGACATTTGACTGATAGCGTACATCAACTTTCTGAGTCAATATTTTAAAACAAGAGATCTTCAGAGTGTTTGACTTGTTTTCATCCCAGAAGAAATGTGAAATACCCAAGCACCATTATTGATACTTTTCTGCATTAATTTCTATTAAATTCAATTTTTTTCACACTAGAACCATTCCAAGAGATGATGATCGATTCATTGGGTGCAACCGGAACAACACAACACACGAGAACTCTCTCCAGTTCAAAAAAATGACGAGATTTTCAATCTTTCGAAGTGGTTCTCGGAGGAATGTCACCAAAGGTAAGAATCACATATTCATGACGACCGAGTATCATCCTTCAAACAATTGAAAACCACTCAACAATGAATAATATCCATTCTTCAAAACCATTCGTTCAATAATAATCATGAATTTTTGAAATTTTAAAGACCTTGTTTCCGAAGATGACCAACGAGAGTTACAACTCGAACAACAACGAAAACTCGTGGATGAAGCAACCATCATGACAAGTCATTCCATTTATCAAGAAATTCTCTCTTTATATCAAGAACAACAACAACAACAACTGGAAAATCATAATGATATGAACACTACTACTACTCATTCATTACATTGGTTTTGTGGTTCTGAGAAAAATCGAGTCTTGCATCCCTATCATGATGAAGTGTTAACATCTCAAGAAATTTCACACGTGAAAGAATGTCTTGAAAAATTGCGTACGATTTGTACCATGAATCCAGGTCCAGTGGTGAGTGAAGAGACACTTTTAGTGTTGACTCATAATCGAACCATTCCTGAAAGATTCTTTCATATTTTCTTTAATCCACACATTTTGGAACATGCTATTAATGTGAAAGGATTGAAACCATACATGAAAGTGAGATTGTTATTTAAACAAGTGAATGGAAAATTTGGAATTTTTGATTCGTGTTTATTGGTGGGTTGTTGGCGTTTGGAATGGAATGAAAATTCATCATTGGTTTGTGTGAAACAATTTGACACTTCGAGATTACATTTTGCAATTGATTTGGAACGATTCACTGATGAAGAAAAGATTATCGAGTCGTTGAAAATCATTTCTAATGAATGTTGTGTGTGGAATGGTTCAAGACAGTATGATGTGAAATCATGCAATGCTCAACATTGTAAGTGCATGTACTGTGATACTTGTTGTGGATTACTTTATTGCATTGATAATATTTTCATGTGAATATTTCACAACCTCTCAGTCGTTCTACACATTCTAGAGAAAATAGGAATTAATTTAGATCAATCCCTGAAAGGATTAAGCAAAATATATTTCAATTCACTTTTACTAAATGGCACAGGAACAACAGAAATTGAACTCACCGAAGAGTTGAAACAACAACTTGAAATGACCCAAACACCAAACATTTCTTTTCATAACCACAAACAATTAGACCTCTTTCTTGAAAATTTAAACACAAAAAATCCTTATTACTTTCCTCAAAATACATGTGACCAAATGTTACTAAAATGTTTCGATGAATGCTATTGGAAAAGCATACACCAACATTCGAATGGAGAAGAGTTCAATTATCATCATTTGAAAAATTGTTCGGAACGAGATCGACCCTTATTGAATGATGAAACCAATGAATGTCAATGTCATTTCAATAAGAATCCAACTTGTTATGGAGACTACGTGGCAAGTGGAAAGACCATTAATAACGTGTTGTGTTCACAGAAATTAAGTCCTCCTTTTCCACTTCGAAAGAAACAAGATCTTTCAACATCAGCCTCTCAATAAACACATGTGTGAGTTCATAATTTTCATGAAAACTGGTTCTTGTAAGGCAAATTATTTGATCGACCGTCGATACCAGAACTTTGTGTGAGATTCAAGAAATCAGTTCGAATGAAACACAAGAACCTTCTGGTAAGAAGAACTCGTTACAAAAAAATGGCTCTCAATAGTCACTTTAGTGCAGCCTTTGCCAACTATATGAACAATTCGAACAATCCGAACAGTGGTAATGGTAACAACAACGGTGGAAATGATGATGATTATTCTGTTGCTGTAAAAATCAATAGACAGAAACTTCCGATCCGTGTGATCCGTAACATACAGGAAAGTTATTTGAAAGGAAAGGCTTTGTTTCAAGCTTTTGGAGAACATCAATTTGATGTTCAGGGTAATATCAACACATGTGCCTTTGTGAGCGGAACGGGAGAATATATCGTGAAAATCAGTTCAGGTGCTCATCATACTCTCATGTTAACGAATGATGGCAAGATACTGTCTTTTGGAAAGGTTTGTGTTTGAAACAAGATTTTGGAAATCATGATGAATATTATGTGTGTATGTCTGTCTAAATGATGACATTTTATGTTGATTCAACTATTGCCATAGAATCTTGATGGACAATTGGGTATTGGAGAACGCAAAGCAATTTTTCAAAAAGATATTTCTGTAGCACAACCACAGTATCAATTTAGTGACGAAACGGCAATAGATGTTTGCTGTGGCTCAAATCATAGCGTTATTTTAACAAATTATGGAAACATCTTGGCATGTGGTATGTGATCACAAATATATTCTTCACACTCAAACATGAGAATATCATGCATTCTTATTAATCAATGATCAGGTTGGAACGAATTTCATCAATATGGAACAACAGTGGGCAATGACGCTTCTAAATTTTCATATGTGGAATATAACAATGCTGCTCAAATGATTCGTTGTGGAAATAATGCCACAATTGTTTTGAGTGTTGACAATGAATTATCAATGTGTGGTACTGGCATTATTGAAAAAGGTCGTGCCTTCAACAGTTTAACTTCGCTTGAGGATTTTTCAAAGCTACTTTCGTCATCAGAACACATTAGTGATATCCAATGTGGAGCAGAGCATATCGTTGTGAGAACATCATTCAATAGCATTTATGTCGTTGGACAAAATACGTACCATCAGTTAGGATCGTCATTTTCAGAACATAGAAGATTTGTCGATATTACTAAAAAGCTTCCATTCAAAAGAGATGAGCTACTGAGCTTTGCATGTGGACTGTATCATACACTCTTTCTTTGCAAGAGCGGAGCTGTATATGTTTCAGGATATAATGGGGTATGTAAAACATAGAGTTCAATCCTTTTGATGATTATTGATAAATAGTATGGTCAACTTGGTATTGGAACATTGAGAGATTCTGACTTTGAACTCGTGACAGATTTTTACAAATATGACTTGACATCGGTATATCGGCAAGGAGTTCTCTCTACTTTTGACACTTCCATGATCACATATACATGCCATGTTATTGACAATGAGGACAAATCTCAGTACACGATTGATCAGAATGAAATTATCAAACAGGTATATGCTGGCTCAAACCATTCTTTGCTTGTGAGCAATCTTGGAAATATTTATTCATTTGGATTTGGCAGATTTGGACAGCTCAATTTGAATACATCACAAGATAATAATCCTCATGTCACACAAATGTTTTTACCAAAATCTATGATCGATACTACGATTTTCTCCAACTCTGCAGCAAATATTACAATTCTAGCTGACCGACAACCAATTAATTCTTGGATGTACAACAATTTGAGAAAGCGAGCAAGACAAGGCGAGCTATTTGATATCAAAGCTTATTGTCAAAATTAAATTATTGCGTATTATTGTATTCAATTGTTGTTGAAATTGTTGCTTTTTTTACATGAATATTTCACTGTTCAACAATTTCATTAATTTCCATTTTGGTCCGATGTCTTTCTTTTAAATATAAGCTTGTTTTCAAACTTTCCATTCTTTCTTGACTCCAGAATTGTAGAAATCAATTCAAAACCAATTTGTGATAATATTTCCAACAATTGTTTAATATGTGTCCATTCAATCTCCCACTTTCCACAAAATTTAACATTTCTCTTCATTTCCAATCCATTTACTTTCACTAATCCTTTCCCTTTCATAAATTGATATGCTATCTCTGGTCCAATACATAAATATTCTCCATATGTATTATTGACATCAATAGTTAAATATTCATCCGTACAAGTTCGATGCTGTGACATGAGAGAACTCAATAAATCAGCCAAACTATTCAATCGATAATATTTTGCTTCCATAAACAATTCTTCCATCGCGTGTGGATCGTGTGATGGCAAAACCACATTAATTCCATTTCTCAAGTAATTCAACACGTATCGGAAATGAGTGGGATCTCGATCAATAAACAATAATGGCGTTGTATTATTTTGAAGAGAAGAATTGGAGCTAGCTTCTTGTGAATTGAAATGATTAGAAACTAATTCAGCTAGAAAATGATGCTCATCCTTCTCGGAGTGAATTGTAGAAAGTGTGGAAGAGCTAGTGCTGAATACTATACCGCCCACATTGATGGAGATGGTTTGTGAGCTGCTGCAACTTTGAGCCATATTTTTATTGGATGTGGAATTTATTGTAAACGAACATCTTGAAAAGAAAACTCTTTGAAAGCTTGCTTGATCGGGGTTGGAACGCCGCCACTATATGTGTGAAGGTCATGGAATGAAACATGCATTTTCAATATTGAATCAAGTCTATCGATTCATCAACAGTAAAAAAATGGGAAAAAGACAAGGATTAAGAAAAGTGGTGTTTTTTGAAAGAGATGATTCTTTGGAAAGCAACAACTCTCATGATACTGCTTCATCCTCCGAAGGAAGAAACGCTCCACCAACTCATAAATTGGGATGGAAGGAAAGGAAGTGGTATGATCATTTCAAAAACGGAGATGATGCAGTTTCGGAAAGCATTGTCGGAGGCTCAGATTTGAGCCTATTTCAATTCAATATTTTGCATGATGATTTAAATTCTGAAATATATGAAAAGATTTATACAAAAATCAGATTTGACTATATTCTTCATACTCTTCTTCCCACTATCAATGCAGATGTCATTTGCTTGAATGAAGTAGGAAATCATTTTTTGAAACGACTATTAGATGAGTGTTCACATACTTGGATGAAAGAATTGAAATATAATTTTATTTCACATATGGACAGAGAAAGATTTGAAATCTTAAATCCTCATCTATCCAACAAGAAATCGAAAAGTATTGATGAGGCAACACAAATGACGGTTGAGAAGGGAGGATTTGTCTGTCTCATCATTTCAAAAATTCCATTCGTTCAATCACATAATTATTATTATCAAAACGATCTGGTATATTCTAGAAGACCAGCCACCATGGTCACACTTGCTAATAATATCATTATCATGAACGTTCATTTGAAAGCATACAAGGAGTGCCATCCAATTAGAAAGAAACAATTGAAGTGTATATACGCTTTATTTCGAGTACCAAGAGTTGCTTTCAAGTCACACGAAAATAGTGAGTCAGCAGCTTCACAAGCCATATTAAGTAATGAAAATAGATTCACCTATCACTATTCCATTGAGAATGTATTAACCACTTCGAAGCAATACGATGAAAAGAAGGAGTTTTTAGAAAATTTCCCACATGTAAAATCTGTGATTCTTTGTGGAGATCTTAATTTTAATCATGACTTTGAGGAACACAACATTTCTGATTACGGAATGGAAGATGTTTATGCCAAGTTACATCCTGATCTCGTTGGCAAGGAAGAATCTTATACGTTTGACTATATGAAGAACCCAATTGTGAATTTATATTCTGAAACCTCACGTGGACGATGCAGATATGACCGCATTTTGTTGTTCAACAGGCCAACAACTTTAACGAAAAATCAAGACCATCATTCGACCTTAATCGGTGGTGATGATGGAGGTGGAGCACTTCATGCTTATCAATGTGAAATTTTAGAAAATAAGGCATTCAAGGACAATATTTTTGCTAGTGACCACTATGCACTCTTAACCAAATTTACCACTTCAAATGTTTCGAATGGTCAAGCTCAACAACGGCAAGATGTCATTGATGCTTAACTTCGAACATGCAACAAAGTATTTCGATTCATCGTAAGGTGCTGCTGTCAACCGAGGAACCTCAAAATATAAAAAATGAGAAATCAAATCGCTTCTCGTCTTCTCTTCACCCCAAGCAGAACGTTGCGCAACTCAGCCAATGCCCTCGGTAAGGTTCAAGCACCAAGCAGCAGCACTGCTTCATCATCGGCTAGCACTGTTTCGAGTCAGACTGCTTCATCATCAGCAAGAAAAAGTGAAGGAGGCCTGCGAAAGGGAGTAGCTGGTATTTTAACTGGAGCTATCATTTTCGGTTCGGCATACTACTAGTACGTGTTGTTCTTGTTGTTACCATGATGAATCGTAACCTTGCTTGTTATTATTGATTATATTCTCATTCATTATTATTCATGTATGGCATTTGTATTGAAATTATTTGATTGTCGTGGATGATGGCGAACGCCCAAATTAATATTATTTGTTGATGATGTTGGAACTATTGAAAATCGGAATAATGATATCACTTTGTGTGGATGATGACAATCTTTTTTGAAAACACGCAACGCAGTATGAAGGATATTATTGTCCAAGAATCACAACAATTAATTGAAAAAACAAAAAGTATTGAATCTTTAAAGACCAAGCGTCAGCTGTTGGAAGAGGAAAAGAGAGAACTCGAAAAAGAACATCAAGAATTATTAAAGAAGAGAGAAAAAGCTCTCCAATTGCCAGAAGAAAAAGATCAAGCTGCCCACAAGCTTCTCCTTCTCAAATTTTACCGTAATTGGAATTCTATCTTTTACGGTGTAAGCTCAGAAATTGACAGTCAAAATCAAAAGAATCAACAAGAACGCATGAAATTGATGAGACGTAGACTCGAAGATGAGGTTCAAGCAAAATTTGGTGTGAAAGAAGGCCAATACAAGATCAAGACTGTTCATGAAGAATAATTCTCTCAAGAATGGTTTAACACATGAATTGTACACATTTAAGGAATTGCTATTATTATTAATACAAATTTAATTTGAAATATCTACTACCATATTGTGGTGATTTCACCAAAACTCTTTCTTGAACTACTCAATATTCTTGCTGTACCTTCAATTGTCATTGTTGTTTGACATCGAAAGACCTTGCGGAGATAAACTCGATTTGAACGATGAAAAAACCAAGGCGCCATATTTACAGTTCCATAAAAAATGGGGGAAAATATCATTGCCTATTCATCAATATCGGAACGAGATCCAAATGATATGATCAATGAGATACGGAGGAAACGAAAGGACTTAATGAAAGGATTACCTAAACCAAACTTTATAAGACTGAAAGTCATCAGTATGGGAGAATCGGAAGTTGGCAAGAGTTGTCTCATCAAACGTTATTGCGAAGAACGAGTATGTATGCTTGTAAACATTAATGATCTGACTCAATCAAGTTTGTTCCGAAATATACTGGTACCATCGGAGTGGATTTTGGAGTTAAAAAAGTAATGATTGATGGTCGGGAAGTTCGAGTAAATTTTTGGGATTTAAGTGGACAACCAGAATTCTTTGAGGTTCGAAATGAATTTTATAAGGACACTCAAGGGGTATGTACAATTGTATTTATCTTCTCACATTGTTGCACTCAACGTTTGTTTTGCCAGGCTGTTCTTGTTTTCGATGTCAGCTCAAGATCATCTTTCGAAGCACTAGATGCCTGGTTGGCAGAATCATCAAAATATGGTGCCAAGGGATTATTCATTGCTGTTTGTGGAAACAAAACAGATGAGAAAAACAGAGTTGTTACAGAAAAAGAGGGTAGAGATTGGGCAGAAAAGAATGGTTTGAGGTAAGTGAGGGAAACATACCTTTTTGAAAAGGTGCATTACTTGACATAGTTATTTTGAGACTAGTGCACAAAGTGGAGCCAATGTACAATTAATGTTTGATACTCTATTCAGAGATATTATTGCTCACATGTATTCGTGATGATGATGATGCTGCTCCTTACACACCCAAAATGAAAGCAAATCTAATTGACAAGATTGAACGTTTGCAACAACCGAAAAAATAGAAAATAAATCCATCCATCAAAAAAAAGTCAATAATCATCACCGATAGTGTTACTGTATATAATCATACCACACTTCATCATCAGCCTCTCTTCCTTGTAATTCCTTTCTTAATTTATTCAAGTGTATCATAGCATCATCCCAAATTCATCTCCAATTTCATCCTATTATTTTCTTTTTGATCATTCTTTTAAATATCATCATCATGATCAATAACACAACATCTCCGACCTCACCAACGGTCCCATCACCCACTCCCAAACTCTCCCAACTCACTCAGGACACTGTTGCCGTTGCAAAATCCGTTCTAGAAGACAAGTACTCGAAACAAAAACTCACCCGTAATAAAGCCAATATCCGTTGGGTTGATAAAGTCAAACCAAAGACGGTCAAGGATTATGATAAGATTGCAGTAATTGGTAGAGGAGCATTCGGAGAGGTTCGTCTCGTACGAGATAAACAAACTGGACAAGTTGCAGCCATGAAAATGTTAAAGAAGACTGAAATGATGAAGAAGAATCAAGTTCAGCACGTACGAACCGAGAGAAATTTGATGGCTGATTCTGGAGAGAATAACATCAATGAGTGGATTGTTGAATTGTATTCATCCTTTCAAGATAATGAATATTTGTATCTTGTCATGGAGTATTTGCCTGCAGGAGATATGATGACTTGGCTCATTCAAAGAGAATATTTCACTGAGGAAGAAACACGATTTTATATTGCAGAATTGGTCATGGCTGTTGGTTCTATTCATGCTCTTGGTTATGTTCATAGAGATTTAAAGGTACGTGTGGTGTGAATTATTAATTATGACTATTGTAATTATTGTGATTATTGTAATTATTGTGATTTTAATTGATTGTTATTGTCAAACGATCATGATGGTTAAAAATCACATGGAAAAATTACACACATCTTGGAAATTACAGCCTGATAATATTTTACTTGACAAGAATGGTCACATTAAACTTTCTGATTTCGGATTATCAAAGCCATACAAGTTGGAAGATACTGATCCCGAGGAAGCAAGAAAATCCATTGAGGATGCAGCTGCAAATGAGTTAAACAATTCAGGAGCTGCCTCTAGTCAAGAAACAGGAAAACAAAGAGATGAATGGAGAAAGAAGGGTCGTATCAAGCTCTACTCAACTGTTGGAAGTACTGGCTACATTGCACCAGAAGTTTTATTGAAGAAAGGTTATGGATTGGAATGTGATTGGTGGTCAGTGGGAATTATTATGTTTGAAATGTTGTGTGGATATCCACCATTTTCATTTGATGAACCACCAGCTCAGACATGTCACAGAATTATCAAATGGAAAGAAAATCTACAATTCCCTGACGACGTTGTTTTGTCAAATGAAGCCAAAGATTTGATTTTGAGATTTTTGTGTGATCCTGAAGACAGAATTGGAACAAATAGCATTGAGGACATTAAGAAGCACCCATACTTTAATGGAATTGATTGGGAAAATATTAGAAAGGGACCAGCTCCATTCTGTCCTGAACTAGAAAGTGAAGACGATCATAGATATTTTGACAACTTTGAAGATAATGAAATGTACAGAACCATTAAGGATGAACCAAGAAATATCTTGAGAACTAACAAACACATGGTATTCGCAAACTTTACTTGGGACAAAGACTTGAGAGAGGGAAAGAAAACTCAATCTCGAACCACAGTCATGGACATGCGAGAAAATATGAAAGCCATGTATGAACAACAACAAAGTCAACAATAATATTGAAATTTGTTTTATTGAACTAGTTTGTAGTTTGGATTGGTGTTTTTTTCTTGGGCACCAAAACATTGACTTCGCATCATCTTTTGAAGACTTCTCTTCACCAGATTGCATCATAGTTTGTAAAGTCTGAGAGCTCTGTGAGAGTACCTCCCTGATTCTGGCAATATGTTGTTCTAAAGGAGTCATATCAGTGGCTGGCTGGGTTGACTCTTTGGTCTCGCTCAATAAATTTGTTGTGCCAAGTAAACCAAGATATGGTTCTCCAAGTTCAGCCTTATCAAATCTCATGATTGCCATCAAACCTTCTTGAGATGAAATAAATAATACAGTACCATCACTACTCCAGCTACAGTCAGTAATTGGTTGTGTGAAAAGTCTTTGAGCTCTGAACAATACATTATTGCCCTCAGTATCAAAAATGATAATCTCATCCTTAGAGGAAGCACATGCCATCATTCGGTATGGAAGAACAGACTTCTCACTCGTAGACTTGTAAAGAATTGGAGAAAATCTTACAACGGGGCATGTTGATGTGAGTCCAGTAATACATTTTGCTGGTTTCTTCCAAACATTTCTGTAAAACATGTGAAGTGTGTTCGAAAGACCTGCCGTTGTAAAAAGAAAAGAACCATCAGGAGAAAATGACAATCTTCTCACACTATTCAAGACAGTCGATCGATACTGAATGGTGTGATTATCTCCTTGGAATAATTCCTTATTATCTTTTGCACTCTTCTTAATCGTTCCTACTTTTTCAAAAAGTGCTGCTGTGGTCGAATGATTCTTCTTTTTCTTTTTTGGTGACATCATTACTTGTTCATTCGTCGTACATGCAACGCCTAAATTTCCAGCAGCTGATCGTTGTTGTTGAGGACCTAAAATTGAGAAACGTTCTTGATTCAAACCAAATAATAAAACCTTCTTTGCTGTACTCAACTGAATAGCCAAATAATAACCCAAAGGATCCCAAGTAACACCTCCAAATGAGGAATGAATTTCAGAAATATGTTCAAACAACATTTCAAAAGACTCTAAAGGTTGATAGACTCGCAATCTCCGATCCATAGAGGTCGTTGCTAACAAATATGTTGGCTTTCCAGTCTTATGATCGATCAAGGGTGGAGACCAATTCAAATCCCAAACATCCTCACCTTCTTCACTTCCGAACTTTCTTGCAATGATCCATTCTTCGGTTGGTTTGACTTCACTCTCCAAGAATGATAAATCCGTATCATCAGAGCTGCTACTATTATGAGCCATCAGCATGGAAGATGTTGGATGGCCACTGGCGGCCATAGTAGTACCTAGATTGGACTTCTTGGAATCCATCTCGGAGGATGTTGTGGCTAACAAGCCTTTCTTCTTCCAAATAATCACTGCTCCTCTTCCACATCCAGTAGCAATATAATTACCGCATGGACTCCACCGAGCAATATTCACGACTTTGGCACTGTCATAGATGGGGTTCATGGTTGCAATGAGTTTGAAAAAGACATCTTCTTCCGAATAGGAGAGTTCCCAGATTTTGATATCGGTTTGAATACCTGCAGTAACGAGACGATTGGTTTTTGGGTTGAAATCAACGGTTAATAAAGGTTCTGGTCGTCGGTAGAGACCTTCCATGTATTCATCACGAAAGAAGTGAACTTTCGTTTTCTCAGCAGTGATACTAGTTGCTTTGGACATTTTTTTTATTTGAATGTGAAACGGAAAGTTTAGGCGCCAAACAATTGATTGTCTTTTCACAAATGATAACAAATGTTTATTGTCAGAGAGCTGAGTAGTCTCTTTTAAAAATCATAAATAACCTCTTCATCAAATCGATTCAGAACATCTTGACAGTCTGCCAATTCTTTTTGAACCTTCTTTCTCATGTAGAATACAGGACAATCTCTGTTGGTACACAAAACATCAGCATGCAAGCTTCCTTGACATCGCTGACAGTATGTCCAAACTCGGCTGTAAATATCTTCATAGTGATTTCGCTTATTAATGGCGCTCTCATAAATCTTGGGAGCAATTCCTTTTTGTTTACAATCATTGCAAATTGTAGAGCCACCATTCTTTGCAAGTACATTCCTGCAACCGAGACATCTGAGTTGTTTTTGTGTGAATTTCATAATACCTCCCTTTGAGGGCGTTGGAATTGAAATGGCACGAGTATGCTCTCCAACAAATAATGATTGTGTGTTGTCAATAATTGGACTGAAAATTTGTTCGAGAGGTTTCTTGATTTGATGTTCAAGATAGTATTGAGCGTCAATAGGAATACTGTTTTCCAATACCCAAATAGGGTCTTCACTCTTTTCGTATGCTTTTGCTCCTTTGTGTGCCTTAACAATGACATATGGAATTCGATCTCCAACACGAGGAGCTGTCGATGGATCTCTTTTTGCCATTCTTTCTGCCAATTCAACGTGAGTTTGCTTAGCCTTGTACTTGTCACTCTTCTTCACCAATGCTTTGGTAATGACAAGCATACTGATATCCATTCTGTTCATTAATAGATCAGAAATAACAGATTTGGCATAATTCACAGCTGCCTCAATACTCTTCTTGACTAGAATCAAATGCAAGCAAGTATTTACAAGGTTTCTCACCAAAGCACAGTTATCTCTTCTCACAGTCACAATACCTTTTGCATCCATTTTGTCATACTTTTCAGTTTTCGTCCACAATAAACCAGCATATCTTTTCTTTGCCAAAAGTAAATATGGATAATAGACCTTTTCGAATTCTAGTTTGATTGGCTTAACAAAGGTTTTAGAAATTTCTTGTGATGCATGAAGACCGAGCTCCATCGCCTTTTTGATGTCTCTCGTTCCGAACTTCACCATGACAGAGTCAGTATCACCATAAATAACAGTTGCATTTGCTTCGTAACCATTCTTGACAGTGTACATTTCTTCAACCATGGTTTTAGTGTGTTGAATCATTTCTCTACCAAAGGCAGTAACAGAGGCAGAAATTTCAAGGCATGGCAACATACCAACAGTTGCACCAGTAAAACCATAGACAGAATTGGCACTGACTTTGAGAGCAAGTTGTCTACCATTCATGACAGCCTTTTCAGTTGGATCAGTTGCGTTTTCCAAATCCTTTCTTGCTTGTTTTCTTGCTGCTAAAAGTTCTTCAAGAACCAGAGGCAATAATCCTTGCTGTACGTCTCTTTTGATGAAATAGTCTCCACTAGGAGTTTTGATGTATTGATCTTCGGAGAGTTTAGCAATATCTTCTTTTTTCAATAATGTCGTGTAGCACAAGTTATGTGCAATCATAATGGATGGATACAAAGATGCAAAGTCAAGTGTTGTAATTGGAATGTCGTAATAACCAGTCTTTGGAGTAAGCACGAAACCTCCTTCATAGGTTTCACCTTCAGTTGCTTCTCCTTCTTCATCCAAAACTTCCTTCTTGCCACTTTTTGTAATGGTTGGCATAATGTATCCTTTCTCTTTGGCTTTTCTGAGAAGTTGTGAAATGACCTTAATTTGTTGTCCTCTCTTCAAAATGAATGATACAGGAATACCAGTGACACGAGCCATTTCAATATAGTTGATGATAATCATGAGCTTGTCGAGAAGTCTTATTGGCAACACAGCGTCTTTCAAACAATAGGATGCCAACCTTCTTCTATCTTCATCAGAACCTTCATGGAGGGTTGAAATAATAGAGTGGTGCACTTCTTCTTTCTGGTCACCAAGGAAATGAGCTGATACCGAGTTCAAACTGTAAGAAGAAAGTTTGTGATCTCTTTGAATCGCTTGTAGCACATCAAGTTGAATTCTACCTTCAATATTAATGTCCTTACTTTCTCTTGTACCGTAAGCTCTTGAAGAGAAGGTACTATTCTTCATTTGAGATCTCTTGTTCGCGATTCTACCCAAGAATGGGAAGGTGCCTACTTTGAGTGCTTTGGCTCTGTTAATGAGATATGGCAAGTCAAAGTTGATAATGTTGTATCCCGTAATAATATCAGGATCAACACAGATCATAAAGTTTCTCCAAGCTTCTAGCATGTCCTTTTCGTTTTTGTAAGAGTGAATTTCCACACCAACTATTGGAGCGACATCTCCAAGACACATGACATTCTTAATGAGAGGTTCTGATCTTCCTTGAACGGTCACATAATTGGCAATGACAATTACAGGATCTGATTCAGCTTGAGGAAAGTGTCCATCTTTACCCTTACATTCAATATCGAAAGAGAGAATTCTAACAGGTGCAATTTTATGCCATCCTGGCTCTGTTGGTAAGTGACTGAGTAAATCTTCATAGGATACATCCACTTCAATTTGAGAATGGCTTACTTTTTCATTATCATTTCTTAATTTATAGGAACCTGCTGGTAGTTCAACCCAGTTAGCACCAACCATATTCGAATCAATCATGCAACGCAAAACGAACAAAACATTACTTTCATAAGTTTGGAATTTCTTAAATCCAAGACCAGGAATATGAATACCTTTCTCAAGTGCTTCTCTTACATGAGGAACAATTGGAGGAATGCTTGTCTCAATTCTCAAGAAATTTCTCGAACTTCCAAACGAGTAATGCATCAGACTCTTCTTTCTTTCAATGCTTACATTTACAATGTACTTGTCTGCTTTTCCTTTTTGAATATTTCTTTCACCCATGATTGTGTTCAAAAACTTGGCAAAGTTTTGTGTTTGATCTGGATTGAAATTATCAGGTTGATCAATATAAAAGTATGGAGTATAGCCTCGTACATGGCAAGTGACAGAATAACCTTCTTCAGTCACACCATATAAACGAACAATTGGAACATTTCCATTGGTAGGTCCAGGATAACCTGGTTTTTGTTCTCCGAGAGTATAATCTGCATCCATTTGTTGGAAAGCAAGAGAACAAGTCCTTTCAAATATAACGAATCCTTGCCGAGTGATGGTCTGACCCAAGTAGGATGTTTAGGAACAACAGCCCTAAACTTCTTCATATCTTCCAAAGATATGTTTTGTGAGAGCTGTGTGCTATTTAAAACATCCTCTTCTTCCATGATGTCTTGTTCATCCTCTTCGGAAGGTTCAAATTGTTGTTCATCCACATCTTCAATGTCTTCGTTTGCTTCATCTTCATCAAAATCGGAAGGATCTCCTTTGGATATTACTAATTCATTGTCTTTTTGTTTGGACTTTTTGTTTTTATCTTCAGAAGAGGAGGAAGACTGTTTTGTGGGTTGAGAGGTTGGTTTTCTCTTCATGATGATGTGATGATGAAAGTGAAATTATTATTTTGAGAATTTTTTTCTTGTGTGTAACGTTCTTTTGTTTGTTGGAACCAATTTGAGCGGGAACAAAAAAAATTGTGGCGTTTTATGATTCATGTCTCCATACAGATTTCGATTCACTCATTATTGCCAGTGTCTTTTGGATCAAGTTTAGGTCCAGAAAAAAACGAGCTTAACAGGCCAGACATGCCACTCGGATTCAAGGTTGCCACCTTTCCAATGAGCTCTGAAATAATTTTGTTGGTAATTTTCTCCTCCCATTCTTTCATTCTTGCATCAACACATTCATTGACATATGATCTTAATTCTTCCTTGGTTGAAAATTGGTTAATGTAAGAGGACGAAATAATATTCTCAGAGATGACTTGCGGAGTCACATTCGAGGAGATTGAATATGCTTCGTTTATCACTGGTTTAGGAATGATATCAGATGCTGCTGATTGTGGTTGAGAAACAATTTCTTTCTCTCTTTCTTTTTCTACAGAATCTATGGTCTTAGTGATTGGTATAATAGTGTTGAAAATCATGGACATTTGTTTGGCAGACGGATTATCATTCCGTTCATTAAGCTCATAAGCATGCGAGGGTCACTCATGAGTGTGCTCATACTACCTGAAAATTGAGTTGACTCTTTCGTGTCATTGTGTGACAATGATGAGGAGCTGACAGCAGAGGAGGAGCTTGTGACAGGCCCTTTTCTTATTCCATGAAGTACAATTGCACTAACACAAATCTTTGTTTGTTTGAAGGCTCTTTCGCAATAATCTAAAGACAAAAATTTGATGACAAATTTCGAGTGCATTGGTAATTTCTTAGAGATACCATCTTGATGGCTCTCAGAAGTACAAATACAATGATACTGATAGGCAGATCCTTCTCCAACTTTCTCTGTAAATCTACAAGTCTGTGAATATTCTCGATCCATCGATGTATATAATTCAATATTTCTTGCCGTACTATAAACATCAATGGCAGTCCACTCAAATAATTCATTCAATTCGATGGTAATTTCAAAATATTTACTTTCGGAATCATCGTGTGGTTCCTTCTGCTTTTCAAATACCACTGGACCTTTTTCTACATCATTCTCTTCATGATCGGTAGTTGAAGCATCTTCCACATGTACCAATCTTTGAAACAATTTGATTTCATCATTCCGATATTCCTCGTTGCAGGCTTGCCAGGTGGCTCGGAGCAAAAAGCCTTCTTGCCGATTCACATCCATCGAAGAAGCGAGATGGATGCAATTTCAAATTTTTAATTTCAAAAACAAACATAAAAATATGGGCAAGAAGAAATCAGCATCTTCATCCAACAACACTACGAATAATAATTCGGGTAAATCAAAAGGAGCATCCTCCAGCTCCGGAGCATCTTCTTCAAGCAGTGAAGAAAAGGTAAAAAAACAAGGATCTGTAAAAACCCCAAAAGATACATCCAATAGTAGTTCATCCTCATCATCATCGGGATCTAGATCATACACAAAAAAGATCAATTACAAGCCATAGTATGTAATATATTCATTAATGAAATATCGGAAGTTAAATTGTCAATTCATTTGAAAAATTAATAGCTCATCAGTGTTAGATTATATTTATCATGCAAACAAATTATTGGATTTAGAAAAAGAAGCCGAAGCGGAGGAAGCGACATTATCAAGTAAAACTTATAGATATGTACAAGTGGAAGAATATACTATGGGATGCAATGGTCGGTGTAACGTCAAGCTTATCATGAAAAGTGGATCTGCTGCAAATGTTGTTACAGATTTTGCAAAAGTGGGAGAATCTATAACTTTGAAAGTAGCAGAAAGTGGAAGTGACAAAAAGGAAAATGAAGTTAAAGCGATTAGAGGAGTTATTTCTGTTGTCACAGAGAAATACATTATTGCTACAATGGATGAATTTTTGGACGAATGGTATGAGGCCTCTAAATTGCTCATGAATAAGGTACTAGATGAAGTGACGTTTAAGCGTTTGGAAATGGCTCTCAAACATTTAGAGCATTATGAAAAAACTCCTGCCAGTAATATTGTTAATTTGTGTTTCAGACCAAGGCCTGATGACGAGTATGAAGAAGTGTATCCAAAGTTTGTCGAAGATAGAGAAGTAGATCAAATGACCTTTTTCTCAACCACCTTAAATGACTCACAAAAAGATGCAATCAAGTTCGCTCTGAAATCTAACGACATGTCATTAATTCTTGGCCCACCTGGAACAGGCAAGGTGAGTTTAATTTCATTGTAATTTTGGCGTCATCAAATATGAATTATTGAATTTTACACGAGTTAGACAACAACAGTTGTTGAACTAATACGGCAGGCAGTAGTTTTGAAAAAGCTCAAGGTATTGGTCTGTGCTCCATCTAATATTGGTGTAAGTTCATCTCTTAGAATTATTAGAAATAGTTATTGTAATCATATTGTTACTTTGACAACAGATCGATAACGTTGTAGAAAAATTATCGGACGAAAACACTGGATCGACAAAGAAAATTAAGCTTTGTAGAATTGGCCATCCAGCCAGAATGATGGATTCTATTCTGAAACACAGTGTTGATTACAATATTTCTGTTGGAGAAGGAGTGAAGGTTATTAATGACATTAGAAGAGATATCGTCAAAATTTCCAAGCAAATTACCAAGACCAGAGGGCTCGAACGTCGAAAGCTCAGAGAGGAGCTAAGAAATCTTGAAAAAGAGTTAAAACAAAAAGAAAAAGAAGCTATTCATGACGTCATTAGATTTTCTGATGTCGTGTTATGCACATTAACAGGAGCTGATGATTATTATTTAAGGTATGATATGATTATTATATCATCATTTATGCTTAATAACTTTTTTCAGAGACAAAACGTTTGATCTTGTAATTATTGACGAAGCTGCACAGGCCATTGAAATATCTTGTTGGATTGCCCTCTTGAAAGGCAAAAGATGTGTGCTGGCAGGAGACCACTTCCAGCTTCCTCCAACCGTGTTATCGCCAGATGCTCAAAGACAAGGTTTGGAGGTTACACTCTTCGAAAGAATGTACTTTCGATACAAGGAACATATTTCGAAAATGCTCAATGTTCAATATCGTATGAACGAAGAAATCATGAAATGGTCAAGTGATGAGTTTTACGAAGGAAAGCTCATTGCTCATGACTCTGTAAAATCACATTTGCTGTGCGATCTGGAGGGAGCCTCACAAGATGAAGCAGAGACTCTCACACCTTTATTTGTGATTGATACAGCAAACTGTGACATGGAGGAAATACAGATCGATGCTGAGGAGTCTACAGAATCCCATATTTCTAAAAGCAAGATGAATACGTTCGAAGTTGACCTCGTGGAGAAATATCTCAGACATTTAGTTGAAAAATGCAAAATATCAGAATCCTTAATTGGTGTGATCACTCCCTATTTTGCTCAGGTGCAAGCCCTTCGAGCTAAAATATCTGATGAATTTCCCTTTGTTGAAATATCAACGGTAGATGGCTTTCAAGGTCGAGAAAAAGAGGTCATCATTATTTGTACAGTTCGTTCTAACAAGAATGGTGATGTTGGATTTTTAAGTGAGGAACGAAGAATGAACGTAGCTGTCACCAGAGCTCGACGACAAGTTTGCATCATTGGAGATAGCAACACTCTAAAAACCAATCCATTCTTGAGTCGTATGGTTCAGTACTTTGAAGAGTATGCTGACATCCGATCCGCACATGACTACTTGTAGAATGTGTTCTCAAAACAATTATGATGACATCGTTACCTCAGTAAAACAACCTTCGTTGCATCATTTATATTTCCTTTTGAGACCACTCAATATGACATTTTCGAATTCGAACGTTGGATCATGAAACTTAAAATTGACTTCTAATCAAACTGAGAGGTCAGAGAAAAAATGGGCCAAGGTATTTCCAAGAGCGATTCCGATGTTGGAATTGAATCGGATAACAAGGAAGAAGCTGAGAGACTTCAAAAATTGGTCACTGCCAACGAAATTGCCCAATACGTATGTTATCATTGTCATAATCATCATTGATTTTTGAACATTTCAATTATACTCCATGTTATCATGATTATTGAACCTACCTGTTCATCATCAACAACCAAATAGGAGAAAGTCATTCTCACCAAATTGTCTGATATTAAAAATTTGGATTCACTCCCTCCTCTGGTACTTAAAGATCTCGTTTGTAACCTATTTTTGAAAGAATCCATTCGGAAATGTTATTTATCCTTGTCGGTAGATGAATTAGTGGAATATGTAGGTTGATGTTATGATCGTTTGACAATATTTAAATAGTACATCTTTTATATTCGGAATGGACTTCAATATATTTTCATCAATGTTGAACAATGAATATATTCATAACGGTTATAATGGCATGATGCGTGATCACCATGTTGCATATGGTGCAATAATGATCATCATTTTTCACGAAACGATCAATGATTAATGGATATTCAATCTGATGGAATAGATTGGAAATCTTCTCACAATTTATGAAAATAACACAAAAAGTGTCTTTGCTTCGTTCTATCGGAACTCAAAACTGCCAAGTGTCGTTTCTGAGCTGAAACAAACACCTTGCATTCAACTTCCAAAAGATAATGTATTGAAAGTGCGACTAGTGTTGATACAAGCGCCAAAAGAGTTTTCAACAATGACAGTGTTTGACATATTTTGTCCTGTGATTGAAAGTTTTTCATCAATGTTTCCTTCACAATGCTATAATGCAGCTTTTAATGATTATGAAAATTTTGTGAATGCACAAGTGACAAATCAAAGTTTGAAAATTGTTCCAGCAATTGCTATAGGCCCCTATGTATTGTATTATAATTCGTTAGGACTTGTCATTCCAAGGAGAGCGATTGGAGAGGCAGCCTTTGTTTTATCTGAAATTGATCCAATTGCTTGTCTTTCAGTGAATGAAGAAGCAGTCAAGCAATTATCAACCTTAATATTTATGTGGAACACAAAAGAACGATATAGCTCACAATCCAATAATGCTCAACACTTTGTAGATCACGTGATGAGTCTATTTTCTATTTCACTTCAAGACAAAGCTCCTCTTTAGTAGAATATCTGACACAAATTCGTGCCAATGGATTTGGAGACGCCACCATTCATTTCACAAATGATTTTCGAATTCAATTTAAAATCAAAAGGTTGGAAAAAACATTTTCAGATCGATCAGACCTATGTGTATTCTGTTCCAAATTATTTCAACGAAAATTCTCAAAAGAGACTCATACGATGAATATGCATTACTAAGAAATTTTGACAGAATATTTTGGTGTGAATTTTCACAAATTAAGAAATATTCTCAAATTATTGAAAATCAACAAGGTTCAAGAAGAACCACAGTCTCAGCCCTATATGACCATGAACAACCTAATACCAACACTACCACCACAAGTCCCACCAACAACAATTTTGTGCCACGTAAAACATTGCAGGGTGACGAGCAAGATGAAAATTTAGAGTCTCACCAAGTGCCGAATCCATTTTCAGATCCAAGCATTCTTTGTCAAGAAGCTTTTAAATCTAAAAAGTCATGGTTTTGAATAACACAAGATTTTTTGCATGTTCATTCATCCAATATTATTATTTGTTGGTCTTTGGATTATCTCTTTTTTTCAATTTGTGGTAAACTCCAAGAAATGCTTGTTAACCTTTAATTGAGAGGTCTTTTTCAATATTTTAACATTCTTCTTTGAATTACTGAGTTAAAGATTCGTGGTTTTGCACTTTCAAGTGCCGAAGCCATTTTTCAGATCCAAGCATTCCTAGTCAAGACGCTGTTGCATCTGAAAAGTCATGATTTGGAACAAGATGCTTTGTGGTTTCACATGCATCCTCTCAAAAACGTTCGAACCAAAAGGAACGCTTGAACAACATTTTTCGAGAGATTAGAACCATCAAATGTCAAAACCTACCCACACAAAAAAAACAACAACAAACCTTACATTCTCGTGCGCACAGTGGATTCTCTTGACTGCATCATCATCCCACAACTTGTTCTTTTGACAAGTCAAAAATCTCTCAAAGAACAAACTCTGTACAGAAATATCATTGAAATATTTATGAAACACAATCATGAGCACTCCTACAACAACCACACCACCACATTCACGAAATTTACTTCGGAATTCGTTATGTATTGAAGTCATTCCGAATCAGTCATCATCATCCTCCACAGGTATTCATTCGTCGTCGTCATCAACGTCAACCTTCAATTCACCTCATTCACCACTTTCTTTGTTGAATCATCATCATTCGACTAGTAATAATGTGAGAATTACATCTCCACTATCGATAACCAGTTCGACAAATTCTCGAGCGAGATATAGTGTAGTGACGTGCGGAAGTAATGGACATCTGCCAAACGTCACTACGGATTGGGATATTAAAAAAATTCAAGAAGAAATTAGAATAGCCACCATGATGACAAAGAATCACACACCCTCCTCTTCGGATTCATCTTTAAACACTGTTCTTTCGCCCTCCAATAACATTTCTCCAAAAGAAATTCCAAAAACTCCAATTTTGGATATCAAAAAAACCGAAAAAGAATCCGAAGCTGAAAGTTTTTACAAAATTATTACCAGCTCAAGAAATAGATCAAGAACATTGGACAGTGTTACTCCACGAAAAAGTATTTCATCCAACACGAAAGATGTTGACATGGCTGTCATTCCAAATATGTCCATAACGACAACTAATGGACAAATCGTTGAAAACATTGCACTTTCACCCTTCACAAAAATTGAACAACCCATTGCTAATTTAATTTTAAAATTTTGTACCATTTATGAATTTAGTGCATTGTGTCGCGTCACACAACAATGGAATTATTTCACAAAAATGTATTTGAAAGATTTTGCAGATTCAGAAAATTTGAAAACATGTCTTGCATTATTGTATTGTAAATTATCACAATGTTTGACCGATGTTGTGGAATTTGAAGATCGACCATTGAAGAAGGTGTTTCAACAATTGCATCAACATCGACATTTGATTACCAAATTACCAAAAATAGTATCTACACCATCCTCCAATACTACTTCTCCATTGAAAAAACATACAGAATCAACCTCAAGCTCTCCATCCAATTCTCAACAACAACCACTTCTTCCATTACATGAATTATTTTACGAATCTTACATTTCCTATTTTGGTACCATTGTTCCAAGATTAGCATGGCACATCAGTCGAAAGAATGTCAAGAAGAGAATAACATTCAACGAAATTCAATTTCATCTCACTGTAGAAATGTTTCTCAGAGTAGACGATATCAATACCATTTCTCTCGACACGTACGATATTGAACAATATATTCACAAAACTTGCAATTCGAGTTTTGCTGCACAACTCATGACTTCGGTTTTTGCATATTTTACAGTGTTCTTTATGAGATTTGATGAATATATTTCTAATACTGTGATTGCTGGTAGTGGTGTGAATTCTCCAATTTTACGAAAACAAAACAGTTCAAAGAGTACTTCATCCAATAAGAAGAGAAATTCTAAAACACCACATGACCATCCTATTGGAGAGGAGATCTTTTCCTTTGATTCTACCACCACTGCAGATGTTTCTCCTTCAGCATTATCCAAGAAGAGTAGTGCTGGTGGTTCACTTTCAAGTCACAACGAAGAATTAACAAGTGTTGCAAGAAAAACAGTTTCTTCAGGAATTCTTCCAACTGGAGGAACTTCACGAAGACCTTCCTTGAAAAATTTATTAAGCACTTCACATGAGAGCACAGTTGGATCGTCAAATTCTCCCTATTTACTGTCACCTCGATCTCCAACTCTAATGATGAGAAATAATAGCAGTAGTAGTAGTAGTAGTAATAGTAATCATAGTGGAAACAATGGTGGTCGAAGAGGATCGTTTAAAGATGTATCTCCTATTGGTTCAAGTTTTAAATTTGATCGAGGAGATTTTCTCATTTCACAACAAAGTATCCATTCAGGAAGTAGAGGAGATGAAGTGAGTCAAGTGACAACAGAGACGGATGAAGTGGATGTTGAGGCAGATGCTGATGTTGAAACATTTAATTCTGTGGCAAGCGCTTCTACTTCATTACCAAATAAGGTGAAATATTTGGAAATTGTTCCAAAAGCAACATGTGAATTGGGTTACATGTTTTTAATGGATTTTTTTAAAATTATTTCAAGATATTGCAAGAAAACAAGTTTCAATTATGCAAATTTCTCAGAAGCTGAAAAGGCAAGAATTCACTACTTGTCCACTCTTTCCATTTCTCCCTACAGCGATTCAGCAGCTGCATTTATGTCAAATACTGATGAAGGACAAGTGTCACGAAAGAATATTTTGAAATTTAAAGGAATTTGTCATGCCATGGCAGATTCAGAATTTATTACATGTTTGGTCATGTCAGGAAAGGAATGGAATAGTGAAGATGTGTGTATACTTTTTAATTCATTTAATTTATTGGAGAAGAGATCGAGACGGGATAATTATTGTGTGGATTTAGTGTTACCAACTCATATTGAACTTGTGGAAGAAAATTTCTCACAGAATGTTTCACAACAGGAGGATGAACAGCAACATTCATCATCATTCAACACTCGGTATGAGGACAATGATACCACCATGGTGAAATGGCCATCCTTCCTGAACACCGTCTACTTGACAGAAATGAATGAATCTTTAATCTTTCATGATCGATGGTTTGGAGAAGGACCAAAAATTAGAGAGATTCATTTGAATTTGGGATTGGCAGATTCTAGCTTGTTAACATTTGGTACTTTGAATCATTGTAGAAACACGTTGAGACATCTTTACGTTTCAGAGTGTACACTTAATTACAAAATTGGATCTAATTTTGTGAACGTGATGAAGGAATTAGATTTAGAAACTCTCTCTTTGGAAAGATTTCATCTCGACAGTGAAAATTGGAGAATGCTATTTGAAGATTATTTACAACATTCTTCAAACTCATTGCAGACAATTCGTCTCATCGATTGCATCAACCAACTGTCAGATGTTTCTTCATTTGTTCACAACATTCAAGTGCGAAGTATTCAATTAGCAAAAGTAGAATTGAAACTTAAACATTTTGGAGATGAAGAAAAGGGAGCTGTGAGCGGCTTATTAGAACATTTATTATTGAACGGCAATGCAAAAACAATTATTGCAGACTCAATTTCCTCGCAAAACAAAGTGCATAGTAGTTTGTCAAGAAAGAAGAAGAAAGGTTGCATTATTTCATAAATTATGGAAATTACACTCCTGTCATTTCTATTTGATTTGAAACAGCCAGATGATTGGCTGTTTTTGCCTTTTTCACAAAAATGACAACAATGACAACAATTAAGGTAGTTATTCCTACCACTGATAACACTCCCAATGGGACACTAATTCCAACGGCGATAGCAACCGTGTCTACACCTCCTTGTTGATCGTTCTTGATTGGTGATGAAATGGCTTTGGGTGGAGGAGCATTAACTACTTGCAAGTAATTCAATGATTGAGTTTTGTTCGAGATTTTCAGTGAGGTTTTACCATCCCATATCTCAATAAAAGCAGTCACATTTCCTGGTTGTGAAAGTGTTGGTAATGTGAATGAAAGTGTGGTTGTTGTTGTACTATTCACAATTGGATGCTTTGATTTTTCACACCAATAACTTGCAATTCATTGAGTTGCAATTCCAATACTGCATGGAGTACTTTTCCATTATAGAATTTCAAAAAGTCTTGATGCTCAAAACCAAGTTGAAGAGTTGTGGCTGTTGGTTCAGTGTTGGTGGTTTGACTACTCGTTTGAGTGAATTTCAAAGCAATGGTTTGAGAGTTCAACCAAAGTAAGGAACAATCCTTAAAAAATATATCATTTCTTAAACACGCACATGTATCCCTGTCCACACAATTTCCAAACGTTGAACAAGTATGTGAGACATCATCTGCTCTATATCCAAAGCAAATTGGAATGTCACACCTATCTCCAGTGTATCCCTCATGGCAAGTACAATTATTGAACGAAGTGCATGTTCCATGTGAAGAGCATACAAATGTTAAATTATCACCCCTAACTCCATAACAAATAGAAGTTTGACATTCATTTCCAGTATATCCCTCATAGCAAGTACAATTATTGTGCGAGCTACATGTTCCATGAGAAGAGCAAACAGTCGTATTATCTCCATTAGTACCATAACAGATTGGAGTGTCACAGTTATTTCCAGTATATCCCTCATGGCATGTACAATTGTTAAAGCTTGAACATACACCATGAGAGGAGCATACGGTTAAATTATCATCCCTAACTCCATAACAAATAGAAGTTTGACATTCATTTCCAGTATATCCCTCCACACAAGAGCAGTTATTGAAACTGGTGCATATTCCCTTTGAAGAGCATACGGTCGAATTATCTGCTCTATATCCAAAGCAAATTGGAATATTACATTCATTTCCAGTATATCCCTCATGACAGGTACAATTATTGAACGAAGTGCATGTTCCATGTGAAGAGCAAACAGTTGCATTATCTCCTCGAATTCCATCACAAGTAGGAATTTCACACGCCTTGCCAACATATCCTTCCTGACATGAGCACACATCCAGATTTGAGCAATTTCCATGTGAGTGGCAAACACGGCTGTCATTGTACTTGATTCCAAAACACTCAAAATCAGCACAAGAATGGTTCGATGCCACATATACGAAACCGTCATCACATGTGGGTGTTAACAAACGAATTCTTCGATTAAAAAAATCTGTAAAATAGAGATGACCAGTTGGCATTCGAACAATCGATGAGGGTCTAAAAATTGCAGCGTTGGTTGCCAGACCTCCATCGCCACTAAATGCTTCTGTTCCATTCCCTGCAATGGTTGTAATATTTCCAGTGGAGGCATTAATATATCGAATTCGACAATTTGCATAATCTGCAATGTACACATCTCCATTTTCTGCAACAGTAAATCCAAATGGGTTGAACAATTTAGCACTTGTAGCTGGAATGTCATCTCCATTGTATCCATACGACGAGTAAATTCCTGCAATTTTTGAAATAATTCCAGTCCTTGCATCTATTCTTCTTAGAACATGATCACCCTTGTCTAATATGAATACATCTCCATTCATGGTCTGATGAACTGCACATGGACTGAACAAGTGTGCTTGAACTGCCAAACTTCCATCACCTATGAATTTCACAAAATTTAAAAAATGTTCACATGGAAATCATGTCAAGGCCATTAGAGTGATCCAGAAAACTAAATTCAACTCTTGACAATACTTACCTGCATTTCCTTTTCCTGCAATGGTAGTGATGGTTCCATTGGAGAAGACTTTTCGAACCAAGCCATCCAATCCATAGGATTCAGTGATGAACATTTCATTGGTGGTATGATTCATGTAAATTCCCATGGGTCGCCAGAGGGATGCATTTAAGGCATGTCCTCCGTCTCCACTGGATGAGTCTGCACCGGTGCCTACATGATTCATTGAAATGAGATTTTCATGTCATGAATAGGGTTATACCAATTTTGGAATTGTCCATAATCATTTGAATATTCAATCTTTTTATCGGATCATGTTGTTGATGAATATACTCACCTGCAAATGTCGTGACCAATCCTGTTTCATTCGATACTTTTCTGATTTTGTCTGTGAACGTATCTGCAAAGTAGACATCCTGTGTGAATGGATGTACATAAACACCTGCAGCGAATTGAATATGTGCATTTACTGCAGGAATATTATCAACATACGCGGTGGATTTGGGTGCTGTTGAATTACCAGCAATGGTACTAAGTTTGCCAGTTTTTGAAATTTTCATGATTCGTTTGTTGGGGCTGTCAGAATAATAAATTTCAAGGTTGGAAGTGACATGCAATGCAAACGGAAACATTCCACATTCCAAAGCATTGACACAACCTTCTTGATACACTTGATTGCCATTTCCTGCCACTGTTGTGATGATATATTTTACAGAAGGTGCTGAATGTATCCAACTGTTGGGTGAATGAGTGAGTAATAATAGGAGAAGAAGAAATGACACAAGAATGAATTTGTGCCAATCCAAAGAACCAAGCGTTGTGTGTGAAGAGCCCAACATTTTTTGTTTTCATAACAAACACCTGCTTGCAAAGGTGACATGACGCTTGGCAGTTCGGTTGCCAAATGAGGAGCACCGGTTGTGAAAAATACCCTCGTGCCTTCACTGTCATTCGAGAAAATTCAGAATACTCGCTACTAATTTGTCACAGAATGACTCTTCTCACTGCTTGCTTCTGGTATCACTGATGTTGTCGTTTCATTGCTGTCGCCCACTCGTGCATGAGAGGACGCTATTTCTCCTAAAATAGCCATACAGGTTGCTGTGACCACTGACGCCAAAGATCCCACCTCCAACACGGCCAGAATGGTTTCATTATCGAGTACAGAATGATTCAAAACCGAGTTTGGTAATTGTTGAAGAGTTTCAAAAAGTCCAAGTTGCACCTCGTTGCCATCATCATGATGATTCATGGATTCATCCTCTCGGAAGGCAGCAACATAGAACATTCCACAATTTAAGAGAGCATCCAAACCATTCAATGCACTTGCAATGAAAAAGTACTTGTAAGCCTCAAGTTTCGTTAGTTTTTTCATACTTGCAGTACTACTCATAGGTTCCGAGTTTAAAACGCGTTCATGGATGGGTGGATCATGAAACGTTTCACTCCATTCTTGTTCCTTCCGAGCCCTTAAATAATCATTTCTGCAGCTGTAGGCTGCTAATATTCCTCCCAGTAACGGAATGCTTAAAACAGCACCACGTCCCACACGTTGCAATATCCGAACTGCAGTCTTCTCAATCACTCGCTCCAGCATTAATACGGAGGACTTGGAAACCAATTTTTTGGAAAGAACCTTTTTGGCGAGTGATTTTTCAATTCTGCATGCAAGTTTGTTGACAAGTTGCAATCCAATGTATTCAGAGATGGAGTGTATGATCTTATGACTGATGGATGAGCTGTGGTGATGCACGTGGTCGTTGGCTTGTTGCAAAATGTTGTGTTGTTGTCGTTCCCAGGTTGCATTGTTCATTATGGTTGATCGATCTTTCCGTAAACTAGAAGGATTGATACAAAGCGAGCAATTTGATGAGAATTGTTGTCGTTGGACATGGAGTTGAAATTTAATATTACTGTTGGATTTCAAAACGCAATGTCCTATCCGTGGATGGTTGCTTATTCTATGGTTGAACATTTTTTAAACTTGCATTTTGGTCACATATTTACAATTTATTTCTTGGCTGGAGCAGCTGGTTTAGCAGTTGGGACGTCACCGAGTGGTGATCGAAGCTTTTCTATTGTGAAATCAGTAGTTGCAATTTTACCAGTGTACTTTTCAGGGATTCCAGTCTCCAACAATTCATGTAGCTTCTTTTTCCTTAATAACTCAACCTTCTTTCGTTCCAGCTCCATTTTTCGTTTCAATAATTCTCCTTCCTCCAAATATTCTCTGCGCTGTCGTTCCTTAGACTCCTTAATGCTTTCAATTTGATGCAACACCTGTTGTTGAGTTTCCTTCTTTCGTTTCTTCTCCTCTTCGCTCTTTAGCTTTTCAAGTTCTTCCACTTTCTTCTGATGTTCTACTACACTATTAAAACCATCTCTGTCCTCTCTGGCTAGCTCAGCAATCTTTAGCTCTTTTTCGTACTTTTGCTTTTGTCTTGCTTGATGCAGCTCTTGATTCATTTTGACTCTTTTTTCCTCATTTTCTCTTTCCTTTCTTCGGTATTCTCTTTCGAGAGCTTCTTGAGCTCTTTTTGCTCGTAATGCATCAATTTCTGATTGTTTGTCTTGAGCTTTTTCTTGCATAGCTCGTAATCGAGCAACTTCTCGTTCTTTTTCTGCTTTCAATTGTTCTTGTTGTCTTGCAAATTCTTGTTCTTTTCTCTCTTTTTCTGCTAAATACTCAGCAATTTGTCTATCTTCTTCCATCTCTGCAAGTTTAAGACGTCTCTTGAGTTGAATCTGCTCAGCGTTTGCAAGGGCAATCTCTTCCATAAGTTGCTTCTCTTGTTTTCGCTTTTCTTCTGCTTCTTTTACATCTTCAGCCTTCATGTTTTGCATGTGAGATAACATTGCTTCTTGTTCCTGTCTCTTCAATTCAAGTTCTCTTAATCGTTCTTTTTCTCGCTCCTTCATTTGTTCTTTAATTATAAGAGCCCCATTCCTTCTGTCTTCTTGTCTTTTCTTTTCTCGTTGTTCATACATTTTAATTGCCTTCAGTCTTTCCAATTCCATAGCTTCATCTTGCAACCTTTCTGCCTCTTGCTTCTCTTTTAAAATTCTTTGCTTCTCTTCGAGCTGTTTGTCCCTAATTGTGACACATTGGGAATAAAGAGCCATGCTGTTCATTCGCTTCACCTCATCCAAATTTTCATCCATTTGAGAAACAGCTTTTTCTAGCATCATTAATTGCTTCTCCTGGTTTTCAATGTCTAGATCTGACATTTTTCGTTCTCCCTTGAGTATCTTTTCCTTATCCAATTGTTTCATTCTCTCTTTTCTTTCTTTTGCTTCTTGAGACTCTTCTCGCTGCTTTCGTTCCAACTCTCTTTGTTTTTCAATCGGGACCGACTTCTCTTTGAGACTTGCAAATTCAGCTGTGGTAATAACGACTGTATCTCCTTTTCTTTTTACTTTATCACCGATACCAGCATTGTTGGAGGAACTCTTTTTAGACGAGTTTCCAAACAATGTTTCATCCACTACTGGCTTATCGGAGATCTTTCGATACGTTGATTTCGAGCTCTTATGTGAGCCTGCGCTTGATGTTGATGATGGCTATTCATATAGTGCCCAAGATATCAGTATGCAAATTTCCGTGAGATACATCAACCTCATTGACGTTCAGCCTCACTTACCATTATTTTTTCAAGTGGTTGTTCGTTATATTTACAAATTAAATTTGGCGGGTGAATAGCGAGGTCCGTTTTATTGATCCTCGTCATCATCATTCATGGACGACTCTGCGGGTGTGGCTTCTTCTGAGAGATTTTCAGGAATGAAGAGAGAGTAGCCGTCAAGACTTGTTGAAAGGAGCATGTTCTTGATTCGAGGATGCCAGTGTACTTCCTTCACTTCTTTCTGTCCTAAATGTTCAAAGAGTAATTGAGGAGGATATTCCTCTCCAATTTCTTTTTCAATTTGTTCTTGTTCTGCGTCTCTTTCTAAACTGAGATCCCAAATGGTGACTTGCTTGGAATCTGAGGCTGCAAGGATGGTGGAGTCATGTGGATTCCATTCGATTGAGGAAATTGAAGTTTGATGATAGGAGAATTGACCCACTGGTTTCAGGGCTGTTTCTTGATCTGAGCATTGACGCATGTCCCATATACGAATTTGACCATTGTCATCACCACTTGCAATGAGATAGGTTGTGAGTGGATTCCATGAAATAACATTTACATCAGCGTCTTCACTTGCTTGGAATGAAAGGCCATGTTTTCTGTTCTTTCTTCGAGTATCCCAGAATTTGATGGTTCGATCACATGAGCATGATGCAAAAACAGTATCTTCGTTTGGAGAAAATTGAATATCTTCTACACTTGAAGTGTGCCCAGTAAATGGTTTGTTATAAATTCTCTTCCATGAATAAATACCACTTCCTTCAATGTCCATAACGTTAATTTCACCATTGCAATCACCAGTGGCAATTCTTCCTTCCACACATTTGGACCAATCCATAGCAAAACCTTCTGTTCGATGGAAATCAAAAGTTTGAATTGGCTTCTTGCTCTTACCGAGAGATTTCAAAGAATTGGCCATATTCTCTTGTCGTAATACGGACGACATTTGTGTTAAATCGTAAATGTGAACTTTTGCGTCCTCACACCAAAATCCTACAATATTTCTGTTTTGAGGCATTGCTCTAACTCGATTCACATTTGCAGAAATTGGTATCATTTGATATTCAAGAGATGGTTCATCGTCCATTGTTTCTTCATCGTCATCTTCCTCAACGTCGCTTTCATCAGAGTCGTATCTGGTTTTGTACATGTCATACGCCTTAATTAAATAACAATTCTTTTCAGTAATTGAGTTATCAGTTTGAACACCTGCAACAAAGTAACATGAAAGTGGATAATTGGTGTTATCAAGTGGTTGGCACAAAATGTCAAAACTCAAAGCTGGCCATTCGTTTCGAATTCTATAGTGAACCTCATAGGCTCTATTTTGAAAAGTCATTTCATATTCTCTGGTGTCAAAATCTTCACCAGGTTTATAAACTTCAGCTTTCGAGTTAATTCCTAATCTTTCTTTTTCAGCTTCTTCCTCGTCCTCTATCAACTTGTTTTCTCTTCTTTGGGCTTTCAAATTTAATTCCTCCATTTTTTGACGAAGAGCTTCCTCTCCTTCCACCTCAACTTCATCCTCCTCTTCATCATCGTAGACAACATCTTCATCTTCGTATTCATCTTCGTATGGATCTCTAAAATGGTCATGAAATAATATTTAGTTCCGATAGTGATTTTTCACAATATATCAACGATACAATATAGCCATCATTATGTGCCATTATCGTTAGAGCATAAAATGTAAAGTGCAATAATCAAAATATTGAACAATTTCGACGAAAGAAATCCGAACAAGTCAGTCCCTTCTTTCAAAAACCATTGACAGAACCACCACTTACGCTTCATAATATTCATCTTCATTATGATCAGACATCTCTTCATCGGATGAATCCAAGTGTTTCACCTCTCTTGATTCATTCTTTCCTAGCACGGACGACAAGACTTTTGATTTCTTCTTTGCTCCAGGCATTTTTTTGTTCAACAAAAATTTTTAATTCAAAATTTCTTCACCACACCATACTTCAAAAAAATGGTCGCTACATCATCCTCTTCGTCCAACAACACGGAAAAGAAGCCTGTCTCAATTACGGCTAACAAATTAAAACAAAAGATGAAGAATTGAAAAAAGCATCTTCGGGAACAGCATCAACAACAATTGGTAGCTCAGAGGAGGCTCCGAAATTCCACAACAAGCAAAGAACATTGATTTTGGCTTCCCGAGGAATTCATGCAAAACACAGACACTTGATGAAGGATTTACGTAATTTATTACCTCATACCAAAACTGAAAGCAAATTTTCAAAAGAAGGATTAACTGAAGGAGATTTAGTTAAAAAACTTCATAGACTTCAAAAGATTGACCATATTGCGGCTGCTTTGAAATGCCCAAATATTATGTATTTTGAAGTAGATAAGGAATCAGCAGATACTGAACTATTTTTATGGATTTCAAAGACATCCATTGGTCCCTCAATGAGATTCAAAGTTGAAAACATTAGTACCATGAATGAATTGAATCTCATCGGAAATTGTTTGAAATATTCACGACCTCTTCTTCATTTTGATAAGTCATTCGATGGAGATGAGTCAGAATCAACAACCAGTCACCTTCCTCTTATCAAAGAAATGTTGACACAAATGTTTGCCACTCCAAACAATCATCCAAAATCTAAACCATTCTTCGATCACATTTTTGCATTTTACTATTTGGATGGAAGAGTTTGGTTTAGAAATTACCAAATTGTCACCAAAACCTCAAGCAACGGTATTGCATTAACTGGTTCTCAAAAACATGAATACTCACTTGTCGAAATTGGCCCAAGATTTGTCCTTAAACTGACCAAAATTCTCAATGGCTCCTTTGATGGCCGTGTCATTTACAACAATGACCCTGATTTTGTATCTAAGGCCTATGTTCAAAGGATGGAGAGCATAAATCTTGATCTTCAAAAGCAAAGGAAGATTGAAAAGCATCAGAGATATGTTGAGCTCAGAAAACCTCAAGATGCTGACGAAGTGAGCTCTGTTTTTAATTAAACTTGCGTTTTGAACGATTTTATACTGTCACTTCTTTTAAAAAGATTAGCTTGGTCCCACCTACAACAATTCTACTTGAAACAAAGCTCAAAATCTTACAAAGTGAGCTCATTCAATAGCGATTCCTCTCCATACTTGGTGGTTTGTTGTTGCTTCGTTGATCAAGAGGTCGGAGTCACATATTTCGAATCAACAAAAAACACCCTAAAAATAATTCCGTGCCACCATCAACAACCTTATCAACTGCATCACACACCATCAACAACAAACTCGTATTCAAGTGCGATCACACAACAACTGCATCACTAACACGTATATTGCTTCTTGTATGAGCAAATTTTAAAGAAACTCATACCCTAATTTTGTAGATTTCATTGAAATACAAAGACACTGCAAGACAATTTTGAGAGAGCCTTCTTGCGGTTGATTTTAATCAAAACGAGTTTTATTTATTCTTTCAAACAATCCATACCAGATCCATCAACAACAACAGCATGGGAGGCGGAGAAGTTTATGAGATTCACGCCATGACTTCCTCAGCAACAACCTCGGAGGGCATGACTTCTTCTTTCATTCCAATTCATCAAGACACACAACTTGTCAAATCTTCTCTCACAGTTGTACCATCGTCTTCTTCTTCATCACCACTACCACCACCAAATAACAACAACATGATTCGTGAGTATCCTCAACAAGATATTTACAGCAGCACACCACCACCACCACATTCGAATGGGATTTTTCCACCTCCTCCATCTTACTTATTCAATAGCCCACCACAAAAACGTGAAAGCCCACAAGAAGAAGAAGACTCCTCTATTCTTCAGCACCATCATCAACAGGTGAATGAAATTTCACTCTCGGACTCCAACTCCCCATCCTCATCGTCCTTTCTCTCATCGGTAGAGGTTTTTTGCAGCACTACTCCACCGAACGCTTCCCCCATTCACTCAATCACCACCAACGGTGCATCACCACAAAAGAAAAAGCCTTTACCGACAACAATAGGGATGATAAGAAAACCGTTGCCACCACGACCCACACAAACAACAACGGAAGTTGGCATCGTGTTTTCGCATCCATCAACGTTGAATAATAGTAGTGATGATTCTCATGGACTAGTTTATGTAAATAGCCCACCAAAAGTGTCATATCTTGATTATTCCGACACAAACTCTGTATATTCCCAAAATTCTACAACAATACCCAGTACCGCAAGTTATAATTATGAGCTTGCAAATATTAATCCCGAACCAATTTCACATATTTTCACCTCTGTTGATGGTAGTATGCATAGAAGCACATCGCTAGCCGGAATTCTGACGAACAGAAAACAAAATAATCCAAATTCATTAACCACGACACAGGAAGACATTCCTCGATCACATAGCCATGATAAACTCAGGTCGGACGACTCGGCAAAAAAACAACAGATTAATGCAAGCAACAACAACAATCGAAAAAACAAAAAAATATTTTACAACACGGAATTTTTGGAACGATGCGGATTCAGTAACAACTCGATCGAACAGCAACAGCTTAAACAGTTAAAGCAAGATGAAATACAAGAGGAACAAATACGACAAATGCACAATGAGCAAGAACGAAAACTCAAACAAACTGAAATGGAAGAGCTAGCTCTTGTCAACAGGACTCTGCAGCAGGAGTTCAGTTTTTCTGAATATCTAACTTCACAACCAAAATATTCGTGGGGTGACTTTTTTACTCACAACAAGAATGCATTTAGTTTGATACGGGCAATGGCTTCTCAGTGGTCATGGGGAGAAATGACTCTTGGTCTTGAATATTTTGCAAGAAGTCGAGCTAAAACGAAACGTGACTTTTCAAGTTTTATGTTAGAAGCTCAATTAGAGAAAATTCCTACATCAGAAATAGAAATTTGGAGACATTATGCCAGGCTGACGTATCAAGTATTTAGAGACTCAATTGAAGATATACCCAGAAACACTAGATTGGAGCTTCACAAGATTATTGCCTATGATAGGACACAGCAAGCCATGAGGCCTGGCTATTTTCTGTGTGTAGACGATTTCACCAAATCTATTCTTGTAATTTTCCGAGGAACCAAATCCTTCAGCGATATCTTGACAGACCTTCATTGCTCCTCCATTAAGTATAAATATGGTTACTGTCACAAAGGAATTCTCACAGCAGCAAAATATTTTGATTCCAACAAATTCATCAAGGAGGTAGTCAGACGAACATTAGATCATCATCCTGGATACAAATTGCGATTGTTAGGACATAGCTTGGGAGGAGGTACAGCTGCCATTCTGGCTACCATGTGGAAGAAAGAGTTTCCTGATATTCATTGTTATGCATTTGCATGCCCTCCTGTACTCTCACAAATACTTTCTGATGAATGTGCTGAATATGTTACGAGCTTTATCAATGGAGACGATTTTGTGACTCGGCTATCAATGACTGCCGTACACGAGCTGCGAAAAGAAGTTCAAAACTATCCTTGGAAGGAGGAAATGATGCGAGATATTCAAAACTCAATGATTGGGAAATTTGCTGCAGGCGTAAAGAATTATGCTTCTGGGCTTTTTAGCGGCTTATTCGGCTCAAAGAAACAAGAACAAGAGCAAATAGAGCAAGCAATTTTGGAATCTAAAAAGGAAGCTCAAGAGGAAAAATATTTGAACGAAAAAGAGGCACAAGAAGTGAAAAAGGCATTGGAAGAATCAAAGAAAATCTATTTATCGCAATCCAGAGACGAATTATCGACATCATCTTCGTCACAAGAACTGGCGGATAGTAATATAGGAGTCACAAACGAAGACACACAAAGCTCAGCATCTGAAGAGCCACTTTCTGCAGTTTCTTCTCAGTCGAGTCTGACTGATGAAAGTTTTACAAAAAAACGAACGCCCAAAAAGAAGAAGAAAATCCAACCTCCAGATTCTCCTCTGATCATTAATGATTATGAAAATCTTGTGGTGACCTTGTTCCCTGCTGGAAAAGTTTATCAAATAAGAAATATTAACGGAAAAGTATATATTAAGAGAGCCAAACAAGAGGAAATATCCACCATCATTTTAAGTGACAGTTACAAGGAGGATCACAGGATGATCAACTATTTAATCAACTTGGATGCGTTTAACATTACCACAGAAAGCACTGTAATATAATGTACATAGAAATTTTGGAAAGAATAAAACCATTAGAGAAATAAGAAGAGATTTGAGGAACGTCAATTCATCATGATTTTGTTCTTTGGAAATAATTGCTAAATTATCATTTTGCTGTTTCAGCTGTAGTAGTAGAATTATTTTTGATGTATGAGTCGTCAGACACAGCGAAGATTAAATTGTGGATTGGTTTTGAAAGTAACAAGAATCATGTTAGAAAAAGATCTCCACATTTATTAAGCAAAATGGCGAACATAGTCCATTGGTGGGATCCTGTTGCTGTAGCTCCCTTAACATGACCGTGTTAAATCAGTGCCAGTCAGGAAGCATTGGTCGCCGCCTGTGACTCGTTTCACAAAGGGCGTGGCAGACGTTCGACTATGTTTAAGTAATAATCATTTTCGCTGCACCTTTCTTTTTTTACAACAACTATCGAGGCGACAATTTGGAGTACCAGAGAGCAAGTGAACGGAGACTATTTATTGCAAACTAATACATGAACCTTTCTAAGTGGTTTTGAAACCTCAACGAGAACTTTCTGAGTATTCAAATTCCAAACAGTGACTTCAACGAGAATATCAGTTCGTGAGTTTCTTAAACATGTTGCTGCTTGAAGGTTGTTTCATTAAGCGAAGCAAAGAACCTCACACTCTGTTGCTGTGTTACCGTCATAATTTTGTATAGTATCTTTCAAAAGGAAAATTTAATTACACCTTGAAGAATATTTACACAAAATTGGTGCTTTTAAAAGCTTAATCAGCCAAATCCTCAAACATCTACCTTCTTTTCTCATAAGATCAATAAATGCATCTCCAGCCTCTGCAGGAGCATTATCAATATGTGTGACCACCTTTTTCAAAGCATCATAGCACTTTGTTCCAAAACCTGCTACACCTCCACACATGTACATGTGACCCTTGTTTGTCTTCAAAATATCATAGATTAATTGTGAGTGCTCCCAAATTGAATCTGAAATCATCTTTCCATGAGTGTGTGAGAAGGAAACATAAAAGTCAGAAATTAATCCATCCTTGAGAGCCATTTCAATTTCGTCCTTATAGATAATTTCTGTTTCATCTCTAACACCATACAAGAGCACAGAAGGTCCAAACTTGATGGATGGATTCTTTTGTTTCAAAACACGTCGCTCATCAATGAAACTAAATGGACCACAGTTAATAATCACAACATTCAAACAACAAGTACTTACGCCCTCATTGGTGCAATTCCAGTACCTCCTGCCAACATGAGAATAGGTGTCATTGGGTTTTGAGGTAATCTAAAGCTTGAAGTTCTTACTACAGATTGACAATAGTCGTGGGATTTTAAGGTTCCCAAATAGTTGGAACATAAACCATAAAATGTTCTACCGTCAGGTTGTGGCCAAACCAAAGGACTGAATGTTACTCGAAGAATCTGCTTTTCACCTCTCTTGATCCTCTCCTCGTTTTCCAAACGAGATGATGAAATGGAATAATATCTAGGTTGAATTTTTGGTAAAACACCAATTAGATCCTGCCATGTTACTCTAATTGAAGGAAACATTTCAAGAATATCTACAATGTTCAACATTCGGTTCTTAACTCCTGACAGATACTCTACGGAACGAAGTTGCTCAAGTTTAGCTTTCTCGCTTTCTTCAGTTGCTTTTTCAGCTAAAAAGGTTAACAAGGTAGGTGTGACAACACCATTCAAATCATAGAATTGTGACAAAACTTGATGTAGTGATACAGGTTTTTCAGGAGTAGCAACAAAAGGTGGACTTTCAATGCTACATGGTGGTGTTTGAAGAGTGAAAATGATTCTGTCCATTGGTGTGTCAAGCTTCAAAATCTTTTCCAAACGACGAAGCAGATCAGGTGAGTTCATTGGAAACAAGGCAATGTGATCTCCAGTCTCATAGTTGATTGGAGTATTGTCAATGGCAAACTCTAATTCTAATCTCTTTCTACTTGATCTAGGACACAAATTTTTAGCCGAGTCAATCAAAAGGCTATAAGGATTTTTTGGTGATACTGACTGTGAGCTATCGTACTCACGAATGAATTGCCTTAATTTGTCCCGATATTTTTCAAACTCTAGTGTCCGAAAAAAATACTTTCCATTGGAAGTTGTATCAGGAGGGAGACCTTCAGATTCCTTTGGCTTTTCTGGAGGAACGCTGCAAGTTTGAGATGTCGATGTGCCATTGTCTTGCTCTTTGAGGAATTGTACAAATTCATTTTTCCACACCTCAAAATCTGTTTCAATTCCTTCAGCACCACCATCGTCGCCTTCTCCTCTCTTGAAAACTAATGAAAGTCCTAGATCATTTAATCGTTTTTCCATCTTTCTACCAACTGCTTGATATCTTTCTGGAAAGTTTGCACTGTTTCCTAATCCAAAAATTGCATAATGAGGTTTTTTACCTGCATTCTGCAGTACTTTGGTTGAACTGTCGCTCATCAACCAATCATAAAATTGTTTTGCATTATCTGTTGGTTGACCTTCACCATAGTTGGACATGACAAAAAGGACCACATTGTACAGGCCATTTCCTTCTTGCATTCCAAACTCAACTGCCTTCTCTGGTTCAATGTCGTTCAAGTCTACAACTTTCACATTGGCCAACCATGGTTCCTTCTTTCCTAACAGTTCACTTCTCAAGCCCTCGGCAAACATTTGAGCTGTACCGGTTTGAGATCCGAAACAGATGAGCATGTTGGTTTTATCACTGCATAATCGATTAGAATGGAAGAGACGATTTACGGAGGAGAAGAAAGGATAGTCCAATGTGTTGTTTTTGACCACCGATGATGCTGCTTTACGGCTACTACTACCAACGTTGATACAACGACGAGATAACAAAGATGCTGATGATGAGAGAGTTGATTTGAACATTTTTTTGAGAATTAAAATTGGACATTCGCTTCCAGTAATAATATTACTCATTACCCATTCTACCGCAATAAAAGCAACATCAAATTTTTACTTTTCTTCATTAGGAAATTATTATTGCCTCGTTTCAGCTGAGCGAGAAACAATCACAAAGAATATCCTTTACTATCATGTTGCATCTGATTGAACCAACAATATTCTTCGTGCGTTGAAAAGGTTGAATCACCATTTTTTGACCAAAAGAAAATTTCAGTTGCTTTTATGTTGGTTTCGTTTACAAATTTTCAGGTCCATTTTTAGTAAAATTGTGTCTTCCCGTTAGGACGCTGGGAAGAATCTTACTTGTATGGTGAAATCAAGAAGCGAGACAATGGGTGATGACAAATTCTTCGAGTGTCGTCCTACATACAATTTCAGCGTTTGGGTGTTGTCGTCTCAATATTGAAGCTGGAATTGGTAATAAATTGGTCGACGAAAAGTACCAGACACTCTCAAACAGATTACAAAAAAAAAACCTCGATCAAAGGCTTGTTTTGCAATCAACACACACAACAACCAATTCCCTCTTCCAATACAACAACATCAACTCCAAAACCATGAAGGCCACACAAACTTTAAGAAGAGTTTTGTCTAACTCCAATGCCATGAAGAGTTTGATCAATCAAAAGAATGCTTCTTCCATGATGATCAATCGTGGTGCCAGTGTTTTGAAGATGACCGAATCTTCAACATCATCAAAGGCTAACTTCTCCACAAGAGCCATGTTCCATGCTTCTGCTCAACCTAACGCTACTGAAATGTTCTGTTATCAATGTGAACAAACACAAAATGGTACTGGTTGTACCACTGTTGGTGTGTGCGGTAAGACTCCATCTGTTGCTGCTTTGCAAGACTTGCTCATTTACCAAACTCGTCAACTCTGTGTCTTGGCTCACTTTGCTAGAGCTAACATCAAGGACGTCTCTCAATTCGAAAAGATTGATGATTTTGTATTGAGAGCCATGTATAGTACTTTGACCAATGTCAACTTTGACGAAATGAGATTTGTTGAATTCTTGAAGGAATGCTCTGAATTGACTCAATTCGCCAAGAAGGAATTATTGAAAGGAAAAGTGCCAACTGAATTCAGTGAATTGATGACTGTTACCAGCACTGATGCCGAAATGGATCGTATCTTGTCTTCTGCATCCTCTGTCTCTAGTCCAAGCACTCAACAACTCATTGAAATGGGTAAGACTGTTGGCGTTCAAGCACACCACAAGCACTATGGTGTTGACACCAATGCTATTCGTGAATTGTTGCAATATGGTATTAAGGGATTGTGTGCTTACACTGAGGAAGCTGCTCTCTTGGGTAAGAAAGATATCGCTGTCAACGATTTTATTCGTGAAGCAATGTGCTTCTTGGGAGGTGTTAGTCCAGACGGAAAGCTTGATCCTTCTCAAGTCGGTGACGCTCTCACCCTCGGTTTGAAGTGTGGTGCCATTAACGTTAGAACCATGCAATTGCTCGATGAAGGTGGTAATGAAAAGTTTGGTACTCCTTCACCACACAAGGTTCGTTGCACTCCAGTTCCAGGCAAGTCCATTGTTGTCTCTGGTCACGATATGGGTGATTTGCTTGCCATTTTGAAGCAAACTGAAGGAAAGGGTATCAATGTGTATACTCACGGAGAGTTGTTGCCAGCTCATGGTTATCCAGAATTGAGAAAGTACAAACACTTGGTTGGTAACTATGGTGGTGCTTGGCAAAACCAAAAGATGGAATTCTCGACCTTTAAGGGAGCCATTGTTATGACAACCAACTGTATTATTGAACCTCGTAAGCAATACAAGGACAGAATCTTCACAACCTCTGTGGTCGGATGGCCAGGTGTCACTCACATCAAGAACAGAGACTTTACACCAGTAATTGAAAAGGCATTGGCTGAACCAGGATTCCCAGATGAAGTTGCTAACGAACCAGTTCAATACACAACCACTGGTTTCGGTCACAAGACTGTCTTGGGTATTGCCGACATTGTTATCAACGCTGTTAAGAGAGGTGACATTAAGCGATTCTTCTTGATTGGTGGTTGTGACGGTACTGAAGGTGAAAGAAGCTACTACAAGTCCATTGCTACCTCACTTCCAAAGGATAATGTCATTTTGACTTTGGGATGTGCCAAGTACAGATTCAATAAGATTGATTTTGGTACTATCACTACTAAGGATCCAAAGTCCAACAATGACGTTTCTCTTCCTCGTCTCCTTGACGTTGGTCAATGTAACGATGCTTATAGCGCAGTCGTTATTGCCTCTGCTTTGGCTGAAGCTTTCGGAACTAAGGATTTGAACGATTTACCACTTAACTTTGTCATCTCATGGTTCGAACAAAAGGCTGTTGTTATCTTCTTGACAATGCTTCACTTGGGTTTGAAGAATGTCAGAATTGGTCCAAACCTTCCTGCATTCCTCCCTCCTTCTACAATTCAAATGCTTGTTGAAACATTCAAGCTGCATCCAATCATGTCTAAGGATCCACTCACTGATTTGGAACTCATGCAAAAGGGTCAATAAACAATTTCTGTTCTAAGTTATAATTAAAATTTTACCTGAAATTGAGTCGCGTTGAGCAAAATCTATCTTCATCATGAACTGGTCATGCAAGTCACGAGGAGTTAGGGTTGTAAGGTAAAAAGATTTAAGAGACCAATTTCACATTAACAATTTAGGTGGACCATGGCTCAGTAAATCCTGTTGCTGGAAGTTTCCAGGCTCCATAAATTGGAAGGCTTTATTGGGATCTCTTGTTCTTCACCTCTTGAGCCAATCTCTTCATTTCGTTCAGCTGTTTGGCGCATGACTTGATAATACTGTCTTGTCTGTCCATAACTGCAGCAATAGATAAATCACGAGTGTCATGAATGAACGGGTTGAATGAAGAGAGGAAAGGAGCAGTATTGTGAAATGAAGTACCACCACTATTGCTTGTAAAGTCCACAACTGTTGTATCTGAATTTGTCGTTGTGGATGATGTTGTAGCTGGTTGTTGTTGAATTGGATGTTCATCAAATGTCAATAATTCTGTCTCATTGTTATTGTTAGTATCGTTTGATGAATCTCCATTGGCCATCATCAAATTGTCAATGACATCAAATTCCTCATCCTCAATGTTGTTGTCTCCTTCCAACTTTCTCTTGCTCACCATTAGTTCGTACTCTCCCAACAACTTGCTGTAAATGCCTCCAACAACCATTGAGGGTAAGGCAACAATAATTACACCTGACAAAATTGTGAAAATGGCAATAATTCTTCCAAGTGGCGTAATTGGAGCCATGTCACCATATCCTACTGTGGCAATTGTAACAATACTGTACCACATACAAACGAGAATATTAGAAAAGGGTGACGATGTTCCATCTGGTCGAAGCCATTGTCCAGATTTGAGATCATATTTTCCACGTTCTGCATAATATACCAATGTGCTACATATCAAAGCACCCATAAAGACAAGAACAGCAAGAGATAGTAGCATATCCAATGATCTTCTCAAAGAAACAATCAGTAACTGGAATTTTGCTGAATATCTTGTCAATTTGATTAACCTCAATAATTTCAATACTCTAAATACAGTCAATACTTGTAAATTGATATTAACCCATGAGCTACTGTCACTCAAATAAATTATTAAATCAAAATAGAATGGTACAAAACTGGCAGCGTCAATTAAATTAGCTGGTGCTTTAACGAAATGTCTAAAATCTCCCCAAGTTCTCACATATGCTGCCATTCTTAAAAAGTATTCAGTCATAAAGCACAAGGATAAAAAACCAGTAATTGAGAGCCACATGACTTCAAAAGGAAAGAAAAATGGAAATGATCTCAGCACCAAACATAAAGTTTGAATAACCGTTAGTAAGGACGTTATAATGGTAACGATCATGGCAACATACGACGATCGTGGATGCTCCAGTATAAGATATAATTTTTGTCTCCATGTTCGCTCCTTCCAATTTTGTGGAATGCTTCTGATGATGTTAATTGTTCTTCTACTTCGGAATAATCGTGAGTTTTCAATGACTTCCAATGCTTTTTTCTTTTCTGCTTCTTCCTGTTTGAATTTTAACTTCGTATTTCTCAATTCAGCTTTTGATGCTTCTTTTGCCGATGTTGGTTGTTGATCCTTGTTCGAGGATGCTGCCTGTGATGATGTTGTAGAGGCAGTCGGAGAAGGAGGTGCTCGTTCACTCATTTTTGTTCGTGTTGATGCAATCGGAGTGTTCACGGCCTGTTGCGACAACGATGACACCCATTCAACAATTCTCGGAAAAGAAAAACAATGAATTGATAATTTATGAAAGGTTTTTTAATTATTGTTGTTTTATGGGAGCAATTTACTTCTTTGACTTCTTTTGTTGGATCTTCTTCAAGTAGAAGGCCAATTCAGCACCTTCCAAAAGGTGTCCGTCAGCACGACCAACTTGACCTGGTCTAGATCTGATACGGGCCAACAATCTACCAGTGGACAATTGTTCTCTGAGGAGTGGATCGACTTCTGGAGCCTTCTTTCTGTTTTCCAAAACCTTAGCCTTGGCCTTCTCATCCATCTTTTCCAACAAGTCTTCCTTCTTCTTACCGAGGGAAATACCGTATGTCTTTTCATAGAATTGCTTGAATGGAGAAGCATCAACCAAAACAATAGCACCCTTGACAATAGCCTTGGTTCTGACCAATTCGTTGTTGGTGGCGTTGTAAACAACGTCCATGATTCTGGTTGGTGTTGACATAGCTTCACTTCCCCAAGCAAAGTTACCACTGTTCAATCTGAGAGCTCTAACCTTGTAGTTACCACCTCTGACTCTCACCATGGTAATCTTAGTCTTGCCCATCTTGGTGTTGGCAGAAGCTCTACCCATTTCGAACTTTCTCTTCTTTCTGTGGATCTTTCTCTTACCACCGGTTACACGCTTCTTGTGCAAATTGCTCTTTGTGATACCCACTATTGAAGTTTAGAAGTAATAGTCATGATGATAGGTGTAGTTTAATTAGACAAGGCAGCAAGTTTAATACGGCGTTGTGCAAAGAATGAGCATACGTACTTGTTTAATTTTGGCGTATTTTTTTTCAACAAATTTTTTAAAAATTTTTGGTCAACCACTTTTACAACGAAAGCTGGCCGTATTAAAGCAAAGGCTCATGTGCACAAAACAACTCACAATCCTTTCGTCTGTACCAATTACTGCATCGCTAATTAGACTGTATGTACAATAATATGTGAATAGCCAGTATCAAAAATCGAGCCACACCTGTTCTTTATCTGTTTTTCATTACACACAACAAAAAATGTCGACCACAAACAAAACCACTTTTGACTCACCCACACCCTATTATAAAGCTCTCTTTCATACTTTCAAATTTCCTTTCGCTACAACAAATGGTGTATTCATTGGAAAAAAGGATTCCGATGATCACGTAATTATTACAGATTGTGTTCCTTTGTGCCACTCCGTTTCTTCGATATGTACACTTCCATTGCTTGAAATGGCTTTGATTCAAATCGATGCCATCATAGGAGAGGATCAATCAATAGTTGGATATTATTTTGCACAAGATGTCGTTCCCGATACCTCTTCTGTTGAAATACCCTCAATTCATCTTTCCGTCTTTTCGAAAATTTGTGAAAATTTCTCAGGTGCTTTACTTTGGATGGTATGTATGACAACAATATTTGATTTTATTCAGCAACATGTGTGGATGTTATGTTTTACATTATTTCTTTCATGTGCTGTTGCATTTATGAAACACCCCACAACACTCCTTCGATTTTCTCACAATTCTTGACAACTTTATTCCTCAAAATGAATCAAACAGCTTGACAGCAGAAAACTTTCAGAACTCTCCAACACATTTGTTTTCAAGACATTCTACCTAAAATCACCAGGTAAGGTGGCACCAGAATCTCAAAAAGGTGACAACAAGGGTTTATCACAACCAGACTTGGAAAAACTGGCCACATATTTTGAGAACAGAACTTTTGATTCAATTGTTGACTTTGAGATGCATGCTGATAATTTATCCTTGGATTTTATGAATAAATCATTGTAAGCTTGATAATTTCATTTATTTAGACTAGTTGATAGTGCCAATTCTTGTTAAGCACAAAAAACTCCCTGTGCTGCTATTACGATATGGAATAATGAGCTATGTTTGAGTACATTGATATTGGAAGGAAGGGACAGTAAATAGCGATAACACTAAATTTGTGATGATGTTGTCGACTTTGGAATACTATTAAAAATTTGAAAATAGAAATAAATGTGTAGGAATTATATATTATCTCAAAGTCATCAATTACTATTGTTTTTGAAGTTAATGCTTTCTAATGAATTTAACTCCACAGTATTTGCAACGCTCGGGAGTCTCAAAATTCACTCTAATATATTCTGTTGGATGTCCCATTCCGTTTGAGTGGAAGCCATTACACACAGCTGTTTGTCCTTCAACTTCAATAGGAGGAAGAGCTTCTAAATCCAAAAATTCAGCAGATGGATCTGTGAAGTCTTCAATCATCTTCCAATGTTGCTTTGCAGCATCTTCTAGTTTATAATTTTCTTCTTCAGCAGTTTTTTGAATGTAGAGAGTATTGCCGTGGCCTCCGCTATTACGAATCATGGAGGATGAAAAAGTAGCACGCAATGATGCCGATGATGAAGCAATAAATAAATTATTGTTGTTGCCGTGCTTGATGAGGGCCAAAGTAACACGCGATGATCTTGAGAGAGAAATCATTTTTTTGAAAAAACGAACTTTTTAGCTGGATAGAGAAGAATAAATTTAATGGTTTAATTAGAAAATAATATTATTGCTTGATCAAAGATTTTAAACAACTTTACAACGGTGTTGACACAGGTTAGATGCCTTGAACCATTGGCAAGAGCGTTATTTTAAAAGCCCATGTCATCTTTTCCCTCTCTTAACGTTGCTGCTGCAGCCATTCATGGCCTCATCTCTCCTTTTGGATATTTACAGTGCTCAGTCAGTTCAACAATATTCGTTTCCCACTCCTCAAACAGTGACCATTAACTAGTCGATTGGATAACGAACATTACCCATGAATCTATTATTATTACTACGAACTTTTCCAATCAATCTAAATTAAAAAATGCTCTCTTCATCAAAGCTCCTTTTCAAACGAACCTTCATTGCTGGTGGACTCAAGTCCACTTGTTTGGTGACCTCATCATCGTCCAGTAAGTATATCAAACTCGCCCGTGAGGCTAACATTCTTTAAACTCTTTACTCCGAACTTTGTTCTTTAATTTCGACTCCACCATCACATGTTTATTCATGAATTGGGATTTATAACACTTTCTACAACAATAGAACTCGCCCGACAAAAGATATTTTCCAACAGCAACATTACAATGCATCACAATGCTGCAAGCAATAACTCGCAAATTAGAGAGAGGCAAAAACTTCTCTTCATTGAACATCCAAATCATCCAGATAGAGTCTTTTTGATACCAACAATTAATAATGGAAACCCTCTTTCAATGAATTTACTCATGACTGATATTCAGGAGTCTCTTGCTGACCATGAAGTATTTTCAGGACATCAAGAAAAGAAGGTAGTGGATCATGACAACTTGAATTATCCAAAGGATCATCACAAACGAATTGTAGATATTATTTCTCAAAAATCATTCAAGGAAGAATCAAAAGACCCATTGGATGCACTGTTCAAAAGCAATGAGGCTCTTTCAACACTTTGTCCCGTGACTAAAAACAAGCAATTACTTCATCAAGAGAGGATCATACCAAGAAACGACGCAAAATCGATATCTGGGCAGTCAGACAGGACCTCAAAACAACAGCATAACAAGACTTCTTTAAAGTCTTCATCATCATCTTCATCATCCAGTGCTGCAAACGCTGCATCCAATACTAATGTTCCCAACACAGATAGTGGAGATGAAAACAAATAATTCATGGCGAAAACTTGAACACAATTTTGTCATTTATGAAGAGAGCGAGCAACTCTTCCTGGTTATTGTAAATTTATCACTTTCCTGTTGAGGAAAACATGTATTTTTGTTTAGGTGTGAGCTTGTACAGTTTGCTCACCACAACACTTATTCTACTAGTACATAATTCATATTAAATAGTTTATTAAAACTTTCTTCATTTCCCCAAACTGCTTTACTTTTCTTTGAAAATCACGTTTCCATCTACAACTTTCCATTCCAATTCCTTTAAGAAATCAACTTCGGTCACTTGATCGAAAGTGAGCTTGTTTCTCAGAGATGTCGAAAGCCAGAAGGGAGTTAAGGTCTCTCGAACATTCTTCCATTGTTTCTCTGCTTGAGAAATATGCTCTTTAGCAGCTTTTTCTCGGATATTTACTTGATTCGCTTCGGGTGATGAAGTCTTTCAACAACAAATTCATGATGAAACAATAATTCATTTTCGTTCATTTATCATCAAACAACATGACGATTTTTCCGTAATACGCATTCACAATCAATACAATAACAACCAATCAAAAAAGATAAATGTGATGATGATTTGAATTATGGTTGCTGAAGCTAGTTCGACGATATCTACGTACCGCTGATGCAAGACTGTACACAAAAACGAGAGGAATTCCCAAAAAAACAATTCCATTCACGGACCGCAATATCTGAAGTTTAGTGAAAGGTCCTTTGAAGAGAGAAGGACGTGCTTCGCCTGCAGAAATAAAATTCTTCAAGTTTTGCATTTTTGTTTGATGAATTTTCTTGGTGCTGCTTTGCAAGCCACAATTCTTCTTCCACGTTATCGAAGATTGAGACTCTCAAACAAGTAAATCAATCTTGATTGTCCCACCAGAACGCTACTACTTGCATCAAGAATTAAAGTGTGGTGTACTCTCAAGAAGTAAACGATTGCATGGTCGTAATTGAAAGGTGCAACCAAACAGATCACACACAAGAGTTTATTACAGGTTGAGTAAATTGTTCAATGAAATTCGTTGTGTTTTGAAACAAATTTCCTTAATGTTCTCATTGCTTTGATTCACAATGATATTTGGCATTTGATAGATTAAATCTATCGATCGTTGGAGAATCTTCTCCTGTTCACATAGTTGTGTCAAGTTGTTGTTGGCTTGACTCGTTGTTTCTACAATGGCTACATCACTATCATTGGAAGGATCTTTCGAGGTATGAATCAAATCTCGAACTTCTTTTAGTTCTTGATTGAGTGCTTCCAATCGACGGTAAGGCCATCTCGAAATACCCATTTCCTTTTTAACTCTTTTGAGTTTTGACTTGGAAATGTTCATTTCTTTCGCTGCCTCTTCTTCCTTAATGGAAAAGTATTTACTAATTTCCATTCTGTCAATGGATCGACAACATCTAGTCTTTCTCTTCTTTGTAATGGATGATTGAGGTCCTGGAATTGCATCCGTGTCACTCATTGAAGAACCACATGAGGTCATGGTCGATGTGGTCATGTTACTATTTCTTGAAAGGTAGAAGACATGGATGAGGATCTTCTATTTCTGTTCATATCGAATTGTTGACTCAACATGGAGGTTTGATGTTGCTGAGAGGATATTCTCACAACTTTGGTACTTGTATATCCTGAAGGACTTGTACTAGACGATGCAGGAGGTAACAGAGGTGATTCCTGTTGCATCATGTGGTAGAGGTGTTTGGACATGGATGGTGAGTGGTGCTGGAAGTTGTTACTACTACACCACCACTCTCACTAGTATTAGTAGTACCATTCTGTATGAGATGTTGTGGTAGTGTTGGTGAAATGTCTTTTAGGAATGGAAGAGCATTCTTTCGAGGCGTTGTATTCATGGTTGTATTGAGTGAGGATGGTGCAGTCGACGTGGTGTTGGTAGTTCCTTTCTGACCCTCGTAGATAGCAATGGGTGAGTGAGTCGTCGTCGTTGTCGTCGTCGTCGTGTTAGGTAACGAGAGTGCTGTGAGTGTGTGTCGTTTCATGGTCGTGTACTGCAGTTGAAAGTTGTTTCGATTATATTCACACACAAGAGTTTTGTTGTTTTCGGTTCGATTTGTTTTTTTTGAGTTTGTTGGATTCAGTTTGAAGTCCACAATGAAGCTTTAAATACCATACATGCTCTCTGATTCATGAATCAAAACACAAGAGATGATTCAAACTCTTCCAACGCCATGCAAAAACGATACAAATACGTAAATTCATAGCAAGAGATTCATGGGAATGGATAATGAACTGCATTAACAATTCAAATATATCCAATGAATACCAAATATAGGACCACGATCATCGGAAAAAGTAGAGCATTGGTCGAAGGGTTATTTGGTGAGATTGGTAGGAGAATGGCTCTTTTAGTCATTGATTTGAGGTTTACGTGTTTTAGAGCTGTAAAAGAGACTTCATTGACTCATGAGCTCTGATTTAGGTCGACGTTTGAACTCATGAGGGTCAACGTTGTATTGAGAGAATTATAAACATTTGTCAACTGCTCATTAGAACAGATTATCGAGAGTCTCAATTTGTTGTAAAAAGTGAATGAATCATGTTCTAAATTCATCCTGCTCCATGATCACCATTCGCATGCATGAAAATACATTGAGAGATAAGGAGCAAATTGAAGGCGCACTTTAACAATGTTTCGATACCCAATATCGTCATCTCGAAAATAAGTGTTGATTTGGAATCGGAAATGCCAAAATGTTGCTGACTTTTGAACCTAATTGACTTGTTTTGGATAGTTGGATCATTTCAAGTCTAACTCTTAGCCAATTCAAAGAGTGAGTTTAGTAATGAGGAATCATGTTAGAGATAAAAGAGTTTAGAGAAAGTATGTGTTTCAATTGTTGATTGGTGATGATGAATAATGAATCTTACAAATGAAAGTTATATGAAATGCATTATACGAAGCTTCGAAATGAGTGACATTGTTTTAAAATGTTGAATGCCAGCAGTAATAGGAATGCAGAAAATGATTTGTAATAGGGTTGAAACAAAAAACTCGTACCGCCTGAATGACATTTCTCAAGATGGTGACTTCTCTTCAAGTGGAGATAACACTGTACTTGCACGTTCGATTGTGTACTGAATTTACAGTAGTAGGTTGTGTATTTTGAACCTTTGCAAAGTACCAGAGTGTGGTTTGTTCTTGAATTATCAATGCAAGGGGTTCCATATACGAGTGTGTTGAGGTGCTCTAAGGCTCCGACTTTGTCAATAAAAAACCACACCGCATCAGTTGTATACTTTTGGGAAATTTCATGAGAGAATGAGTGTCCAACATTAATTACTAGTAGAAATGATGATATCAGAAAGGGTACAACTTGTCCTCAAAGTATTGGTCATGTACTGGTTGATGATCTGTTGTCTATTATTTCTTTCCATAATCTTCTCTACGAGAAATCGTTCTCCAACATGATTGACAGTTCCAAACGAAAAGCTATTGTAATAATATTCAGAGTACCAATCAATGGAGGTTAAATTCCAATTCAATTGCATTGCTCCAAAAACTTGAATCAGATGAGAAGTAAATTCATCTTCTTGTTCTGAATTTTCAAATTGTACACAATTCTCAAGTGTTTTGTATTCGTCATGGGAATAGTCCAATCGAATTTCTTGAACACTCTTGTTCGTGATGATAAAATCTGAAAGAATGTCCACTGATTTCAATACGGCGTATGGAAGATACAAACTTGTTAGTACCTTATGATACATTAAGGATCGTAATATCAATTCTGTATGGTCATGACTTTGAAAACAATGATCTGAAAAATGTAATGACTTCAATCCCAATTTAAGAGAAGAGTGTTTTTCTTGTGCGATGAGAGAGTTTGCAATGGCCTGAACACACTGACCACTCAATGTTTGGTTGTAATAATCAATCTCCAAACATGTTAAATTGGGAAATTTTCTCAAATCTAACAAGGAAGGAATCAATTGTTCTGCAACTTGTTGATTCACTGTTCGCAGGATGACTTTTTCTAATTTGTGACACACGAGTTGGGAGTTGTTGAAGAGAGAACTCCAACATTTAACAATCTCGCTCCATTCCTTCTTGGAAGATTTCTCTTCATCATCAAATCTTGTTAGAGTCAATGTTGTGATTGTTGAGGAGTTCATAATGATTTCAGAGAGCGACTGTATGATATTCTGATCCACATCTAGATGTATACTCAAGGTCAGATTTTTAACGTTGGCAAATAAGTGAGGACGAATAAGGATATGATTTTCTAACGAAAGATTCGCTGAAATATCACATGCTGATACCAACTGATGGTCAATACAGAGCTTGATGTCATCGTCACTCCAATCGCTGCACAACGTTTTTACGTGATGTTTGAACATGTGACACTTGCATTCGGAACTTAATGGGTGCATGTAAAAGTATTTGTAATGAAATTCATGTATACTCATAATTTCTTTTTCCATTCTGCTTTGAAGGTCCCCATAACGTTCAGATAATTCTTCTCTGGCTTCGATGTTGATGTCAATTGATTTTACATGCTTATTTCGAAGTAGAAGAGAAACCAACTCCACATGGTCCACAGAAAGGTCAATGTCAGAGGATAGAAGAACGTTTTTGAGCTTTGGCGACTTGAGTAATAGTTTCAGTGTCTCGATGGTTTCATGTGAAGCGTTCTCCAAAAATCTAAAGGTGGAATTCTTTTCCTCGTAGACATAAATTTCTAACGAGGAAATTGAGGAGGATGAATTAATGGCTTTCAACAGAGCGTTGGAATAATTTTCACGTGACAGCGAAATTCCAGAGATTACCACTCGCTTCAAACTCTTCTTATTTGAAATCATGTGACAGAGAGCCTTTACCGATGAATCATGCACCAATACCAAATTAGATAAATCTATGGAATAAATAGTCTTATTATTCTCTATTCCTTTTAAAAGTTCAACAAATTGATGAGGAGAGTTTGGATTTGGTCCTTGCAAGTCTCTTGTAATAATGAAATAGGTCATGGTAGAATCGATGATACCTTTTGAAAATACGTCTGCACATGCATGATCACTGAGAAGATATTTACTCGTGGCCACAATGTCATGCTGAGTAAAAATGTCAATAAATTTCTCAAATATTGTTAATGGCTCAATGGTCAATTTTTGGCCACAGCTATTTGCAATAGTCTTGAGAAAATTCTTTCGTGCATTCTTAAATTGTGTCAGCGTATTTTCTTCATCATGATGATTTTTCTTATTTCCAAAAATGTATTTTTCACACAATTCACATCTCAATTCCGGAATGATCATTTGTCTCCTCTGCAATAATCCACTGCTTGACTCATAATTCGGATGATAATTTTGATAATCTTTTTTAAATACTGTGCACATCCAATGTTGAATCACAAGCCATCCTTCTTCACCAATATTCCAATCTTTGGTGTCTTCATCTTCATTCCAATTTCTCTCTATTCTTGGAAAGCATGCTTGTTTCGGAGTACTGTTCTGTACGAGCTCCATGAATGCTTGAAAATCACTGTGAGACATTTCTTGTGATCTCACAACGCATTCGTTGCTAGTACTCTCATGATGATTGGTTTGCTTTTTTCTTTTTCGTTCTAATTTCTTTTCCATATGAGCCTTGTAACAATTTTGATAAAATTCTTCCATGACAAGTACTTGTAGCCGATCGAGATGGAGCTGTTCTTCAAAGAATTGTCGAAGAGAAATGAAGGATGGAGTGTTTGATGAACACAAAGTTGTCGATGAAAGGTCTTCAGACATTTTTTGGTCATATAAAGTTGTGAATTCAAAACAATATTGTTGCTAATCATGATTCAATTCTGATTTGAACCTCAATGTTTAACGTAATGAAGAATAAACACACATTTTTCAACAAAAAACAAATGTTTACACGGAGAAGGTGGAGGTCAGTTATTACAACCAACAACGTGAGCATGACGATATTGTAGCTTTTGACTTAGACATTCTTGGAATCTTCTTTCATAGCACGCATATCTCTAATTTGACAACCAGTATAGATCATGTACATGCACAGAATATACATCTCAGGAGCAATGGAAATATTCTCTGTATTCGTTCGTTTCTCGTATATTGAAGCTAGCGCTGAAAAAACTCCAATGCTTAATTGCAACAATGCAGAATATGGTAGAATTGTTCTAAACTTGGGATACCATCCACTGAAATACAAGTACAAAAAGAAGTGATGAAAGGTATTTGAGAGAATGGGTGCCAAGTGTATCTCAGTCAACACACCAGAATGATGCTGAGCTTGGGGTGCGTAAAAGCTCATCCAAACCACACTCAACGTGGTGATATGATGAAATCGGAAATGTGCTCCAACTGCCCCTCTCTGATCGTGCGTCAGTAACACTAAAACAACGTCTAAAAATTCATAACATTTGGACAGATAAAAAACATAAACAAGCTCTTCGGAAAACCAACGGTGGAAGAAGAGAAAAACAATGAAAAAAATCCCAGATGCTATTCCGAAAAGAAAGTTGTTCCATCTCCCTATGGAAGAAAATATCTCGAAAGATTTCTTACGAATGTTGACAATATAAAATTCTAACAGATACGAGCATACCAAAAAGAATATTGACAAGCTCAGCATGGACTGAAATGATACGAGATAATATTGATGCATTTTTTTAGGTGGTTGGTTTTGTGAAATTGCATTGTGTCGTTTCACAGAATTGAAATGGGATCTGGAACAGTGACAAGCATAGAAAGTTTGTTGAATGCTGACCAACATGCTAGACAACAATGAAAACAACTACTCAGAGTAAAAAATAATTGGTGATAGTCGGGATTGAACCGACGACCAATGGCTTATTAGACCAACGCTCTACCGACTGAGCTATATCACCTTCACGTCAAAGATAAATCTGTGCAACTAAAATATTAGCGAACTGTATGACTTTGTTAAAGGACGTCTGGACCAAGTGGGGAGCACCAAACAAAAATGAAAAAACAACTTTCCCAAGCATCGTCGCAACTTGTTTCGAAAGCTCTCAAAACCCAATCAAAAATCCCGATATGCTTCTTTGGCACGAATCCTTCTTCATATCACCAAAATTTGAAACAACCATTTAGTAATAACCCAATTAATAATTTATTAACTTCGGAACAGAATCAACAAGACTCCTCCAAAACTACTCATTTTGGCTTCAAGACTGTTCTTGAAGATGAAAAGGAAAAATTAGTTGGAGGAGTATTTCATAATGTTGCAAGTCGTTATGATATCATGAATGATTTGATGAGTGGAACGATGCATAGGGTTTGGAAAGATCAACTCGTTCAGTATCATTACAAGCCTCAACCAGGAGGAACATATTTGGATGTTGCTGGTGGTACAGGAGATGTGGGTTTTCGAATTGTAGAAGCATTACGAAGATCATCTGAAGACTCTGGAGTTAAAAGTAAAGTCATCATTAGTGATATCAACCCTTCCATGTTACAGGTTGGCAAAGACAATGCTTCTCGATTGGGATTAGCTGCCACGTCTCCAACGGTAGACATTGAATGGCTTGAGGCTAATGCTGAGGATTTTACTGGAAAAATTGAAAGTAATTCTGTGGATGGGTATACCATTTGCTTTGGTATTAGAAATTGCACTCACATTGATAAGGTTTTGAGTGAGGCATACCGTGTGTTAAAACCTGGTGGTTGTTTCTGTTGTTTGGAATTTAGTGAGGTTCCTGACATGATTATTAGGTCTATTTATGATTGGTATAGCTTTAATGTAATTCCAAAGATGGGAGAAATTGTTGCAAACGATTACGATTCATATCAATATCTTGTTGAGAGTATTAGAAAATTCCCTAATCAAAGTAAATTCAAAGCCATGATTGAAGAGGCAGGTTTCAAGAATGTCAGATACACTAACTTGACATTTGGAGTAGTAGCAATTCACTCAGGTATTAAGCTCTAAGGGTAATTAGATTCATGGATTGGCAATAATATGAATGAATGAATGAATTTTGGATTTTTCAATTAATTCAATCTGACCACGAGCATTGCTTGTTTATTTGTGACCATGCAGGTCATTGTTTTTCTCTTCCCAGGGATGCTGTTGCTTTCTTAGTTTGACCTACCAACGACATGGACGTGGCAGTAAAATGAAAGGTCGATCTTAACAGTCGTCCAAGCAAACTCTTCCTTCCATTCACCATTGCAAAGATGACATTGACACTGAGCAGAGAAAATGCAACCAACAACGGTACAATCATGAGCAAACCAGCCACCACGACAGGCATTTCCACATACTTGCTGATAGTAAATCCAATCACAAACGTGGATAAACTAAAAAAGAATAACAGCAATAATACACCATCAGCAACCATCCATTTGAATTCATTGGTTCCTCTCCGTGTCATGTTCTTCTTCATTTCCAAACTCAAGCAAATATGCAACTGGAAAAGAAAACGAGTAAAATTAACGAGCCCACACACAATACTTTGAAATATAGATCCATGCTTATAACCGAAAGCCACAGCATACAAAATACAGTATAAAGAGCAAACAAAAAAGCCATACCACACAAATACCTATTATTTGACAATAGCATGTAATGTGTGTACACTCGATTGGAAAGCAAGAAATAACTCATAGCAGCAAATGGTGCACAAATGAATAAGGGAGACATGATCACAGCCCCTTTCCCAAACGTTTCTCTCATGAAATAGTTACTCATACTTAATTGAAAATTATTAAAAGCATGATATGAAATGGTTAAAGGAAACATTAATCTCATACATTGCAAACAAAGTGAAATCATGATACCCAGTAATACTACAAAAATTCCTGCATGTATGAGTGCTCGTCGAAGTATTTCTCCAATATAGACATGTTTTTTCACTCGATAGAAAAATTTGATATTCTTTGATTTGTATCGTTCTCGAATGTGAAACTGCTCCACAATATAGATCCAATCTCTAAATATTCGTAACATGATGGTCAATGGAATGTTACCAAGAATAGTCACTGAAATAATAATTAGACCAAAACAAAACATCCAAAAGTAATCAAATTCTGGAACTGTGAGAGAATCATATGACATTTCGTCATGAATGGCATTATCAATAGCTAAATATTTAACAAGTGCAAGTAACATGGAAATGATAATTAATAATATTGCGAATGGTAAATAGAACATTCGAGTGATATGATACATTTGATCAAGAGAGGTTGATCTCTCTTCCATAAATTGAGTAAAACGATGGTATTCATGTCTCACTTTTGTATAAATTTCAAACCAATTAAATCCAATTTCTTTCTTTTCAAGAATAATTGAAAATTTTCGATCCATAGGACTGTCACCATAGGAGAGAGCGTCATTATCTGAATTTGAGGAATCTTGATGCAATATTTTGCTATATTCTTCTTGTTGTTCATTGGAAGTAAATTCAAAAAACATAATTTTCAAAAAGAGAAAATCAACACTGTCACTAGAGACTCCAATTTGGTTAAATAATTTAGCAGGAGGAGTAATCGGATGTGGAAGTTTGTAATTGAGCTCTTTTTCTTTTGCTCTAAAATTGAGATAGGTATTTTGCACAAAATTCTTAAATCCAATACTATAGGTTTTGTAGTATTTGAGTGTATATTTAAATAGTAAAAAGTGAAGTAAATTTTGTTTGACATCAAAAGTGGGTAATTCCACAACAACAGTGGAAGGAGGTGGTGGTATATGTTCGGTTTGAGTGAGAGAATGATTTTCTTTTAACCGTTGTAATTCATGTTGTAAAATTTTGTAAAATGTTGAAACTGGCATGAAGAACATTTCTTCTTCAACAATTTGTCTCCATTGTTTGCAAACGAGACGAATTGTAATAAATAACTGATCATGATCGACAAAATGAAAAATTCTCAAACACACTTCTGGTGGCAAATATGATTTTTCAAATCCTTTTGGATTGGAATTTAAATGTAATTTATCTTGAATCCAATTTAATATAGAAAGTGGAGAAAATGCAGGAGTAGGAAATGAGGATGGATGTTGTGGTTCTTGATGTGAAAGGATCATGTCATGATCTCGAGATGAATGTGTTAAATTCGAATCGAGTGTATGCACTTTTTGTGTTACACAAACATCATTGGTGTGATCGCGAGGCATGATCATTTCTTGCTCGAGCACTAGGCTAGTAGGTTTCTCTTCATGGTCTTTATGAAGGGTGGTATTAGAATTTGTTGTGAAAAATCGAAGTGTGTTCGAATCATTTTCATCATTTGTGTGATGATTATTCGGAGTGAAAACTATTGTTGTAAATGGTTGTTCCTGTTGTTGTCGTTGTTGTTGTAGATCTAATTCTTCGGTTTGTATTGCGAAAGGGTCCATAATCCTTGTTGAATTCCATGTGGAATTTGTGTTGATGATTTCATCAATGCGTTGTGAGGTGTTGATGGAAATTTCTGTGTGTTCTGCTCTTTCATGAATCATCATCGTGTCCTCTTCCGATTTGGAGCTGGGTTGGATTCTCGGAGAGTCTTCTTCATCGAGTATTGCAACACGGACCATTTTTTCATGGTCGACCACATGTGGAACGTTCAAATTAAGGAGAACCAGGTTTATTTCTTTTGTTGTTGTGTAGGATTTGCGTTTGGTGGTTGTTGTTGAGGATTAGTACCAGCAGTTTGATACATATTCATTGGAAAGTTGATGGGTCGCATCATGGCTGCAGCATTCGCAGGATGTCTCAGTGGTAAACCTCTTCCGTAGGCAGCCATCGAAGCATTAGGAATATTGGGGAAACGTAATAATGAATTTTGAAGGAGCATACTCTGTTGATTGGGTGATATCAGGTTTGGAGTTATGGCAGCTGTGTTTGGAGATGCAGAGATTGGTCTTGCATTGGCTGTTGCTGTCACAGGAGTACTAGTATTAACATTGGCAACTCCAGAGGGTGTAGTGGAGGGCCTTAAGGGCATGTTCTTTGGAGTTTGAGGGAGTGCTGTTCCTGTTGGTGGAAGTCTTCCTCTTCCTGCACCCACTATTTGGGGAGTGTTGATAGCACCACCTGTTGGAGTTGTGGTCATAGGATTGACTGCTGAAGGTGTTGCAAATGGTGGAACTGTAGTAGCAGTGTTCAATGTTGCAGTAGAAGGAGAAGGTGTCTTTCCAACTGTAGGAGATGGAGCTGTGACAGGATTTGGAGACTTTTTAGCGCTTTGTCTTGCCGTACCACTTGGAGTAGATTTCTTTGTTCGACCTTTGGTGTCTTGAGCAACAGGTGTTGCAGCACTACTTGGTTCTTCCTTTTTAACAGTTGGTGTCATGCTGGATTGCAATGTTGCAACGCTTTGAGCCATAGAGGCGTTTGGAATTGTTGAGATTTTGATTTTGGCATTTGATGAAATAATTGGTCCAGATGTGGTCGTTACAGTGGAGGTAGTTGGAGGAATATTTGACCTGAAGATGTCTTCTGAAGATCTTTTTACCACTGCTCCATACACTGACCGTCTCTCGAGATCTCGGAGAATTTGGATATCGCTTCCTGAGACAATGAGGTCTCTTCCAGTAAGAATAGAATCCATTATTGTGTTTTTTCGCATCTTTTGTTGTTTTCTTATTGAAGCGTCTCGTTGTTTGAATGACTCTTGCAATAAAGATTTTGCTTCTTCAAATTTAAATACTCTTGGCTGATTTGATGCCTTCTCCTTCTTTTTAAGTGATCCACTTGGCTTTTTATATTCCTTATCGATTAGTGTATGACAAAAAGTGGCAAGATCATCATGATGAATTCGTTTTTCAATTTGTTCTGCTTGATTAGCGAATGTAAACGACAACGGATTGTTACTAGTTATTTGTGGAAGTCCTTGCTATCTTTTGTTTTTTGAAGATCAAGCGTATATACACTTAGTTTTTCCGTTACTTGTGTGAGCCCTTCAAGTGTTGCATCCTTCGGATGAAGAAGAGCCATTCTAAAATTTGAATCGTCCTTCTTCATCATAGTTTGAATAGTTTCTAAATTCTTATTTAAAATACAATATTTTGATAAAAGCTGCTCCCACGGACATAGTTTAATATCAAACTCCAGAATCTTGTCTGTGGTGTCTTTGGCAGCCTTTTCAATGTGATCGAATGTACGATGAGTTTCTTGCAGCAGTGATGGAGGCATTTTTTAATTTAAAAAAATTATTCGATTTTGTCGTGACGGAAGTGTACTTTCAAGCAGTGTTGAATTGAGACTTTTTATTCTAACCTTTCCCTTCCTCAAAATCAAACTTAATCCACCAAATTAATTAGCATTTAAAGCTGTGATGAGAAACAATAGAAGAAATAGAGTTCAGGTGCTTTTGCTCCAATATTCTTAGACCTTCTTGGTCGAGGTCTCTAATTTTTCTGCTGCTCCCTGTATCTTCGGTCTTGCTCTTTTTCATATCGAATTCTTTTTTCTAGAGCCTTTTGTCTCTTCTTCAAGTCATCTGGAGTAACAGCTCCATAGAAATATCCTTGTTCGTCGAGGCCTTCTGGTGTATATGTGGATGATTTCATCACAATTCCCAACAGAAAATATTTGTCGAAACAACGGATGAGATCTGACTGAATACTACTGCAATACTGTTCGTAAGATTTTTTAGTTTGAACATCTTGTCCTTTGAACAGGTACTTCCACAATGAATCAGATTCCATTTGTTCGTTTTTTTTGAAACACTCGCTCGACAAGGTATGTAATTCGGAGCAAGCTACCCTTGAAATACATGCAAATGTTTTTTCTTTCAATTCCACACATTCATGTTTTTCAGGAAAAGCATCACACATTAATTCTCTGGCCTTATTTAAATTTTCTTTGCATTGATTAGAAGCACCTTGAACTTTAACAGTGCTATGTACGTCAAAAAATACATTTTCCTGTGCCTCGAGTGATCCAATTTTTCGTAACTCATTCACATAGTTTTCACACTTGGAGTAATCTTCTTCCGATTCAACCAAACAACTATTTAAATCTGTTCTCAATTTCTCATGCATGGTAATATTCAAAAAAGGTCGATATAAACATGTATGAAATTTCAACAACAATGGATGATTTGTAGGAAGCTCCTTTCCTTCATTCAAAAACTTTTTATGCACTTTCCGAACCTCTCTGTATATGTCAAAGCATCGATTACCATAAGCATCGTTCAGAAAGTCGGTCATTTTTTTTTTAATGTTTTTGAAAACGTTCAATATTTTCTCAATTTCAATCTTTCAATATTTCCATTCCTATTCGATAGCTCTCGTTCATGTGTTCTTGTTGGATCATCGAGTCTCCATAGGTTTTGTCAATATTTTAATTATATCACTGCCTCATCAATCACTACTCAAAAAAATGTTGAGCAATCAACCCTTGGACGACAGCAAATCAGATGGTGGTGGGAGTGAGAGGTCGAGTGTCAATCTCGGTGCTGGTGGTGGAGATCCCCAAAAGAAGGCTCTCAAGAAGCCTGTAAAATCAGTCATTCCTAAATTACAGAATTGTAGTGTCAATTTGTCCTTGTTTAGAAAAGTAGCTGCTGATGAGCTGAGAGAATTAATTGAAGAAGTGGTATGTTATGATCCGATCATGCTTTTTAATATATTTTGAAACATCTCTCCTGTTGATATATATTTTATGTATTCCAAATATCAAATATCGTGATGATGATTGTAACGATTTCTGAATTTCTAAAATATTCATCATCATCATCATCCGATACTTGTTGATAATAATAATTACTACAACATGATGATGATGGAAATAATAACAAACACAAACAACTGTGTGATTCCCTTCTTCGTGAATCTCGCTCTCTCTAGCAAGTACCCAACCCACACAAAGCCTTTGTTTTTGATCCAGAACTCATTAGTTCTCTCTCACTCATTGTTCCCTATTCATTCTTCATTCCAAAAGGAACGGGAGCCTCGGAGCCCGAGATTGGTGTTTTAAAACAAGAGAAAATTCAATTCAAAACAGTGGTTGGGAGTGTCTTTTATATTACACGCCCTCGAATGGATCTTCTCAAAATCATGTCCTCTCAAATTAATCATATTGTGTCTGGATCGGGATCCTCTCATAATCCTGTTCCAAATATTTATGTGGTGTTTGTGCCGCGGAGAACGTTGATTTGTGAAGTCATGTTAGAAAAGATGAATATTTTGCAACACATTCAAAAACCCTTGTTGGAATTTTCATTGGATTTCATTCCGTTTGATAATGATTTGTTGTCCATGGAGTTACCAAATGCTTTTAGAGAATTTGAAATTGATGGAGATTATTCTGCATTGTATAGTGTGGCACGATCTGTCATGAAATTACAATCTGTGTATGGCGTCATTCCAAACATTAAATATGTGGGAAAGAGTGCGAAAATGGCGTTTGAAATTCTACAAGATTTGAAACACAAATCAGAAAATGTGTTGAATCAAGTGAATCCAAGTATTGGAAATTTGATTTTCTTGGATCGAAGAGTAGATTTGGTGAGTCCTCTTGTCACTCCATTAACCTACGAAGGACTTTTGGATTTATTTTACAAAATTCAAAACAATCTGGTCACCATTCCCTTCTTGTCACAACCTGTCACGAAAAAAGAAGATGGTGATAAAAACGAGAAGGAGCAAGAAGTGAGAAGAGTACCCACTCGATTGCCTCTCAATGACGATGATGAAGTTTTCAAACAAATTCGTCACTTGAATTTCCTTGGAGTTGGAGCTAAATTGCAATCGATTACTGAAGAAATTGACAAGATTTATGAAGAAAAGAAAAATTTAGTCTCTCTCGAAGACATCAAAGCATATTTCCAACAATTGCCTGAAGTTCAACAAAAACACAAAGATCTAACCACACATATCACAATTGCTACAGAAATTAAAAAAGAAACATCAAAACAAGAGTTCAGAAGAAGAATTAGAACAGAACAAGATATTTTGTTGGGAGAGGATCCAAAAGCATGCATTGAATATATTGAAACTTGTATAATAAGGCAAGACAGTCTTACATCGGTATTGAGGCTGATTTGTCTTTACAGTATTGTGAGAAATGGTCTTAGTCAATCTGAGTATGACCATTTACGACAAGAGCTTATTCACAGTTATGGCCATTTTGTTGTTTTGAGTTTGAAGAACTTAGAAGAGGCTGGATTATTGAAGAAATCAGCATCAAAGATTAACTGGTCAACGACTCCATTTGGAATTATGAAAAAGGGATTGAATCTAGTTGCACAGGATCAAATTGATGAAACCAGCCAGAAGAATATGGCTTACGTACACTCTGGTTATGCTCCAATGAGCTGTAGAATTATTCAAGAGTCGCTCACGAACAGCAAGTGGGAAAATTTGAAATATCTCTTCAAAGGAAGTGAGCATGTGGAATTTATTGGAGAGAGTATGACACCAACAATGTTGTCAAGTGATGTGACAGTTGTTGTTTTCTTGGGTGGATGTACTTTAGCTGAGATTAGTGCTTTAAGATCTCTCTCGAATCATCGTTTTATCATCTTAACGACCAAGATCATTAACTCGGATAACTTCATTTCGTCAATGTTGGAAAAACTTTAACTTATTGTTTTAAATTATTAAACACAACAAGTCTATTGTCATACTCTGAGCACACTACTTTTCGCTGAGGAGTGTTTGGTTTCATGACCCGAACATGCGCAATGTTGTGCTTACGGTCTGGTTTGCAAGCATGAGAAATGTTCATGTACAACTCTGGCTTGGTGGAATTGGATCTGATTTTCTGATTATCAACAGTGAACCATTGCTTCACATGAGGCCTACTCCAATCCAATACCTCCACCCTAGAGCCATAAGGAGCAAAGAAATACATTCCGTTTTCATTTTCCAATAAATGTCCTTTTTGGTTGAATACGTCAAGCTTAAATGAAGCTTTGTTTTGAAAGTATTTCGTGAGTGATTTTCCTGCAACGTCATACAGACCAACCCCTCCCATAGTCGTAATGAAATAAATAAATTTACCATCGAATGTGCAATCGAAATATTTGATACCTTCACTAGTAATCGTTGGTGTCGATTGACTATAAAGCGTTAATGGAGCTCTTCTGTCTAGTCGTGTCAATTCCTGTAATACAATGCCATTTTCAGTAATGAATGATGTGGAATTGTTGGACGTATTGGTAGAGGAGCTATGGCTTGGTTGTTGAGATGGAGTCTCCAGAGAAGTTTCAAATATTTGTCCATTGAGTTGTGTGTGGAGGTCCTTAATTGCAGCCTCCATATCTACAGTTTGAAAATGATCTAAAAGTCCATGTCGAATATCAAAAAATCGAATTAAAGAGTCATGAAATGATGACGCAAGTATAAAGTTTGGATCATTCTTACAGAACGTAACATTGTTAAAAGACTCTGCAGAGATCATGGAAAGACTAGAGATGGATGGTTTGAAAAGTGTTTTGTTGGATTTTGACTTCTTACTCTTGGCCACCAATCCACCAAATGTCTTGTTGTTGGAAATGGCATTGGGAGATGGACAATGAGGTGACTTTGGTTGTGTTACTGGCTGCTCAGGAAGATTCGTCGATTTAGAGGATTTGTTCTGTTTGTCTTTTTTGGGAAGCCTCAAATCCAGTAATGTTATTCGACCATTTTTCCTTGAAGCAACTAATGTATCTGAACTTAAGAATTTAAAATCCACAACATTTTCTCCCATAAGCTTTTGAACAATTTTTTGTGAAGAATAGTCAAATAAATATACTGAGCCAGCAGAAGTATTGGTACTCGAAACTGCAAGCATGTTCTGTACATATGGATTAAACATGACACACGTAATTTGATCTCCAAAATTGTGTTCCATGCATACTTCACATCCATATGATGGACTTGCAGCCTTCCCTTGTGAGTTCCAAAAGCAAAAAAACTATTGGTGTTGTATCAAGAACATCCATATTGGTGACACGCTCGCTCATACTCATATCTGACATGTAGGTTAATTCCATTAATTGTTCTGGTTTTGAGCTAAACCATTTGGAAATTTCCTTTCTTTGATAGGATTGTTTGACATGATGAGAGAATGGAACTCTCGAAATTTTGTGATAAAACAACTGCAGTGGAACTGGAGGTTGATTATATCGAAGTGCATGTTGATAACATGTATCATGTTCATAGAGATGATTGAAAGGATACACGCATTGTTTGTTTTTAGGAGTAAAAGCTAATGAACCTAGCGTATTATTCGGTATGACTGGGAACTTGGGAGTTGGTGGTGTGAAAAAGAATGTTCGTGTTGTTGTGCTGGATCCAGTATCATTCTTTGAGCTGACATCATCCTGCAATAATAATTTCATTGTTTCATCTTCTTCCTCCGATACTTCAATCGGATCATCATCTACAATCATGACATCATTGTTCTTCTTTTTAATTGCTGGTTGATGTGTGTGATGATCGTTCACCCCTCCTCCAATATAATTTAGAAGAGTATTCTTTTGAGAAAGCTTCCAGCTTTTTTGGTCATTTTTAAATTTCAAAGGCGCCAACATGTCCGTTAAACTTTTCCCAATCAATATCCATTCTCTTGGTCAAGTTGCCCAAACAATTTCGAGAGATTTCCAAAGTTATTATATTTTGAGAGTACGCTTCTCAAACTCAATGCTAGAGCTTGATGGAGACATGGTCCGCAAATGAATCTGCATCTTTCTAGGCTGTTTATTTATTTGAAAACATCATCGTTAAAAAATACCACGACCGCCATCAACAGGAGAACACCGATATTTATTTCCCTCCAAATATTTACGATTCGATCTTGGCACTAGAACACATCACCAATATCGGGTTGAAGTGATATAACAAGTTGATAATACGTAAATTATATCATCAATTCGTATCAACACCAACAACCATTCATCAACGTGGGTTTTCTTGAATTTTAGTCTGTTGGATTCTTGGCCTTCTTAAATGGGCATCATTTGTGTTACCGATAAGAATGTTGGAGGAGCAAGAGCTCATCATCAGCCATTACCAACACCAGCAATACTTCATCCCAAAAGAGCTGTTGCAAAACCTCTTGGAGAGAATGCGTCCAGCAACTCGACGCCAAATCAAGCCGGATCAGACCCAAAACTGAATGGTGCTGCTTCCCCTCATACGAGCAAATTTCAAAGTCCTATTACCACAAAATATGCAATCAAATATCATGAAGCGGTAAATCTAGAAGCATCATTGTTTTCATCAGTGTATAAGAACCAGAAGTATCTATTATGTACAGCGGTGCCTCCAGAGATTCCGTTCTATCAAACCGATATCAAAGTTGAAACTAATCCGTCCTTAACTTCATTCTATACAACTTTGTTTCAAGAAAGGCCCTCAAAGAAAAAACAAAATAACCTGCTACATATTGTTTCGTCAAGCGACAGCTTTGATATTGCAATGGGAGAAGATTTTAGGAATCATCAAGAAAAGAAGCAAGAGTTTGTAGAGTCGCCAATTCCACTTTTTATTTGCAACCTGGTCAAACACAACGATAAAGTGGGAGAAGACGACTTTTCGGTTCATGAATTTATATTTAATTGGAAATATACAAAGAGAGAGCTAATTCCAATTACCGGAGAAGGAGAAATCAACTTGGAGCCAGTCAAACGATTGGAGCCAAAAGAACATGCATTCTATACATCAGAAACGCCGCTGTACAATTTCAAAGATCCAAATTTTCAGAAATGGCAGAAGAAGCACGAGTTAGAGATTCGTGATGAAGAAGACGCCATCGATTTCTTACAGAGGGGGCTAAATGCTGTATGGGCGTCAGTTGACGTCAAAGCAACGAACTATCACAGAGCTGCAGCAACAACAGTTTTGGAAGCGAAGAATGACAGCTCCTTTGGATTGGTAACTCTGTTTATTGCTGTGTGTCGAGCTAACGGAATTCCTTCCCGAGCACATTTTGGATACCAATGTTCTTCAGCTGATAAGAAACGAGAACATAAGCGATTGCTTAAAACTGGTATTTCTCCTTCCCTCATTTATACAGAATTTCATTCCAAAGCTGAGGTGTGGATTGATAATTTGGGGTGGATACCGGTGGAGGTTGCAGATAAGGAGAAGGGAATAACCAATGCTGAACCAATCCCCTTTTTAACGTCACACTTTTTCGACAACCTGTCCATGGACATGCGACCATTTACATCGAGATCTTCTACCCTTAATTATTGCAGTGCGAACGAATATAAAGGTACATCTGACGAAATTAAGACTATATTCAAAACTCCAGAAGAAGAAAAGTTTGATGGAGCAATTGTTAAGCTTTGTAACGATTTTTTAATGTTGTGGCAAGCAGCAAGAAGGAAGAGATCCATGGACATGCTGAGACAAACTTTTGCTAAGTTATCAAACGGGTTAAGGGAAGAGTTTCACCAAGAATGTACAGTATTTGATTCGGTGTTCTTCCAGGGCTACGACATAACATTTCTTCCCTTCAAGGTTACCTCTAGGAAAACGAACAAAGATGGAATTTGCCATTCCACTATCATGTTTACAGATTTACAAACAATGGAAACAGAAGAATATATAATTTCACTTGACATTGAAGACGATTTCATTGCAGACATTAACATTGCTCCATACCTAGCTTGCACGAAGAGGACAAGGTAGAGGAAAGGAAACTGAAAATCTTAGGTTCATACGTGCGGAAAGAGTTCAGTTATTTTCCTCCAGTATTCTCGTTTGGAACACATAATCAATCATTGCATACTACCGTTAAATCTCAGTTGCATTACTGGGAATTTTATGAAACCCCTAGGAATGAAGAAAAATAATATCATGATAAAACAAAAAATTAATTTGATCTATTTGGCTCTACATGGATGTTTGTTTGTAGATTTCTAAATTTCCACTCGTACAAGCAGCTACTATTGCAGAACCATTGGGAGAGAAAGAAATGTCATTCACTCTGCATTGGTGTAAAAGAACTTGGTTCGCTGTGGAGGTGTTACTAAGGTTAAAAATAAAAATGCCATTTGCACTGTTTTCTGTGAATGAGTTGACACAAGAAGGGACGGCAACGATGGTTGACGAGAATGGTTTAAAGTGTGCTCTTGTAAGATTTTCTGTGCTACAAAAGTATTGAGGGTCTTTCAAGGTTTGATGCGGTGGTATCTCCTTATTCATTCTCAAGTCAAAAATTTTTAACGTATTATCACGAGAATTTGTTAAAATAAAATTACGGTCATAGGATATTGATACTGAAACAATTGGTTCAGTGTGATCGGTTTGTGTCTCCCAAACTTTTTGCTGCTGTCTCCAATCGTGGTATTTGAGTGTCTTGTCAAAATGACCAGAGATGACCAAGCTATAGTTGAAACAATGTTACAACATAGTAACCAAGAGATCTTGTTGAATACATACCTATCCGTAATGTTTTGCATTGAGTTACAACAACTACCAGGTAGAAAGGTTTTGATACACTTTTGTTGAATGACATCCCTATTTTCATGCCATAATTGTTATCGTGTGTTCACGAATTCCATAAATTGTACTTACCATAGTTTCATGGTCTTATCTTTAGACCCAGAAAATACTTGATTGTCACTATTTACAAATATGGCACAGGTGATGTGAGAAGTGTGTCCTTTGAGACTTGAAAAAGCTTTTCGAGCTCCAATAATTCTAACAACTCCATCTTTTGAGCATGTTAAAATTTTGGAACAATCATCGGAAAAGCAAATAGAGGTAATGCATTGAGATGAAACTTGCAAACTTTCAACGTTATATAATTCTGGGTTCTCTTCCGAAAATTTCCAAATATTTACACATCCGCTCTCATCGGAAGAAGCTATTATATTTGGGTCTGAACCAAAGCAAACACACTGAATTGACGTGTCATGTCCTTTCTGTTGTTAAAAATTGAATTCATCATTTACACGCATGACATTCAACCATGAATGAATGAAAATGAAAGTATGAATGTTTCAAATACGAGTTCAATAACATACATGGCTCAGTACATGCTCATACTTTTCCGTGTTGCTAGAATTTTCCAGCAATAAATTAGACATTTCAGAAGTGTAGTTATGTGCTGTTGATGAATTTGAAGCATCTTGCAGTGACATGGTCATTGCTAATTGTTGTTCTAAATTAAAACGTTTCTGTTGTTCTTGCTCCAATTCTGTACAAACATGCATCATTTGAGTTTTGTACTCCAAGGTTAATTTTTGAATATAATTTGACATGTGAATTAAAGATGCTTGAAGTTGCTTAATTTGTCCATTCAAAATTTGATCTTTTGATTTTATGGAATCGACCTCTTTTAAATACTTTTTCTGATAATTATCCATGGTTTTAATTTCGGCGTCTCTTCTTTCAATTTCAATTAAAAAGAAATCTGCTTCTCTTTTGTGAATTTCAACTTGTTCTTTTAGATTTTTGTTTTTCTCTTCAAGTTCTCGTTTCTCTTTCACTGTGGCTTCCAATTTCTTCAATATTCAACATCGAATAGTTAGAGAGAGAACGATTGAATTTTTAATCCATGTAATATTTACCTATCTGTATTTTGTAAATTATTGTTCAGTTCCGTCAATTGATCCATCATTCGAGCTGTTAGTAGATCATGGTTGTAGGTATAATCATTATTAATAAAAATAATAATTATAATATGATTATTAATAATAATAACAATGTACAATATATAAAATTCCGATATGATGATCAAATGTCCTCTCACAACTACTCTTACCTTTATCTCGCATGACTTCTAGGAATTGAGTTTTCAACCACTCGAGTTGAGAGTTTTTGGAAAGATCCGAGAGCTGAGAGTCAACAACACCCACAGAATCGTTCGCAACCGGTCGTTTGGTTTGCTTCTTTTCCAATTCTTTTTGAGGAGTATCACGTGTTGGAACAAGGAATTGCTCTTTTCTGCTTCATCCCGAAGGTCTAACTGTTCTTTGAAATATTGTCGTGCAAATGATGAGCTAGGATTTTTGTGGTAACAAACGGATGATGCGAAAGCCTCTTTGCAATCATCGACCAATTGTTGAGAACGTTGCATTTTTATTTACATGCCAGCTCTTGTCAAAATACTGTCACAAAATATTGGCTAGTGAAGTGTATGTTAGATATCGAGAGAGAAACTCCATCGTAATTTGGTATGAGAATCAGAAAATGAAAGAATTTGTTCTTGTCCTTTTTGGAACGATTCAAAGATGTCATTAATGGTGGTTGAGAGTTTGAGCACATGTGTCTTGTTGTGAACGAGCTTGACTTTGAGTTTGTTGCTTGGCTGAACTGTGTCCACAATGCTGAAAGTGAGTTGTTCGTTGAACGTGACCTTTCCCAAACTACTTGTCTTTGAACTTGATTTAGCCTTCTCGTTGAACGACTTGTTTTCAGAACCTTGAGAGAGTGAAATCTTGAAAATTAAATCTCCGTCTGGATAAGGACAGTCAATAATTTCAATCAAATTTACAATAAGAATCGAGTATGAAGAGATGGATGAAGCTTGAGGAGGAATTACTGATCGTGATCTTGGAGGAGAGGTGGAACTTCCAATAGACATTCTTCTTATTCTCGCCTTCAGCAGTTCATTTTCTTTTGCCAATTCCTAGGAGCACGTGTTACATTAGTAATAACGTGTGAATAGAAAAAAATTACTTACTCGTTCAGTTGAAGTATAACTTTCCGTGTCTAAACTTTGATTCAATTCGTTAGTTCTTGGTGTACTCGACACAGGGCTTGAAGGAGGGCTAAAGCTCGGGATAGCTTTTCGTTTCAAAACTGGAGAAGATCCATTAAATGATCCATGCTGGCTCAACGAGGTGCTGTCGCTGTTGTTGCTTGAGCTCAATCCAGAAATGGAGGATAAAGTCTTTTGACGAATTGAGTTCCATTTCTCCTCTTGAGAAACCTCACCAACTAGATCAAATTGAATGAACCCGTCTTCTAGATATTCAATTAAATCTACATTGACACTTCTAACACAGTATCTTCTGTGGAAGTTAAATAATAAGTTAGTACCATTTTGCTTTGATGTTGTAATTGGTTTTTCAGTGTAAAACCTAAATCTAATAAAATTGTCCTTAGATTGAATACTTAATTCCTTAACAGCCTTGATTTTAAGGAGAAAGTGTAGTGGATCTCCCAAGAGGTCATCAGGCGAAGAAACAGGTGTTGGAAGTTGTTTCATTGTTTCATCGCCTGGAACAAGCGGAACAATAGCAACCAACAATTTTCCAATTTCATTTCCGTCTGTATCTTGCAATGATAATAGCTCCTCCTTTGATTGTCTCCTTGCAAGATATTTCAGTTCCATCTTTGCTGAAGCCACTACATCGATAGCACATCCGTAAAACGGATCTTGACTGTCGTCGTTTTGAAGGACAGGATTTTGAAGTGATGCTAATTTTTCTCTCATCTTCACTAATCGTGCTTCAAACTCTTCGACCGTCCACATTGTTGTTTTCTTTCGCTCCTTGTCGACGGCTTGAATACCAAGCTGTGGTTCAGCATTCTTCACCAAGATCTTTAAATCATATCTAATGTTGTTATTAAACTCTCTGACAATGTCATTTGCCTCTTTGATCATGGGCAGTAGCCTTATTAAATTTTCGTCAATTCTGTTTCTAGAAATATTTCCAGAAGGCTTGGTTACCTTTTCATCTCGCTATAAACAACAATAAATAATTGACCTAATTCAGAAAAAACCAGTAAACATACATGTAAAAATCTATGCTGAATTGTTTTGATCATTCCTCTGACAGTATCTTTAAGGCTCTTTTTCTTTTTTCTGTTCTTTTCGTCCATTTCTTCAATTTTTTGTTTGTGCTGTTCGAGTTCTTTCACTTGTCTTTCAATAATCTCTTGCTGTTGATACTTTTGTTTTTCGAACTCTTTCTCTATTTCTAATATTCGTAGTTTCATATTTTGTTCTATTTCTTTTTCCTTTTCTTCTACTGCCAGTTCAATGGCACGCTTTTGTTCATATGCTAATTCTTCTTGTGCAAACGCCCAATCGATGGAAGACTCAGCTTCAGAACCGTTTGGATCTACATATCTGAAAACATGATTATTACCCAAAATTATACGATCATTGCAATTCAGCACTGTCTCACATGTGATGGTCCTTCCATTGACATAAAGCAGGGCATCTTTGATTGGCTTGAGAGTAACCTTATCCTGGTTTCGGATTACCACACAATGTTGTGGCTTAATTTGAAGTCCGCTCAGGACAATATTGTTTGATTTATCTCTTCCAATAAATGTTTCACCAATCTTGAAAGAATAAACAAGCAATCCGCTCATCATTGGGTCTTCGTTAAGGTTTACGATATTTGGTACGTTCATGGATTCCGAGCGAATCATTTCTCCCATATCAGTGAAGGCGATTCCTGCTTCTTCCAAAGCTCTCCTTCTTGCCCTTTCGATCTCTTGAGTTCTTCTTTCCTTCTCCTTTTGAGCATTTTGCAGTTGTTCGATAATTTGTTGGCTGTGAGCTAACTGTTCTCGAAGTTTTTGTTTTTCATCGTCTTCCACAGCAACTTGAGTATTTGGAGCGCTACTTTCATTGATGAGACTTTTCAAACGTGCTATTTCATCTCGTAGCTCTCTTATTACAGTAGCGTTAGGATCTTCATTAACCTTAGCTTTGTTTTTAATGCTCTTGGCTCTGCTTGCATATCGTAAGGTGGATAACGTTTCTTGGTAATTGTAGTCGCTAGGTGACACGGTTGCCAACATAATCTTTAATTGTCACATTGTAAAAACGACAGCGCCACACATTAGGCAGTACTTACGGTTTTGCTATTTCCGCCCAAGCTTTCTTTCAATAGCCATGTCCTAATCGGTATTGTTAGTGACGTTATCAGTAACATTTAAAACTTACAATACACTGTTTCTGTAAGGTACAAACACCTTCTTATTTGGATTCTCTGCTTTTTCTGATAATTTGTTAATGACATCTCCCAACGCCGTAAGGGAAACGTTAATCGCAGATCCTTCTTTTAATCTTTCTCCTGTGGCACCGGTTTTATCAGCTCTTTCTGAGCCTGCAAGATCAATTAAATTAATAATTGAAACTTTTTCAGAGAACGTTGATGCATTTCCTGGTACTGCTGTCTCAATAGACGAAGCTAAAATAATTTGAAATATTGTATGTGCTCTAGATGAAGTATCGTTCATATTTGTCTTAGCGATAGTTCTTAATCTATTTCCTTCATCCATTAATCGTAAAATATCGTCTTCGTTATGAACGACACAAGACTCCATTCCTTCAATATATGGACCAGTCTCAGGATTTTCTCGAATTTTTAAACCTCCCTTATTGTTTAACGGATTTTCAGGATTGAAAAGATCTCTTACATGTTCATTGTAAATTTCAATCATGGATGTTTCAACTCTGTAAATTCGTGTTATGCCATCCTGCTTTTCAGAGTCTTGCTTGATACGTTGAAATATTGCTCTACAAATTCTAGGAATTATTCCTCGATGCTCTTCGTCTTTGGTTCCCATCATTGTATACTATTTTAGAATAATTTTGGACCCTTGACGTTTGCCACAATTTAAACACTTACTGTCTTTCCACTGCATTATTTATGTATGTCGTCATGAACCTACATTACGGTAAATACTTACCTTCCGGTTTGACCATAAGCAAACAAACTGGTGTTGTATCCTTCGAACGCATTATTTATAATAAGCCTCCCAATGTCATTAAAAACTGTTTCTTGCGATGAAAAATTTGGAGAGTTTTCATCATGACTCCAATAAGAGTAGTCGTATGAAAATGTTCTCTCTTGTCCGAAACTTGTATCGGGATCCTTCACTGTCGTAGAATTTCCTTGCATTGAGACGATACACTGAGTACCGCCCTTAATCCGTTTCTCTCTTTCATTAAAGGGACGTACTCTCACCGCCACCTTTTCATTTGTAAGAATCGTCATTTGCCATCATTATGAGAAGCGTCATGATGAACCTACCAGCACTGAGTCCGACATTTTTTTGTTGGAATTCAAAACCGTTGATTTCTTTCAAAGCAACGGTATTTTCCCGCCACAAACACACCTGTAACACTTGGCGCCTTTGGTATCATCATGTAAATATGAATAAAAAAAATTGAAGTTGATTGGTGTTGAGGTGAGAGAAGAGAATGGCTTCGTTTACCTTTGACCATTTTCCACCGGAACTTCTCAATGACTACAACAAGCAACTCGCATTAAAAATTCAAGAGTTGCAAAGAACATTGGAGGAGAAGAACAAGAAATTTCAAGCCGAGGAGCAACGTTGTCAAACTTGAAAGACCATTTTAAAAATGCAACAGTCGAAGCACAAAACACTCAGCTCTTGTTGGAAGCGAAAAATAATGAAACCAACACCGAATTACATTTGAAGCAAGTAGCGGAGAGAGAGTTGGGAAGGCTTCAAATTGAAATTCAAAAAATTGACAAACAAGTGAATGACATTCAAGATCAGGTATGATGGCAATTTTAAATATTTTTTTGATTGATTTCGGTAACGGCTGTTCAATATTCTTGATGGTGACGAAATATCGTGCAGACAAATCTTGTGCAAAATGAAATCTTTAGAGCCAATGAAAAAATTGATGAGTTGAAAACCAACATGGGGTTTGACCAGAAGAACTAGAACAATGGACTCTTGCAGAAAAGCAAAAAGAAGAGGATCAAGAGGTTTTGGAAAAGTACTCCAAACAAGATGAGAAGAAAATTAAAGACCTCACATTGGAAAGCGAAAAATGGGCCAAGCTGTAGAGGAAAAAAAGGTTGAATATGAGAAGGAAATAACTGAGACACAATCACAACAAATTGAGATGGAAAAAACTGCTGAAGATTTTAAGAATGTACATAAAGAACGTCAACATTTAATCCAACAATGGGAAGGCACTATCGAAGCAATGAACAAGAGAGATGAACTTATTCAAAAAGCAGGAGAAGCCTTAAACAATGGAAAGCTTGAGATCCAAGGCAAACAAGAGGAATTATTAGAGCAAACACGACGATATGAAGATCGTGTTCAAGACAACAAAAAGTTGGAGGGCAAATTGAAAAATCAGCCAGAGCTTTGGAAAACTTGAGAGATCAAAATGAAAGTCTTAAAAATCAAATCAAGTAAGCATCACACTTGAAATGTATTTTTTCATAATTCAATAACATACAAACAGAGAATTGGAAGAAGAGCTTGAGGTAATACGAAATACTCTTTCCAAGGGTTCCAGTGACTTAAACGGAAAAAGAGCTGAGAAGAAGTATTTAGTGGCAGAACTCCAAAAAAAGGAAGAAAAGCTTGCCATGTTAACTCAACAAAAAGAAGACACCATGAAGAGAATGGAAGAAAGTCAGAAGTATATGAACGATTTGGAATCACGGTCCAAATACGTATCAAGCTTGCTCTCTTCAGAAGAAGCTAAAAAGAAATCGGTAGAGAAAAGGCTAGAGGATCTTAAAACTCAACTCTACCATCAATCACAAGAGTTGTATAAAGAAAGACAGAAAGAAGCCAACCTGGTGGCAGAAATTGGAGGAACAAACTCTCAAAATAAGAACATGCTATCGAAAATCTCCCAACTTGATAGTATGGTATTAAAACAACAAGAGCTGTTGTACAATATTGAATTCCAGGTCCAACAAATGGAGAGAAGAGTTAACAGAGCTCAAGGAGAACGAACAGAAGAAGAGAAGATAAAGCTCAATGCACAAATTGACAAATTACAAAAGAGTTTGGAAGAACATGAGGCTCAATTTGAAATGATAAAAGGAGAATGGACCAAAGTGTTGAGCGAGGTCAGAAAAATGAAGAAAGAAACAGATGAAAAAGAGCTTGAGAAAGCAAGACTAAACGAGAAAGTGCATGATCTCACTTTAGAAAATAACTCATTGGAGGAAGAAATGAGGGCTTTGACAAGAGAAAAGGAAGATCTTTTAGTTCAACACGACATTCAAAAACTTCAAGTCAAACGAGTGAGAGACTTGTTGAGAGCTAGAACTGACGAACTCTCTGGCTTAGAAAATAGAAAGTATCAACTTGAGACGTTATATATTGAAAAGGAACAAAAAGTGAAGGCTCATAAGGAAATGTTGGCTGCTGAATGGAAGGCATATGAGGATGAAAGACGAAGGTTGTCTCTGGAGCTCAGCAACCGACGTGTGCATATCGATAAGCTTAAAAATAAGTATAACATTATGATACAAAGACTGAAACCTGATGTAGAGGGAGAAGAAGAGGTGTCACAAGCACAATTTTTGATTAGAGCCATCCAAGAACGAGAGGAGCTACAACGAATAGGAGATAAATTAGATGAAGAAATTCAAAAATTAGAAAATCATGACAGAGGTCTCGAGAAAACATTATCTTTATTTAAATCACATAATATCAAGTAAGTATGAAGGACTATATGTTACTGATTTCAACGAACAACAAACAATAAGTCATAATGCTCACTACAAAAAAGTGGATATGAGCGACCCAGATATTTGTCTCAAAATGGAGCTGAAAACAAATGCAAGGACTTGGACACTCTTACAAGCAAGCGAATCCAGGAGCAATACGAATACGAAGAAAGTGCCAATAGGAAACAAAAAGAGTTAGAAATGGTTCTCATCGAACAAAAGGAAACTGAAATTAAGCGAGACGCACTTTCTACCACTAAGGTAGTTTTAGAGAAAGATATTAGCAAGCTATTATCGTCTTTGAGCACTCAAAAGACGCTTCTCAAAAGTAATGTGAAGGAAATTAAGAAGGTACCAGATGCTGAAGCTCTTCTTCAGGATGTCGCCCTCACAGACAACAAGATCAAAAATAGAAACTGTTTGCTAACCCTTTCATTCATTTCAGAAAGCAATCCAGTCATGAAAAGTAACCTAGACAAAATCCTTAAAGAAGAAGGTCTATCCATGCCAGTGTTAAGTCGACCAGCATCCAGTCTTTCAGTTCTTTCTTCGAAAAGTACAAAAAGCTCAGTCACACGAAGTGTAAATAGTTCTCAACGAAGCAGTACCACGTCGAGCGTCAGACGCGTTGCTGCAAACACCTCCATCATTTCCCTCCAATAAATTGCACCTTCATGGTTCACGATGTAAATTTGCAAATAATATTTATTTCCATTTCCATCCCAAGTTGTGCCTGATTCGTAAACACAGCGAAGCAACAGATGTTGACAGCGAAACGTTGGGCTCAATTAGAAAAAGATGCTACATTCTTCCTCGCATCACAAACTTCGATTACAAACATGTTCAACGTGCACATCATTGCAATCATCAAGAATAACTTCTCTCTTCTACACAGTTGTTATTATCAATACTCGTCATCTCTTGCTCACCCACTGCTGCAGTTCATACAGAAGAACCACTCATCATCGGAATCTTTCACACCAATCATTCAACTCCCATGACAAATCAATATCGGCTTACATCTTTGAGTAATAATGCAACACAACAACTCACCAATGATTCCACAGTGTGTCATCCAATCTTATTGAGTCAAGGAGCGACAAGTTTAAATGGTTTGTGTGATGACACGCCATCGGCACGAGCTGTTGCTGGAACCATTCTTTCTGTGCATGTACTGTTGGTGATTGTGAGCTTGACAGGATTGTATTATAAATTGAAAAAACTGTCAGCAATCAATGATGAAAAGAAAGTGAATTATTTAAGTGTTGCTAGGAATCCTGCGTTAATTACTTTGACATTATTAGTCGGTCTCTTTCTTAATGCTGTGATGAATGGACGAGTATTGATTGGTCGTAAAATGTAAGCTATTTCGATTTGTTTTTATTAACAATTATTTCTCTTAAATATTGAAGATATGTTTGCTTTCTATTCACCTTTGTCTATTTCTATCCGTTCCATGTCTTGCTTTTCTCATCATTTTGAGATGTTTGCGATTAATTGTCTTGACACGAATGAATCAACTAAAAGTTAAAATCGGAAATAGAGAACTCGATGAATTTCCAGAAGGTGTTTCCACTGTAGGAAGTGATATTTCCAATATTTCACACGCTTCTTCGAGTGGTGGTGGTGGTGTCACTAGTGATATTTTGTTATTGGACTCTCCACGACAGCAACAACATGTATGGATGGAATTGAATAGTAGTAATAATCACAACATTCAAACGTCATCGAATGTGACAAACTCTGCAATTCATAACTCTCCCAATCTAGCACACTCAACACTTGATTCATCAACGACGGTCACCATTGCAGAATCTGTACAGCAACAACAACAACAATATAGAATTGGACGAATGGAATCATCCTTTGAACGTTTTGAAAAGGAAAAACTTCTCAAATGGTACAAATTACTCATTAGCTCCAAATTTGTGATTCTTTCATATTGTGCAGTATTGATTTTACATTCTACTATTTTTCTTATTTGTGGAATTGTGGATTATTTCAATTGGCAATATTATTTGGATCATCCTGATGAGAAGAGAAGTTCCATCTTGTTTGTGGTGAATAGTTTCTTATTTTCTCCATCAGGTTGTGGAAATTCAACAGGAAATTTATTAGTATTTGTTTCGAATATTGTAGTGTATGGTCCTTCTGCAGTTATTTTCATTATTTGGAGTTTATTAACGAGAAAGAAAGATATTTGGCGTGTTCGATTGGAAGTTGTTTTAATTTCTGTGAATTGGGTATTTGCCTTAATTACCTATGCATTACCTTCTTTTATTCAAATTATAGATATTTTGTAAGTATTTTTCATATAGTCAATGATGAAAATGGAGTTGACATTTGTTGTTACTGCTAATCCATGAATTGTACACATCACTTGGGTGGAATATGTGAACATTTTAAAATTATTGTAAAATCAAAACGGTAGAGTGGATTATTATGTTCCATGGATTTCATTCATTTTCATTGCATGCATTATTGATTGTTTTGTTGCATGTACTCTTCCAGTATTCTTCTATCAGAAAATCACTCCATCTTCTCTTCACGAGAGAAAAATCAACAAACAAGAATATGGAAATGACATTCAAAAATGTTTAAGAGATCCCAAATGGAATTCTCTTTTTTTACAATTCACACAATCTTCATTTGCTCCTGAAAATGTCATGTGTTGGAATTCGATACAACGTTTCAAAACAGTTCCTGAAAAGACTCGAAAAGATTTATTAAGAGTCATTGCAGATACATATTTGAGAGAAGGAGCTCCATTGGAATTGAATGTTGCTCGAAAAGTATTTAACAATTTTGAAGAGATTTTCAATTTATTGAAAGAAGAAGGTGAAGCAACAACTATGACATGCAATAGAAGAGAACGAGAAACAGGGAAAACGATGGAATTTTTAACACCTCGAAGACGATCCATGAAAATTACCATGTCCATTCCTCATGATATTTTGGATAAGGTTGAGAAAATATGTGAGATGAACATGATGGACAATTTCGATCAATTCTATGTGATTCATTATAAGGCATTGACCTTGGAATTGGGAATTTCATAATAATCGTTGGCTCGGTTAAACCATTTTGCCTTCTTCAATGGTGCTTTCTCCAGAGAGAGAATATGTTGTTAACGAGGATGGAAATTCATTCACTCGCCATATACGATTCAGATTGAATTCAAGTCGACAATTTTGCCATTCTTTGATTTTCTCCATTTTAACTCCTCTTCGGAACCCTTGTGGTGCGAAGAGAAGCGTGCGTATGAATTCGTGTGCCATTGTGTGTTATGATTCGTCATCGATGCACACAAAAAATAACATCACACGACGAGCATAGCTGGTCATTGGTTTCATTAGCACAATTTTGAAATGTCACAACAAAATCAACGTTTGGTATTTACTTCTTATCCTGAAGGCTTAATTCAAGAGTCAAACTTTAAGCTTGAAACGATTGAACAGCCTCCAAAGCCAAGTAAACCTTCGGAAGTTGTGATTCGATTACTTTGTCTCTCCGTAGATCCCTATATGAGAATGAGAATGAACAAGTAGGTCATTGGAATTGTTATATATCATTGTTCCTTTGAATATATATATATTTGAACTGATACTTCTTGATCCAATGGTGCCATGCACACTTTTCTCAATTTTATCAATCAACAGGAGTGTTCCCAAAGGTTATTTTGATCCATTCCAATTAGGAGAACCATTACATGGTGGTGTTGTGGCTCGAGTTGAACAAGTCTTTGAAGAAACCAATTTTCAAATTGGAGATGTTGTGTTAGGTGGTCTTCCATGGATTCTCGAACAACTAGTCGATACTTCAAAGACTCCATTAAGGCGTCTGGATCGAGATACCTTACATGACATTCCAAAGAGCTATTTTTTAGGTGCATTGGGAATGCCAGGACTCACTGCCTATTTTGGATTATTAGATATTTGTCAACCAAAACCAAATGAAACAGTAGTGGTGAGTGCTGCTTCTGGAGCTGTTGGAAGTGTGGTTGGACAAATTGCTAAACGAGTTCTGGGATGTAAACGAGTGATTGGAATTAGTGGACAAACTTCACCACAAGTTGTTCAACAATTATTAGAAAATGGTTTTGATCAAATTCTCAATTACAAAGATTACAACAATAGTGTGAGTGAATTGAAACAAGCTCTCGAACAGGCATGTCCAGAAGGAATTGATTGTTATTTTGAAAATGTTGGAGGTTTCATTCTTGATGCTGTTTCCTTGTGTATGAACAAGTTTGGAAGAATTGCATTTTGTGGTGCCATTAGTTCTTACAATAATAATTTACCAAGTGAGGAACAAGGTGCTACTGGTACGTGCACGACATTTGAACAACAAGATGCCAATTTACAAGAAAAGTATGGTCTTGGTCTTCGCTTGACAAGTATTCATGTCGTTCGAGAATTGAAAACTCAGGGATTTCTTGTCAATTCGTATTCCAAGCAATTTGGAGAGGCCACACAACAACTCGTTCAGTGGACACGTTCAGGTCAATTAAAAGTATTTGAAACAAAGGAAAAGGGAATGCATCGAATTCCACATGCCATGCAGAGATTATTTACTGGAGAAAAGACTGGTAAAGTCATTGTAGATTTAGAGAATTGACAACTTGAGATTTTGAATGTATTGGTTTCCGATAAATACTTTTCGAACCTTTAACTGAAAACGAACTCGAAAAAAATGCAAAGAATCATTTTCAACACTTTTGTCTTTGTGATGATGATGATGGCATTTTGCAATCATTTCATTGAAGGAGCTCAAATTCAAGTGATAAAATCAGATGAACGCCCCTCTCAAATGACATCTCTTCCGACTGCAAATCAGCGTCGTGATGAAACTTGTGCTCATTTTGCAAATCAATTTGAACCATTTGACTACTTTTTATTGTCCTTGCAATGGCCTGCAACAGCATGTATTGGCAAAAAGCCAAATGAATGTTCCGTTCCTGATTTTATTAATGATTTTACAATTCATGGTAGGTCGTCATCATGGAAATTCATTGTTGAACTTTTTTAACCTTTTTTCAATTTCACAAAATATTTCCTGAATCATCATTTATCATCACTACTGTTTGTAATGCATCATCATCATCATCATGCACGTGTGTGTTGACTCTGCATCGTCCTTTTAGGTTTATGGCCTCAATTCAAAAATCCTGCCACATATCCTGAATGTTGTTTCAATGTTACTTTGACATTCGTCAATTAAATCCAATCATGAATGATATGAATCAACATTGGCCATCCTATTACCATCCCAATGATTACTTTTGGAATCATGAATGGTTGAAACATGGAACATGTGCCAATGTTACAATTTCACAATTCACCTACTTTTCAAACACTCTTCAAATTTATTCTAAAATGCATCTTGTGGATGTTTTGAAAAAGGCTTCTATTATTCCCTCACATGGTAGCTATAGTAAGCAAAGGTATGTGTTTTGTAAATATATTTTGTTTTTTTGAATGGACCAATAACACTGTTTCCAAAACAATTAATACAGAATGGAAGATGCATTAAAGAGTGCAGGATTTCCTGGTGTGATTGCTTGCACACGAGATAAAACGAGTATTGAGGAAATTAGATTTTGTGTGAATCGAGATTCTTTACAATTTATGGAATGCGATCAAGCTTTGATTAATGACATTCACACTCATAATCCTTGTAAAGATACCATTTCATATCCACCCATTCATTAAAGATGAGTTTTTGATAGGAATTGATATTAAAAACTAACGTTATTTTGCACTTTGGAAATCAACATTTAATCTCCAAATCACAAATTCAAAACGAAATTTAATTTTAAAAAAAATGAGTTTTCACTTTGATTGGTCGCGTTGGGATCAAACTGCAACGATCGAAATCATCAAAAAACTTGCCACACAAGGATTGAATGCCGGAGAGCCAAATCCAATGTTGTGTGCTCCATTGACTTGTAGTGATTTTTCATTCGGAACCACACCTCCACAATTTTCAATTGAAAAATTACCAAAACTTTCACTTTCACAACAGGAAATTCATCTCCGATTTTTCTATCAAGGAGATGGGTATATTAAATTAAAAACAAGAGCACAAATTAACAAACTAGTTCCGAATCAAAGCTATTTTGGATATAGTTTAGGAATTGGAAATCAAATGGTCGGACAATATCCAGTTGAAATGCCGCTTGAAATAACCATCAAAGATTTGAAGTTGGATGGACTGCTCATAATTAAAACAGATACTTCCTTTGTAGAGACAACAAATATCAAAGATCTTATGAATCTTTCGAAACACAAGGATAGTTCTAATGAAACAAAAGAGAATTTGTTAAGCAAAGAACCAACAAGAAAATGTTCAGTGTATATTCAATTGGAGAATAATCCCTTGGCTGGTATTGATGTTTATAGTACATTCGAAGAAGCAATACCACAAACAAAATCAATTTTCATGAACATGGTGAAAGGTCAAGCAGAAGAAGGAATATCTGAATTAATGAAAGCGCCAAAGAAAATTGATATTGATATTAATGAGCTACTGATCGGAAAACCCGCTCAAGGCAATGCTGTGGCAACTCCATCAGTGATTTAATAATAATACTCTCAGAAATTAACAAACCTTGCCGTCTAACTCGTATTAAATGGTGTAACTCAGTATGACATCTCCAAATGCTTTGACCACTTTTTTAAAGTCATCCCTTGAAATATTGTTCTGATGAATGATTTCTCTTTCCGAATAACTACCATTAAAATATACATGCAATTTCTTGAAGAGTTCGAGCATATGAGGATCATCACATAATCTCTTAATATATTCCATTTCATAAACAGAAAGCGTTCGTGGCATGTTTGATTCTGTTATGGTGTCGTTTGAGTCACTTGATTGTGTATCAATTTTAACATTCATGTACTTTTTGAATGAAAATGAACGTGGACTGCTGCTTTCACTACTTGTCACGCTTGATACTTCGTCGTTCATGGATGACTCATGAGCCATATCGACCTCCCTCGATGAAGACGGAGGTGGCGAAAAAGTAATATGAGAAGGAGGAGTAGAAGGTGAAATTGGATCTCTTGTGGATGGTGGCCTCATAAATTTGCTTGTACCTTGAACCGTTTGGTGCGGTATTACAAGTTGATAATAGGTATTGCACACCTTAATATAACCTTTTCTGAGAAGCCATATAATACACATCATGTACTGTTCAGAATACGAAATTGCAGGTACAGAACAGCCATTCGAGAGTTTTTTCTTTCCAACAATATTCGTTTTCAACTCGGACGGAAAATAGGTGGTAGGTGAGTGTTCAATATATGGATTCGACTTTCCTGATAGAGCATATTGAATTTTCGAAATATTCTCAATATGTGTTTTGCATGATCGTACCGTTGAGAATATCTTCAAAACTTCTATCAAATTTGGGAATTGAGGAAATTTCTTTGAAAATTCATGAATCACATGTTCTGGAGGTGGAAACCAATCATTCTTGGGGCATCTTCCTTCGTCGTTATTATCAGGATTTTCGTTAATTGCGAGTAATGTGCTATAACTTATTTTGGGAATAATTCTCACAACTCCCCAATCCACTAAATGTTGTACAAGTGACAGCACAAAATTCAAGCTCAAGTTGGCATCTTTGGCAACCTCCCCAATAGTTTTTGTAGCAGTGTTAAATAACCTTAGAATGGAATCATTTCCTTGTAATTCTTGAAGTCCATCAACTGGTATTTTCAATTTTGGAAAATCATTCACAAAAATACATGAATTGTATGGTTTTACACCTTCACCACGTTTAGAAGTATTTGATTGTTGGAAATGATGTTTGTTTTTGGAGAGTATGTCAAATAAATTATATAATTTTCTCTCTTGTATATGATGAATTCTTTTTGGAATTCTATATCCCAATTCTATCCATCCATTCACTCGTAGTTGAAGAGGGGAAGCTGATCGTATCGCATCCACAACAGTAATGATTTCTTTAGCAAGTTGACTTGCCTCACAAGCTTTTAGAACTAGGTCTCGCCAATTCTTTCCTTGATCCTTTAATTTGCCAAGTAAATTTAATTGATCTAACACGTAACCACAACGTTGCTGCTCTCTTACATAGGATTTCATTAAAAGCGTTAAAAGATGACTAAATACAGTTTCATTGTAATCTTCCATAACATGATTTGGGAAAACGAAGGCAATTGTAAAATGTGTGTAATCACCTCCAGCTGATACTAAATTTACAGGATTTGTCACACTAAAATCTGTTAACTGATTAACTTTTCGAACCAATATTGAAGCAGGCCTTGAAAGAAATAGTAAATTATCAATGATTAATGTCATAGATTTGTCAATAATATTACTTTTTGGAGGACATAGTAAATATGACAGAGCAGCGCTATTCAGTCCAAATGCGTCTTCATATTTGTCAATGACTTGTGGATGAGATACGAGATGTTGTGATGAATTTGCCGTTCCTACAGAACCACCACCAGAAATATTTCCAGCATTTCCAATAGCTACACTAGAGGTTCCGCTAGTATTAATCGTATTGGTTGATGAATTTCCTAAAGGTTGTTGAGTTGGTTCTGATGAATTTAAAATATTTGTATTACTAGATGACGAATTGGTACCAAGTGCATCGGAAGTTGTTATTGCAGCAAGAGGATCATGACAAGTCATACTTTGTTGTTGAAAAATTAAGTGTTCATCAGTAGGATACATGAAACTGATTTGTTGTCCTCGAATACCGTTCACTACTACCAGTGCAGTGACGGGAAAGCCTTGCAAAAATCTAAATCGATGCATACTTTGTTTTCTGTTGGAAGAAATATGATGAAAAGTAGCTGTGGGTGTGTTTTCTCCTCCAGCATTATTGGAGGGTGATGAAGGTTTAAAAGGAACATTTGGGGCTCGTCCGATGGAATTAGACCTCGACCGAGAAACGTTCGACGACGAGGAAGAATTAATAGAAGTGGACGAAACGGAGGTATCAATTCTAAGCATTTTTTTAATGCTAAGAAGAAGTACAAAGATCAAACAAACTAGTTTTAGCATCTCAATTCATCAAAATTCTCAATTATATTGACCGAGGGATTTCATGTATTCTTCAAACCGAGTATTTCCTTCTATAATACCAATGTTGCAAGAAATTTGATCTGCTTTTTTCTTGTCGTACTGTATCGCAATATTCCTGGCTTTGTGTAACATCTTGACTGCCAAATCTCCCTCTCCCTTTTTCGACGCTAAAATTCCCAATTGTTGATAGGCCTCGCCCTCTCCCACTGGGTTATTGAGCGTTTCCGATAGAGATAAATGCTTTTCCATACACGTTTGAGCTGTGGCCAAGTCACCTTGCTCCTTACCCAGTATCCCTAGATTGGCAAGAGCTATGCTTTCTCCTTGCTTGTCCCCGATTTTGTGAGCTTGTTGATACGCCATTTTGTAATTATCAGTTGCATTTTCATAATGACCTAGTTGTTGAAAGATAATTCCCATGTTGATATTGCTGACCACCTGAGCTTGCGGTTCAGAAATGTCCCATTGCATCATGTGATATTTAAGAGCAAAATTTAGGTTGTCAGTGCCTCCCATTCTTTGAAACAGCACTCCCAGACAATTCAAAGCAAGACATTGGGCCATCTCATCTTTTAACCCTTCGCTTATTGCCAAAAATCTTTCATAATGTGGAATGGCAGATTGGTCTTCGCCAAGTTCTTCATATTTGTTGGCAATTTTGTAGTGAATGAGCCCTTCCATTTTCAGTCGTCCTGCTCGGCTGCATGCTTCTGCCATCATCTTCATATCTTTTATCATGTTCTTTTTTGAGTTGTTGCCACCATGAGAATTTACAAGGGACACAGGCGACATCCGAATTTGACTGGGATCGTATTGAAGCCGTAGTGGCTCCAATGTAGAGGAAATCACTGCTTCATGCTGAGCCTCTTCTTCACGCTTATTCTCATAATTCTCCCATTGTGACAGTTTTTCGGCTGACAATTTCGATTCTTGGGGTATCGATGACTTAATTGAACGACTACTGAAAAAGCCAGAATTGTGTGTAGTTCTAGATGAAGAAAGGTTCGATCTGGAATAACCTGCTGATTTTGCTCTCTTATTTAATCTCTCTATATATTGGAAGCCCCTGACGAAGGTATCTGTTTCTTCCCTAGCAGTTTTACCAAGCTGCAGTGAGGGTATCGAAACTCCGTCTTTGGTGATACTTCGTGCAGTTTTTGATTCTGGCATTGATTTCTTTAATGTATCAAATTGTTGGATGGGAGATATTTGTGATGATCCAGAAGGTAGTGTATTTATGTTATTGGAAGATGAAAATGGAAATAATTTTGAGGTTGCAAAGTGGGTGGAATGATTATGTGTCGGAGAGGGTGTTGGGAGGTTTTGGGCAGTATTTGGCGAAATGGCATTAATTTTCTCAAAACTTTGCCTCAGTAGCGAATACCCTGCTTCCTCCTCTTCTTTCTTCTTCTTTTCGGAGCTGAATAAATTTTGAGAGAGTTTTAGCCTTAGCGACTCAACTGACACATAATCTTGTCGTGGAGTACTGTCGTTTTTTGGGGACGAAGTTGATTTTTCGTTTTGAGATTTTCTAAACATGCTAGACGACACTCGTGAGGCCGATAGTTTTGATTGTGCACTGACCGATGATGAAGGCTTGTTCTTATGCATGGCTCGGATTGTTGTAGGCGATGATGTTTGTTGAGTCATTTTTTCTTCTTTACGATTATCTCGAACTAACCGTTACGAGATACGAGATGCTTTCAAGATCACCATGATCATTAATAATATAGGACGCTTATAATTTATTCTAGTTCAACTTGAGAATGAAATCTGCATTGAGAGGAATTTGAGGTTTTTTGATCGTTAAAACCCCGTCTACGTAGGTGAATTGAGGTGAGGTCATTAAATCGGTTGGTTGTTCCAAAGTAGATGGATAAATAATACTAATACTATTTGGCTTAGAGGCTCCATAGATAATAATTCTTTCAATAATATTTGATACCTTTCTTGATCCTGCACTGGATATTGGATTTGCCTTTTGATTGTAAATGAGGGTGGAAAGATCTCCTTCCATTGACTTCAATTCATTGTTAGAGAAGCTAAATTGGCGATACAAATAGTCTCCAGTCTTGTACTTGAAGGAGCTACCATCATCCAAGTATAATGTTCCAAGAGCTTCTCCCTTTCTGTTCAAAGCAATTTTGAGAGTAAATGGATCGTTGACCATTTGTTGAGAAGATCTTCTAAGTCGTTGTTGGGTTGGAATAATGCTACCACCTCTTTGGAACACTGGAATACTTTTTTCCAATGATGTTGCAACACTTATTGATTTTCCTCTTCCAGCGTCGAACTTTTCTCCAGTCTCGTAGTCATACCATAATCCCTTTGGAAGATAAACAGCCACGTCTGAGGTTGCCTTTGTTACAACTGGTTTAACCAACAGGTCAGAACCAACCAAGAAAGAATCGTCAATTGAATGGGTTGTAACGTCATTTGGATATTCCATGAAAAGAGGACGAATATAAGGAAGACCAGTCAACATGGATTCAAAGGCCAGAGTGTAATAGAAAGGAAGAAGAGCATATCTTCTTGCAATTGCCTTTCTAATTAATTGTGTATTGTAGTCCCCAAATAGCCATGGTTCTCTTCTCTTTGTTTCAATATGGGCATGAGCTCTAAAGAATGGATAAAACGCACCAGCTTGATACCAACGAACCAAAAGCTCTTCTTCTGGATTTCCAAAGAATCCACCAACATCAGCACCAATAAATGGCATACCACTGATACTGAGAGCGAGGATCATTGGTTGAGCAATATCTAAATGAGACCATTCTGCCATATTGTCGCCTGTCCATTTTGCAACATATCTTTGTGAGCCTGCGAAAAGTGATCTTGTCAAAATGAAAGGACGATCGGATCCTGCTCTTCTCTTCATATGACCATCGTTTGTAGCTATTCCATGATAAAATCCATACATGTTATGAATTTCACGATGTCTTAAATTTTGGTAATGCAAAGCATTCTTATCCATTGTAATCTCAGGTCCAGAGAACACGCTGGGCTCATTCATATCAATCCAAGTATAAAGGTTTTCGGTAGAACCTTCATATTTGTCAAAGCTGAATAAACTAGCGTAATAATCTCTCACGGTTGGATTCACAAAATCAAGCCATGAAGAAGATCCAGGCCAACAGTGACCTTCATAATCTCCAGTACCTTCTGAATTTTTGACATAATAACCATTCCTTGTTGCTTCGTCATGTACAAAGTATCCATGTTCACGCTTAATGTGAGGATCGGAAATTGTAACCATCTTTCTTCCCTTACTTGCTAAATCATCTTGCATTTGTTTTGGAGTTGGGAATGTGTGAGAATCCCATGTAAAGTATTTCTTTCCATCGGTATGCTCAATATCAAGCCACAATACATCATAGGGAATGTCATATTCATCAAATTTCTGATTGACATTTCTAACATCTTCCTCGTCTTTGTAATTCCATCTACATTGATGGTGACCAAGAGAAAATCTTTGAGGAAGAGGAGCAGTACCAGTTAAATAGGAAAATTGTTTGGAAATATCCTTTGGTGTTGGTCCTGGAAGGAAAAATACATCTAAAACACCAGTTTCAGAAATCCAATGCGAAGCATATTGAGATCCTTTGTAAATGTCCACAAATGTTTCGGATGGGTTCAAAACAAAAATACCAGCTGCTGCTTTTTCTGTAAGAGAATACAACAAAGGAATAGCTCCATAAAGACCAATTGGATTATTCAGTTCATATTCAAAAATATCCAAATTGTAAAGTCTGTATGGTTCTGTCAATGGGTTGTCGCCCTCTCTTGTTGGATTAAGTGCTAATCTCATCGCTCTTTCAGGTAATCCATACAAATGGTTGGATCCTACATGGGTAAAATCCATTCCAATTGCACTTTCTCCGTCTTTGGTTGTTAAAACATGTCCACAATTATTAATGTATTGCTGACTCTGGATGTGACCACTTACCATAAGTTTCATTCTTTTCCCTCAAGACATTTTCAATAGTAAGCATGTTATTCTCATTGAAAATGATAACATCTTCTCCATTTACTTTAAATGTAATTTTCATTCCTTCATCTCTGTTTTCCAACATCAATTGAGAATTTCCTAATTACAACGTTAGTACTCAACTATTAAAAAATAAACGTACTATTTGTGAGGCTGTTTGTTGTGCTCTTGTCCGATAATGCAATCTTTAAAGCCGAATCAAGAATAACATCGTTCACATTGTATCTGTTTTTAAGTTCAGTTCCAGGCTCCACTTTTTCTTGAATTTTCATTCTAAATATTCCATTCTCATACGCTTCAATTACAAGAAGCAATGGATCAAAATTACTTCCTTCCTCTTTGCTTTGAAGTACAGCTGAATACACTCCATTCACTACTTTAGGTTCCGTTATCAAATATTTGGATTTTTTAGACATTCCTCTCAAGCGTTTACAAAATCCCTTCTGATCGCAATTTTCAAATTTTGATTTATCCATGGCCCTTGTGGTGTGAGCAAGCAATACTATGGCTGCACTCAACAACACCAATACAACAAGAACGGATCGGAACGATGGAGCTGATGCATGGGATACTCGGAAGCCAAAGGTTGATGTCATTTTTTCTCGATCTGCCTCTAACACGTGTACCAGGGCTTGTTTTGCAAGTAGAGGCCACAAGCATCCGGCAAACCCATGTTGGAACAACGGATGGATCCAGAGAGGAATGTCAATACTCTTGGTCACTCTTTCTTCTTTTTTCCTCACCCATTCAAAAAATCATCTTCTCTTCTTACAACTCATAGATTTCTTTTTTCTCAATGAATGAAAGAGAAACCACAATCAACATTACAAGCATCAACTGAAAAAAGATATCATCCCTATGAAACTCATCCTAAAGTAAATGGGAATGATGATACTCATAGAGAAAATGGCCATTCCGATCGAGCCTCTCTATCGGATCATCAGCAACAACCAGCTGATACACAAATGATGATGGACGATCAATTACTTGAATTAAATGTTGCTCATCAACGAACATTGGTGATTCAAGACGACGTAACTTCAACACCAACACCTGAAGAATACATTTCTGATTTAGCTGCCAAATTTGATAGTCCTTCTCATGATATTGAAATTTATATGTGCCGCCAATTAATTCCATATGATATCATCATGTACATTCTACGATTTTTAGATTTAAGAAATATTACACTGGCAAGATTATTGAGTAAAAAATTATGCCAACAAATTGATGAAGATAGAAATGGAATTCTTTGGAGGCATGTGACTAAGAAGCAAGAATGGCTCTCAAATTTGCATTGTAAGAATTTAGTTTTGGAGTTGAACAAAAGAAAACACAAATGGATGAGATTTTTGTCAATATTTTCTGATAATGAATGCGAGTGGGAAAACTCTCCCAATTACCATGAAGACATTACAAACAAATTACTTCTTTGTACCGGACCAACTGAAGCTTTAGACATAGTGCAAGACACTAAATATAATATCACAACAAGCACAAGAAAATATACTGCATTAATGATGGACGATTTGAAAAATGTTAGTTGTGCTTCAAGCTATCCAATCACAAGTAACACTGTCAAGTTTTTTGAAGTCACCATCGACAAAAAAAGCTCGACTTGGAATATTGGAATAGGATTGGCTCAAAAAGATTTTCTTCTCTCGAAGAGAAAATTTGTAGGCTTTAATGCACAAAACTTTGGATATAGCTCCAATGGCTACATGAGACACTTTTGTACACGCACTCAGGCCAATTACGTTCAACATGCTGGATTTCCATCTTACGGTAAGTTGTAATTTTTTGGATTTTAGTGTGGATTTTCAGTTATTGGATTAAGGCTCTGGAGACAAAATTGGAATTCTGGTGGACATGCCTAGCGAAAGAGTGAATATTTATTTAAATGGAGTGTTTTTGTACACATTTGAGAAAGTTCTACTAGAGAACCAAGAGCCTCTTCGCATTGTGGCAACGCTTCATACGCAGTATGATCAAGTAACGCTCTCACATCAACAAGATTGCATGTTTGATGTTGAGTCGCTTTTACAAATTTATGACTCTGTCGAGCAGAGCTTGGAAAATTACATGAACGCATTGAGGAATGCAAAAGAAAATTTCATGAATCACATTCATCACTTGCTGTCGACATGTGATAGAGCAGAGGTTTATGATATGCTTACATCTCTAATACGTAGCAAGCTTGCCAGCTATTCCTCCGAACAAAGATAGGTCATTGGTTATGACTACCACAATGAATCGTTATGTTATTCATTTATTAGTCCTGATGTGCTCTCGGTACATTGAAAGGCTGTGGATAAAAGTTTTTGACAATGAAACAATTGATATAAAACACCAAGGCTTCTTCGACCATCGTCAAAACCCAATAATTGACCCACGTGATCACAGTATATTGTATGAACAGAGAAATTACAGGTCCAATTAGATAAAGCAGAAATGCCCAACGAAAAGCTCTATTGCAGTGTTAAACCCCTATTTCATAATTCCTAAAAAGCACTTACTTATACTTCTTCATTTTGATGAACACTTCGCTTTGATTATCATTACTAAATTGCTGTTCTGCTGATTGAATCCTAAGCTTGTCAATAGTTTGATTCATTGCAATAATAGCTCCGAAAGTTATGACAAATTTGAGCAATTTGAACGAGAGGAAGAAAATATAGCAAATAGAAGATCCATTGCAGAATGCATAAAGTAATCTTGATCCCAAATATCCTACAAAACAGACAGAAAATAATAATCTGACTTTAGGATTCATTCCTTCGTCTGTAATTGAATATCCTAGTGATAATAAAAATAATATTAATAGGAATGATGTTTCTCCAAATACTCCAATGACCGAGAGAGTAATATCCAATGCATCCGATATTTGCCCAATAACGTTCATATACTCAAAATATGTAAATACAGAGGAATAGCTGATGATCTGTAACACAAGTCCAATGGCAATAAGTATTTGAAGACGGTAAATATGTCTCCTGTTTTTCAAAAAGAAAAATAATAAATAAATTAGTAATCCACCATGAGCGACCATCAGAACAAAGAAAAGTAAAATATAAGGATGTTTTTGTGTGCTCAAATGTTGTCCATTTGGATTAATCAACTGTAAATCAACTTTGACATTAATATCTGTCTTTGGAGTGTAAGGATCACATTTTAGCAGTAAAAATGAATAATGTGTACTCGAGTCAATTTCAATAGATTTCGAGATGGAGAACGTCTGATCTGTCGTTTCTAAATTGCCAACATTTCCAATTATGCTGGGTGACGATAGAATGGCATCGCTATTTTGTGATGTAACTGGAATTCTCTATTATTTTACGTTCGAGTCACACGGTATTGTGGTCACAAGTATAACATACCAATGAAGAAGGCACATCACATAAATACTGTGTATAAATTGCATCAGTATCCCATTTTGCCGAGTTGAGCACAAACCAAAAACTGAACGGAATCATGACAAATACAAGATTGGAAGAATCGGCAGACTATTGACACAGTTGGTAACGATAAATATTTTCCGAAACGTGTTAATATACTAAATAACGTACGGATTTTGTGGTTATATTCACCTTCATTGTTCCTCCATTTAAAAATCCAAATCCCGAGCTTTCCAAGTCAATCACATTAGATTCAGTTCCGGGAGGATTGTAAATGCTTTACTTGTATAAATACATAACACGTTATCATTGATCATTAGCAAAGTTATCATCAATACACATAAAAATCCAACAATATGGGAAATTTTCCAAGTCGTTGTGCTGCTGCCAGCAGTTTTAGAATGGCATTTCCTGTTATTCGTTTCATTCCTCATTTTTTATTTTAGAAGAAATAACTGATTCGATTTGATGGCCTAGTCAAAAATTTGAAAACAAATATTTGAATTATTTAAATAGATACTTTGATATTCCAAGTATCAAGAGCGATTAAAGAACCCATAGCTTGTATCGCCACCAATTTTTTTACATGTATTTGAACACAAGATGAATTTCAATTTTTTGGCAATACAACACATCGCGACGGTTACCCCAAAGTTTCAATCCCAATATTCACTCCGTCATTTCATTGATTGTCTTTGCTGTATAAACCAGCAGCGACCAATCACCAAGAACCTTTGTAACCTCAAAAAAAATAGAAAATGTTCTCGCCTTCCATTTTTCAAGTTTAGACATTCTCCAGAAAACAGAGCAGATAAATCACTTCTATCCTGACCATTTAACAAAAATATGTGTATGTGATGATCATGGCCTGTTTTACTCATTGATGAGTTTCAGACAGTTAGATTCAAGTGTGAGAAGTCTTGGGACGGAAATTTTGAAATGCATTGGTTCCGCTTTCCAACAGCAACGGAGCGAGCGTTTGAGATATTTCAATATTGTTTCAGTGAATGAAATGCAACTATTGAAAAAATACTACCATGAATCAAACAGTTCCATTATAATTGACCACACTAATAATTATTGGTCCAAAGTCATTCTGCTTAATCCACAAGCAGCAAATTTATCAAATGATAACCAAGAATTCGAAAGTTTTTTACAAACTCGAATATTTGTATCGATCATACAATGGCGGCCTTTTCTTTCTATGCCACGGAGCTAAAGCCCAAAAACTCAATCATCAAAAAAATAAGAAAAGATGGCTCCGTCAGAGATTATCCCAAACACATCCGAAGAAGAACCAATGCCCAATCAGAATGATGATGGAGCAATGATGGTTAGCGGTGATGACGAAGAATCAAGTCCTCATACTGAATCAAATACAACAAATAACGACGCAAATGCAAAGAGCGTTATGCTGAGTCAATCAAGTAAGTGATATTCAGCGTTCATCATGGTACTAAACGGATGGATATCAAGTACTAGATATTGTATCCACGAATTTTGAAGTTGAGAATCTTCCTGGTATTATGCTACGAGGTTGTGATAACAATACCGATTGGACAATGGAAGAATTAGATCAACTAACAAAACAATTTCAAATCATGTATTCAAACGTAAGCAAGAGGATGAAGAAAATAATAGAACAAATCAGGAAGGTCGATAGAGAATTAGAGAAAAAAGGAGCAGGCATTCCGTCATCGACGAACACAAACACCAGCAAGAAGAGAAAACAAATGGATGATGAAGATGATGACGATGATGAGCAGCCATCGAAGCCTATTACAGCCACCCCGACAACAAGAAGATGTTTTTCTCCTCTTCAATCACGAAAGAAGAACGACTATAATTCAACAGCATCGTGGGAAAAGTATACAAAACGAAGTAATAGGGGCAACATCAACATCATGGCTCCTGTTTCTCTCAGATATAACAACAACTTAGCAGCAACCATGGCAAATTGCCATTGTCAAGCAACAAAGAACATTTTCCATACACCACCTCTAATGAATTCTTCACAAAAACAAAAGCAGGATCAAGTTCAATTATCAGGACTTTTGTTGGCAGCAGCAGCTGTTGACAGAAACAAGATCAACGAATCAAATCCTTCTAACAACAAAGTTGAACCATCAAGCTCTTCTCTCATCTCCTGTGAATCAACAACCACCATTACCAACACGTACCCTTTAATTAATGTACCATTATCATCAACAGAATATTCGAACACAAGCAACGATCTTCAACACATGAAATCATCGAATTTAGATGAATCTAATACGCAGGGATATCAGTATCAACATGTATCCGATAACAACAATTCAAGTTTGACACTTCCTCCTCTCTCATCGATTCAAACATTGAACGATTCTTCTCATAATAGTAGCTATCCGTACACTTGATGATAAAGAAGAAATATACTTTCTAAATGCAACTCTGAATCGCTTTGGCGAATGGTTTATTATTTACATTGAAAACTCTTCCGTCGAGTTGTTCATTTCTTCTTCTATCAATGGTGCATGTGTTGGGTCGTACCGTAACCTCAATGCTTTCAGAAACCAATGATGCTTGATACCTGGTGGCTTACTTTTGGCAAAAACGTGAAGAGCTTCATCAATTGAAAGATGCTTTTCACTAATGAGATAAGCACAACAAATAAAACCTGTTCTATTGAATCCATACGAGCAGTGCACTCCAATGTAGTGCGATGGAAACTCCTCAAAGAAATTATTTATCACTCGATTGAAGTCCGTTTGTTGTTCAATACCCGGAATTTCCTTAGCCACAAGTCTCACTTTGATATAGTGCAATGGCTCAGTTTCCGTATTATCAACAAGGCGTTTCATTTCCTCGGAGAAACTCTCATAAATGGAGAGTTTTCTTGCGTGTTTAGCCGTGACAATGAATCGCAAAAATGTATCTTTTTTTGCTTCACTTCCAAAGGAAATCTTGTTCAATTCGGCCCAAAAAGTGTCTGGATATTTTGGCACACAAACATTATCTACATCATAAATACAGTCATGATTTGATAAATCTACAATGCCAGCAACAGCGTATCCTCTGTTTTGTACCGAGCCATTGGATGATGGTTAGAATAATGTCATGAATAATTTCAAATACTAACTTTTTCAAATTGCCGAACAAAAAGTCTTCAGATGTAAAAGGTCGCCACTTTTTAGCTGATTCCAGAAATTTGGTTTTAATGGGCGTTTTTAAAGGAATAATGTGAGTAGGTTCTAAAGGTGTTCCGTAGTTGTCTAATTCAGTCCATTTGGAAATCTTTTGTAGTACATTGTGGCGAACATTGGCAGTGGTGGGAGAAGGAGTGTCATCATTCATTGCAACGCCGTCATCATTTAAAGTAGTTGGCGTTGCTAATGACTTATCTGCAGAAGAAATTGTTGATACATTTAAAGGAGGAAGAGTCAGTTCAAAATTTCCTCCGTTATTGTTGTTACTGTGCAATGCGTTTGTTGGTGGAGTCGTCGGAGAAGAGCCATTGCTCTCTCTTCTCTGATGGAATGAAGAAGAATTTACCGTGAGAAGTTGCAAGGAAGGCTGATGTTGAGAAGAATGAACGACTATGTTATCATTGTCGTGATGCGTTCGTTGTTGTTGTTTCTTTTCATCATGATCAGAAAAGCAGCCACTTTCATGAACACAGATGTTATGTTGGCTGTTGTTCATGATGCTGTTACCGTCCGTAATATCATTACTGCTGTAATTGTGAGTGGACGATGATGAATCTGATTCTTGATGATTGCATTCCAAACACAATCCATTGAAAGAATCCAATTCATTATTCCCACAACAAGCACCCCCTCCATTACTTTCAGCTCCGAATAAATTTGATGCGTGATCCGATGAAGAGATATTGTTTGTATCAGTACTAATGGTCGTACTCACACTGGCATTCTCTTTTTGGGGGTGCTGGGTGAGGTAGGTGGGTGCTTCTGTTATTTCAGAAGACGACGATGGAAGAACTTGCGTTGATGAGATTGAGGGTTGGTGCATTTTTTTAGATACTCCTGCTGACAACAAACTTTTACTGACAACGGTCAACAAGATCGTTTAATGGTTTTCAAAGATCCTTTCTATTTCAACAATTTTTAAAGCTTCATAAAGGTTCATATTTACTTGTACACACAACAGCACCTTCCAAAAATTCAACATACAGCTCCTTGCTTTTAAAAAAATGCAGAGACATGAACGAGTACCTTCGCACATGAACTTGTATGACTGGGACTCGGAGCCTGAAGCGAATCATTGCCCCATCCTTTGTCGTGCTTCTCTTGATGATAGCAAGCAAAATGAGCCAACCCCAAATTCAGCTCTGATGATTAGAAGAAGAGATCTTTTAATTCCGAATACCATGGTACCTGCTAGCCCAATTCGTACTGTACATTTACTCGCTGAGAAACCTAAAGAAATTGTTAATAATTTCGGTGATCAATTAAACACTCTTCCAAGCGATCCAAAGCTTCTTAAAGAAGTTGAAAATTATGATAGATGTTTTTGTATTGACGCTATTCTTTCAACCGATGAATGTGAGCAATTAATACAAGCGACAGAACAACTTGGATATCAAGATATTGATCAAGAATATTTAAAAGAATATAGAAATAGTCAGAGAGTGTTGGTGATTAGCAAGAAGCTTGCAAATTTGTTGTGGGCAAGAATTGTGTAGGTTACTTTTCTGATACGTACCATTCAACAAAGTTATACTCGTCATGAACAATTCAGCCCTTTTATGCAGTTATCTGATTATGAAGGAGTGAAACCATATGGATTTGATAATAAGGGGAAATGGAAACCTATTGGTATCAATGAATGTCTTAGATTTAACAAATACTCAGAAGGAACTTTTTTCAAACCTCACATGGTAAGCAGGAGTTGATCGTTCATGACATGAATCGTTTCACATTTTGTTTTTTCTCACAAAAGGATGCTCAATTTATCAGAAACGACAATGAGAAAAGTATTTTCACTGTATTGATTTATCTAGATGATACAAAATATGGCACTAATCTGCTTAAAAAGGTCTCAATGAATGGATCCAATAATGTCATGAGCTTTAGAACACTTGGCTGTATTGCACCAAAACGTGGAACTGCAGCAATATTTAACCATGATTTATATCATGAAGGTAATACCGTTCTAAATGGAAGTAAATACGTGTTAAGAACAGAATTAATCTTTAGAAGAGTAGATTCAACTAATATTTATAGAGATAATTTCAAAACCTCAAAAGAGTTTTTGAAAGTTAAGAAGTTAATTGATGAAAGCGATGAATTAGAAAAACAAGGTAAAATCAAAGAATCAACAGAAAAATATTTAATAGGCCATGAGCTTCAAGTAGAATTCTCACATTCTATCAAATCAAAGCCAAAAAAATTGAGTAGCCTTGAGAAATGTCTTCCTGAAGAAATATTCGCATTGATATTTAGCTTCTTGCGCCCTTATGAAATTTGTCAAACCATTCTTCACATCAACTCAACAATCAACTCATATGCAAGAAATGAATTACTATGGAAGAAGCTGTACGAAAATAACTGGCCAACTCAAGACCATGCAATCACAACACGACCTTCTAATACTTATTCAAATTTTTATGGACACAACTCCGTTACTACTGAGACAATTGAGCTATGTGTTTGTACAGAGAACCAATTAATTTCAAAATTACAGAGCTTAAGCATTAGTGATGAAAAAGATTGGTATCACGCCTTTATAACACGCTCTAACATGGAATCCTTCTTCTGCCCAGTTATACTTGCTCCTGGAACTTATTATTATCGATATGGCCTAGCAAATGAAAATAGCTTCTTTGCGAGTAGAAGTTTATGTTTAGTGCCATCTTATGGACACTTTTCATTTATTGGATATGGTTATGATGATTTGATTTTTGGAGATAAGGTGAAAATGAGACGTCTTGGCAAAGAGAAACCTCTTTTCAGGCCAGATGGAAGCATTGAATCTATTGAAAATTTTACATATCTCATCAATCAAATTTATGATGAAGATTTAAGCGTTTCATATGAAGATCATCCTTTAATGATTTGTGTTCCTCCCTCTTGGACTGAGGAAGAAAAGAATGAACTGAAAGAACATTTGGTAAGTATATGATCCTTGTGAGTTTCAAAAATTTTGGGATGTTGACCAATGGAACAATTGTTGATCAATAGCTTTGCTCCACAAGCATTCCAGCAATTGCAATGATTGACTGTTCAGTCTGTTTATCGTTGTATTATCAAGCTCCAACATGCTTGATCATTGATTTAGGGCCAGCAGGAGTGAGATGTTCATTGGTTGTGGACAATCATGCTCAACGAGATAAGGAAGTCATATTCACTCCAGATATCAAGCAAGAAATGCAGAATTTACGAAAACCTAGATATTATGACGACTTTGCAAAGGATTTCTTGAAATCGGCAATCTTACCGCTTCAGTCTGAGTGTGACAATCCTTCTGAATTTAAAAAGTTTGTTTCGAGTGTTCCAGCCCATAATCTCGTCTACGATTTTGGAAACGAAAATCAGTACATTGATGGCCCTGTCAGAGTACGATTAGGCGAATGGTATTTCAGTCAAATTATTCCTCACATTGAGGAATTTATGATCAATGTTTGTACGTTAGAAAACTACAAAGTGAGAAACCTGTTACTTTCAAATATTATTGTAGTTGGAGGATTTTCTCATATCAATGGCATTCGTAACAGACTTACGTGTCGCTTGAAGACCTTAGTTCAATCGGCTGTGTCTGAGGACTTGGAAATCTCAATCACTTTCCAACAAGAAAAGCAAAAACCAGTTTTAGAAAAGTGTGACAAAGTGAAACTAGCAAGAAGAGAAGCCGATATGGATGTAGTACAAGGAGCTAAAATAATGTGCAACCTTAGCAACGCAAGAGAATATTTCGAGAACAACCCTCATATCGATGAATAAAGTGAGCATTTCTTACAAGTTGAGCCATCGAAAATTTGAGAAAATAAATAGTAATTCTCGTTTCGCGTGATTATTATCAAAAGTCTTTTTATTATGATTTACTTGGAAGTGGCAGTTGGAGCCTTAACGTTCTTGCTTCGCATTTGAGCCTTCATCATTTGCTTCTGGGCCTTTTGTTGTTCCTTTCTTCCGGATTGCTCAGTCTTGTTTTGCTTCTTTTGAGCCTCCTTTGTTGAAGCTCTGATCTTTTCTCTTTGTTGTTGAGTTTGATTCTTTTGAGCCTTGATGAATTCAAGAGAAGCACCTGCAATACCTCTTTCAACTCTGGCAACTCTTCTCTTCTTGTTCTTCTTGAGTTGTTCAACGCTTCCCTTCTTGTGTTGTCTTCTGTAAAGTTGAGTCCATCTGATTTCTCTTGGATTTCTTCTAATCAAGAAAAGATGAAGAGACTTCTTTGAGACGAAAGTGAAGACAGGTCTAGTACTTTGAACGTTGGTACAAGGAACATATCTAACTCCGTGACCTGGGTAGATCTTGTAACCAGAGAACAAACAAACGTCAGTCTTGATGACCATTTTCTGAACATTTATGGATGAATACCTTCGCAAATGCGAGAAGCATAATAAAACTTACAGTGTGGATTTGTGGCTATTTTTTTTCAACGAAATTTTTTTAAAAATTTTGGTCAACCCACTTTACAATGAAAAGATTGGCTAGCCAAATGCTTTGGTAGAAACTGAGAAGTTGTAGTATGAAATCCCTTTTTCAAAAGGCCAGTTTGAGATTCGAACGACCGTTTGATGAAATCTCTCGCCATTGATTGATTGTGATCTCTCATGGTTTTGCATAGAACAACTCGTCATCACAAGCCTCTGAAGTATCCCTTTAAAAAAATGAGTTACCCAAACAACGACGACTTCCTTGCTGATTCAATTCATGATGAAGAGGCCAACAGTGGAACACAAGAAAAGATTGGACCTTTTATTTTGAAGAAAACTCTCGGAGAAGGATCAACAGGAAAAGTAAAGTTGGCTATCCACAAGGATACGGGTGATAAAGTCGCGATCAAAATTATCAACAAGAAAATTCTAACGCACAAACCTCATCTGAAGAAGAAGGTGGAAAGAGAAATAGCTGTAATGAAAATGATTCGTCATAAGCATATCATCAGACTGTACGATGTGTTACAAACAAAAAAGTATTTATTCTTGATTATTGAATACGTGGAGGGAGGAGAATTGTTTGATTATATTGTAGAAAGAGGAAGACTTACCATAGAGGAGGCCTTCCATTTCTTTAAACAGATTATTCTTGGAGTTGAATATTGTCATAAACAATTGATCTGTCACAGAGACTTGAAACCCGAGAACTTGTTATTGGACAGATACAAGAACATCAAGATCGCCGATTGTAAGTTTGAAATCCCTGAAAATATTTACGTTGATTAATTATTACATGATGGACAGTTGGTATGGCATCACTCATGGAAGAGGGCAAATTGTTAGAGACCTCCTGTGGTTCTCCTCATTAGTAAGTAACTGAAATCATTGATTCATTTGTCATTGAGCATTTCAAATAGCGCATCTCCTGAAATAGTAAAAGGATTAAAATATAACGGTATGGAGGCCGATATTTGGAGTATGGGTGTTATCCTTTATGCTCTTCTCACAGGAAGATTACCTTTTGATGATGAGACTTTGCATGTTCTTTTGGCCAAGGTCAAGGAAGGAAAATATGAAATTCCACAATTTTTAGATGAGGACGTTCGTGACTTAATTTCTAAAATGTTGAAATTAAATCCTTCTGAGAGAATTACGATCAAAGGAATTAAAAACCACCCTTGGTGGAGAAAAATGGAAAAGAAGATGAGTCTTGTAGAACAAACTCTTCATCACACTTCATCAAGTGAAGAAATCTCTCAACAAGATGCTATTCAAGAAAAACTTCTTCAGCACAAATTGGAAAATATTGGGGCTTCTTCATCTGAAGCTACTGCAGAAAACCATATTCAAGAGACAACTAATATTTGTGAAAATATTGAGCCAACGGACCAAGATGTAGACTCTATTCCAAAGAAGGAGGAGGAGTATATGGTTCAATTGGATGAAAATTCTATTGACCCTGAAGTTTTTCAATCTACACTTGAAAAGACGGGCTTGACAGAACAAGCTTTGAAGGAGGCACTTATGGCACCAGAGTAAGTTGTTGTTTATTGAGATCCGGTATCTAAATATTAATCTAACAAAAATAGGAAAAATCTGGAAACTGTATTGTACAACCTTATTTTACAATACAAACGTGAGTTGGGAACCGCACAAACAAACGTTTTTAACACCTCAAAATATAGGTATGCAATTTATCTGTGCTTTTTAATAACCTAATTTTATATTGTTGTAGTGTTGGTCCATGTAATCCTCTCACAGTACCTGTAGATAAGGCAGCAGAACTGAGAAAAAGATTGCAAGAAGCAAACGGTGAAGATATCGAACAAGAACCTGTTAATGAGCCATCTGGAGAAAAGGAACAAACTGGTATTAAATGGTTTGCGTTTTGGAGAAAGAAAAAGACAAATCAGAAAGACGATTCCTCAAAAAAGAAACAAACTCCATCACAATATGGCCTTCATAGTAGAAAAAGTCAAAGCGAAATTTTAGCTGAAGTCACTCGTGTTTTTAAAGTTTTGCATATTCAGTTCGAGAAAGCTTCAGAATCAACTGTAAGATTTGGATGTACATTCCCTGTAATTAAGCAAGGAGAGCAAAATGATACCGTAATTGGAGAAAAGCAAGTCATCATGGACATGACAATGAGTGCATTGGAAAATGATGGATTTGTTTTGAACTTTACTTTGGTTTCAGGAAAAACCTCCGATGCTCGTATTTTGTTTGATGCTTTGCAAGATGAAGCAGAGCTTTGAGGAATTTGGCTCGATTCTATCTGCACCAATAATAATAACATTTATCTTTGTAAAATATATATTCCCAAGCCTCTGAACTTTCCGCACGCATTCATAAATTCCCTGTACCTCACAAAATAAAAATGAACAAATTGAACACTGCATTCCACTCCAGCCGTTGTGTCGGAATGATGAGAACACGAGCTGGAAGTTACGTACAACAGACATACGTTCAATTTTTATTGAATGCAACAACAATTAATAGCAAGTGGGAAATGACAACAAGATATTACTCATCATCACACATAATAGAGAATGATGAAATTTCGTTGAGAAATTTTGATTCAAGTCATGATTTGCAAAAATCAAAATTGACATCATTTCCGAGATCTCATCCAAAGAGTCAATCTACAAAGCAATACATATCAAGGAATTGGAACACTCTCAATTTTCTACTTCGATTTGATTCTGCTTCCATTCTCTCTATCGCTTTGAAACGCCCAAATATTCAAATGTTTAATTTTCTGATTTGCACTTGTGTCCAGAACGGGAATCTTACATTAGCAAGAAGCTATTTGCACAATTTAAGAATACTTTTACAAAAACTAACGTTGATGTCAAGTCAAAACATTTTCTTAACCAAATTATTGTGGCTTTATTGAAACGGTCTCTTAAATCTAGCGACTTTTCAATAGAAGAGGCGGAAGAATATTTCTCGTATTTGGAGAATTTGAATTGCGTTACAAACCTCTCACTCATCACAATGTTAGAGATGTACAGAAAGTCTTTTGAGATGGAGAAGGCGTTTAAATTAGCAGATAGATATTGTAACAAATTCCAAAAGGACCTCTCAGGAGTTCTAGTATCCCGAATTATTCTGATCTCTTCAAAGTTAGGAAATACTGCAAAAAGAACTGAGTACGGAAATAAGTTTTTGAATTGGTTGAATCCGAATGCAACCATTGAGGCGCAGTCCATGTGTTATGAAAATCTCATCGCTTGCTATTTACATAATCCTCACAAAACTCTTGAAATTCTTTTGCATATGGAACAAAATCACATGATAATTTCAGATAAGGTGAAAGAGTTTTTTTTCTTGCAATACGAAATTAAGAAATTGAAAAGAGAGAATTCAGAATTGTCACTGACACCCAACATCTGTCAATCAAATAAGAGCAAGTCTCATGAACAGTTAGGACATGATCCTTCTTCAATTACATTCAGGCCACGAGAAGAGTCTACATACAACCAGCAAATAGTGTCGCACGTTTTGAACGACGATCGCTTTTGGTTAAGTTTAAACCATTCCTCATCGATTAATCCAAACTCAAACTTGACTCAACTCCGTTCATCAAGATTATTGCCGGACAAGCTTTCATTTTCCCAGTTCTCCAAAGTATTTTCATCACACTTCATTATGCAACACTACAAGTAGTTGATCGACATGTGGTCATCGGTTTTTAACCTCTACTTTCAATTTCCAATACGTGAACCAAAAATACGGAAAAGTCACTTCCGGTTTCCAAGACAAGTCCGAGTTTGATTGCGTAGAGCGGTGATTCGCATATTTAGAGCTCTAATATTCCACACAAAGTCAAAGAAAACCAATTGCGATATGAATGAAGAATCTCAAAAAGGCTCTGGTCATCTCGCTGAGTATTGTTATGCCTTTCATGGAGTTCGAAATTGGCATTAGCAATGTGGATAATGCATTGTGAGTAATGCGTTGTTTGTATTTTCATGTTAATTCTAATCTTCATGAAGGAGAGCATTTATTCCTCACTGTCCCAAACACAAAAAAAACAACGCAAAGAAAGACAGCAATAATCTTTGATCCAGTTCGTTTCCTCTTGTACTTCTCTCCCTAGTACCTGATCAAGCGAGGCAGACAACATTCCCTCTTATCCAACCTGTGTACATTTAAATTCTCGAAAAGAGCTTTGAGACAACATACACTCGAATCGTGTAGAGAAACACAAGTAAGTGTCTTAGTCATAACATTCAACGACCGTTCAACAATGAATGCTCGTCATTCTCACTGGTCTCACATACTACTACGCACAAACTATTTTGTGAATCATCAAATGATGATTGGACTTGGTCCTAAATAGCCTTTGCAAACAGTCCTTTTTGCCTTTTATTTCGGTTTGTCTGCAAATACACACGTTTCACTTTCCAAAAAATGTCTTCTGAATTACCAACACATCTCGAAAACAAGAATGGTCATCCTCTCGAAACGATCATACCATCCAAAACACCTGTGAATACCTCCTCCTCTTCAACTGCACATGATAGCCATCATGGTCAAGAAGCATCCTCTTCTCTCTTAACGGTAGGATATGGCCAAAATCATTCAAGTTTTGCAAGTTCTTCAAGTGGATTTTCCACTCAAAGCATGGATCCGTTATTGCCCAGCTCAAATGAAGGAGGTGAGTTGAACAACAACAACAACAGTAGTAGCAACACAAGTACCAGACCTACTACGGCTCTCACTGCTGCTAGCTTGTATGGATCAAGCGCTCCCTTGAATATACCTTTCAGAGATCATGACGATAGTGATTCTTGTGCCACCTCTCATAGTGGTGGTGGAGGTGGAGGTGGTTGTGAAACAGACAATGAAGAGAGTTCGAATCGAACACCTTACTCTCCTCAAATTCAATCCACCTCACTCAATCATCATGACCGTACGAATACAAAACTCACAGGCAAGACCACCTTCACTTCCAGTGTGACTCATATTGAATTAGAAACTATTCACAACAGTAATAAGAGCAATCATGGAGACTCTAAAAGTAATATCATGTCCTCAGCCACTTCTGGAAAATCACCCTCTCGTACTCAATCCAATACCAATTCTAAAACAAGTGGTAGTGAGCATGGTATTAGAATCAAGACATGTTGTGGAACGATTGAACTTTCATGTCTTAAAGTAGTGAATGTATTTTCCTTATTAGTGAATTTAGTGGCCTTTGTTGCATTGGGAATTATTATTGTCGTTAGTTATACAGGTGGACAAGCTTATAACGCTGTTTTAGATGGTCTCGACACAGATACTACTTATTATAGACAAATGATGATTTCGAGTGCTCGTTCGACTGCATTCTGTAACTTTACTCCTTCTGTTTCCAAAAACTATTCGATTGAGTATAACATGTATTATCAAAAGTTTATAGAAAATATCAATGTCATTCTCAAAGTGGTTCCAAAAGAATTGCAATATCCCGCTGTACATAATATAAGTCTTGCCGATTTGAGAACATCAAAGGCAATGACTGTGGAACGTATTGCATTGAATCAATCAGCATTGGGAAATTACCAAAGTGCAATGAATTTACTCGACTCAGACAATTACAAGTATTTTGTGGATGGTTACGATATTGAATTTCAGCCACTGGTTGATTTTTTGCATGCTTTGGATATGGAAAGAAAAAGTTTCTCTCTTCTCACAACTACATTGTCGTTGATTGTGATTTGTGTGTCTATTGCTATTGTCATACCAGTCGTGCTAAGTTCGATTGGCTTTTCGTTGAAGAGAGATTCAAGTAATTCAAAGAAGTTGAAACAATTGAAGGCCACACAACTCTCAGAAACCATGAAGGATAAAAAGTCAAGAGAACTCTTTAGAGCTCACTGTGCCTCGGAGTTTTCACTTGAAAATTTCATGCTCTTGGATAAGATTACAGATTACAAGGAGTACTCTGAGAGAAGCTTCCAAATACAAGAATACTTGTATGACAATGATCAAAGCGAAGAAACTGCATCAACCATTACATCTGCAAGCTCTTCTGAACAGCAACCAAAGAGAAAGAAGAAGAGGGGATTCACAGAGAAAGATTTGATGCAAATTGAAAAGAAAAAGTTTGAAATTGCATTTGAAATTTACTCAGAGTATTTAGACGTGCATGGAGACAAATCTGTCAACATTAACAAACAAGCCTCAGAGTCAGTCAAGGAACAATTAGACTATTATGCCACGGGCCAAAGCGAACACTTACCAGACCTATTGTTCGATTCAATTTACAACGAGATTTGTATTCTCATGTTGGATTCTCACCATAGATTCATAATGAATCAAGAGGCAAACAAACAGGCAAAGAAAGAGCAAATCAAAAAGAGGGAAAAAGCAAGGAAGCTCAAAATTTAACTAGTTAAATAGGGCAACATTAAAGTTTCATGTTCAATAATCAAGTATTTATTGTTGAACGGCGCTTGCGGTATTTGGGCGACCTGTTTGGTTGAGACTCTTTTTAAGAGCGAATTTCTCTCTCTTAAGATTGTTCTCCTTTTCTTTAAAGTTTAATTCATTAGCCACAAGATTCTCTTTCAGAGCAGCAATTTCATCTTGCAGAGTTGAAATCTTCTTTTTCAATAGTTTTTGGTCTGCAACTTTTGATCTATCTAAAACCTCAATCTTTCTTTCCAGTGACTCAATCACAGCATCTTTATCAGAGATTATGTTTTCTCGTTCGGTTGCCAGTTTTCTCAAATCATCAACGTCTTTCATGATCAAATCCACAACTGAAGCTGGGACAAACTCATTCTTTTGTTCGTCAGATTCTTCTTTGATCTGCTCTAACTTTTCTTTGATAATTTCTGGATTGCGTTTACAGTCTTTGAGTAATTTATCAACCTTAGTTTCTTTCAAAGCTAGTTCAATAGACTCATATCTTTGTCTCAAAGATTCAATCTTCTTATCTTGTACTTGAATCGTTTTCTCAAGAATGGCTTTTTGCTCTTGCAATTTTTTAACCTCGCTGTGTAAGAATCGTTTGTCTCCTTCTAATGTTTTGACAGGAACAACATCTTTTTCGATGACTAGCTTTGAAATTTCTTTATCCTTTTTAACAAAGGATCTCTCAGCTACCCTAATTTCTTGTTTCAATCGCTCATTTTCCTTGGTGACAGCTGCAATTTTCTTTTTATATTCTTCAAACTCTTCGGACGTGTTTTTGAGGGTCTCTACATGATTATTCAATTCTTCGAGGCTCCTTGTTTTCATTCTTGTAATTTCTTGCAGAGTTTTAATCTCCTTTTGAGCCTTTTCTAACTTCAAAAGTAACTCTGCATTTCTGCATTCAATTTCATATACCTTGTCGTGCTTGCCCTGTAATGTTGCCATTTGCTTTTCGATTGTTTCAATAGCTTTGTCCTTCTTCTCAATGGCTACATTTAAGGTACGAATCTCAGTTTCTAATGAGCTGATTTTTACGTTTTTAAGCTTGATTTCATTTTCTAGCCCCAGGATACGATCGAGAGCGTCTTCTTGAACAACGGTTCTACTCTTTGTGTCTGTTGTTTTTTGCCTTTGAAGAGAGGCGATAGCATTATGTTCCTCAAGTACTTTCTTCTCGGATTGAAGGGTTTTAATTTCTATTTCTTGTGCACGAGATCGTTCCTTAATCTTTTCAAAAACATCTTGGAGATTTTCAAGATCAAGTTGAGTTTTTTCAATGGATTGCTCTTTCTGTTTTACAACCTTTTCAAGGACTGATTTTTCGTTTGAAACAAGATCAAAGGCTTTTTGAAGATCTTTAAAGTCTTGTTCCAAACGAATGTACTTGGCATATAATTCTTGTGATGGAGATTGAACTGAGAAAGGAACTGCTCTTTTACTTGGTGTTCTGAGCTTGTCTTTTCTAAACATATCAGAGCTATTGAGGTCCAATGGAGGAACCACAGGCGCTAATGAAGAAGCCACTATTGGAGAGCTTGATTGTTCCGGAACATCCTCTGCTACAAACTCTTCATCTTCGGTTTTTTCCATAGGTGTTGTTGTTTTCTCCTCTTCATCAAGTGAGGCTCCTTCCATTCCTAATATTGTTGTTGTTAGAGATGATGGTTCGGTGGCTGACATGAAAATTTTTTTTCAATTACAATTTTAAATAAGGCGCCAATCCGATGCTGCTCTACCAAGCACAAATCATATTGAGAGATATCAAACCTGTGATTCAATGCTTCCATCCACTCTCATGTCCATTTGCTTGATATGGCTCCAAAAAACCTCGAAATATTATTTGGTTATCGTCTTCATAGCACATTGAACTCGTAGAGATGCTACTACAGCGGTTATTGGAGTGGTTGATAGCCTCAACTGCTGATTCACTGGTTGTTGATACATCAATGATATTATGACTAGTCGATGAGTCAACAAGACTAGTGGTGTGATGCATCATGCGTGGGTTGTTGTTCTCCGTATTATTATGAGGATGATGATGCGAGGAGAGATGTCTCTTATAGATCCACCTTGATCCGTAACCTTCATGATTTCTCACTTCAATACAAGGTACATTGTGTGGAAGGGTATGGCTATTAATGAAGGTTGCTTCATCAAGAATCTTGGAAAGAATTGAAAGTGCTGTTTTGTTTTTCTGTTGTGCATTTCCTTTGAGGATGTTCGAGCCTCCCCACCACTTGTCTGTTTCACTTCGATGACAATGTTTTGCAAGAGCTCTTGCACCTACGGTCAGACCACTACTTGGTTCCAAGACACGACAAAATGCAGTAACGAGTGCAGAATAGGTTGGAATAAGATATCGAATACTTCCAACGGTTTTTCTCATTCGTAAACATGTTTGAATTCCTCTCAAGCCCATATCCCTGATAATTGAATGGACCATTTCTTGAATGTGTGGTATTTCTTGATCCATCGCTTGTTTCAGTGCTAGTATTCTGTTCGTAAAGGTTTCTTCAAACATTGAATAATAGTGCCAATCGTCTTCTAGCAAAGTGAATTTTTGAAATTGAATTGGAAATTGGTTTTGTTCCATCCACAAGATCCAAATAAATGCAATCTATTTGTTTTTAATTAATATAAATATTGATTAAAACGTTAATAAATAAATATATCATGATGCAATGTAACAGTATTATTGATCATACCTCTTCAAATAAGTTTGAAAAACTCCTTGTCGGATATCCAATCATAATTTTTCTAATACACCCTTTAGATTCGTCATGTTGATCAAAATATCGAACATTGTTTATAAGCTCTTGAATGTCCAAATTCTTGTCTGTTTGATGATCGTCAACGGATGTGAAATTATTCACACCGAAACAACTCTTCAAATAATTTAATGTTATTGGAATGGGTGTCGGATCCATGTTTAAATGTTGGGAAATTGGTGTAGAATGATTTAAATATTTAAGATGAACCCATTCCATCCACTCACTACTCCTTTCCGATAAGATATAATTTGTGAATGAACATTGAATATAATTTACAAGCTTATGGAATCGCTCACAGATCACAGACATTTTTAAAGTGATTACAAAAGCTTGTAAACCACATCCTCTTTGACCTGTCGTACCACAGGGGCATCATGAGCAGTACAATTCAAAGCCTCTTCCTTCTGGCACAGTCACAGGGTTTGCAAAGTTTTGGGCAATGCACTCACCGCAATAATTCTCATTGTCTTATTGTACTTTGGATTGAGCAGCTGGATGTAAATTTGATGAAATACCTTGTTAGTTTGACGATTGGATTAAATTAATTTAACAAAACGAATAAAATAATAAAAAAAGTAAACATGGAAATTGAGACCTTGCGATCCAGATAACATCGGTGGGTATTATTTAGACCAATTTCTCCAATTGTATACATTCAGTTTTAACTCAAAAAACATAGACCCAATTATCTTATTGCCAATACAAACACTTCTTGTTAAGGTCAATCTCCAGCCAAGTACATTGCTTGCTGCTCTGCGGAGTGAGTTTGTGCGGAATACCGTGTGCAGATGAAAAATCTCATCCACTCGAGATTGCTTGTGTAGTAATCTCCATGCGACCTCAACAATATTTTGTGCGTCCGTCTGAAAACATCAAACACAAAAACAGACGCAGTCCAATCACAAAAAATTGATTCTTTCACGTAAACACATTCTTTCTGTATCACCATCATGAACATCTCAGATGCTATTCTCACCTATCTGAACGAGAACAAACACACGTGCGATGCTGAAACAATGGTGAATAACATTCACACCATGGTTCTGCGATGGCAACAAGAACAGCAACAATTCATGAACAATCATTTCTCTACTCCAACGACTGAGAACCCTGCTCTTCCCCAAACGATCCATAACAGCAGCAGCTTACTCCCTTCACGAACTGCTGCTGACATGCTCGTGGCCGTGCCATCACAACAACCACAACTCGCTAGCCCAACAACCAACCAAACAGCAACCACAGAATCCTTGTGGATGATGAATGGTAATCAACCAACACCGCCCCTGTCGACGCTCCACCAACCACCGATCACTGCGGCCAACAACCAATCGTTGCACGGCTCTGCTTACAACACTCATCACAACACGACACGGCAACAACAAGGATGCAGCAGCAATACTGCCCCACACGAACAACAACAATCAGTCATGAAAATCTCATCGACCGCTACGGCCCATCCTCAATCCCTCAAATCGTCTAGCGTTACAAAGCCTTCTCATATGACCACAGAAGCGCAAACTATTAACTCGTCGTCGGGGAACATTGCTACAAATCATCATCATACAAACACAATTTCAAGTCAAGACATTACCTTATTCATAAAACCTGCTCGTAAGACAGCCAAGTATTTCCTCATGTACATCCCTCCTAAATTGTATTGTAGTCCTTACAAGTATGATCTCATGCTTCGAGTTCCAACTCACATCAATGATTCCTATGACTTTATATTTACTCTTCGTGATGCAGAAACCGGAGAGAAGATTACAAAGAATAATAAGGGAGTTGAAGCCTATTGTATTGAACGAACTAAAACTCAAAGAAAGAATTACCTTAAACCTGGTTTTTCAAATGCTACATTCCGTTTGAACTTTTCAGTATGTAGCTTCCACAATGGCAGAAAGCCGTTCATTCTAACCATTCATCTCCGAAGCAAATCCTTGATGCATTGCATGATGAATACAGGTGGCGAGATGGAGGATGATCAATTGCTCTTAACGAGTGAACCTTTCTCTATTTTTGCAAGAAAAGCAGGAACAAGAGGTCAATCCACCGATGATGATTGGGGAGTAGTGGCTCAACAAGGAGGAGGAGGAGACTCATCCGAACCACACGTAGGCTCAAGTACTGAGGACGAGGAAGTAAAAACACCTAAAAAGAAGAAGGTACCTTCATCATTGACAAAGAGAAAGAGAGGTTCAGACCATGATGAGGCTAGAAGTGAACAACGAATGACACTCACTACCAAATCATCAAAAAAGACTAAGAGATCTTCATCTAAGGTAGAAATCACTCACACTGAGAATAGCCATGCGAGCAGTAGTAGCACTAGCAGCACTAGCAGCGCAAGTTCATATTCCGATGATCATCAAGCAAATCATGATCATCATCCATTGGCCAATTTTAATACTCAACAATTGACCACAGTGAATATTGCAACAGAGTTTGATCAACTTTCTGAACCACCATCATCACAACAACCACAGCAAGAAGTACAGAACAACACTTCCTTTAACAACTTGTTTGAAACCGATCAATGGTCTCAGCTCTTTGAAAACAGTGCTCTCTCACCTGACATTGCTCCGTTCTTGGAAGAAGAGATTGTGTCATGCCAAAAGCAACCACAACCACAATCAGCCATCTATGAGCAGTTTGGTAGAGATTCCATGATACAAGAGCAGCAACAACCCGCTGTAGATCTAACCATGGCGCTGTATCAAGAGCTGTTGAAGCAATTCAACCGAAATACTTCTCAATTACCTTCTTTCATTGCTCAACCTAAGCCTGAAGCGAACCAAAAAATCTGGTCTCAACAAATTCAACAACCTCAATATCAACAACAAACGTTGCAGAACACAACAACCGTTGATCCTCTTGATTTGGGAAGGCTGTTGCGAAATAATAACAACGTTTCATTAAGTACCAATGTACAGCCATCTCACAACACAAACAATAATTTGTTGTTGACCATTGATGAGTCTTTGTACACAAAGCTGTTTGGAAACAACTACAATCCAAACCATTACTTTTTTAACAATTAAACACTTGTAAATTATGAAAACGTCTTTTATGATAAATATTTTTCAAACCATTCTGAATAGGATTATTCTGTGTTGTCTCGTTCTACAAGTTCAGCTTTTTCTCGAGCAGTTCCACCTCGTTTGTTGATAGCAATATTGTCCTCATCGTTGTCATCTTCATCGTCGACAATGTAATTCTTCTTTACATTTTTCAGTTCATAATTATCATCATCTCCCAAATCCACATAAGTGTTTGTGTTTCTGCCAATTGCTGCTTCTCTATAACCCTTTTGAGATGTTGTCACTGCTCTGTATTGTAGATAAAGATAGATGGAAAGGAAGGCAAGAGCAGGAATACAAATGATGGCAAGTAATCCAAACGCAATGGACAAGTTCGAATAAGTTTCAACCCTTTCAGCCAAATAAGCATATGGAATGAAAGAATAGGAGGAGCATCCTGTCGATAATTCAAAGTTACCAGTCATGACAATGGCATAAGGTTGAGGTCCTTTGGTAACAGCATTACCTCTCACGACAATGTTATAAAGACCTACTGGGTCTAATTTGTCCAATTCAACTTGCTCCACATTATTCAGTTGATCTGGTTCTGCTCTTGTTTGCTTCACTGATGATTTTCCTCCATTTCCAAATAATTTATCACCTTTTGGTGTGATCACTACTAAATCCAAATCATTGATCAGGTGAATCTTGGCAGCAGGTGAGCTTGGAGGATCAGTCCAAACCACTGTAACCTTTAAAGGATTATCACCTTGAGATTTAACATTTAAACAATATTGATGAGTTTGGCCAGTAGTCAATTGAGAATCCACTCGATTTGGTACATAAAGTCCCATACTCTTATCCATAACATTGCTCAAATCAATGTGGCCAAAACCTTGCATGTAGGTGCTTTGAAGTGAAAAAGTATGACCCTCTTGATATTGAAGTGGCCAATATTGATGTTTTGAGAGAAGGTGAACGTATCCAGTTAATGGCTTTGAAGAGTGAATCAAAGTAGCTTTTACAAGTGCAGCACTTGGATTGAATCCTTGACTTGGATTCTTACTTCCTGTGAGATAACCCTCTTGGTAGAATTGACGTACTAAGGCAGCAGCTCCTGCAGCTAGTGGAGCAGCCATGCTTGTTCCTTCGTGATAAACCATTTGATCTCTAATGTTTGTTTGTGTACCACACTTTTTAGATTCTGTAGTTCCAGCAGAAAGGGAAGAAAGAATTTTCTCTCCAACAGTGACGACTATTTTCAAAAGTATGAGAATAGTGTTGGGTCATGTAATATTGAGCATGACATGTTGTCGAATCACAAAAAAATACCTTGAATCAAATAATACACTCCCGAATATTAACTTACCATCTGGCTTAATTCGTCCATCAAGAGTAGGACCTCTTGCTGTGAAAACTGCAAGATTTTCCTGACTATAGTATTCTGGATGTTTTTGCATTTCAAGCCCAATACATTGTGGACAACATCTGAACCCAATGGTCAAAAATGGAGAAAAATCTTGAACACCACAACATTCAGTTGAAACTGTCTTGCAAGAAGTGGCACAACAATCGTTTTCAGATTGGAAATTTTTTGCTTTCTCACACTTGTCTGGATCATAGAGATCACTCGCCTTGAGACAGAATTTTTGATAAAGTTCAATCCTTAGTCTGTCAATGATTAATTGAGTCGAAGTAATATTGAGACTTTGTTGGAAGCTCTGAAGTGTACTCAAAGAGGCTCCAATGGATAAAGTATTTTTGGCTTCTGCTTCACTAGTCAGAGAGGCGTATCCAAAAACACCACCACTGTTACCTGCAGCAAAGACTGGAAGGAAATCCTTCTTTTCCCATGCGAATTGATCAATTTCTCTCGAGTTTGTAGAATAACCAAAGCCAAAGTCTTTGAAAAATCCTGTTCCCCAAGAACTACTCACAACCTTTGCTCCATTTTGATAGAAATATGGGAAATAAGAAGCATACAGATCTAAAGGTAAGTACACGACACCAAACTTCTTTGGACACTTCTTTCCATCCTTCATATCACATTCACAAAGGGTGTCAGAAGGACAAGAGCATCCATCATCACTGTCACAACCAGCTACAAGTTATGATAATGCTAAAGCAATTATCGATAAAGCTGCAACTTACCATCAAGGAATGCAAGCTTGGCATCCTTAGCAAGGGCGTCATGGTCTTTCAAATCTGCAGGAATTGCACTTGGATGAGTGCTTCCAGCCGCAATACCAGCTTTACAGATGTCAATTTGTTCCATAAATCAATTTGAATTGCATCAAACAATTATTGCATTACTTACTGACGTGTGTTCCATGTCCCATTGGAGAATCAAGAGCGTCCATGTAAGTCCAAAATGACGCAAATTTTCTGTGATTAACATTTTGCACAGAGTCACGTAAATTTCTTTGGAAAGGAGGTTTTGATTTGTCATCATAGAAAAAACAATGATAATAATCGACACCTGTGTCACCAACACCAATAACTTGTCCAGAACCTGTAAGTCCCATACCCCAAATTGGTTTGTCAGTTGGCTTCTTATAGCTCTGAACCAAAGCATTGGAATATCTGCCATGAATAATGGTTGGTGTCTTAATTTCCACCCAATGAACTAGACCATGTTCTTTTAGTTTTTCTGCCAATTTCAAAGCGTGTTGATGTCCATTAACGCCAATAGCAATTTTTTCATTAGATACAGCCTTAACGCTTACATTGTCGTCCTCAGAATTTTCCTTAACAAGTTTCATCAGAGGAGAATTGACATTGGAAATTTCATTCAACTCTAATTCTTCCTTAGATTCATGCTTTGCCATCGTAACCATTATAACAAAGTGTACATCTTTTCCTTTATCCTCATTTGATAGTAATTTTCTAGTGAGATATCTGAATGCATCATCGTAAGGTAAATCTCCTCTCATCACTCGCTCAACGACAACGGTTTTATCCAAATGCACTTCCAAAACATCTCGTGGTACAGATTTATGATCCCTATCGACCAAACCAATCCAACAAACCTCCTCGCTAGTACCAATACTACTAAACCATCCATTGCTATTACTACTCATCTCACGATTCAAATACTCCTTTAATCTCAACACATTCTTCTCGGAGCCACTGATCATAAAGGTTCTCTGAGGGAGATAGTGTCCGAGACGAACCGTAAATTTTTTGGCTTGTTCTTGGAGCCAATGAAATTCTTCTTTCGAGTGGCACCCGTCTTTGGAGTGTTGATGTGTTTCAGCAATGCGATCATAAAAGTGTTTATGAAAGTGCAAGAAAAATGTCTTGATGTCATTCCCTTCTGTTGTGGCCGTCGTTGCAAGAGTAGTTGTCATGTCATGAGTTTCAGAATTTTGACTTGTTGTTGATGTAGAATAGAATGGACTCATCATGAATTGAAATAATTTAACAAGAGACGAAGTAGACATGCCGCCATTCTCCATCATCATGGAAGATGAAACCATGGTTGAAAAGTGATCACGAGTAGTTCGGGTATGAATCGTATGTCCACTTCTGAGATGAATTGAGTTGTAATGACGATCAATTTCTTGTTGTTTTTGAATGGACAGTTTATGATTGCTTGTTGTGGTCAAATTTGATGGTACAAAATTCTCATGCATGAGAAGTGTCATGAGAAGAAGAGAGCATGTGGCGACAAGCACTCCACTCATGACAAGCAATGTTCTGTTTGGCACACATTTTGACTTGAATGTTTGAATCCGATCATCACCATCCACTGCAATTATTGTTGTGGCCTGGTTTGTTTCAGACATTTTTTTTTGTTTTGAAGTCACCTGTCGATCTGTAAATGACTTGACAGAAGATGAACTCTTGTTTGTGAGGCGGTGTTGTAAAGTTCTCTGATAAGGTTTCCCAATATTATACCACAATTTATTATCTACAAACGTCACTGAATATCAATCTTGTATGCACGTTCATCGTTGTGGATAACTGGGCTGTACATGATCAAATGGAAGCTTGTTGTTGTATTTCCGTTTTTTGTTGTTACTTTCGTTTGTGACATCAACGTAGTTGCTGTAGTTGTCAAAACTTCGTTTGAAGGAAGACCCATTATCGAAATTGTAGTAATTTGAATGGTCAGAACCACTGTTGCCATTGGAAGGATATACAGTTGCTGATTGTTGGATAGTGTTTGTGGTATTCTCATGAACACCATAAGGGTTGACATTAGGATAATATTGATGACTAGTGTAAGGATTGCCAGAGAGTGAATTTGTGTTGCAGACTGTAGTCGATGGTGAAGGATAGTATATCGTGTTAGGTTGGTTGGAATAATCTCGGGTATAAGTATCATTCGAGTATCTGTGATAATGTCGTTCGTTTGAGTTTTTGTTGTAATTTCTTGAGAAATAGTTTCCTCTTCGATTGATATGTTCTCTCCTATTTCTATCATCTTTCCTCTTCTCGCTCTCTTGTATGTGTTTTAATGTTTCTTTTTCTGCTTCCTCTTGAAGCAAGCACGATGACTCTAAATCCTCTGATAAATCCAATTCCTCGATCCCGTCTTCTATCACAAACCAAGATGTGTTTAAAAATGAATTGATATTTGAGGTATTTTTGATAGAATTCGTTTCACTGGTTGAAAAATATTGAGGATATTTAGTTGGGTTAGATTCATGTTGTTTTTTCAATTGTTCCATATCATCTGTTGATATTATCTTCTTGTCATCATAATTAATTAAATTGTCCTCCAAATATGGTCCACCACTTAAACTCGGCTGAGATGGTATTTTGTTCATTAAATTTTCAACCATACTGATGGCCTTTTCTCCATGGACTGCAACGAATATATTTGAAGTTTGATTAAATTGTCTTGCTTTTTCTTTCTGGAGCTTCTCTTCTCTCAACCTCTCAAGCCTTTCTTGTTCAGTTTCAACTCCAAGCTCATATTTTTGTTTAGAACTTGATTGTATTAAAATTTCAATAAACCAAAGAACAAGTGCTGATGTTTCAAGACCTAAAATAGGCTCAACTTTTTGAACAATTTCCGATTGACGTTTCCCGCTATTTATCAATACAAATAAATAATTCTGTGTCATCAATTACGTTTTTCATTGTTTCATGTTCTTGTGATGTATCACGTTGCAATGTTGTTATCAAACATACTGGTAATAATTGTTTTAATTTTGTTTTTCGGGATTCATCCAACATGTTCATAGTATCAATTTTATCCACCAATAACTTTTTACATATTCTATTTGATAGTCATTCAATTGTATACAGTGTTTTGAAGCATCTAACATTTTACCTGCTTTCGTTGATGATAAAAAAGCAAGTGTATTTTTGAATTTTTTTTAAAATCAACAAGTATAAAATATTGAATGTTTATATTAATAAGACAAATCAAATGCAAGCTCATTTCTACTTTAGTGATTGTAACTGAGCTTGAAGAACGGTCAATACAATGAAGTGATTATTCTGACATCATCATGCTGTGTCGTTGTTTCTTTTTCGTTTGAAGTGAACTTTTGTCCATTCACAAAAAAATGCCAGCACTTCTCCACGTGAAAATTCTTGAAGGTCGCGACCTATTAGCCAAAGACGTGACTGGCTCGAGTGATCCGTATGTGGTCGTGAAACTTGGTTCTACAACAAAGAAGACCAAAGTCAAGTATGTTTGATTCATGGAGTGTATGGAAATTTGTTAAATCTTGTATCAATTTTTGTGTGATCTCAACAACGGTGTCATGATGTGATATATCAACATCAATAATTAGAAAGCAAACACTACATCCTGTCTGGACGATGAAGAATTCGATCTTCCAGTGAGTGATCCACTCAAAGAAATGATTGTCTTTGACGTGTATGACAAAGATCTCTTGACTCAAGATGATCTTTTAGGATATTGTTCAGTTCCTTTGAATACACTTCGTAAAGGAGTGAAAGAGAAATTGACACTCACATTGATGGGTGTAGAAAGAGGCTCTCTCATCGTTGAACTATTCACCAATGATTTTGGTCGTGGCTCTTCCGAAGAAGATTCTCATATCATTTATGATTTGCATGGAAACAAGTTTATTCACTCTGAAATGATTCACAAGAGTCATGATATCATGAATAACAACCATGGAGAGAAGAAGACGAACAATAATACAAGTAGTTGTGGTAGTAATAGTAATAATAGTACTGGTGCGGGTACTGATACTAATAGTCATGGAACAACAAGTATCAATGGTAGCAGTATTGAACAAGTCATTGTCTCATCATCCAGTCCATCAACAACAGCAACAACAACAACACCACCACAAATCACACCAATGGGTATTCCATCTGCAACCATGACCACTCCTCCACCCACCATGTGGGTGCATCATACAGTACTGACAACGGTTACCACAACCACCTTTGTACCATTGACTGCTTCATCCACCACGATCGTTGCCATGGACAATGCAATTGCTGATACTAGTTGTACTACGACTGGTATTGTACCTTTTGTGAGCTCATCATCATTCTCTCAAGGTATGGAAGACATGCAGCACTCCGACATTCAACACTCTTTATTATCCATTCCAGACGAAGTACTAGGATTGATTTTATCCTTCTCAACCATGACAGATGGTGCAAAATGGAGATTTGTAAGCAAGTTATGGAATCACTTGTTAAAGTGCATGTCTTTTCAAGATTCACTTTGTATGATGAATTGAATTTGTCCAATACTCAAGTCATTGATGAACTTAAGAGTAAGAATGTTTCAGAGTTTTTATTGAGAAGAGGACATGTTGCAATTTCATTAGATGACACCTCTAAGGTGTTGGTATTTGGTGGTTATGGAGGTGGTCGACATCACAATGATTTATTTGAAATTGATATTGATTCTAATACTGTGACTTGTAGAGCATGTGATCAAAATGATGATGAACATGTAGATTATGAAGATATCATAATGGGAAGATCTTTCTGTCCAGTTGTTAAGATTGCAACAAATAGATATCTCATTCATGGAGGTTATTGCAATTACACAAGTGATGGTAACCCAAATTTGAGTGATGCATGGATTCTTGACACGAGTGATGTCAATAATCATCAATACAAATTCACAAAATTTAAACAACAAGGACAAGTACCTCCAGCCGTAGAAAGTCATTCTCTTGTGTATTATAATGGACATGTCATTCTATATGGAGGAAGTAGTGTGTTGGATGGAGATGATTTAGGTCAGAAATATAGTGATGTCTATGTACTCAATATTGAGACTGGACAGGTAAGTATGGTGTTGTGAAATAGTTCATCTTCCATAATAATATTAATAATAATGACAATAATATTATTATGCCATATTATTTTGTGAAACTCATTCTCTCAATTTTTTAGTGGAGTAAATTGAGAATGGATGAAAGTATTGACAAGCATCCAGGAGCTCTCACAGGTCATTCATGTCACATGATTGAAAATACCAATCAAATGATTCTCTATGGTGGTTATAATCGAAATGAAGAGACTAATAATAATATTTGGATTTTACATATTGTTCTTCCAGATGAAACTCGTTTCTTTAAAGAATATAGTTATTGGGAACAAGTAACACTCTCTCCTCATAATACATTCCTTCCTCACTGCACATTGTATCATCGCTCTGTACTCGTTGAGAACAAGAAATTATTTGTTTATGGAGGTTCTAGAGATTGGAACAATCAACAGTTGAGCAACCAATTTGTTGTTTTTGATTTGGAAAAGAAGATTTGGAAGAGGATTGATGATGACAAGGAATACTTTTGTTGTAAAACAAATCGTGAAAGTGGAGCGCTACTGAGCTTGTACGGTCATACACTGACTTATTTACCACAGAGTAAGAAATTTGTAGCAACAGGAGGAACAAGCTTTGAATGCAGTTCCGATAATTACAAATCTCTTGCTGAATTTGTGGGTGTATTTCATCAATTATTGCAATAAAGTATGTGCGAGAGTGTTTGTATGGTTTGAGGGTATGGCCCTCCATTCCTTCAATTATGTTCCATGCAGTTATTAGTCGTTGGACGTCCTTGCAACAGAATGGAAACGTTCCAAAGAAATACAACTTGCGGTCCCCAATCTGATTGAAGAAAATTGTTTCGGATCGAAAAAGTTGCCTTGTTGGTCGTTAAAAGAAAAATTTCTCTCCTCAATATTTTTCGATCCTTTACCGTTTCGAAAAGTGTGTTGTAAACTTATCCTGTCGTTACAAAAAAAACAGTCAGGCGTTTTTCCCGCCAATAGAAATTTGAGCCGTTTCACATTTTGACGTACAACATAAATCTCTCCACTTTACTCGTCAAAACAACACAAAAAAATAACTCAATAATCTCATCATACTCGCAACAACAAAATGGTCAAGAAGACAGACAAGAAGGACGTGAAAGCTGATCACTGGACTCAACGTAGAAGCAAGGATGTGGATAAAACCAAACGTTCATGCGTTGAACCAACTAAAATTGATGAGTCCAACATTATCAGCACACCAAGACCAAGAAAGAATATTGACTACAAAGCCGTTCAATTGAAGGGAGAAGTCAAGATGGTGAAGAGAAACACTGCTAACACCTACGACAAGAGAAGTACGACCAAGATTGAAAAGAAGAAGAGATCGGCTGCCGGTACAAAGAAGACTACCAAAAAGAAGGAGGAAAAGAAGACTGAGGAAAAGAAGGAATAATTCTTTCTAAAATTCTCAACATTTAATTCCAAAGCAAATAATCATCACAGCTGATAATTGTAAACACTAATTGTTGCGGTCTACTTGGAAGTCGAGTAGATCAGCATGTTTGTGTTTGTACTCTAAATCATTTAACTTATTAAAATCTAGGCCTCACAAATTCTGTTTTATTTCTGTCTTCCTCCGAGTCGGTGTCTTCGCTATTCTCGTCTTCATGATGCTCTTCAGATTTGTCTTCATTAGAAGCCGAAAGGGTGTCTTCAAAATCTTCAACTTCCTCCTCTTCATCTTCGGAAGCTCTTGCAGAATAGCTCCAATCCCGTGTGGACACTTTGATGCGATCTCCTTGTGCAATAAAACCTGGTACCTTTACTGTGAGCCCATTGTCCAGAACGGCATTCTTTGTCACTGGAGAATGTCTATCATTGGGAATACCACTCACAACGTCGTCTGTCTTTTCAACTGTTGCAAAGAGCGAGGTTGGGAACATTACTTTGATGGCCGTGTTTGTCTCTTCATCAATACCAATAATTATCTTTTTCAAGAAGCCTCCTTTCATAATTTGTATCATCTCATTTGTGAAAATAGATTTTGGAGCAATATATTCAGTTCCATCTTTCATATCTTCAAAAACAAATCCCTTATTGGTCTCTGAGGAATAAGTGACATCCTTTGTGGAGTATTCACACAAATCCAACGACTCTCCTCCTCTGCACTTTTTACTCATTTTCTTTCCTGATAATAAATCCACAGTTTCAAAGGTTACAATAGCATTAGAACGAGCTCGTTTTGCAAAAACATAACGTTCGACTTGAAGATACTTGTTGGCACCATCTTTAATAATGTCTCCTCTTGAAATTTTGTTTACATCTGTTTTTACATTTCTTATAGTTTGCAAAGAACAAGAGTTTATGAGAGAAATTGCAGTGTTTGTTCTTGTTCGGAACGTGAGTGAGCGAAAACAAGCACTTGAATTGAGTCCACGGAAAAGTCTCGATGATGAAGAAGAGAACATTTTTTAAAGATAAATTTTGTTGCCAATAAATAACAGTTTTACTTGTACTTGTTCAATCCTTCATAAGAGTACCATTCAGGAGCCATTTGAGTGAGCAAATCAACGTATTGTTGCATAGCGTCCTCCTTGCTCATTCCCTTGACCTTGTTCCAGGCGTCCCATTTGGCACGAGCAACGAATTGAATAGCGTATGGTTGTGATCCTTTGACATCTCCTTCGGTAACTTGCTTATAGAAAGCATAGAAGAGAAGTCTATCATCATCGGTTAATTCCTTGTTTGAATTCTATTAATTTTGGTACGAGTAAATCAAAAGAACAAGATCACGAATTTTGAAAAATATCGGTGATGAAAAGATCATGAACACGGTTTGTAGAACAAAAATTAAAGAGCAGGAAAGTAATGAAATGTTTCCTTGCAATGATTTCTAAATCAATAAATCATACTTACACCATACTGATCTTTGGCCATACCATCCTGGACATATTTGACTGCCAAGTTGAATTTCTTCTCAAGCTCTGTAGACATTTTTTGTTGTGATGAGGACGGAAGGGTGATGAACGTTTTCTATGAAAAAATGAAATCCCGAAGTGATGAAAGAACTTTGCATAGGAATGCTGCAGGAGGAGATGGTATTTCGTTGATATTAAGTCCTTCATCATCTCCATCACTCACTATCAATGAAGACGGAGTTGTAATACCACAGGAAGAACCTTCTACTCAGCAACAATTAATATCATCACTCCGATCCCAAAGATTAAGCGATACATATCCCCTCCGATCTCAACTTGCAGTCCAAACAAAGCCTGCAATGACCAGAATTTATCAGTCTATTATTTCTAATTTATTTATTGATCCAATTGTTACTTTCCTATTTCCTCGAGTTTTAGACAATCGATTACAAAATTTACCAATCATTAATTTATTCTTTAAGCCAACCACACAGGTCCAATTACTGTGTGCTTGGACTTGTGAGGAGGGACATATTTGTAAACATACTCATGGCCATACTGGAAAGCATGAATGTATTTTTGGTCATGTCGAGGGCGAACCAATTGCAAAGTGTGGAAAGATTTGTGACTGCCGATTTTGTGAAGCACCATGTGTGTTAAAACCAAATCATTCTGGAACCCATGCATGTCATTTTAGGCACGCTCTTAGAGACATACCAACAAATAGACGAGAACAAGAGGCGTTCAGAGATGAGAAAGCAATTGGTGGATATATGAGCGAATTGGCTTTTATTTCCGGTGAAGATATGAAGTATTCACACATTCCTACAACCTTGAATGATGAGGACGAACACTGGTGGAGTGAAAAATAATTATTAGTTTTGAAGCTCCAAACTACAAACACTTCCTGTAACTGTCACATAGAATAATTTGTTGTTTGGAAGGGCCCTAATTTTGAGAGCTAATTCTTTTGTTTGATACCTTTGTTTTTCAACAACTGAAATGGTATTAGGATTCTGAGAAATGCTAGTAGCTGGATATTTGATTTGCCAAATTATTAATTGATGATTTCTGTCCATGCTTGCAATAGTATTGGGATTAATAAATTGACAAGTTGCACAATTCAACGGTTGCAGCTGAGATGTCAAATTGTACAAGTACAATAATTTTCCTTCTTGTACTGTAAAAAACAAAAGCCCATCATATCTATCGGTAATTGCAATTAAGCCATTGCTCACACTAACACTATTGACAAAGTTTCGAACATTGGCCTGATCTATCAATTTCATAACACCGTCGCTAGCAACTTCAAACAATCCTAACCGATCTCCATATCCTGCTACAAAGTACTGACTGTTTAATTGGCTCAAACAGTAAACCATGTATGGCAATTCCATTGAGGCAACATGGGAACATGTATATTTGTTATTTGATGTTGCCATTTTCAATAAATGTATGTTTCCTAACGATGATCTTGTTGGATCTGTATTCATAACAATTGGATTGACCTTTCTCTGGATGTGCTTCGATCCAACTACAATATACTTGATTTTCTTATTTATGTCTTCCTCATTTGCGCTATGCCATGGCATGACTGAATAAATTTGTTCTGATTGAAAATGATGTATAGTCATCAGGTCGTTTGCTTCATTCATAATTTGAAGCTTGCCATAATTACTACTAACAACAAGTAATAAATTTTCTTCTAGAGCTACAACTCGTTGATAATCACCAACTGCAATTTCTGTTACGCTTGGTTGAAAGCTTTCAGGTTCTATAATAATGATTTTGATCTTGTTGTCTCCAGTCAAACAAAGAAGAGAACTTTCAAAGCCTAGATTAAAATTCTGCATGGAAAGGATTTGTTCATGAATAATTAAATTAGAAATATTAAATTCGTGTGGTGCGAGTGTAATGAAATAGCTGAGATTGGAGGTTGCAATCAATGAATCATCATGATACGATTTGTGTAATTGGACTGGATAATTTCCGAGCTTGTACTTTCGGATCAAGCGAGATGAATCAAAGCACAAGATATTTCCATCTCTCAATCCGATGAATAGCATGTCTTTTACCATGAGAATAGACTCTGTAATATTTGTATCTATACAATATTCGTTAATATCCAATGTGTTTGTAATTATGGCATGAGTGGATGAAAGAGAATAGACAAGTCCCGAATAGGTTGAAACAATGAGCTCGCCATCTCTATAGGCATATATACTTGAAATATCATTGTCCACAGCTATAGAGAACTTTTCATTGATATTTCCATCTTCAGAAACAAGGTATCCAGTGACTTTGTTTTCAAAGCTTTGGTAAATCATATTGTTATAACTGGTTGCTAAACTTTTGGATGAAGTCACAGTACCCAAGAGTTGAGTCATTTCATGATTCATAATTCTTGTTTCTTTGGGTGTAACTTGCAGAATGAAACGATCAAGTATTTCAGAAGCATACAGAGTCGAATCGTTCAAATTGAAAGCTTGTTGTGTTGAATAGTCTTCAATGGAGTCTTCCTGAACTCTTAGTACTTTGCTCTGATTGAAGAAACTCAAAATAATATACTTGTCAGAGCCATCATTGATAGTGAATAATTTGTCTAATCCCTCATATGATTCATCAGTGAGACTCGAGGTACGGCAAGAAATACCCTTCTTCACACTGGTTAAGGCTGTTGGTGATGCAAGAATATATTCATCATCTCTCTTCTCAAAGTCAACTACACGTGAAATGTTAGAGAGTAATTTGATGGGATTATTTGATTCACTGTTTAGGGGAAAATAATACACATTGCTTGCACAACAGTAACCAATCATAAAATTATTACTTGATGGAACACAAATGTGATCTATATGAGAATTTTCAAAGCGCAGAGAAGGTGCTTGATATTCGACCATTGTATAGATATCTCCGTGTTCAGTACAGAAATGGCATGAATTTCCATTGACACACAGATCTGATATTAATTGTCCTTTGGTGTTCACAACAATTGCCCTATCAATTTTGATGATATCGAGGTACAACAAAGTAGAGTCATCAGTGACAGCAATCACATGATCATTGTCGATGGGATGAAGGGAAATCAGATCTTTTTGCATTTTTGTTTTCTTGGAGGACACTAAGTTATAACTTGAATTAAATTCTAATCTATATAAACATCCGTTATTCAAGTACAAATAAATAATATTATTTAAAGAACAGCTGGACAAGTGAACTCCATTGATTCGAATGAAACTACATCAAAAGTGTCAGTATTAACAAATCGCATTTCATTCTGTAAATACATCACTACAATAGTGTTATCATTTAAGCTTAAAAGTTTCACAGGTGGATGGCTGTTAGAGGAACTAGATCGATTATTACTGAGTTCCTTCCATGTAGAGCATGTGATAGAGCCATCTTCTTGAAATATAAGTGTAGTGATTAATATTGTTCCATCTAAACAGAGCACGAAAATAGTATTTTTTGAAAGGAGAAAGTCAATGATTTGCTTTCCATCAAGACTTGGCATGGAACAACATTTGGACAAATGTTTTTCTTCTTCAAAAAGTAAAAAGCATTCTAAAGAGTATTCTTTTGCGATCAACACATAGATATCTTCATTTTGCTCAAAGAGAGCAATACGTAAAATACTATTCGATTGAATTTCGGGAAGGATTGATCCGCTGTTTGGAGCAAGAATGGGAGAATCATCCATTTTTTTAAAAATTATTTATTATTCGATCAAAATTGTTCGTTCTTTTGTTTTCATAATTTCTTTAGTTCCACACAGCTGTTTTTTCACAATCTTGTTATTCACATTAAACAGCACTATCAACAGAAAATTCAAACCTGTTCATGCCAATCAATTTACAAGGATACGGAATTTAACTTTTTTTAAAAAAAACATTAAAAATGAAAGCCACTCAAGCCTTCCAAAAGGCTTACCATTTCCTTCCGATTCACAATTACAACTTGTCCCGACAACAAGCCAAATCTTTTCTCGTGATACTTAAGGAGAGTTCATCAAGGTTTGCTGTAAATAATGTAGAAATATCGAACAAAAATCGTAGGACCATCCATACTAATTTTGTTTTATTAAAAGAGAGAATGTTTGACAATGAAATTGATCAACAAATTTATGAGAGGGAAAAGGAAGCATTGATGAAAGGTAGTGGTAGTGAAGGCGAAACAAACACTCAAGAAGAGACAGGGAGTGGAATGACCAACTTTGTAGTTGTGTCATCACTCTTTATTTGTATTTGGTATGGACTCACGTACTGGTACGACAAAGTTACAACATCTATTCGAGAAATGGAAAGTTTTGATTGGTTGATGAGTGGAAATTTAAATACAAATACATTGTCAGACACAGATGAGACTAACATTTCATTGACGCTATATGCAATCAAGGGATATTTCAAAGAACATCAATATATGGACGAGTTTTATAATCCTGTAAGTAATAGATGAGAAAATCTAAGACTTTTCTTATTACTGTCACAAAGAATTTTATCAAAAACATTTTCAAGTTGGCCTTATCCAAAAATAATAATCTCAGCGAACAAGCGCTTGAAATAATCTCACTCATTTTTCGAAAAGGTTCATCTCCTCGATTGGTAGAGCTATTTTATAAGACATCGATTCAAAACAAGGATTTCAATGTTATTCGAATGGTAATTGATAACATTAGCTCTTTTCAAAATACTTCTTCACACATCAGTTTTGAAGAGCTTTCAAATTTAGCTAATATGTCTTCAAGAGATGTTCAAAGTATTCAACAATTTGAATCCATTGATATGCGTCAAACAAGAGCTATGGTACTTCGAGAAAAACGCTCTCTCTCTCTCATCTCACATTTTTTCTCCAACAAACATTTATTGAAGCATTTCCTTGAAGATGAAACTTACAAAAACGAGCTTATTAATTTATTCAACAAAGGAAATGACTTGGAAAGGTTTATTGCATTGATTTGCATGAACGGGATTGTAATGTCTTGTGTTACTAAGAGCAACATGAGATCTTTAAATGAAACCCATCCACATCTTATTAACGCAATGAATCAATCTGCAATGAAGGTAAAGGATCAGATTTATAAGAATCATGTCGCTATATTGTCAAGACACATTGAAACTATGAACGAGAATACTATGGTTTTAAGCCTTAAATCACCCAATTCAACTAATTTGCTGGGATCAGCTATTGTAAGCTTTATTTGCCATCTACATATGAAATATCAAGTCAGGATCCCTGTTCATAGATCGATATGGAGAGCATCCGTACTATTTGCCTACTGTATTTATCACTCAACTTACCAAAAATCACTCTCCAACTTTTTATCGGACAGAGTTCACAATAAGAACGCTTCATTACCCTTAGCAGAGTACAACAAGAAGTGGAATGATTCAGAATACAAAATCCTATTTTTGAATGGAATGTTATGGATTATCACGAACAGTATTGTTAGGAATTGGTTTGCTTTTGTGCCACTACTTCTCTTTTGAGATGCCGTTGAATTTTGGCTCAACATTCCGCAAAAAGTGCCATTTTTGTGCTGAAAATAAAGTTTGAAAAAATAAGCATAAAACTATGGCAGCAAATCTTCACGAATTGGGTAGGTGCAATACTGTTCCGATGGCCATATTCATATTTTGTTCGTATATTGTGTACACTCAAAATTGATTCGTTCATTGATCATTTCCATTCAATAGAAGAAAAATTGTTTGGAAAAATTCCTCAACTGCAAGCACCCTCGGTTTTAGATTCACTCAACGATGAAAAAAAGAAGAAAATTGCCGAGTTTAGATCCAGAATAACAAATCAATGGAAAGAAGATGAGCTTCTTCATGAACATGATAAGAAGGAAAATGGAAATTACTTCTTATCTGACTTGACTCTCTTCAGATTTTTGTCTGGATATAATTGGAACATTGATGAAGTGGAGCCTGTCTTAAAGGGAGCTTGTGAGTGGCGAAAGAAATTTGAGCCATGGAATGTTCATATTGATGATGTTAAAGCAGTCGCACAGCAAGGTGCGATTTTCCATGTTGTATGTTTCAATGATTTATCATTCCATTATTGATCAAATAATAATTGTTACATTAGGGTTTCGATAAGCATGGACATCCAATGATTTATGTTAAGCTTGGCTTGGATAAATTGGAAAATAACGAAGAAAACAAATTATTGAAATTTAAGTTCTTTGTGTGGCTGTACGAGCTTGTAATTAGAAGAATGCCAGAAAATATCTACCAAACTTCATGGATTGTTGACTTGACGGATGCATCATTAAGCGTACATCTTATCAAATCCATGAAGGACATGTTTCTTGAGTTAGTAAGTGAATGAAATTATTATTCATGCTGAGATCGAGTAACACATCTTTATAGGGAACTTACTATGTCGAAAGAATGGCTGCAATTATTGTTGTAAACGTGCCATGGAGTTTAAAGTTCCTTTGGGGTGTGGTGAAAATGTTTTTAACACAACAAACGATTGACAAGTACAATATTCAAGGATCGTTGAAGGAAAAAGACATGAACGCACTACTAACACAAAAGATTTCAAATGATGTTCTCATTGCTGACTACACCGGATCTTACGAACACAAGTTTGATTTTGAACAAATTAGAGAGTATGACAATCTTAGACTTGGAAAGAATTGAGGTTCCATCGTTAACAACCGACCTTTCACCAACATTTTTGAAATAAAAATGAAAAGAATTCGTCCTTCCACTCGCACTTCTCACAATTGTTCCGACAGCAATGATGAAGACATTTCGGATGAAGATCATCACGACTATGAAGGTGACAATGATGAAGATCAACAATCGTCTGTGTCCAAAAAATTGAAATCTTCGTTCCGAAAAAACAAAACGATCCGTTCGGAAACATCAACCACGAATCATCAGCCTTCCATTGAGAGCAATTCGTGCCATACTAGTTTAAAACAATGTTATCAACAAGCATTAATTCATTTCAATGAAGAATGTTTGAACACAGTCCCACATACAAGATCAGAACCTTATCACACTCTTCTAGAGAATATTCATTCATGCATCCATCGATCTAAAGGAATGGCCATGTATGTATTTGGAAAATCTGGAACTGGAAAAAGCTTTACAATCAAAAAGTTGATTCATGACATTCAGCAAGACTCTCAACAAATGAAACATTTATTTGCAACCATTCCAATCATTGATTGTTTATCTGAGGAAATTGATTCACTTCAAAAATTATGTAAAATATTGCATGATCATTTCACCAAAAGAGATTCAAGGAATGGTTCCAAAGGTGCTTACCATGCTCATACTACCAACACAACAACAACACCTCTGTAAATCCAGCTCACTTGTTCACAAAAAGCAAAAAACTTCGACTCATCATTCTCGATTCGGCAGATCATCTTTTAAAACACAAAAAGGTGAAAGAACAAATTCAAAAGTGGACTCAACATTCCTCATGTATTTTTATTGGTATTACTTCCACACAAATTGCAAGTCATGAACATTTAATTATTTTCACTCCAGTTCCCACCGAAGAATTGAGTTTCATCTTACAAGAAAAGTTGAAATTTCTCTTACAGAGAACATCACCTCCCATGATGGACAAGAATTTAATTTCAATCATTTCTAAACATTTTGATGAGTTTGATTTGAGACATGTCTTTAAACTCATTCAAATGGTCATCACCAAATGTATGGAACATTCACGACCACAGGTGGATATGGCAACTTTTTTTCAATTAGCTTCCAAAGAAATGTCCAATACCAATCCAGTGACTATTATTAGTTACTTGACACTTCCTCAACAGAGATTATTAGAAATTTTAACTCGAAAAGAAGGAATTATTCGAAATGTACAAGATCAACTCCATGGAGCGCAACGAAAGATTGCATTACATGATGCAACACATACTCGGAACCGTGAACTCTCTCAACCACTCTCTGCCATACCTTGGTCATCATCATCAGAAAGTGAAGAAGTCGTGATGAATTATCAAGATATTTCCTCATTGGTTTATCATGAAACTGTTTCATTGGATCATGTGATACGACTCTATCAAGACTATATGAAAGATTTTACCAATGAAACCATGACCTATCATGAAGTGAAGGAAATGTGTCGAGTATTGGATGATTTGAAATTGGTGAAATTACAATCCATGAAAATTGAAGCAATGAAGGATCCATGGTTTCAATGTGGTGGTGGATTTTCTCATCCTTCCTCAGGGAACATGACAACGAATGACAACACTATCATTCCTACGATTCGTGCGAGTGATGCTACCAATACTTCTAATACCGCTACAATGAGTATTGCTTCTTCTAATGAAGGTATTGCTTCACATATTCTCATCGATACCATCACAGTATTAGTGTCGTATGAGGTCGTTCAAGAAGGAATTGCAAAGAGAAAAGAACGAACCACCACCACCACTCATTAAGCACACTCATGAACGCGCGTGTTGGGTGAATAATGATCATGATGTTCCCTCGAATTGTTTTCTCGTTTACGAAACTTTGTAAATTTTCCCGCTCTCATTTGGCGCATTGACAAACACAAGAAAAAAAAGTCTAATGCAACAACCACAACAGCCGTCATCACCAAGCCATGATGATCATGATTTTCAACCAACCAGTTCATTGTTATCTCAAACACCACAATCGAAAAGTTACCTCAAATATATTACTCCAAACTTTCCGATCAATAATCCATTCATAAATGATGATCATGAAAACTTTCCTCCATTGTCTTTTGATGATATTAGCAGTCAGAGCAGCCCGAACAATAGTGATATCTTGGACACTTCTACTCTCGAACATGATCCGAATATTAGTTTGAATCTCAGCATTGACACTTTGGCGAAAATTAAACCGGTCGATATTTCCAATCTTTCCGACTTTTTAAAAGAAAAAGAGTTAGAAGAACTGTTCGAAGTAGGTTTATCAATTTGTAAATCATTCATTCATTACTCATTGGAAATATGGTTACATCTCTAGGAATCACAACGACATGTTATCGAAGAAGAGGATGCTAATTATTTTAAACAAAGAAAAGAAGATTTATCTCCACAATCAAAGAAAGGTCACGGTATTGTTCTGTATTCATCGTTTATGGAACACCAAGATGCACCATTGAATTCCTCAACACCAACCAAGTCACCACAACATGTAAGTGTAAAATATCTTTCACATTTTTCATCAACCCATGACATGCAGCAGGATGATGAGGAAGAACAAGAATTTTCATTCACTTCTCCACCTCAGTTTCTTTCTCCAATACTAGGGAATGGAGAATTGGGAAATAGAAGAGCAGAAATTTATTATTCACCAAATTACAAAATAACCCCAAAAGCAGCTAAGGGTCATATGGACGAACTCTTTCTTTCTCCAATTCGAGGAACAGCTACCAATACAGTGGCACCAAATAGCCCATTAATGACACCTGACAGCAAAATATTTAAGAGTATTAGGTAAGATGTTCATTAATCTGGTTTATAATTACTAACACAACACACAGTGCTTCAAAAATTGAACCTCAAGTACCAACAGAAAACAAGAGAAAGATTTCAGTTGCTAAAAAGTTGGATTTTCATCAACAAGACGATTTTTCTCCTGTTGAGGGAACCTTTTTACCTTCAAATTTAAACACATCAAAAGCAAACTTCGATTCAAACAGCAACAACAATAATCAATGTAAAAATACATCTCATCAAACCAGTTTAATATATCCAACATCAAATAATGCTTCATGTCACCAAGAAAAATTGACTCCCAAAAAAGTAGTATCGTTTCAGATTGACTCACAAACTCAAACATCCCCTAGAGAATGTGACGACGAACCAAGTACTCCCTTATCATCTAAATTTACCTCTCTGTTATTCCCTCTTTCTTTCAATGATAACAATACCACCAACTCTATTTTAACACGCTGCTGCAGCATTGGAACACAAACCAATGTGGATCAAAGCACACAAACATCTCCCACGAATACTACTACTTCCATGAAATGTTTTGATGCATATTCGGATGTTGTGTGTCCAAATTGTTCAAACAAAATTCCCCTTAGTGATATTGTCGAGTATAACATGATATCCTTCACAGAGACATCACCCATGACTACACTTGTTTCAAATCATCATGGACACAACATGGCAACCAACTTCTCTAGATCAACACCTTACAGAACTAACAATGTTTCCAACAATAGCACAACCAATTACACTTCAACTCCTTCCACTAGATCCTATCATTCACAACAAATTTCCTACAATTCACATTATCCAAGTTCTTATTCTAGGTATTCTTTTCCGTCGACGGTGACCTCTAGAGTTTATACCAACTACCATCATGAAACTCACATCTTTTCAGAATATAGAAAACCTCTTTCTCCTCTAAATTATGCCTTGGTGAAACAGAGATACAAAACGCAAATATCTCATTTTGACAAATATAACACCAATAGAAATTCTTTTCATTTATCGTAAGATGTATCTTATTTCTTGATGGCATCGAGCGAATTTTCAATAAACTTCTTCATAAGACTCACTGAACGAATGTCATAAATAAAAGACTTGGTCGAAATTGTTTTTTGAATTGGATTAGCATAAAAAAGCAAGATCGATGGAAATGATGTGATTAGACCTCGTCCAATCATGGACTTGGTGTAAATATAGGCCTGTCTGGAATTTACATTGTATTGACAAATCCTTATTGTTCTAATCATGTCTGGATTTGAATACAATAATTGTGTTAGTTCTTTCCAATGTTCAGTTAATTTTTGAGAATATACACTTTGAGGAGAGTAAAATTGAACCACGACAGCTGTCAGCACTCGTGATTCAAGTTCTTGTGTGATATTTGGCCAAATTGTTGGATCAATATTCAACGAAAATGTTTTGAATTGTGAGGTCAAGTTTGAAAAAGTAGAATTTGAAAATTCAGTATCGTTCGTTATCGGTGGAATGATGGTTGTATTTTTTGCAAATTGTGCATAATGTTGTTCCAAGTCCATGATCCATCCAGATTTTTCATATTGTTTGTTAAAATTATTTTCAATGTATTGATTATGAATCAGATAGGAAAGGGTGCACAACACCATGACCGCTGAATATCGGAATAATAAAGTGGAAAGAGAAGGTTGTTGTTGTTCTGCCATTTGAGCATCTGTTGAATTTTTTTTGTAACACGCGTCTGTCTGGTGAATTTATTCTGCTAATAACGATCACAAGCAATGAATTTTTACAAGTGCAACAATGATGCAATTCATGTTTATTCTCTTACATTCTTTCAGCAGTAGTAATACCAAGCAATGCAAGACCATGCTTGAGAACTTCACTAAATGCAGAAACGAGTCTGAGTCTGGTTTGCTTGAGAATCTCAGTTTCAGCATTCTTGATTGAAACAGCTTCATACATCTTACTGAATTGCTTGCAAAGGGTGTAAAGGAAAATGCAAAGCAATTGTGGTTTGTATTGTTCTGCAGCTCTCTCAACCACGGCAGAAAATTGACGAATGGTCGACAAAAGCTTCTTCTCAGATTCATGAGAGAGTAAACCATAGTCGATTGGAGCATCTTTCACTAAACCAACCTTCTCAAGTGTCGATTTAGCACGAGCATAGGCATACATGAGATAAGGACCAGTATTACCAGATTTGGATGCCCATTCTTTCAAATCAAAAACAATATCCTTATTGTTGTCTTGATTCAACATGCCATACTTGATGGCACTAATGGCAATTTTTCTAGTCGTTTCATTAATTTCTTCATCTGACCATACTCCCTTATACTTGACCATGAAATCTTGATAAATCTTTTCTGTGAGTAATTTCTGAAGTGTGCTAAAGTAAATAATGTTACCCTTTCTACTACTCATTTTACCATCCGGTAAAACCACCATACCATAAGCCAAGTGTTTACATTTCTTTGCTTGCTCAAATCCAAGAATTTCCAAAGTCTTGAATACTTGTTGGAAGTGTAGGCTTTGACTCACATCCACCACATAGACACTTCGATCGACTTTGAACTCTTCAAACTTTCTCTTGGCAAGAGCCAAATCCTTGGTAGCATATAAACCAGTTCCTGCGGAGGTCAACAAGACACAAAATCCGAGTTGTTTACCCAAATCTGCACCAATGGCACCATCCGATTTGATCAATTTACCTTCTTCATAGGCCTTGAGAACAATTTCCTTACTCTCATCACCAACATCGGATTCATGGAAGTAGTGATCAAATCGACAATCACTCCACTTGTAAATTTCTTTAAAGTCATCAATGGACCATTGTCTGGTAATCTCCCACAACATGGAAATATTCTTTTGATGATCTTCCATGGCTCTCAATAAGGACTTGACTTGAGCTTCTCTCTTTTTCATTTCTTGAGTAATGTTGGTAATGTTAGGATCTACATTTTCAGCATTTCTTCCCAATTCAGTAAGTTCAATACCGACAGGAGTATCCGCTGGAAAGACATGAATCTTTTCCTTATTTTCACTCGTCTCAAGCTCAGCTTCACTTAAAATAAAACCTTGAGAAGTGACACCTTGTTTATCAACTTCAGTCACAAGTCTGGCTCCCTTCTTACTTCCAAGTGGAGCATATGGGACAACATCGTTCACTTTATAGTCCTTACCACCACAAACCACTGTAAAGTGTTCAGTTCCATTGGTAACTTTCAAAACTTTCCACTTGTCATTGGAAGGATGGTTATTGATTTCTTCAATCTTTGCAGTAATATATCCCATCAATGGATACTTGGTCCAAGATGCAAAATCTAATTCATAAAATCCTTTAGTATAAAGTTCTCCTAACCATTCAACATGAGGTATGTCTTGTGGTCTTGCTGATTCTAACATTTCAATAATTTGTTCTCTTCCAAGTTCTTGTGCTTCAAATTCCTCCAAAGTAGTCTTCTTAACAAAATAGAGGAAATACCACAAGCACTTGGCAATGTGAGCACCAACATCACCAATGTAATTGACAGCATGGACATGATAACCACACCATTCGTACAACAAGACAAGAGAGTTTCCAAGTGCTGCGTTTCTCATGTGACCAACGTGGAAAGTCTTGTGAGTATTTGGTTGTGAGTATTCAATCATGACATTTTCATTCTTGTGTGGTCTTTGAGCAAGGAAAGATCCAGAAAGAATTTCTGGAATAGTACTACCCAACAATGATGGCAAATAATAAAAGTTAATATATGGGCCTTCGTTCTTGCACTTTTCTACTATTGTGTTATTTGTTGATAACAAGTTTGTGTTAATCTCATTGGTCAACTCGGAAGCAATTTGGAAAATAAAATCATTGAATTTGACTTCTTTTGGCTTTTTTGGAGTTAAAGGCTTTCCCAGAGCAAAACAAGGGAAGGCGATATTATGCTCCATATCGTATTCCTTTGGTAATTCTAATTTGGCTTCAATATCGTTCTCCATGGAACTGATATCAACTCCGTAAACCTTGTTCACGGCTGTAATCACTAATTTTGCCAGAGCGAGTCTGATATCCTTCTCTTGGGACATGTTGAACGAGTAATGATGGTGTTGTTTTGATATTTTTTTTAATTCGTTTTTTTTAAAAATTCATCACCTTTTCGTTTTGTGTGGGTGTGTAATCCTGATCAGTTGAAGTCTGATTTTGAGATTGAACACTCGGATTTCCAAGATGAAGATGATTCCGTGTGAGGATTTGCAAATGTGTCTTCTTAACAACATAGAGGAAATACCACAAGCACTTGGCCATGTCAGATCGACACGATAAGTTGATATAAGTACAATTGACTATTATCTCAACAATTGCCTTATTTTCCACATTCAGGACATGGAGAATTCTCTTCATCGTCACTGGAATCGCTTTCTGTGTCACTTTCATAATATGCTTTCTTACGGTGAAATATGCAACATTCTTTGAATTCCAATAATAATTTTCATAAAATTAAATTTTCAAATAATAATTTTGTTTGAGCAACAACATGTTAAATTCATCCAAACATACTTTTTGAAGTTTTCATTTGTTTATGCTCATTATCCTCTACATCTTTTGTGAAGGATACATGTTTCTTTTTACGTTGTGCTCGTAATTTCATTCTTACTTGAGATGCTTCCATCGGAGCAAAAACAGTGACTACGCTTGTTGTTGAGGAAGGAGCATTCAATGCTGTGCTTGATGATTCAAATGTAGTACTCGATGACAAGGCAGGAGAGGAAATTGTACTACTTGTTGTCCGACTATTATCGTTTGAAGAATAATGGGGTAATGTATTTGCAACTGTATTAACTGATTGGTGGTGAGGATTCATCGAGGATGACGATGATGCATCCGTATGACTTCCGATCAGACTTCCGAGGGTGTGCACTGTTGGATGATTCATTTTTTGGTCATGACGAACAAGGGTCGTATTATTAAATAGTATTTTTAAAATTTATTGGCTTTTCAAACAAAAATGGAGCCAACCAACATCAACAGTGTGAAGCAAACCAATGAGTTGCTTTCCGAGTTGCAACAGATGAGATTCATTCTCTACACATACAAAAAGGAACAACGAAACCCACAGAAACCACAAGAAAAATAATTTCCGTTTTCTCTCTCCCATATTAAAAAACTACACAATTGCCTGTGGGGTTCAAGGTTTGTCAGCACCTCGAAAGTTGGCGTTTAAGCAGTTGTCGTAACATTGGGGCCGCCACTGCCATCTTCACACTGAAGATCGGAAGCACCACTGCATCATGTTTAAGAACCAGTTCAGCATACAACAGAAAAGAGGGGAAGCATTAATTCCCATAAAAATTACATTTTATTCAATAAAATATTATGGGAACAATCGTGGTGGAATTGGGTTCATAAAATTTGTGCAGCTTGTCTTGGAGGAAGAGAGCTCTTGAATTCACACACACAACCATGAATCAATCTGAAAGGAGGAGGAGAGAGAATAACTATAACAGTGTAAATCCATCGTCATCATCTGTCTTTTTCTTCTCTTGATCCTCATCATCGCTCACCTCTTCATCCTCTAAGGCTAGCCCTTCTAACATTTTCAAGGTTTTTTCGTGTAGCTCTTTCAATCCTGTTAATTCTTCCAGATACTTGCTGTCATTGAATACTCTTTCCAAGAATTGATAACCCTCTCTCTCATATCCACTTATCACAACATGAGAACAGCATGTGCATTGAGAATAAGAGGATCCATACAACAAATTGGTTTGATAGTTGGAAATGGATCCGCGTATCTGATGAGGAACAACACCCAAATCACTTTGTGTGCTGTCATGATTATTCACAAGTTCTTGTGTCTTGTTGGATTCATGTAAAAGTTTTGGATTAAAAGCACCTGCATGATTTTTCAAAGGATGATGCAACAATGAAACCAACAACTCTACAGCAAGAGATCCTGCAATGGCACTGACACCAGGTCTCGTGACTGTACATTGTTGATCAAGAGTTCTATCCTTAGTACTCTGCATTGGTATACGCACATAAAAACACAATCAAGCAGAATTATGAACATTTAAAAATCCGCTCCACTCCATACTTACATTCACAGGTGCAACAACATCATTACAAAAATAACATCCAAGTCGTTCCTTTTTCGCACTACTTGCAGTGATGTTACTGTTCTCATAGACTCCATATCTCATCACAAGATAGGACTCAAATCCAAGGGCAGCATTAATCACAATCTTCTTCTTTTGAACAGCAATCAATGAGGGCAACCATCTTGATTCACGAGTATCAGTCAATAAGAATACTGCATCATGTTCTTCAATGAGCTTTTCTAACTGGTCTACATTTGCTCGTGTTTTTTCAGAATCTGTTACGAAATGTCCTGGCATTGGAATTTCCAAGTTGACACCTTTCGTGTTTACATTCGGATAAATTTTACGTAAATGTTCGGCTGCACAAGTGGCCTTATCTTTCCCACCATCAAAACAATCTTCATATTCAAAAAGTGGCTGCCTTACAGGATTACTAAAACTCACTTTGGTTCTATCTAAAAATGTAATGTTGAAAATACCCCAGGCCATCAAATTACGAGCAACATGACAACCTAAAGTACCACTTCCAATCAATAAACATTTCGTTTTTGACAACATGTCTAAATCGAGAGAGGGAAACATTCTCCATTTCATGAGTTGAAGATTTAACGTCACAGAAGTCTCTGCTAATTTGACAGGATCCATTGTACTACCCATATTCACATATCTGGGACCTAACTTGTTTTTTGCATTCTTTTCCCACCCAACAACGCTAAGAGAGGACGATGGTTCTTCGACTCTATCATTGTTATACTTCAATTCAGTGTTCAAAGTAATACTTGCGCTGACGTCCTTTCTGGCTGGATCTTCCCTGAAACATAATACTTTGAAAGCTTTCCTATTAAATGTTGACGAAGCAGCCAATAGATAATTTCTTAAAATCCAACTTGGATATTCTTTCAAAGCACTTGGATCAGAAAATCCCAAATATGCCTGATCAAAATTAATTTCTTGCCAATCGCTTAATGGCCTCACTTTAACAATTGTCTCATCAGTAGAAATTTCAACGAAATAAAAGCCATGTGGTTCTTGTTGTAAATACTTCTGTATTCACTCATTGAAATTTGTAAAGAATCTTGGACTTTTTCGCTTAATTGACCTACATGATTGTCGTAAACGATTTCCATATCAGGGAAAGACAATGATGGAAATGCAAACCAATAATAAAAACTATGGTGTTTAAGGTCAGCAAAAGTGATCAATAAGAAATGAGTCAATTCAGTTGGGTTCAATAACCATTGGCCATTCTTGATTTGATTTTCATAAATTGTCTCAGTTCCTATTTTTCTCAGCATGGTTTTCTTGTCATAATTATTAAATTCTTCAATCGTGTTTGCATTGTACAGAGTACCAGGTGATTGAAACATGTAAGGATTTGAAGCACAATTAGATGAAAAAGCATTCTCTCCTAACCTCCATTTAGAGCTCAGAGATGCGCTTGATGGTTCTTGAGATCCATGATGCTGCTGTTGAATAGCGTTCAAAACTTGGGAATTAAAAACTCTACCAGTGGTGTATGTGGCAAAGATAGGCTTTGCTTGATTATCTAACCGATATTCCAATAATTTTTTGTTTTCCAAATCATACCAAAATTGAGGATCCACGAGGGACTGTATCAATTCAAATTTTAGATTCGGTGATGATGATAAACTCATGGCAAAACAGGCTGATCAACAAAGATCCGATGAGGAATTTGGTATTTTTTTGATTTTTTTAATTTTTTTTGTCTTCACCAACAACAACTCACACACACGTCCAACAGTCGACGGTAATGATCAGCACTGCTGCTTCCATTTGTTTGGTCCACTTGATTCGAACTTGACAACAACAACTTTTCAACTAAGGTATTAAGCTGTTGCTGCAACCAAGGGACTTTAGGTTCTAATAAACATTTTGAAATAAATGGCTGATATTGAATTACAGATGATGCGCAAGTACTTTCTTGAAGACCACCTTCAATACAGCACTTGACAATGGTCTCTCTTATTAATATATCTATGAATTCTCCACATTCCTCACCATCAATACAATTTACAATATGATATTGGAATGGTTTCACATAATGGTAGAACGAATCTCTGTGAACTTGCTCAAATAAGTTGACCATGTCTGAAACTTGTTGTTTCACTTGGTGATGTACATGTTGTAATTCTGGTCGAATTGGAGAGACTGTCGATGGTGAATAAATATTTGATGAAGTAAAACTCGTCGTTGTCATATTCCATGCACTGCTATGGTTGTTGTTATTGGTCATTGCTGAACTCGTAAAGCTAGTAGTGGTGTTGTTGGCAGTTGTTGAAGAATTTGTTTGATCCTCGAGTGTTGTATTCGTGTTGGTGGTCGATTTTGTGTGAGAGGTAGTAGAAGTGCTTTTAGAACTATTTGTGTCATTCTCGAGTGTTGAAAGAATTGAGGTTGAACTTGTGGTATTTCTTGGAGTACAACTACTACTACTCGTACTAGTACTCGTTTCATTACTACAATGACCATCAATGTCATGATCTTGTTGAGAGGTTTGATGATGATGATGAGAGGTGTATTGATGATCAAGCTTTGTCATAGGTTGGGCATTGGGAGGAGGATGGATATCATTGGGTGCCAATACCATCAATGCCTGAGTGGACGAGTGTGAAGATTGGAGGATTGAGGAAGTTGTGGTCATCATGGTGGTCATCATGGTTGTTGTACTCGTCATGGCAGTTGTGGTAGAAATGGTACTATTCAGAAAATATAAAGATTCAAATAAGAGACTTTTCAAATTTTTGCATTCCACTCCTCTTGTAACGACCATATTCATAAACAAGTCTGGTTTGGTAAAGATGAGAATGACGTTTTTACATTCCCGTAAGAGAGCTCTATTAATGACATCTCTGTATGTGTTCAGACTTTCACTCATACGATTGACAGAATCATTTTCAATCAATGTTTGATTAAATTCACACATGGATACAAAATACAGGACAAAATCAGCTCTTTTGTCTTTTAGGAAGAATTCCCATTTCTTTTTTTCAGAAGCTCTTCCACCAACATCTACAAGTGTGAAACTAGTCTTTGAATCATAATTGAGAGTAGTTTCACTTTTACCAATTGTGAGACATCGAATAAGAGGAGTATATTTGTCTTTGAGAGATAAAGGTCGATGAAGTGATAATATGGATGAGCTACTTGATGGTAGAGACGGAGTAATTTCTTCAAATTCAGCAGAAGGAAAGGATGATGCATCGACACCATATTTTGGTTTGATTTGAGGTGATAATTCAGAGTGTTTTGGAGCTACTTTTGTTGTAATGAGGAATGAATATTGGGACTATGCGAAAGATCAATGTGTTGTTGATGTGATCTCTTGAGGACACTCATCATTTTCATCCTCCGAGTGTTTTGTTTAATTTTTCCTCCCAATGTTTCATCACTTTCGCTCAAAATTAAGATCATGTCCTCACATAATAGATTTACATTGTCATTCAAGTTATGAGTTTCTTTGTGTTTCCAATATAAATCTCTAATGATTGGATATTTTCTCCAAATGTATTGAATGTATTGTCCGCATATCATTGAGGCTTGTTTTGTAAATTCAAATTTTGTGCTCAACGAATTCATGTTACAAATAAAATCAAACAATTCATTTGGATTGTTCGTTTGACTAATATTTCCATCATAATTCAAAATGTCAGTTAAGAATTCATCCTTTTCTTGTTGATTCATGATATTAAATATAATTTCATAGAGTGTGTTCAAACATGTTTTCATGATGAGAGTAAGTCTAGCCTTTTCATTGGGGTAAGGCTTGAATCCGAATTTGGATTTAATTTGGTTGGAAAAACATGTTTTACCACAATCCGAGCATGAGAGAAGATAAATGTTGAACGATTGTGGTCGGGAGTGGTTGTTATTTCTTTTAAAGAATTGGAGTTTAGTAGTATTGGAGCGATGAGAACGGGAGGAGGGTGACTTGATTTCATTGTTGTTGGCGTGATTCGTTTGAGTTGAATCTGCTGAACGATTGATGTCAATAGTGACCTTTTGTGTATCCGAAGATGACGATGATGAGCATACAGGTGGGTCTCGTTGTTGTTGTTGAGAAGTGTTATCGTCATCATCAACATCTTCGGATAACCAATGGGATTCACTAAATTCTGAAGAAGTAGAAATGGTGGAACCCATGGTGTGTTTGTTGTGTGCTCTGTATCTTTGAAATGTTCCAGGGAGTTGTCACGCTCAAAACTCCTGAATTTTTTTGAAACTCACCGAAATTGTCACCACTCAAGAGGCAAGGTTCATAGAATTTCATACGATGCATTCCCTCGTGAGAAGTCTCTTTCCAAAATTACCTGGTGTTGTCACTGATTACCCATGATTGATTTTTATTCATTCATTCGTTCGTTGCTTCTTCTTCTTGATCCACACAGAGATCTTTGAGAATTGCAGAAAGATTCTCGTAGTGCCACTGACTGGCCTTCATCTGCAACGCTCCTCAACTTCTCATCCACAAGGACGTATCCATTTGGTTCTGAGCGTCATCTTTCAAGGAACCAGAAGGACATATGTAGTTTGGAATGACACGTTGACATCAAGTTGCGGTTCTCCTTTGCTTTCAAAATGGTGGCTTTTGTTCATAAACCACACGATAGGGTAAATACTATTTAAGCTTACTGAGGCACTTATTGTCTGAAGTAGAATCGGCTATTCTATGAATACATGTAATTGTTCTGCCATCGACCGAGTCAATCTTATGATTACTTTTATTTTTTAAATTCAGTGTTGGAACTTGAAGTTCATGCATTAGTAGAGTCGAAGAGAGCTGTTTGTAGTGCTGAGAAATCATTGGGTCGTTTTTGAATGGCATCTTCAAGGACTTTCTTGGTCTTGTCAACCACTTGAGGGTAATCCATATAACCAGAACCACTCTCTAAGTTACATGTATACATTCTGCTATTGTTCACACTCTCGAGAATACTTACCGACGAATATTTTGTGCAACAGTTTGCAAATCAGCATAAATAATTGGCCAAATACAATCTCAGGCTCAGTTGCATAGTTCTTGACTGTTTCATCATGATGAAGCATGTGTAAAATCAGTCAATTCATGTAAACATGATCACATACCTTGTAAACACATGAATCGAAATAATGGAAATTTGTTTTCAATGTTTTCAATCGGACAAGTGGCAAGATTCTCAGCATTCAGCAATGTGCACAATGCAAAGAATAAATTAATTCCAGACACACAAAATGGATATGCATGTTGTTCATCAATCAATGACTTCATCAATTTGAGATCATTTCTTGCAAAATATAATAACTTGTCAAAATGCATACATGTATCATGAATCCTCACATGAGCAATTACATACCATCTTTAAGCTCATGACTCCTCCTCCTCTAAAATCAGTGGATGGATTATCTCCTTGAAACCCAATGTTTACCCATTGTCGTGATTTCCTTGCGATGAGAGGATCATCTGGCCTAAGCAGAGCATATAATTCTAATAAATCCTTTTCATGAAACTCATTATTTTCATCATATCTTTCCTTTCTTAATTTGGAGACAGTTCCAACCAAATAATTAATAACTCTAAATTTTGCAGCCTTATATTGGTTCATTTGAGCACCAATGGTATAGATTAATTCTTTTCTATCAAAGCAATAAAATTGGATTGGTTCGCTATTATACAGAGTAATATCTATAATCTCAAATCCATCACCTCGATAAGTATTGTTGGTATCCCTAATTTGCATAATGTCATCAATGTATATTTGTTGCACAAAGGTATAATCAATTCCGGTCGACTTGTCCTTAGAATTATTTTCAATAAGAAGATACATGAGAAGAGAACTGGATGCCTATTCGTAATCCGTAATTAAAACATGGGATTGAATAAAACTCAAGGTTTCTTTTAACCAAACCTACCTTATCGACGGAAAGAGCGTGAGGCTTTCCTTTCAACTCGACAAAAAAATCATCACCACTCAATCTCATCTCAACGAGAACCTTTTTCAACTCTTCAATTCGTTTGAATTTATCTTCATACCATTCTTGTTCTCGTAATAAAAACTGTCCATTTTCATTTTCCTTTTCCTCATCATAATTACTTTCAATTTCAATAATTCGTTTAATTTTTCTCTTCTCCTCTTTTGTGGTGCGATGAAATTGATTAATTTGTTTGAATATATCAGCATATGGATGATCAAAAAGAAAAGCCAATGGCGAGTTATGAATATCAAAAAAGTAATAGATGAGAAAATCAAACGAGTCTAGATTTTTCTTCTTGATTTCATCCAAGTTCTTTTTTCTTGCTTCTGATTGCAGTTGCAAAATGGTAGCGAGATATTCATTGAAGGCTTTCTTTCTATAGTCTAGTAAATTCTGATCATTGTATGAGGTTATTGGACTCTTTGAAGGAAATTTGATATTCGAGAATGATTCTTTGATAGGATATGTTTTCTTGAGCAATGTATGAAATTTCTTGAATTCGTTATATCTTCTCACCACTTTGTGTTGGCATTTCATTGAATCATTACTAAAACCAATCACTAAATCAATTGAATAACCAATATATTTCTTATCACCACTATTGATCAATGGAAGGTCAGTACTTGTAGAAGAAGAGCTTTTTTTAAAATCAAATTCAACAGTCTGATTAATCTGTGCAGATAGAGACGATATTAAATCACTTTTTGTTAGTGTAGGTATCCAAACAGAAACTCTCCTTTTTCTATTGGAGTATGAAATGTTAGAAGTGTTGGATGATAGCGTTGGACTATGTGTGTGAGAAATCAATACTTCAGTGCTACCACTTGCAATAGTGCTACCAGACTCACTTGTAAAATCGGAATTTCCATTCTTCACAGGTGAAGAAACAACGGCATAATGATTTTTGTGCTTGTTGAAATATCTTCGATTTTCATCGAGATAGACCACCAATTCTTGATCCTCAAAATTTTCATCGTCATCATCAAACTCTTCAGATCCAAAAACTGAGTATGGTTGCGAGACTGAAGGTCGTTCCAAAGTGGTTCTGGACTCTCGGAAAGGAAGAGCAGTTTCTTCATCACTTGCTTGCATCATTTTTTTGCCGTGTGTTTTTAGCCAACAACATTGATTTGTAAAATTCAATAAGAAACTTTTTCATCAAATGATGTGTCAACTCGGAATGAACTACAAAGCACAATCCCGAAGGGTACCAAGTAGCTGTCTTTGAGAGACCGCTTTCGCATACAGTTTGCCACTCCTTCGACGCTGAAGCCACCCGTAATTGGACTAGATGAAACAGCAACATTAGAGTGGTTGATTGACTGAGGATTATGGAAGGGCGATGATGTCTCTGCCCTCTGGCGTCCAAACTTGTTCTTCATGATTATGGTTTTATTGTTGTTTTAAAAAAAATGCAAAAACGTGCCATCCTTTCATCCGGCCTCATCATTCAAAAGAACATCTCTATCACCACCACTGCGATCTCATCATCATTTTTGAAGAAACCATCCCATCATCAACAACGAGAATTTTCTCAAACTATTCCAACCATGAGTGCTCAAATTTATAACGAACATTTAAAGCCTATCATTGAAAAACAATTAAACGAAATCAGACAAGCAGGAACCTACAAGAAGGAAAGAGTCATCACTTCTCCGCAAGCATCAAAAATTACAACACTTCAAACAGGAAAGAATGAAGTCTTGAACTTCTGTGCCAATAACTATTTGGGCTTGAGTGATCATCCAGAGTTAATCAAAGCAGCAAAGAAGGCTCTTGATACTCATGGAATGGGTCTATCATCAGTTCGTTTCATTTGTGGTACTCAAGATATCCATAAGGAATTAGAAACTAAAATTTCAGAGTTCCATGGCACAGAAGACACTATTCTCTATCCATCATGTTTTGATGCTAATGGTGGTTTGTTTGAATGTCTTCTCAATGAAGAAGATGCTGTGATCAGTGATGCTTTGAATCATGCAAGTATCATTGATGGTATTCGTTTGTGCAAGGCTCAACGATTCAGATACAAACATATGGACATGGCTGATTTAGAGAAAATTTTGCAGGAGACTCAAAGTGCTCGTACTAGATTGATCGCAACTGATGGTGTGTTTAGTATGGATGGTGATGTTGCACCACTTCCAGAAATTGTGAAATTGGCTGAGAAGTACAAGGCTATTGTTTTTATTGACGAATGTCATGCAACTGGATTGTAAGTAGTAGTACTACCAGATTTAGTGCTAACATTGTCAACTCGGTTTCAACTTGGATGATGTTCGCCTTTGATGCTTCATCAAAATTGACTGACTGCTTTTGAACTCACACAGCTTTGGAAAAACTGGTCGTGGCACTCCAGAGCACTTTGGTTTGGAAGGAAAGATTGATATTATTAATTCGACATTGGGAAAGGCTTTAGGTGGTAGCACAGGAGGATACACCACTGGAAGAAAGGAAATTATTGAGCTTTTAAGACAACGTGCTCGTCCATACCTTTTTTCCAACTCACTTGCTCCTCCAGTAGTAGGTGCATCATTGAAAGTTTTTGAAATGATTTCAAAGGACACTTCACTAAGAGATCATCTCATGGACAATACTAAACTTTTCAGACAATCCATGAAGAAAGCTGGCTTTGAAATTATTGGAGATGATTCTTGCCCAATTGTTCCAGTTATGCTTAGAGACGCAAGATTGGCATCAGAATTTGCTGATGAAATGCTGAAGAGAGGCATTTATGTCATTGGTTTCTCTTATCCTGTTGTTCCAAAAGATCAAGCTAGAATCAGAGTGCAATTATCTGCTGGACATTCCAGAGAACAAGTCGAGAAATGTATCAATGCATTCATTGAGGTTGGAAAACAAAAAGGCATTATCAAAATGTCTAATCTTTAGTATGTGACACGATGATTAAAGATATTCGAAATGTCATATTGATATCATTTATACCTTAAATTGTATACTTTTTGTTGTCATCATTTTTGCGATAAAGAACAATTGGGAAATTCTCAATGATTTGATAGCCATCCGCAAATATTACAATCAAATTCACTTCAAATTGAATTCGGAAATTGCTGCCAATCAAGGTGGGACATGTGAATAGCCTTGGGAAAACCATAAAAATGGGTAGTTTCAATCCTTTGCAAACATTTCCTTCTCCAAGTTGCAAATTCTGAATTTCTGTTGCTTCTTTTATCATATTGCCTCCTTCTACGCTGCAACTTTCTACTCTTATGAGTTGAATCTCTACTGATTTAATTCTTGATGAAGTTTTCAGAATTTCAATTTCTCCTTCGAATGGTTCAGTAATATCACAAATGGTATCAGCAATATAGCCCTTAATTTCATACTCAGGTATTCCAGAAACATTGTGACGAAGAACATTTTGTAATGTCTGAGGAGTGAGAGTGAAATGCTTTGGTTGTTTTGGAATGACAATATTTGTGCCTGGAGTTGAAGCAGTGTCATCCTGTTGTGATTCTGTAGAAGGAGAAATTTCTGATGATGTCGTACTGATTAAATTTCTGGCAATGGCAACTCCTTGTCCTCTATTATAAACTGTAAAATCAAGAGTGGCCTTTTGATCTTTGCTGAACAATCCCATTTTGACTTCACATGATATTTTGTAACGACATGCTAAATAAACACCAGCATATGTTTCATAGAGTGGAATTTTCTTGTTGAGTGGTTGTAACACAAATTCAAAAGGAATATCAGTAACTCCACTCGGAAATTTCTGTCCAACTTTATCCAGTTGAATTTGTAAATCTAACAATTTGATTGGTTTGAATGAATTCATGACTACATCAAATATATTTAAATTACTTGTTCCATTATATTGAAATGTTACGACTCCTTCTACTTGTAAATTAATAGCTGATGATTTGAACCCTCCAGGTTTAGCATTAATCTTTACAACTCCACGAACTTTCTCTCCGGAGAAGTAAGTACGGTCTGGTTTTTTTAATTGAATTTCAAGGCTTTGCATCGTGATGATGATCTCGAGAGAGAGAGCGAGTGGAGCAGAAGGATCAAAAGATTTTTTTATTGTTCTTTCAATTTCTTTTGAGGAGGTTCCTGGACGCAGCCATTCGAAACGCTACTGTCTGCCACCTGTTGCTGCTGCTGTGTGGATTCAAGGTTGGCAGAAGAAGAAGGTACAACGTTGGAGGATGAGGATGGATTGTTGTTGCAAAGAGTTGAGGAAGTATTGCTACTGGCGTTCTTACTTTGAAATAGTTCATACTTGATGTACTTGTCATTATCTGTTTTCTTGGTTGTAATCTTTCTTGTTGGATCTTTGGCATAGTATTCTTGTATGAGACAATATTGATGAATGTAATAATAGAGAAAATTCTCCAAATTCTCAGAGTATTTGTATTCATCATTGATCATTGGTTTTGAGAGAGTTTCATTCATGGCCTGAACCAATTCTTTATAGAAATAATAAATGGCTTCAATGGTACTCAGGAATTTTTGACCTTCTTTTTGATATCTCCAAAACAACGTCTCCTTTTCTTCAATGATGACACATGGTAATCTATTAATTAATTCATTCCGATATATTTGTTTAGCTTGTCCCCAAGTAGAGTCAATAAATACAGCATATTTCAAACTGGAGGTATTGATATCATTTTCATTGTTATGATGACTTGATGATTGGGCATTATTATGACTTGATGATTGGGCATTATTATGACTTGATGATATGGTGTTATGACTTGATGATATGGCGTTATGACTTGATGATTTAAATAAATCACGAACTTGTTTTGCATTCTTTGATGGAAAAACAAGAATACTATTGCTTGGAGTAATAAATGATGGAATATCAGGAAATTCATATAAATCAGCACTCGAGTGAGCAACAACTTTGGCTTGAACGGCTGTAGATTTTGTTTTTCGTTCTAGTTTATGTTGAATAATAATGCAATGAAGAGGTAATTTGGAAATAGTTGGTGGATGATCAATCAATGGAATACAGCAATCGTAACAATAATATTTTCGATTCTTTTGACATTTCGGACAAGGTACTTTCGGAAGGCTGTCAAAGGATGCAATATGAGAGATTGGAGGATTTGTGAAGGGAGGAATATGAAAGTGTTGATAGACCATTTGCAACAGTGGTGAGTTATTGATGTTCTCATCATTGGTGTGCTGTGATGAGGTTTGAGTCGTTTCTTGAGTGGTCGACTCGAGCGCTCGAGGAGGGATCATTTTGAAATTGTAAATATTTTTTTTGAATTTGAAGGTTCCCGCTACTCGCGGTTGACGTTAATTTTTAACGTTTTTTCGTCAAAAATTACAATCAAAAAGTTAACGAAAAAAATTTTATTCTCGCTTGAAAAGCGTTAATTATTGACGAAAAAACGTCAATAAAAAGCGTTAATTTCCCACATTAACGATTTCATTATTCACGCGTCAAATTAACGTCAATTATTATGATGTTTCATAATAAAAATAATTGACGAAAAATTAACGCTCCTTATTTCTCAAATTTCTCTTTCATTCTCGTTCAACCAATCGTTCACTAATTCAATCTCTTCAAACCACTCCAAATCTTCAAATCTTGTATGTTTATCCATTTTCCTCACATTCATTCATCCAAATTCTCTAATTTATATCCAACAACAAAGCTAAAGTAGTCAATTTAATGAATATAAATGGTAAATGAAAGATGAATTGGATTGACATTACTTACTTTTGAATAATTTAAGCTATCGGGTTGAAATATCATCTAATTCAATACTTGTATTTCATATCATCTTTTCATTTGTTTATCATGATGTTGGTTTTGCATTCAGTTAAAATATTTTTCAGTTGCGGCATAATAATCATAGTGATCAATAGTTCAATCAAAACACACTTCAAATTCATATAAATGATATATCAATTTGTCATTTGTTTTGATATCTCTATTGCACTGACATTATTATTCACAACAAGTCATATTTTAACATCAATCAAACCAATCCCTATTCATGACAAACAAATGCCTCGATGATCTAAATACATTCCAGGCTTAAAATGTAAAAACATCAAACTCTAAATCATTGAAAGCTCTGTTAATCAATCCATAATACAAACAATCCTTCATAATACCAAGCAAATTCAGCTTGAAATTCCATAACTCGATAATATAACATCTTTTTCAGTTCTACCATTGACAAATGTTAAGAAAGCGGTTGTTTGGTTATTGTTGCAACTACAATCCTTTAACTCTCAATGCATAGTGGGACAAGAGGGTACGAATAATCAAACAACCAACTGTGGATCAAATATACTTGAAGTCTTATCATCCCTATCCTCAATTGATTATCATTAAATTCAATCCCTACCTCAAGATATCCCTTCATTATCTGGATGTTAGAACTTGCTTCAATATCCTCAACCAATCTCTACCAACGCATTCTATGTACAGAGTGTAATGATGGATATTCAAAACAACAACTAATAAAGAAGAAGCAACTAAAACATTTTGAATAAACAAAAATCTGCTCAGCAAATCTAACAACCTACCGATCATGTTACTCTAGAAGGAAATAAATAAACAACGAATAATGTTGTTGATATTAGTACATGGTTGGATATACTTACCGGTTTAACAGGTGAACAAGTTTAATCATCCTCCACAACAATAACAATGGCCGTAAATGAAACGAATTACCTTTTCAAACAGCACGAACAGAATTACTTTCAAATCAAGCAATAACTACAAACCCTATCTGTTTGTTCAACAATATCTTCTCCTATCATCAACATAACATTCATTCGTCTTGCCAAAATGTTTGATGATGCTAAAGGTCCTTTGTAGCATCTATCGTTGATCAGATTCAAGAAATTCACAACAACTTCGTGAAAAAGAGCTTACCGTAGAAGACTTTATCAATAAAAGCCAGCTTTGTCCTTTATAAGAGACAAAAGGCAAATGATAGCAAAGACAGTCCTCCATTTCGAGCAAACATGAAACGTGTCGATATCTTTGGATGATTTGGAGATCATACCTGTATCAATGAAACACGTACACTTACGCAAAGCAAGCTCTAGCAGCGTATAAGATGAACAAGCGGCATCTGTTGATGAATGAATGTGATTGTTGAACGTGGAGGCTACTACAAGCTTTTGAGAATTTTTTTATAAAACAAATTTTTTATGTAATGCAAGATTTTACAACGACTGCTTGCTCTTGGTTTTGGATTCGTGCTCTTTCTTTGATGCGTTGTGTTTTAAAGTTCGACTTAAATTCATCAATAATAGCACCATATGTGACAGAAATTGTTTTGCTTGGAAGAACATTCGGGTATTGTAATTGAAGAGCAATTAATGCGTTCAATGGCTTATTCAATTTGATGATTAATTCTTTTAGCTGTTTGTTTTCCAATGATAAGGCCTCGTTTTTCTCTCTGAGGTCTTTGACTTGCTGAAGGAAAAAGATATCACTAGCGAAATTCTTATGATCAGTAGGTTCTGTAGACTTGGGCTCATTTTGCAAAGGAGAATCACTCTCTTCAACATTTGAATTTGAGTTTGTTCTTGAATCCGAAATTTCCGGTGGAGTTATAGAGAGAACTTCATTGTCATCAATCTTGTCATCATCGACTTCAGTGTCATAATTCATGGAAAATAAGGAGACGGGAGTACATCCTTGCTGAACCGTAGAAAAAGCATTTTGAATCATAGGAGCATGATTGGTTCGATCTTCAATTAATGAAAGGCATGAAATATCAAAAATCGTCTTCTTTTGATCTTGAACGAAGGATGGAACGTGAAATATAATGTCATTTAAACTGCAATTAGTTGAAGTGAATGATTGAACTCTTCCTTTACCAATCTTGTAGTAACAATTCTCTCCCTTTTCAATAATTTCAACTAAATCTCCAACTTTGAGATTTGAACGGACGATGAAGAAGTTCTCTCTTCCCATTCATTTTCAAGCGTTGTGAATGATAATGTTAATGTAAATGTTGATACGTTGATGAAAAAAATTCTCAAGTTTGCAGTAACAAGTTCTCTCTCTGAAAATTGTCTCAAAATGGTTTTGAATCTAATTCGAGAAGCCATTCAACTCATTCATGAGAGTGATAAACAAGAACTTTCAGATAAGCTGACATTAACAGGGTTCTATAAGTATTTCCTTTTGTCTTCAAAGACAAAGAAAATTCCAATGTGCACTGATTGTCAGACGTATCAAAAAAATCCAGACCAAAAATCCTGTCCTAAATGTGGGAAATTATGGAAAGATATCAAAACTCATTGCTTTTTACGCCCATTAAAATTCCAATTCGAGGAAAGGATATTCAGAGAGCCACAATTTTTGGATCAATTTAAACTTGATAATCGTGATCCCCAACTTATCCAAGATCGCTGTGACGGAGACATCTACAAAAACATTCACAAAAAATTCGTAGATGCAGGAGGAAAAACTATGACGTTATTTGGTGACGGTGTTGCTCCGTTTAAATCTAGTCAGCAAAGCTTTTACGAATTCTCTATCACATTCAATGAGATGAAATCAAATGTAAGAAAGAAGCGCAAGAATAACTTTTTGTGGCTACTATTTCCTAACAAACCATCTCAAGAAGAAATCAATTTGTGTTTGAAAATCATGATGGATGATTTGAATGTGTTCAATGATCAATTTAAACAAATATCATTGAGATTAGAAAGAGTAATTGCTGACTTACCTGCAAGGTCTAAAATTCTCTTATTTCAAAAATCAGGGTATTATTTTTGCCATTTATGCAAGATTCGAGGGGAACCTGTTCAGTTATCAGGAGGAACTACTCAAGTTAGATATCCACTTAGGAGAGACATTTCTAGCAATCAACGAATTGTTTTTGGTTTGAGAGATCGACATTTTTGGAATAATGTTTCGGGAAAAGAGTTGTCATGGGGTGTTCGTAGATATTCTCCAATATTAGACCAGAGTTGGAAACCAACTCCCACTACAATATGCTCCTATGATTCAATGCATAACTTGTATGAAAGAATTATGCGTGACATGATGGAGATGATTCCACTTCAATATTGGGACGAGTTCGACAAGGAATATCTCAAGCAAAAATTTCCTTCGTTCTTACATAGACACCCGAGATCAGTTTCCAAAAATTTAGTACACCTTAAGGCAATGGAGATATATATGATTATTCACTATTATCTAGATCTACTTCAGGATGTTAAGAATTTCAGTATGATTGAGTTGAAGTATAAAATTATTAAGAGAATGGTTGTTGTAATTGACAAGTTAACAGATGCCATTAATATAGCTGATTTGAATTCAATTAATGAGGAATTAAGAGGTATTTTGGAGGATTATCAAGAGATGGTGGGCATTGCAAAGGCTACAATGAACTTCCATGTAGCTAGTGATATGGTGCGAAATGCAAGCCTATATGGTCCATTGGCACATAATACAGCCTTTGTTGGGGAAAATCTAAACTTCACATTGACCAAGCCGTTCATTTCATCAAATTCTGCAAGGTATTCTATTATGTTTTTTGATATGGCGCAGTTATGCGATATATTTGGTTTAAGTGAACTCAAACCTTCGGAATGTGTGTGTGGTCATTTCGTATTGAAGAAAGAGAGAGATGTTGTGGCTGATACTTCTTGTACTCCTGCAAAATACTTCAAGATCAAATCATTCACGGATTCCACAGTGACTTTGCAGAATTTGTCAGACAGGTCTGTGATTGAAGTGTCCTACAAAGAGCCTCTGGTTCCTTGTGTTACTGTTACTAGAAAGGGGAAGAGTTATTTCATTCCGATGCACAAGAACGTAAATCAATATATTTAATGAAGCCGTGATGAAAAATAAACCTTGCTTTGTTTCGAAATTTTTTTTTTTGCAGGTGCGCAATTTTTGCGTTGTTTTTTTAACGCAAAAGCGTCAACTTTGCGAAGAGGGTTGCGGGTCCATGAGAAGCGGGTTGTTTAGCCTTTCAAAAAAAGGGAACACTTGCGAGTGGTTCACAGATGAATTTCAATACGCATACAAATTCGACGCCACCAGTCCAGTGATGAACGCATCTGGGCGCATAACAGTTATTAAAGGGCTACGGACAATTGTCCTCTATCTCTTCAACCATTTGAAAAGGTCTTGTTTTGGCGCTTCATCTCGCATTCTTGGAGCGTATAAAAACAACCATTTCAAAAAAAAATTGTAGTGATCCAAACTAACTCCCTTACATACACATCTCTCACTCCTACTTGATAGTCGTCAGAGGATCCATTAAGCGATCGTTACCAAATTTTTTGATCGCTGTTTCAAGGATCGGATATCAAGAAACTCACAACCACTCTATTTATTTAAATTCCAAACATGATTCAAACCTCCACTCTTCCAAAATCCACCAGCAGGAGAAGCTACAATTATGTTCCTCAGTGTACTTCTTCCTCCGTTCGCTCCAGCTCAACAATCAAGGGAAGGGAATCTTCAAATAGTTTAATGTACAGTGCATCAACCAATTCCTTTCCTCATTCTCCAACCTCCTCTTTTTCCTCACACTCTCCGTCTTATTCTTCCCGATTGAACTTGTCTTCAAACTTTTCTCCATCTTCCAACATTTCATCCCCTCCTCATGTTTATTCAAAATTTTCTCATCGATTCGGAAACAATGATTACCATGCTCTTTCAAAACAACGAACAGGTATTAATACGACCTTAGATAAACATCAACAGGATAGTTCCGCTCCTTCCAATTACACAATTCTTTCCAATGGAAGCTTGAAAAGAAGACCTTCAAGCTCTCTGGTCAGTAAAAGAAACACAGACATGTTTGGAACGTATTACACGTTTAGTGATGAAAAAACACCCAAGTTTATTTCTCCATCCTCAAGAAAAGATCTCAATCGAAGTTTAGATGTCAGCTTTGAAAGAGAGAGATCCAAATCTCAGCCAAGATCATTACGAAAGCAAACCTCCTCTCCTTCGCCAAATCTTCAATCACCTTCCGCCAAAGAACATGGATCATCCATTAAAAACCTCATGACTAATTTATTTGGAAAGAGAGGACAGAAATTCGTTGAAGTACAACCTCAATCGTCGAATGTTTCCTCTTTATCTTTGTCCTCAGTGCAACCAAACAGTGATGAGAAGTCTAAAGTTGTTCCAGAAGATGAAGAGACTGTAACTACCATAATGAGTGAACATGTATCGTCACCGTTGGAAGGATCGTCCTTGGAATGCAACGAATGCTCGAGTGAAGATATGCCTCCCATACCAACTAGTAGTTACTTGCTTGGCCATGGTTTTAACGCTGGACTGCGAAATATTGGTAATACTTGCTTTATGAATGCAACACTGCAATGTTTGTGTTCCATTCAACCTATCAGAGACCATTTTACTTCTCCTTTTAAGGTTAATCCAAAAAAAGAAGGAAATTTAGCAAAACAATTTTCAATACTTCTTAAAAACTTAATCACACCATCTTCTGAAAATGATCCATATTTTGCTATCAATCCAGTTGAATTTAAGAGAACTCTCAATCAATATACATCTCTCTTTAGAGGCTTCGAGCAACAAGATTGTCAAGAGTTTCTGAGATATGTTCTTGATGGATTACATGAAGATCTTAATCGAGTTGTTGAAAAACCTAAATATGAAGAACTCAAAGATATTGCTAATGAGAGCGTCATTGATAAATCAATTCGATGGTACAACAATTATATTGAGAGGAACAATAGTTTCATAACAGATCTGTTTTTAGGACAATTGAAGTCAGAAATTCAATGCCATGCATGTAAAAGACAATCCATAACGTTTGATCCTTTCTTAGATATTTCCCTACCCATTGATTTTAAAAATCCACACAGAAGAGGATCTAGTGGTCACTATTCATGGCCTCCAATCTCAAAGCAACATCATGATATGAATCATGAAGTGTCATTGGAGGAATGTCTTTCCAAGTTTACCGAAGAAGAAATGTTAACTGGTATCGAACAAGTCTATTGCAGTGCATGTAAGGCTCATCAAGACGTGACCAAGAAACTAACGTTTTGTAGAATCCCTGAAGTGCTTGTAGTTCAATTGAAAAGATTTTCAAATGATGAAAAACTGTTAACTCCTGTGAGGCTGAGTGATCCAATCAATTTTTCGAATTTTCTAGCAAAAGAGGCAAGAGAACGATTTTACCAAAATGAACCTATTGAATATCAACTATTGGGAGTGATTAAACATTATGGAAGTTTACGAGGAGGTCACTACACTTGTCAAGTCAAAAATTCCAATGAAGAATGGTACGACTATAATGACAGTACTGTGAAAAAGTTGAGCCATTTCAATCCCTCTGACAGTTCTGCCTATGTATTGTTTTATGGAAGAATAAAATATTCAGATTAGGAAAATGATTGAAGCATTTCATTACTTCTTTTTTTTCTTTTCAGGTGGAGAAAAGTAGTTGAAAAGTGTCAATGATTCACGTGGTCGTTGTTGTTTCTTTTCAAAATGAGAATTCACATGAACATCAATGAGCGATGGAAAACATTCCTTTCCACAAATGATACACTTGACCTTACCATTAAAATGGTCAATGGACAATGAATCTGTTGAGGAGTGTGAATGACTCGTTATAGAGCTAGAACTGGTAAGACTCTTATTGACATCACTCTCTTGTTTCGTTGTTGTGGTCTTGAAAGAATATTCATCATAATTCTTACATGTGTTCGACTCATGATGATTCCATAAGGACGATCTTGATGATTTCTTAGGAGTGGTTGTCATTTGTTTTGGATATTCAAATGATCCATAACAGAGTTGAATCCATCTCAATTGTAATTTTGCATCTTGTAATTTTCGTTCATCTTCATCCTTATGAAACACATCATGTAAAGATTTGGCATGAAGAAATGTTGAGAGTTTCTTACTGAGTCTTAACATTCGAATGGCAACATCAGTTAATTGATCTGATGAGAGAATGGGTGATGCATTCGAATTGGTGGTAGAAAATAAACAAAATCGATCATTCTTAATCCTGTATACAGTACTATGATTGCCACTATTATGACAACTAGTACTACTATTACTATCAGCACTAGTACTACTATTACTACTACTATCAGCACCCGTACTACTATTACTACTAGTATTTTGAAAAAGTGATGGAATGGATATTGTCATGGATTCTTCTTTTTCATTTTCAAATCGATATTTGAAGGTGAGTGATGTTGGATATCTTGAATTTGTACTCTGATCATCACTACTACTCTTACTACTACTGCTAGTAGCATTGTTATTATTATTATTATTATCAATATCACTAATTCTACTCTTATTACTGTTATTACTAGCACGAACACTACCACTAACACTACCACCACTAACACTCACAGGACATTGATACATTAAAGAATCTTCATGAATTCTTTCACATAATTCCATTGCAATATATCCAATGACTTTTCGAATGGAGGTATGTACATGTGAGATGTGAATGGGTGTGAGAGACATGGATGCTGAAATTGTTTTTGGAGGATTTTGAAAGGAATCTTTGACCATTTGATCTTTCATAGTAGTTTGAGTAGTTTGAGTATTGATACCAAGTAATTGCATGAGAGTATGAGTGATATTAGTAGTAGTAGTAGTAGTAGTAGTATTCTTATTATTACTACTCTTTCTACTACTATTGCTATTACTATTATTACTATTGCTACCATTACTTGTAAGACTACTATTATTATTACTATTACTATTACTATTGCTACCATTACTTGTAGGTACACCATTCAATACATGGTATAAACATGTTCCATGATGATGATTGGTCTCGAGTTGTTGTTTCAAATCCAAGATGGTATGAATGGGTGGAAAATGAATCATCATGGATGAGTTCATTGTTGTTGATCCACTCTTCAATTGTTCAATCACATTCTTTCCTAATAATTTGGATAATTTTTCAATGGGTGTTTGTTTGAATAATTCATTCATGAATGAATTGGTTGTGTTGTTGTGATCATGATTGTATACGATCATGGTTTGGTCTCGATAATTCTGATCTAATGGTACACATTGTGCAAATGGTTTATATTTGGAACATAATAACTTGGATATAAATTTAGAATTCAAGGATATTCCACATGATAATTCATAATTTAAATCATTCTTAATTCTATTTCTAATAAAGAGAGCACATTGACTTGCAATAAATAATTTCCAATGATTCAAAGTAGAGTCTTGTGATTGATGGTTCAGAATAAAATTCCAATCCATACATGTTCCATGAATATCCAATACAGTATGTGTGTTTTGTTTTAATTCTTCTATTTGATTCATATTTTGTAAAATAGAGTCTTGTACAAGTGTGATGGAAGATTCTAAATTTGGAAATGAATTCATCTTGGAATTACTATTCTTCTCAAGTAGATGATTAATAGAACTTGAAGTCTTTTTATCTAGGGGTATATTGTTATTATTATTGTTATTGTTGTTATTGGTATTAGTATTGTTATTGTTGGTATTATTATTATTGGTATTGTTGTTGGACACACTACTCGTATCTAATAGATCCTTCTTATCATTATTATTAGAATCATTTGAAATCTTTTTCATTAATAATTGATGAATCAATTGTTCAAAACATGGTGTTAAATCAATATATACTTCATCCATACTTGATTTTTCCATATTAAATTTCCAATCATGCCATGATGATGGTTGTTGTTGATGTGATTCTCCTTGTTGTTGAAGTGTGTTTAAATCACTCCTTTCATTCCTCATGACATATTCATTGGAATTTCTCAATCTTTCAAAAAATTCTGGAATTAATTGATCCTTGACATGCAATTTAAATATTTCATGAAATGCTTCTCTATAATATTTATAAGTCACTTTAGTAGTATTAGGAAACATGGGAACATGAATGAGTTTTAAATTAGGACATATCACAAGTGCTTGTTGTGGTTTCATGTGTTTTTGAATTTGATGTTTGAAATCTAAACGAATGGAATGTGAAATGGCAATCAGATCATCATGTTGTTGAATGGCAATATATTCACGTGTGTGAGTTGTTGTTGTTGTTGTTGTTGTAATTGTTGTAGTTGTTGTTGTTGTTGTTGTTGTAATTGTTGTGGTGGAGGAATGAGAGGAATGAGAATTGAGTTGAGAGGAAGTATCTTGTGTTGTTTCATGGTTGGTTTGTTGATGGGTTGGATGGATGGAATTCAATGTTTTTTCGTTGGTGTTGAATTTGATGGTGGTACTCTTGACACCATGTTCGCCATGGATGCATCACGAAAGAGATGAGGATTTCGATGTTTTTCAACTTGAATGAAAAATTCATCGGCATCAAGAAGGAGAATCATGATGAGTATCAACATGGAATGAGAGATTCACCAATGAATTTTTTTCTTTGCCAATAAGGTGTAAACGCCCGCTCCTGGCAAAAAGTCGATTCCGATCTTGGATGGAACTTGTAAAATCTTGTTGAAGGCATTTCTAAATGAAAAAAATGAGAACGTTGCGAAATTTCTCACAGTGTTCATGGCCCATTCCAACAAAAATATGCGTTCTTCTTCTCGAATTTATCTTGTCATCCGAGGAGTGTAACAACCTCAAAAACAACAACAACACATACACTCACTCATCATTCCAATCCTTACATTTTAACCTGTGTATCCAATCATCATTTTCTTCTTCAACATTATTCCATTCTATCCAAAATTAAAAAAACAAAAGAGAAAATTAATACCATTAAAAATCAACATCATGTGAATCCGACAAGCCTTGTAACACCCGAACGTGTAGATTCATTCATTTCCAAACAATTTCCTGAAAAATATAATGAAATGAAAAAAGCAGAAGGCTTGTATGATCTTGTAGAAGAATCTTCTACACCTGCTATTCCTAACAATAATGATACTCGCTCAAGAAATGCAACTAGAGAATCATTGAGCAACATGTCCACTACTTTTAGAGAAATGCTCACCAAAGAAGAACGTACAGAATTAAATTTAGAGAATTTACAAAAAATATTCAAACAAACAGCAAAACATTCTCCAAATAATTCCAAAACGTGCAAAGTAACAATTATTGGAGCTCCAAATGCTGGAAAATCAACAATTCTCAACAATCTAGTCAGAAGAAAAGTATCAGCTGTATCTCCCAAGACACAAACGACTCGGAATCGTTCCCTAGCTGTACTCAATGAATCATCTCATCAAATTGTGTTTTTTGATACACCAGGTATACTAAATATGGAAAATTCTAAATTGAAAGTTGATAAAACTGCAAAAGAAACAATAGAAGGATTACAAGATGAATCATGTTTGACTATGGAATTAGCTGATGTTGTTTTATTAATGATTGATGTTACAAAACCATTGCATCATATCGATCATATATTAGATTTACTTTCGAAATATGCCAAAAAAGAAAAACAATTTCATTTATGTGCATTAATTAACAAGAGTGATATGGTAGAGATGGATCGATGTGAAGAATATAGATTTGAATTGATTCGTTCCGATGTCTTTGATCAAGCCTTTATTGTGAGTGCTAAAACAGGTTATGGATTAGAAAGTTTGAAAAAATATTTATTTGAAAAATCAAAAAGCAGAAAATGGTATTTTGATGAAACAGCTGGAGTAACACCTGCAATGACTACTCGTGATGTTGTGAAAGAGGTTATTAGAGAGAAACTCTATCGAAGATGTAACAAGGAGGTCCCTTATCAAACTCAAATTCAAATTACAAAATTAGAATTGTCTCCATCAGGTGAACATTTAATCATTGACGCAGATTTGATTGTGAGAAATGTTGGACAGCAACGAATTGTTCAAAACGCTCTCAAATATGTCAATACTTACGCTACTGCAGATCTGCAGAGAATGTATAAGGCAAATGTGGTATTACAATTTAAAGTTAAAATTAAATAATAATATTTTTAACAAGAAATTAAATAATAATTGAAGAAGTATCGATCTCACAATATCGACTCAAACATGAGTGATTATGGATGCCCTATTCAAAATAGAATATCGCTCAATATGAGGACGCAATGTATGTCCATTCACGACGTTTTTATTTTTCCATAATCACTGTAGCTCCATTCAACATGAAAGGATGTAAACACTCTGGTATTCTTACACCCAATTTACCAGTCTTTTCATCGTAGAATTGATTCTTTTCCAAAATTGCAATCATGGCACGTGGCACAGCCATTGCAGTTCCATTCAAGGTGTGAGGATAGAATGATTTAAATCTCACAAAATCAACCTTGTATCGTATATTCAATTTTCTAGATTGATAATCTGTACAATTACTGGCACTTGACACTTCTCCAAATCCTCCTCTACTTGGAATGTATGCCTCCATATCAATCTTTCTATGAGCTGGATTACCCAAATCATTACATGGCATGTCCAATATTTGGAAAGAAAGACCCAATTCAGAAAATATTTCTTCTTGAATTTGAATAATTTCTTCCAATAGCTCTTCACTCTTTTCAGGTGTACAATAAATAAACATTTCAACTTTGGTGAATTGGTGAACACGATAGAGACCTCGATCTTTAGCACCAGCAGCACCAGCTTCCGTTCTAAAACAATGACTCAATCCAGCATATTTAATGTATGGTGTAGAGTTGATATGATTCGTAGTAGTAGTAGTAGTTGCACTATTCGTTGTAGTAGTAGTAGTCATATTACTCGTAGTAGTAGTAGTAGTCATATTACTCGTAGTAGTAGTAATAGTGCCAGTTGCACTACTAGTCGTTTCATCAAAGAACAGAATGACCTTATTGGCATGTAGTGCAGCTAACCCAATTTCACTCGTTCCAATGAGACATAATTGATCACTTGAATTCGTTTCATTATTGCTGCTACTGCTGCTACTGCTATTGCTACCATTATTGCTGCTACTGCTATTGCTACCATTATTGCTGCTGCTACTACCACTACTGCTACTACTATTATTACTATTTTCAATTCTATATATTTGAGAATGTTCTCCACGTGGTTGAAATCCACATCCCTCTACAATGTGTTGTTTCATCAATTCTGGTGGCATGATCATTTTAAATCCCTTCTTCATTAATTTCGAAATTGCAAAGTTTTGAAGTGCAATTTCTAAGAGAACTCCTTCATTCTTTAAAAAGAAGAATTTTGGTCCTGAACATTCATTGGCTGATTCAAATAGATTCAATCTCTCACAAATTTCAAAATGAGAAAGTTTGGGTGATGTGGTGGTTGGCAAAGTGTTCAAATTTTCATTCAAATTTTCATTCACATATTTAATCACTCTGGGCTGATTAGAATTCTCTTTACAATAGTTCATTACTTGTGGATGTGTAAAATTTGGTAATTTGACTGCCTTCTCTTGTAAAGAATTGAATAAATTGGTTTTTCCTTTTCCATAGATTGAGTGAGTGTTTTGTATTGTTTTCCAATTTGTTTCCAAAAATCAGACTTCTTGTTTGTTAAATCTGATTGACTTTGAGATTGTTCAGTAATTTGAGATGGTAATTGATCCAATGTTCTTTTACCTGCCAAATACTCTGCAATTTCTCTTCTTAAAAATTGAACATGTTCACATTCAGATTCTAATTTGGTATATTCTTGATATAATTGAATAATTTCATCAACATTAATTGAATCTAATGGTAGTTCTCTTAATTTAATATTTTCAATCATTTCATCTCTTCTTTGAACGAGTTGTTCAAAATTGAAAATGAATGAATAGGAGATGGAGGAGTGAAGGAAGAGAGAGAGTTTGAAGAGTCATTGATCTTTGAAGCCTTGTTGTTGTTGGAGAATAGACTTGAATGATAGTAGTAGAAGTGGTGCTGCTGCTGCTGACTATCAACGACCATGGATGATATTCCGAAAGGATTCAATAGGAAAGTAGTACCTCTACCACCCCCACCAACACGTAAATTCATACCCGTTGCACAGAAGAAGAAGGGCTTGAGAGAGTGGCCACTGGTCGGATAGCCTCTCCATCGAGTCAAGTGGGTTGATGAAACAAAGCGGTTCATATGTTGGAGTGAGATGAATATTTTTTGTGGTGTGTGTTTGCTTTCACAAAAAATGTCCAATTGGCATGTCCTCATTTTGGAACAACAACTCTCTCCGAAAAGAATACTAGTTGCAAATCATCTTCAGAAAATCGAATAAGCCATCATCATCCAACAAGGCCTCTTTTTAAACATTTAAAATGTTCATCACTTCTACCACTCATCTCCCATTTAGCAGCCATGTTCCTTGTATTACTTACTGCTGTTCATTATTTATTTATTGTTACAACAAACAATTTATATTTTCCGAGAATGATGAATGAAATTTCAAGAAGAATTGTTGTAGAGAATGAATCATGGTACGATCATCATTCTCAACCATTATCATTTATACATGTTCATGGAATGACCATTCAAGAACAATCTCAAATAGCCTCTCAAATCAAAGAAGTATTTAAATTTTCATTCAATTCCTATATGAAACATGCATTTCCCTATGATGAATTAAAACCAATATCTTGTAGTGGTATTAGCACATGGGGTAATTATTCATTGACTCTCATTGACTCTCTTGATACTCTCTATATTATGAATTTACATGACGAATTTAAAATGGGAGTTGAATACGTATTAGATCATTTCAAAGATTTTCATTTTGATTCCCATGTGTCTGTGTTTGAAACGAATATTCGAATATTAGGAGGATTATTGAGTGCACATTTGTTGGCCTTAAAACATGATTGGTATCGAGAGAGAATTCGGAACCATGGAAGTATGACCACAACGGTAGAACCTGTATCATTGAGCGAGGCTTCTAGATCCTCTTCTACCACTCCAATAATCACCAAACATCATTCCCTTCTCACTTTGAGTATTGATTTATGTGAGAGGCTGATCAAAGCCTTTGATACACCCACTCATATACCGTATGGTATGGTACACTTTACACAAGGTGTTCTCAAAAATGAAAGTCAAGTCACAGCAGCAGCAGGTGGAGGTACGTTGAAAATAATTTCTTGTCTCGTGAATGCCATTCATTGGTACTAACAAATATATTCAATAATGGAAACTTGAATGGTTGCATAATTCTCTATTGCGATTCACAATATACTACTACATCAATACATACAGGTACCTTTCTCATGGAATTTGGATTATTGTCCTATCTCACTGGTAACATGAAATATTATGATTATGCGAAGAGAGCATCACTTGCATTGTATTTATTAAGAGATCCAAATACTAATCTCATTGGTAATCATGTTAATATTATCAATGGACACTGGACACATCGTGAGAGTGGTATTGGTGCTAGTTGTGATAGTTTCTTTGAATATCTATTGAAAGGTTTCATGTTATTTAGAGATGAAGATTTAATTCAAATGTTTAAAACATGCTATGATGGTATTATGAAACATGTCTATAGAGAACCATGGTATAGTGATGTAGATATGAAGACATCCAAGTTGACATTTGGGTTATACAATTCTTTGGCATCATTTTGGCCAGGACTACAAACACTCTATGGTCATGATTTTGAAAAGGCAAAAAAGACCTTAAATGCCATATTTGGTATATGGCGGTTGCATGGAGTAATTCCAGAAGGATTTAATTTATATGTATCAAAAGCACAGAAAGGTCAAATGCCATATCCATTGAGACCTGAATTGATTGAAAGTGTGTATCATTTGTACAAATTTGATGGATCTAGAGACTCTTCTTATTTGTATATGGCAAGAGATTTCTTGACAGGGTTACAAGTTGTATGCAAAACAAAATGTGGTTATGCTGTGGTGAAAGATAGTGAATCTAAATTACTGGAAGATCGAATGGAGTCATTCTTTCTAAGCGAAACATTGAAATATTTATATTTAATTTTTGATCCTTATAATTTTGTTCATTGGAATGAAGAAAGTGGACAAGAAGAATTACTCTACACATTCAATACTGAGGCTCATATCATTCCTTTGAATTTACATGAATATTTGAAAAAGTATAATACCAAAATGGAAGATGGAGGTGATATTGAACATAGTTCGACGAGTAGTAGTGTCACCACCACTGGTAATTCTCAATTCCAACAATTGTTACATTTATTCAACAAGAGAGTTCATATGAGCAACAACCAAATGTTTGCTCAAAAAGGTTCTTCACACATTCCAAAATGAACCTTATGTATACAAATTGGCATGATCGATAGGGATACATGCAACACGTAAGACACAATCATCATATAGACTCCATTCATCGACCACACACACACTCTTGATAAATCAGGAGTACTCACTCGAGTCATTGTCAACTTTTGTCCAACACATTTTGAAAGTGATACATACCATTGCACACACCTGTCCTGGCGCACCAAACACAGGCTGTTGCGAACGAATTTGGAAAGACCCTTTCTACTTGGTTGCATCGACCATCAGAGAAGAGCCAAGTACAAAAAAACTGTTTCAAAAATCTTTCTCAGCAGAGTTTGGCACCAATTTTGCACGTCTCGACTCTCTCTCTCGTTACTTTTCGTCGAGTTGGCTTCATCATCACGTGCTCAACGAATATTATCATTCTTTATTATAAAACATTATCGGATTCGTGTTCTTCAACGAGTAGTAAAAGTAGATAGATCGTAGTCGTGTACATTTTCTCAACAACAACAACAACAATTATAAAAGAACCCTAATATTTCCATCATTGAGAGTAATAACAACACTTCTCTCTCTACTAACCCCATCAAGCACTTTTAAATTCATCGACAAGCCTTGGCGTTGAGAGTGCGAAATAATGTACAATCCAACAACAACGACGAATACAAATACGAACACTACATCATCTTCTAACAACAATATGGACAATCTAATTCATAATTTCAATTATCTCCAAATTGGGACCAATTCCAATACTTCTACCACCACCACCACCGACAAGCAAACACAACAACGATATAACCCTTCTTCATCGTCTATCACCAATAATAATAACAACACCAACACCAACAACCATCATCAATCATACAACAATACTTCTTTTCAAAAGTCTTCCTATCAACCTTCTACGACTGCGCTTGGCGATGTCGAATCCTCCTCTTCACCAACAAGTGCACTTAAAAACAAAACAAATACCATCAAAAAACAACCCTCGAATCATGTGATTCAACCTTCAGTGGCAACTTCATCTCCAACCATGACTCAACAACGAAAAACAATCAGCTACAGTGCTATCAAAGTCATTGGCAATGGTAGTTTTGGAGTTGTGTTTTTAGCAAAAGTACAAGAACAGGAGAAATTGTTGCTATTAAGAAAGTATTACAAGACAAGAGATTTAAAAACAGAGAATTACAAGTCATGAAAACACTCTCTCATCCGAACATTGTTGAATTGAAACATTACTTTTATTCACGAGGGGATCGAGTAAGTAGTAGTCTTTCAAGTGTTGTTCATGATTGTGACCATTTATATTTCATGCACACACAAATACGCACGCACGCACCTTTTCGATATACACACACGTCTATTTTCATCATTTGACTTGCACTTCTGAACATGCTCATACTTGCATGTCCTTTTCTATTCACAATACAAACACTCGTGCATTTGACTCACTTCATTCACTGATTGGACTCACTTCATTTGAATCACTTCATTTGACTTACTTCATTCTACTCCTTCTACTTATTCTACTCCTTCTACTCATTTAACTCATTCCACTACATCATAGGATCCAGATGAAGTCTATCTCAATCTAGTACTTGAATATGTTCCTGATACAGTCTATCGATTTACAATGAATTATACCAAACACAATTCCTATGTTCCAATGATCTATGTGAAATTATTTGTCTTTCAATTATTGAGATCGATCATTTATATTCATTCACTTGGAATTTGTCATCGAGATATTAAACCTCAGAATTTATTGATTGATCCAGTCACAGGAATATTAAAATTATGTGATTTTGGAAATGCAAAACAATTGAAAGAAGGTGAACCCAATGTCGCATACATTTGTTCAAGATATTACAGAGCACCAGAATTAATATTTCAAAGTACAAAATATAATTGTGCTGTAGATGTGTGGTCATGTGGATGTGTCATGGGAGAATTAATGTTAGGATCTCCACTCTTTCAAGGTGAGAGTAGTGTGGACCAATTGGTTGAAATTATCAAAGTATTAGGAACACCTTCCAAAAATGATATATTGGCCATGAATAAGAATTATACAGAATTTAAATTCCCTCAAGTGAAACCAAATCCATGGGATCAAGTATTTGCAGATCGATTTCAATACATGCAACGTACGTTTCAGGCTAATAATGGACAATCGATGAGTGGTGCGAGTGCGAGTGCGAGTGCGAGTATGAGTAGTAGCAGTAGTGGTATCAGCAGTAGTAGCATTTGTGGAGGAAATGTTTCAAGTATGCTTGATCCAGCCACTGAAATGAATCATGCCGTTGATCTCATTACCAAATTATTACAATATGATCCAAAGAAGAGAATTGCACCCATGGATGCATTGGCTCATCCTTTCTTTGATGAATTGAGAATACCTAATGTAAAATTACCAAATGGAAAACCATTACCACCTTCTCTATTTGTTTTCTCTGAACAGGAATTTAACATGTTACAGAATCCAGAATTGAAAGATTTGATTTTACCAAGAGGTTTGTGATTCACAATTGAAATCATGTTACTACACTACCACTAGTAAAGCTGCTCTTCATGACACCACCACCACCACAGTGTGTAAGCAAAAAGGCTGTACAACCAATCAAGAGCCTCTGGAGTTTTTCTCAAAGGATCCCAAGAAGGACCATAAAAAGACCCAACAAAAAAAAATCCAAAGTGTATTCTTCAGTCACTTACTTTCTCTCGCATTGATCGGAAATTCAATCTTTGAATTCAACCCATTGGTGTGTGTGCTTGCAATAATCAACATGACCAATGTACTTGCTCGTTTTCTTTGGTTCTCAGTAGCCTTGATGGTATTGGGAATATCCCTCGTATTGACTTTTATCAAAACTCGAGAGGAAGTTTCAAGAAGAACAACCACCACTCAAGAGTACACTGTACCTACTACCATCAAATCCATCAACATTCCTTCAACCTCCATCATCGCTCACACGAATATCACTCTGTACTATGTGGAAACAGGTGATTTGAGTGAAAATGCGTATCCTGTCCTTCAATTTCATCCAACACCTGGTTCTCTCTTATTTCGACATGATCACGAAGATTCATTATTGAAACAATATGGTATTCGATTGATTAAAATAGATCGATCCAATCTATACAAGACACAATTTTGTTGTGCAACTAAAAGTGAACAATTCATTCAATACGAATGTATTTACAAACATTTAATTCAAAATGAATTGAAATTGAAATCATATAGTGTATTGGGTTATCAAATGGGAGGATTTATGGCATTGAATCATTATCATGTCTTGTCATCCATCATGAATACAAGTAGTAGTAGTAATAAGGATAGTAGTAGTAGTAGTAGTGAATTGATCAGTAATGGTCTTGGTGGTGTTGGTTTGGATAGTATTGCTGTCATTGCACCCTTCTTACCACCCATTCCTAAGACCTCCAAGGATTCAAATTATACATCATGGGAACAATTATTATACACTTATTCATGTCCATATACTTTATTGTATAGAATGTATCAATTATTAGGTGACAAGCTCGCTTACAAAATTTTAAACCCTTTATGGAAAGTGACATCTACTGTTTTGAATCTTGTCATTCCACCTCAATATTTGACTCGTTTACTCAATCAATTCACCTTCCATTCATTCAATGATCAATTATCACAGAATATTCTTGATGAATCAACACGACGTGTATTAATGGAACTCCATTCTCTCTCTACTCTCTTTGAAGAATATAATATTGTGTTTAGTCATGGATTGAAGAGTGAATTGAAGAGAACAAGTACCACTCGTAGTAGTAGTGATAGTAGTAGTAATAAGGATAGCAGTGGTAATAAGGATAGTAGTAGTAATAAGGGTAGAGGAAAAGCTCTTCCTCATACATTGATACTAGTCACTTCAGAACGTCAAGAAGAGATGGCTCGTTCTTTCTTGCTGAATGACCATCGAGATAGTTCCATCATGATTCAGAGAGTACAGCAGCAAGATTCCACCATCAGTGCTGGCGATGCATCTAGAACCTCACATTCTTCTCTCAATGCCTTTGTTTCAGAATATGAGAGAGCCTTGTCCTTTATTGCCCGAAATAAGCCTTCCATTATAGAGAGCTCTGGCACTACCAAAAAAGAAACGAGCACAACCACGACAATAATGGAGAATAGTCACAGCAGGGTAGTACCCTTGCAGCAGCAGCAGCAGTCGGATGAGCCATCATCATCAACATTGGCCAAAACAACAACAACACCCTCTTCCGAAGGTACCACCACCACCAGTAGTAGTAGTAGTAGTAGTAGTAGCAGTACGACAACTCCCACAACCTCTCAACAACCAGCAACAAGTACCTCTTCATCCACTACTACTACGACTCCAACAACTACGACTACTGCTCCAAGTAGTACTACTACTACTACAAGTACAACAACAAGTACTCCAAATCAAAAGACCATTGCAGTGATTGGTGGTGGATTGGCAGGTCTAAGTGCAGCGATTGAGGCAGCAGAATTGGGTGCCAAAGTATACTTGTTAGAAAAAGAGGATCGAACAGGTAAGTATTTCAATATATGATACAACTTTCATGATGCAACTATCAAACAACTCAAACACTCCATGTATATACAGGAGGTAATAGTGCCAAAGCAACATCAGGTATCAATGGTATTCATACTCATGCTCAGAAATCTCTCTCGATTGATGACTCGTTTGATTTATTCTATAGTGATACTACCAAATCTGGTAAAAATCAAGGTAATCCTAAATTAGTGAGTACATTGGTCTCAGAATCTACAAGTGCTATTGAATTCTTAGAAAAACATGGTATTGGTATGGAATTGATTACACAATGTGGTGGACATTCACGTCCAAGAACTCATCGATCTGCACCTCCCAAAGTAGGTCGAGCCATGAATGTTGGATCTGAAATGACTACAAAATTATTAGATTATATTCAAAAGAATTTATCAGATCGTGTGAAAGTATTGACCAAATGTCAAATGATTGGATTTATTTGTAATGAAGAAGAAGAAACCATGAAGGATGAAAAGACAATTCATGAAAGTACAAACAAAAAGATACCCATTGGAATTCGATATACCTGTCATTCAAACGACAATAACACTACCAACACTACTAACACTACCAACACTACTAACACTACCAACAATAACACTACCAACACCACACAATCACTCTTCACTTCTTCAATCATCATGACCACAGGTGGTTATGCAGCAGATCGAAATGGATATCTCAAACAATATGCTCCACAATTATCACATCTTCCTACAACGAATGGAGCATTTGCTAATGGAGATGGTATTCGAATGTGTGTGAATGAATTGAATGCATCATTAATTCATATGGAATCCATTCAAGTACATCCTACTGGTTTTATAGATCCACAAAATCCTAAAAGTATGAGTGTATTTTTAGCAGCAGAAGCATTGAGAGCGTATGGAGGTATTATTGTGAATCAGGTGAGTAGTAGTAGTAGGTGTGTATATATATATTTATGGGTGTATGCATATATGTTTATGGGTATGCATATATTTATGGGTATGAATATATTTATGGGTATGCATGTTTTGACCATTGTGTATTGGTGTTCATAATCATGTTCCATGAAATTATAGAATGGAGAACGTTTTTGTGATGAATTAGGTCGAAGAGATTATGTCTCTGAAATGATATTTAAACATTGTCAACGTGAAATTGAAGGTGGACATGTTACTGCATATCTTTTAATGAATGATTATGTTGCCAAATCATTTAGTGAATCTCTATTAGGATTTTATCTTTCTAAAGGATTTATTCGAAAGTATAATCATTTAGAACATGCATTTAATGAAACATTGAAAATGGCAGCACCAAACATGAATTATGAAACTCTTGTTCGTACCATGATCCAATATAATTCATTTTATGAGGCTAGTCGTAGTGGTAGTAGTGGTGATGGTGGTGATGGTAGTAGTGGTAGTGGTGATGGCAGTAGTGGTGGTAATGATAATACTACTGGTAGTGATGGTGGTGGTAGTAGTAGTAGTAATGATAATAATACCATGAATTCACCAAATACTGCAAGTGCCTTTGCAGATCCCTTTGGAAAAACTCTCTTCCTACCAAATTTTCATTGAATGATACCATTTATATTTCAAGAATTACTCCAAGTATTCACTATACTCATGGTGGACTTGTATTTGATGAGAAGGGAAGAGTTTTGAGAAAACATGGCGATTCTTTTGAAGTGATTCCAAATTTATATACAGCAGGTGAAGCAAGTGGAGGTTTACATGGCTTGAATCGATTGGCAGGAAATAGTTTACTTGAATGTGTGGTATTTGGAAGAATTGCTGCACATGACATTATGAAGAAATAAATACATGGTTCAAAACCTTTTTGCAAATCGCAACTCGACACAAAGTATTCCTAATGCATGTCCTTTTCAAAATTGGGCATTGGTCTATGTTCAAGAAGAGACTGTTAAAGTTGTTGGAGTTAGCTCAAATATTGACCTTGAATCAATCCACAAGGAAAGTGATTGAATGTTCTGAAAAGTGTGGTAAAAAATTTCAAAGATGCTAAAAATGTCAACAGCTCTCTAAAGAGTAAACTAGTACCACTACTGCAGCATTATAAGCAGAGAGAAACAAAGTTATTTTCTGTCCATTCAGTTAAGTGCCATCTTGATACCTCTCGTAATTTTACATATTAATTTGGAATTGTTGTAGTACTACTTACAATGATGCTGATAAAACGCGCATAGTGATATAATTCGGAATATTGTAATTACGATGCACAGATAACACACAAAGACAACATGTTGTTGCAATCATCAAGGTGTATAATTGAGTAAATATAACTACGGGCTTGTGAAGTAATACATCTATGTAATCCGATAATGCGAAACAACAATCCTAAGTTGAGATATATTTGAATGTTACTGGGACGTTACTATTATGAACACCGTTATTTACTAATGTAGGTAGTTATCGTAATGTTTATTGAAGATAGATAGGTGCTGAATGATACCGAGAGAACATATTAAAACTAACGAGTTGTAATTTAGTTTCTTACTTTGGCCATTTTACCCATATATTCGAGTCAATAACATTGTCGACGCATTACTGCCAAGTTACTGAAACTTTGTTTCTACCTGGTTTAAAAGAGTTTTGAAGTTTCAAAACATTGTATAACAAAAAAGACACTCCATCTCCATAGAAGTCCTCTTCAGAGGAGACTCCGTTGGTAAAAACTGTTATTGTTTGAAGTTACGTAACATACACAAAACCTTAAGAACGTTGAAGTTCTCCTCTGTAGTTTAAAGAGTGTTCATTATTTATATGTTAATAAAAATTAATGCGACGAAAACATCGTTGAGCGAATCAGCGACGGATAAAATTTTTAAGGCCAAAGCCAATCGCAGACACAAAAGTGTCAAAGGAAATCACTGAGCAAATCAATGATACATAAGGCAAAAGCCAGTTAATACAACACAAAGTGTTGTTGAATTCTAAATATTATGGGAGGGAAGGGAGGGTGTTGTTGTGGTGCCAGACTGTTGGGAAGCTGCAGTAGTTTGCTCTTTAGAGAGCTGTTTTGGTTGTGGATTTGTTGACATTTATTAGCCATACTTTCAGTCAACCTTACTGTTTTCGTTACAAAACACTTCCGTTCTTTTCAAAACTTGCAATTTGAAGCGTCATGAAGGAACTAACTTGCGAAATTAATGCAACACAACGTGTTGATGAATTCTTCTCATAATTTACTAATAATTTGACATTGATTTTCTTTTATTAAATGATCTACTTTCGTCACATATCCAAATCCATCC